TCGTGGTCGTAGCCGGCAACACTGGCTTTCTCAAATTGCCGTATAATTTGCCCGGTAGGATAGGGACTTCTGCAACTTGTGGCACAGCCTGGAAATCTGCAGTGGTGTGGTGAAAAGTAGCAACAGAAAAGAGCCTCCGCAATCGGGGAAGCAAGCTCCGCGTCAAAGTAACAGAGCGCCAGCTCCAGAGGCCAACCGACCCACTGCTACTGCACCGTGGTTCATACCACACCATTCGGCAGCCCACTTGAGCTTGCCCGAGTCCTCATCCAAGCCGTGACCGCCAATGCGCACTCTTATCGCCGTGAACATCGCACGGCTGTAAACGTTCCAGTTGTAGACCCGCCATGTCTGAAGGATCTTGAGCTTCTCCTGGGACATCTTCGCAGGTGGGTTATACTGCCCTGTAAAGTTGCTAGAGGCGCTTGGCCGCTTGCTCAGGATTGCGTGCCCATTGCTGAGCCAAGACGTGCTTGAGACACGCGTCACATACTGTGGTTAGGTCTTCCGGCTCTTCCAGCACCTGATACTCGTTCACCGAACGCTGTGCTTCGACCAGAATATACTGGGTCAAACTCTTGTGCTGAAGAGTCGAGTTCGTTTGGGGGACGCGCGTTTCGTGCCGTCAGGGAGCGCGTTCAGGAGTTTGTTAAGCCAGGCTCGATAAGGTGGTAGATAGTTAGGAACTCCGTGGTAGAGACAGGTGGGCTCACGAGCACGGATGAGAACTCGAAAGGACGTGGAGGCTTGGAGTACAGTCTATCTCCTGCAGGGACAGGTCAGCACTCCGCTTGAAGCATCCCCTGATGTCCAACATTTCAGCCCATAGAGGCCCGGCCTTCGTCAAACAATGGTCCACTATTTCGCCGACTTCGAAGATCCGGTAATCTTCCATTTTGCGTTATCTTGGCTAGTGCTGAAAGGATGATGAGTCTCGATGTATCCGGCAGTGCAGTCACCACCTGAAACGGAGAGGCAGTCAGATGGCGCACAGGTGATTGGGTTCCGATGTTTGAGCGCTTTTCAGTCCGCTGACGTCCACAACTGCGCTTACGGCCGGTAGGTGTAGCAGCAAGGTGTTCACCACAAGATTGCAACCGAGTTGGAGTTGCGACCACTGGGAGCTTAACGCCTTTGAGCATTGAAGTTGCAGATACCCTGGTACGCATATCACGTTCGAGCAACGGAGGACTCGGAAGGGAAGAAGTGTGAAAGTTGAGAGAGCGCAACAGACGAAAGAGCAAGCGGATTGCGGCATGCACACAACGGGCAAGGATGGAAGAGGCGACTCCGCCGTCTTGAAGACAGTGTCGGGACCGTGCAAAGGCTTGGAGCATGGCGAAGCGGAGAAGAGAGATACATACGGAAGAGGAGGATCCAGGGGGGTGTTGTAACTCAAATGCCTCGCGCTTGAAGACAAGCAGGGAAGAGTGTAACAGAAGCTAAACACGTGCTGCAAGACAGAGAGCTTCTAAGATCACGACTTGTTCCAAAGAGCGGGTTCCAAACAGCAGTAAACATTACATGGTCAGGAGCCATGGCAAGGACATGAATACTTCTGAGACCAGTGACTGTACCTGCTATCACGGCCACACCCTATACATCACCCTCCTGTATTGACCCTATCGCCTTTGGCGCATCGTGTTGCCTCCACCTCACATCATTGACTCCACGATCACATCCACCTCGACATGCCACGAGAGGCCCGACAACAATCACACTGGGCTGCTTGAATGTTGATAGAAAGGACAGAGATTGAAGCGGAGACTGAGAAAGTGTGCATCTACTAGGATGAGTCCAGGACATGGGAAGCGGCTGCAGGTGCTGGAGTTCATATTCGGTGGATCGTTTCGACGAACACCTTTTTGGATACGTCCAGCCTCAGACGGCGGTCGGTGCAAGCGCCCTTGTGGGCATGATCCTGCGGACCAAGGTGAGGTGAGGCACAAGACACGGAAGTGGAGAAAGGAGCGCCTACAGATGTTGGGAAGAACCACGTTTTGTGCAGAGAGATCAGTCCTTGTAGCAGCAATGACGGCAGTGGAGCGGTTCAGTACATCGCCTTCCCAGACATATCAGCTCTGTCTGGGGCCTGCTGACCATCTCCGTAGCCGGTTTGCAGCCGCTGTTGAATGCTATCCGGAAGGCGTCCGTCCGAGGAACCACCGCTTGTCGTGTTCATGTGTATCTACTCCCGTCAACAAGGCGATTGCGTTGGCATGTCAGACGCCGCAAACCTGGCGATCGCACTCCACATTCAGACGCGCCCGCCTAGACAGTTCGAACCTGTAAGACTCAACGGTGATCGATGCTGATCTGGGCCTGTGAGCATACCGCAGCCGCCATCATCATGATCAACACCGAAAGGAAACCGCGTTCGCAGTCACCTCTGTCTCCGTAACCATCAGCTGCTGCAGCGATACTCGATCACGTTAATCTCGAAAGGAAACGTCTGGACCTCAACATAGGCGACTGCGTCGTGGGAACGAGCAGCAACCGCCGACCGCGCTATCTCACGCAATCCCGGGGAAGCAAGTCTAGAAGAGCCGGCGACACTCGACTCGCAGCAGGAGGCGTTACTCCGTGCGTTACCCGGTGGCGAGGAGGTCATCATGGTGATCGACAATCTGCAGGACGAGACGCATTCCAAGAGTCCGCTGCTAAGTTTCCCGAGTCGATACTCGAGGGCGCCTCGACTGTTCTGACGGAGAGCTTGGAGCTCTAACCTAAGGCATTGTTGCAGCTTTTCGCTCGATAGCTCCTCCTATACCATATCCACAAGTACTGTATCCCGGCTCCTGGCTTCTTGAAGAGTTGTCATCTCAGCTTCCATCCTCCATACCCGCGCTCTTCTTTTGCGCTGCCTTCTCGTCTTTATGTGGCGCCTCTGCTTGCTCGGCACCGACTTTGATGGCGCTTTTCGTCGTAACCTCATCCATCGGTGCTCTCTAGGCGCGTACTGCCGTTACACGCGTTACCTCCTGATCGGTGCTCTGTTGGCGCTCTTTTGGCGCTCTCCAGCCCTGTCTTCGCCTTCCTCAAGTCTTTACCGAAACTCCTTCAGCCCCTTCAAAATGCCGCCATGGCAAGTTGCGCCGGAAGGCCTTTTCAGGTACGGGAGGTGGAAAAGGATAAGAGGATGCGAGGCTGGAGGCTGTTGCGCGGAGGACTTTCGACGGTTCGCTGGGGTGGTCGCCTGTTTGCCGTGCTTGATGGCTCTGCGGATCGTCGAGCGGACATTCTCTTCGCTAGTGGATTGCCGGTGGGTTGATTTTGTATCCGCTAGTACACAATGGTCGACGTTGAGGGCAAGAGCAGCTCTGGTGCCTGATTGTCGGAGTGGCTGGATGCAAGCGGTCTAGTAAGTGACATAGAAGCCAATATTGGAGGCTAATCGGGCGCTGCGATGCATGGTGTGGATGCACTCTAGATAGGGGCCCGTGAACGACGATAAATGAACTGTAATGTTCCGGCGGGTCTGTGATGCAGTATGCGGTAAAGTTGACTTTTCGGGGGAAAAGATGCATTTGCTGAAGGGCATACAGTGTCCACCGGATGGAAGCTTGATGGAATTGACGCCGATGAGGTACGATTCTCTCAGGTCTCATTCCATAACGATACAGTCAGTAATCTGCATCGGGCAGGGGGATCGAAAAGGCCACGCCAGCCATACGGATGAGCTGTTGGTAGAAACCTTCCAACCTGTCAGATTGTCATGGTGCCTTGCATTCTGAAGGGTGGGAGGGCGGGCCGAACCGCTCTTCGCGGCTCATCACGTGGTGCCACGTGAGTCGGCGAACTGGCGAGGTGGACGCAACGTTGATTCCGCATATCAAATCCGTCTACTCTCAAAGTCGTACATGTGTGCGACCTGCCGTTTAGTGTCTTTCTGCAGGGAAGAACTGAGTTAGGAGGTATCGTCGATCTTTCTGCTCTGTCGCCAGACGAGGTTGTCGGGTGAGGTTGCACAATTGCGAGAGCTGTGGGCATGAAAGGGCGTATACGCTTCAGTTTCAACCTCAGTCATACAGAGGAGTGCCTACTGGGCATAGGGCTAGTTACCTACATGCAAGATGCCAAGATGCCAGCATCCCCCCTCCCAGCTGCTGATTCTCAACACTGAAGGGTGATCACTTGCCAGACCTTGGTCGCTTCACGGAAACACAGTACGTCCTCCACTCGCATACGTATCAGGATGCCGTCCATGGACTGCCTCGGACAGGGAACGCGACGCGACCAACCAGCCTGCCCAGCGCGCCTCTGTTGCAAGACTCCAGCTCCTATGGAGCTTTGGACTCTCCACAAACGTCAAAGGCCGGCCCTCTTAGGTGTTCGTCGCAATCCTGTCTTCCGAAATGCTGTCTTAGCAGTATAGCGTGTCTGTCTCATTGTGGGAGAACCATCAAAGTCTAGTGGCGCTAGGGGAGAACCCTGAGGTGCAAAGAAGCGCTACGAGGATCTGATAGTAGTTGGGAGGTTGCGGGAAAAAGAGTGGGAAGGCTGAGAGTTGTCATCCGCTTCAAAGTGTCTTTGTCTTAGTCTGCTGCTCTGCTTGTCTGAGATTCGATGAAGGATATGGAAGTCTGAAGAGGTGCGTGGCCGTTGGAAGACTGGCGATGTGATCTTAATTGCTCCGAATGTAGTCAAAGGACGGCTCACGTAAGCTTTTGTTTCAATCACAAACACGATTCTCGACCAAGACTCTTGAAAACACGTCACTCTGCGAATCTCTCGAAAAGCGCATTCACTCTTAAACCCTCACCATGCAAGACGTTACCATCGCACGCAAGCGAACCTCCGGCGCAGCAGGTCTCGACCAAGGGCCAGCAACATTCAACGCGCACTAGGAAGCACTACTCGATGCGTTGTCCAGGGGGGATGGAGCCCTCCTAAAATGCATCATCGCCCTGGATAAGGAAGTCGAAGAGACGCGCCGGAACAGCATACTACTAAAGCATCCCATCGCGATACTGGAGCCAGCACTTATGGTGTTGATGTCTATGCCAGCGGAGGTGAAGAGAGGATTGCTGGAGGGAAATCTTCTATCAACACCGGGTATTTGGGACGTTCTACCTAAACAGACCCGCCCACCGTTCCCGCTCCCCCCACATGCTGGGCGTAAGCCCTTGGTCAAGACAGCCCCCAAGACCAGCGACAAGCGGCCGATTGTTTACGGCATCTTCCATGTAGACGGTAAAGGACTCCCACCACCCCCTTCCGCATATTCGCAGCTGCTCGACGCTCTTCAGCTCTACAAGGACTCCGCCTCTGAGGGCCTGTCCGCAGCCGACCACGACGCAGCTCAGAAGATCGCCGCTTATGTTGATGGGTGGAAGACTTGGAGCAAGGACAAGTGGCTGAACAGTGGGGAATGCGCTGCAGGAAGACGGCGATACCTTCCACGCGATAGTCACGTACGAGAGCTCGAACAGTGGATGGAACAGCTGAGGGCCAGGATCACTCGTGCGCCGAAGAACGAACCACTCCCATGGGCTTTGTGCCAGGTGGGATACACCTTCAAGCAGGAGGAGCGCGCAAACCACCACCACCAGCACTTCTCGTCCGTTCCGCTAATGAACTTGGTCGACGCAATCTCCCACTACTTGTTCGACCCTCATTTCACCATGCGGTTTGTCGTTCTGTACGAGATCTTTCACGAGCGGCAAGCAGCGCCTGCAGAGCACATCATCTCCCATCTTGGCCACGCGTACACCTGGGTCGGAGGGTTCAACGGATCATGCGGCGGGCAGATAAACAGCAGCATCGACCGCGTGGAGGGTTGGATATTCTCCCTGTTGGAACTCGAGGCGATCAAAAAGCCACACTTCCAAGCGGCGCTTGCGAAGGAGATTGCGGACATCCCAGAGCGAGCGGAGCAGGATGAGCCCCTGCGGGAAAGGGTTCGGAAGTTAGAGGAGTACGCCAGATTGTTGAAGGAAGATGCGGAACCCGAAAGGCAGATCGTGGAAGGGAAGAAGCGGAAAGCGGAGCTGGAAAGAACGGGTCAGCAGGAAGCCCCACCACGTATAGGAGAGGTGCAGGCACGCGACGAAGAGGTTCTAGAGCGACTGCGGGAGCTCGATAGAGTCGATACGTGGCTTGGGGAGCACGTGGGGGACATGGAGAGGCTGAGCGCTCTCCAGGGCGACATGCTCGGCTGAGGGTTAGCGCCGTGTTGTCCCGCCGAGAGAGAGAGACATCATATCTTGTACAATAGAATTAAGCAGATGATCATGGAACTATGAGATTGCGGCCGTGAAGTCATGATTTACTGCCAAAACTAAGTATGGGCCTGCAGAGAAGACCGAGTATTGCCTCCTCCGGCGGGACTCGCAGAGAAATTGCTGCCCGATGAAGCGGAATGCGAAAGTTACTTCCGGATAAAGAAGAACGATCGCGTCGGTCGAAGAGGTGTGCAGAAATTCATCCTGCTGCAAGAAAGAATCAAGAGTCGAGAAAAGCATGGAGAGATGGAAGCAAGAGTTGGATGAAAGCGAAAAGGAAAGAAAAGCAATGATAGATGACAACGTGCAAGGCTGGAGGGTGTTGTGAACTGTGTTCTCGCCGAGGCTCGGCGAAATAAACGGGCCGAGGGGTGTCACATGTGACGCGGGAGGCGGACCGTTCCGCGCTGCATGTACCCGACCGCAACACATCGGCACTGCATGATAGCGTAGACTTAGCCAGAACTTTCAATGCCTATTCCATCACCTACCTTTCTCTGGTGACTTTCCGAACACCTGTGTACACCCGACTGCTTAGGCAAAATATCCACTTTCGAGTCTTGACCGCGACGGCCGCCTGCGCTGAATCCTCAGGCATCTCGAACGGTGCTAGCACGCGTTCAGACCAGGTTGTTGCAAGCCGAAACCCACTTTGAGCGCTCGTAGCTCAATCCTAATCACCCATGCCCATGCCCATGCCCAACGAGATCGGCACTCTACGAGCGCTGCCAAGTGGTGAAAGCTTTTTCGTGGGGAGCTCATCCGGTGTCTTCTTCATCAATACCGTTCGACGGGCTTTCTCTCATGCCGCCGCAACCGCAAATCGTCACCGCACAACAACCGACGATTCCCGTGCCAACAGACGTCCTGTAAGCCTGCCACCACCCGAAGACTGCATTGTTGGGCCTGAGTCGCATGTGGACGACAACTGGTCAAGCGTGACAGGACCTTCGCCAGAGGGTAATCCAACACGGCCCAAAGCAACTGGCGACACGTCTTGGTTTCTGGACAAGATTGAGAACCTCGGAGAGCTGCCGGATCAAGCCGTCGCCAAAGAGCTCTTGATCACATATTTCCGGACATGGCACCCTCTTCTTCCATTTCTACACGGTCCGACCTGCTTAGAAGAGCTGGAAACACTATATGCCCGCGGACAAGCGACCAAGTCCAACTCGCTGAGCACTGCCATCATGTTTCAATGCCTATTCAATATTGCCAAGCTCGATCGGCCCGACTTACCTGCGCTGGGACAGTCACAGATTCGTTCCGGGGAGCAGTTGATGCTAGCATTGGGCATCGCCTCTCTCAAATGCGACTTGGGTTCTATACACGCGCTGCTGGCCGCTCAGTTGTACTTTGTCGCAACTATGGACCTACGCGCCGCGTCAACAACCGGTGGTTTGGTCTTACGGTCCATCTTCAAGTCAGGCCTACATCGTTGTCCCTTTCGGTACTCGCACCTCATGACCAGCGACCGCGATATGAGAAAACGAGTGTTTTGGAGTGCATATACCCTAGATCGCTATGTCAGTCAATCCTTAGGGCATCCTCTCGGCATCCAAGACTCGGATTTTGACGTTTGCCCACCGGGGAAAGGTGACCTTCACCAACCAGTGCGCCCCCTCAATGGCACGGATGAAGGCACATCCCCGAAGGAGTTCATCTTGCACTTACCAGCAAATCATCCAGGACGACAGAATACATCACCGCCGAACAGTTCCGCCAGCCTTCAAAACGAGAGCAGAGAAAGCTCAGTACATGTGGGTGAAGAAGAGCAGCAAGCCGAGTTGCAGGAGGCCAATACAGTCGGGGCGGAATTCGTCTCACAGCGGCGCCGAGAGAACCAATCCGTCCAAGCACAGTTTGTACGATATTCTCAGTTGGTAGGACGCATGGTAGAGATGTTTCACAAATCCATCCACGTCCGTTCTGCCAGTCGACAGAACATTCTCTTCTTGAAAGCCGACATAGACGCCTGGGGAAATGATCTGCCGTATCCCTCTACGACGCTTTTTGCGCAGGTCAATGATTCAGAACCGCAATCAGTCACGCTCAATCAAGACGTTTTCTTTTGGGTTGCTCGCCAGCAACTGCTGCTTCTTGTCAACAGACCGTCGCTCTCCTTGGAACCAACGTCGGGCGAGTTTCGTCATGCTGCGCAGATCTGCATTGGAGCAGCAAGATCGATCATCCGGACACTGAAATCGCACATCAACTCCGGAGGGGCCCTTTTCTGGCCTGGTTTCATGTCCGCTGTGTGGATGAGCGGCCTCGTTATGGCATTTGCCTGCCAGTTGAAGCTACACAGCATATCAAATGCGATCATGTAAGACCCCCACCACTCGCATACTCTAGATATATGAATTCATAATTCCAGTGACATCTCCGCTTCGCTCGAGATTCTGAAAGTCATGACCCAAAGGTGGCGCATGGCTCAAAATTGTCACGATGTCTTGTCGATGCTTCTCGAAAGCATCCAAAATCCAGCAGCACAACATTCGACGTCTGCTGGTGTACATACTCAGAGCTCCAGGAACATCCATTTACCTTTCCAAACACATGATCGAGGTGAAAAGCGACCGAGAGAAGATATTGCATCGGATCGCCTTTCTCCGGATAATCAAGGACTGGACAATAGCCAGCAGCGGAGAAGATTGTCAGGACATACACCGCAGCCGTTGGGATCTTTATCAATCACAGCTTCTGAAGAGCAAGTTCGATCAGGCCAGATTACTGGACTCAATAGATCACAAAGATCCGACCTGCGGGATGGTGCAGACCCCAGCCTTATTCAAAAGAGCGTCCAAGTCAATCCCTCCTCATCGACGCCAATGGATCCTTTCTTCCTATATCAACAAACAACTGAGAATCAAAATGGCAATTCGTTTCCGCTTTCATACCCTCATTCCGCTCAGAATGTACAACAGTTTGACATTACCGAGTCTTCGATACTCTCAAACTCACGCAGTACCGGATGGAATGTTCTACCAGATCTCACCCCGGACCTTGGCCCAACAGCATTTTATGACGTGTTTGATGGAGCAACTTGGGGTTCTCTCCTGGACCTTATGGAACACAGTGTATAAAACCTAGTCTCTAGAGATAGCGCAAATTCTGTACATTGACGAATCATTTGGCTCAAGACAGTCATCTTGCCGACTTTGCCTGTGCCGGTTCCCGCTCCTCTTAAAGTTTTCCACCCTTGACATGGGACTCGCCTTTAACGATGTTCCCTCTCAGCTCTTGAATTGCTTTCTTCAGCAAATCTTGCTCGTAGTCTGACAATGGGCCAACAGGCTGTGCTTTCGTTGCGCCGTCTGTCCCGAATTCGACGGGCACAGCGAAAAAGCTCACCCCAAGTGATTTTGAAATTTCTTCGCCTCCAGGGACGCCGGGAAGGAAGACATATGTCGGCTCAACAATTCCAGTTTCACCCCGGTATGCTTTCATGATTGCTTGTGCGAACCTAGGTCCCAGTTAGCGCATTTGTGAGGCAACGGGCGTTGATCTCGAATGTTCATACCGAAATCCAGCATAGGCCATGCACGTTGTGGCAGATCCAGCACCTGCCTTTGATTTGACAATTTCATCGCCGCCAAACTGGACACCTTCAGGAACTCAATTAGTGTCAAGCTAGATATTCGGGTAGTAGGATTCGTACGGTATGTTACAGCGTCGAGTTGCTCTTTTGTGAGCTGCACTGGTGGCTGGGACTGGCTTATGAGTGGTATTATAGTGGCCCCGGAATGGCCTCCAACAACCGGGATCTTGAATTTTTGTGGATCGAGTTCTCCAAGAGCATGTGCCGTGAATGTCGATGCCCGGACAACGTCAAGAGTAGTCACCCCAAACACACGACGAGGATTAAACACGCCGTGCTTCTTCAGAACTTCGACCGCGATGGGCACTGTACTGTTGACAGGGTTTGTGATAATGCAGATGAACGCTTCCGGGCAGAGTTGAGCCACTTCGGAGAGCAGGTCTGCGATTACGTTGGCATTGGTAGTGAACAAATCTGTAAAGAATTCAGCAGCCGAGGCGCAGAGCGTCTAGGGCGCGGAAGATACCATCACGCGTCATTCCCGGTTTGCGAGCAACGCCTGCCACAATCAGTTCGAGCCTGTGACCTTAAGACTATTGCTGCCGACCTGCCGGAATCATAACTAACTCCGCGCCTGACAAAGCTTTCTCAAGACCGTTGTCATTGGGCAAGTACCCGCTAACCTTGGCAGGTGTGTCGATATGATCCAAATCTGTCGCAACACCTACGGAGTGGACGACATCGTAGAGTCTTAATTCTGTTACGAGAGGGCTCTGCAATACCAAGGAATTAGTATTGAACAATTACTTTTTCTGTCCGCAATGGTTATCCACGTACTGATTTCAATAACAAACTCAGAGGCTGGCCAATTTGGCCAGAGGCACCCAATACTGATACTTTCACCATGTCGACAGTGGATCGAAACCCTATTGAATGAGAATTGGTTTGGTCAAGGAGTCTGCGGATATGAGGTTTAATAGTGTCTCATGTTTCAGCATACTCGCCCGCCGAATCCGGAATCCAATCCGCGTTGGCAGCACTAAGAAGCGATACGCCGATGATTCGGCTTGCAAAATAGCCGTTTAGTAACCCCTCGAATAGTGACTTAACCGTTAGTCTTGCTCCCAAGGCCCGGCAAAAGTGGCTCGCGGCTAAACCTTAGCCGAACCCTGCCTTGCTCGAGGGTTCCAGGCTTCCGATCATCTTGAGTTGTATGCACGGCAAAAATATCACCCGCGCGTGTCCTTCAGGCTATCTTTTGTTCAGGAATGCTTGGAGCGAGGTGGGCCCAGTGAAACCTCTCCTGGCCGACGGTACTAAGCTTCTGTCCAATGGAGACTGTGGACAATAACCGGGGTTTCGTCAATGATCCGCCCCGTTCCTAAGATCACTTTCTTGCTTGCGGACTATCACTGGTTGTATAAAGAGACGTTCATAGACCACCATCCGTTGTTGAGCTCAATCACCTTGCGAATTTTCACCACATTACCTCATGGCTGTGACACCCAAATCTCACTACCGCATTGCGTCGATTCCCGCCGATGGCATCGGACAGGAAGTTATCGGTGCCGCGATCGAAGTAGTCAATGCATTGGCCAAAACTCTCCAAACGTTTACAATCGAGTTTGAGCATTTACCATGGGGGACCTCGTACTACAAGGGGCATGGCCGTTACATACCGGAAGGCGCGCTAGATACGTTGCGCTCTTTCGACGCCGGCCTTTTCGGATCCGTTGGAGCTCCTGGTAAGCCATAAGAGCCAACAAGAACAATATTACCTTCTGGACTTTGCTAACGCCCGTCGTCGTAGACGTCCCGGACCACATCTCTTTATGGGGCCTCTTGCTAGCCATCCGCGGACCTCTCCAGCTGTACGCCAACGTACGGCCAGTGCGAACCTTCCCTGGGACCCACTCACCTCTCAAGACAATCGACGAAAGAGGCGTTGACTGGATGATCATCCGCGAGAACTCAGAGGGAGAATACGCGGGCCAGGGCGGAAGATCACACCTGGGTCAAGCTTGGGAGACAGCAACAGAGGTGGCCATCTTCACCAGGATCGGCATTGAGCGTATCATGCGCTTTGCGTTTGAAACCGCTCAGTCTAGACCTGCCAAGCGACTCACTGTTGTGACCAAGTCCAATTCGATGCGCAACGGTATGGTTCTATGGGACGAGGTGGCACTCGAGGTATCCAAGGACTTTCCCGACGTCCAGTGGGACAAGATGCTGGTCGATGCGATGACGGTGCGGATGATCGCCAAACCATACTCAATCGACACCATTGTTGGGACGAACCTGCACATGGATATTATCTCAGACATGGCGGCGGCTCTTGCAGGGTCCATCGGCATCGCTCCGTCCAGCAATCTCGATCCGACGCGGAAGAATCCTAGTCTATTTGAGCCGGTCCATGGCTCGGCGTTCGATATCACCGGAAAGGGTGTTGCTAATCCGATAGCTGCTATCTGGTCAGCGGCTGAGATGTTGCGGTGGCTTAGAGCCTCGGAGGCTGCGGACAAGCTTATGGCGTCGATTGAGAGAGTTTGCCAAAGTGGTACTCTTACGCCCGATTTGGGAGGGAATGCCACTACTACGGACGTTGTGGATGCTATCATCAATGACATTTATCAATTTTATAGACTTCCGGATTAGATTTCTTATCACATCTACTTGCAATTTTACTGCTCTGGCTCTCTCTCTCCTGACCTTCGGTCTGGGCTTCTTAGTGAGAGCTTGGCGGCCTTGTGCGGAGTGGGTACTTAGCCGCGGCAGAGAATTCTGCCGCTGTCCCAACCATAGAAACCAAATACAACCCCACATGCGGTCCACAGGCCTCATAGGAGTCGGCATCATTCCGAGGCTGATCTGGTACCGTCAATCGAAGCCTGAAGCCGCCGTGTATAGCTTCTTCACACTGTTGAGCAATTCCTCAAGGAGATTGGCCACGCGACGGCGATGCGCCCCAGTTTATTGCCGAATCCTCTCTCGACCACCCATTCCCAAGATACAGCATTGACGGACGAGAGACTGCCAATTGGAGTATAGTCCCCAATGGCCGGCGAATATTCGGGAAGAAGTACCCGAATTAGCGTTGCTTGTATCGCCTGTCGTGCGAAGAAACACCGAGTATGTTCTCATGCTCAAGCCTTCGATGGTGGCTTCATTTGCTAAACTGATTGAGTTCAGTGCAGTGGAGAGAAGTAAGGCAATCATTCTATCTGGAGTGAAGCATATGAATCTGTGATGGGATTCTCGTTCTGACGAATCGTCCCCTTAGGCCTCGATGTGCCCAATGTAAATCAAACAAGGTTCCCTGTGAATGGCCTACCCAACAAAAGCGGTAAGTCGAGTACGATGTTCCTCCACCTGATAGGTGGACGCTAACTACGAAGGGGCCCGCCAAAACAATATGTTCATAGCTTGGAAGCACGTCTCTCGGAAACCGAAAACGTCCTCCTCTCGCTGCTGTCTCAGATCTCCGCCGAGCAGCTTCATGCTAGCTTTCGGCAGATGCCGCTGGCAGCAAGCTATAATAAAACTCCGTCGGATTGCCAGGCAGAAAACGACTCGGAAAGTCCGTCTATCGTCTGGAGGGACATGCTCAGGCCTTCGTACTGGAACTCGTTCCCTCTAGACTCCGCCGAGAATGTTCGACATTGGTGGGAACATAGAGTCTCGTTAGTGCACGGAATGTCTTTCGGACAGCTTCCTGCTGGCGCAGGCACAGTCCCCGCCCCGGAAAACGTACCGGAGTTGAATCAAGCTACGGAGACGTCCTCCTTCCACGACAGTGGAGATGAAGGCCCAGCATTATTCCTTGCCACAGATCTGGGGACCCGAGCTGTCGAAAGTAGGGCTCTGAGCGGGGATCTACCACTCTCATCTGGAGCGGAATATGCCACTGAAAGCTCTCTTGATGCTGAAACGCGGCCATCTGCACAGTCTGACGGGGATAGGGGGATCTGTCTCCAAAGGATGGAGAGTGACACCAACCGTGCTCAGTACGCCTCACATGTTCCGAGTGTGGATGCTGAAGGTGTTTTAAAGTTGTCGAGCCAGTTCAAGCTAGATTATATATGGTAGATAACTTGACTACTCTAGCGATCGAATTCGTACCACCCTACATGTACCTTATAATCATACAGTGGGCCAGACTTTGCCCACTTACGATGCTCTTACCACGGTGACTGGGATCTTTACCTCGCGCAGATCAGTCCCTTTACCCATTCCGTACAGAGTTTTGCCAATTCCGGAGAAATCACTTTCATACTCAATATTCACAGGAGATGAAGGGTTCATGAGTGCTGGTTCCTGAGGCGTCAAGAAGCCGAAGTTGCATTCAAATACCTGTCTGACTATATCTACTTAGCGCGAGGTAGATGTTCTGGAACTATGCTCAGGAGTTCCTCGCCACACACAGCCCTTCTGGCATTCTCCATTGCATGAGCCTCCATATTTGCCAACGTTTCTACCGTATGTGTCCCCAAATGAGGCACCAGCAACGCCCGTTCATTCTTGATCAGTCGTTCGTCAATCAAAGGCTCCTTTTCGTACACATCCAATCCTACGGCCGCAATGTGTCCGTCATCCAATGCCTTTGCCATGGCCGCTTCGTCTATAATTGCGCCGCGGGCAGTGTTTACAATGACGACTCCTGGCTTCATCTTCTCAATCTCTGCCCGGCCGATGAGATGTCTTGTCGCCGCAGACAGCGGTGTGTGGATTGAAATAATGTCGCTCTCCGCAAGTAGTTGATCAAAGGAAACGTAGGGGCAGCCTAAGGCTAAATCCTCCGGCAGCGGGTTCCGATTATGGTATATGACTTTGAGGCCAAAAGGCTCCGCTCTGAGCTTGACGGCGCGACCAATTCTTCCCATACCAAGAATGCCTAGCGTCTTACCCTGGGGATCATGACCAAAGTCAACTCCCTTCTTGAACTGCCCTTGCCGCAAATTGTTGAAGGATGGGTTCAATTGACGTAAAGCACCGAGCAGGAGGAAGAGAGTGAGGTCCGCTGTAGCGTTTGTGACCTGTTCCGGAGCATATGTGACAACGATATTGCGAGCGGCGCAGGCGTCCACGTCGATCTGGTCATAGCCGGCTCCGTTGTGGCAGATGAATTTCAATGAGGGGGGTAGACGATCGATAAATTCTTTGTCAAAGTTCCCGGCGACCTATTTATCTGTCAGATCGCATTGCATTTCCTTCCTCTAGCTGACTTACCGCTCCGCTTGCAGATGTTCGATAGATAGCTTGAATGTTGCTATACTTCTTTTTGATATCGAAGAAGAATTCCTGGCGCGAGGTACTTGTAACCACTTCGGTTGAAGCTACACTTTGTAGTGCCTCGTATGCTTGTCGGGCATGGCGAACGGGATTAAAGAACAAGATACGGGGTCTTGCGATAGTCATCTTGTCGAAAATTCAAATGTATGTAGTTTCGAATGCCTTGGCCTGTTAAGTCAATAGGTTGTTAGTATGGGATTCAACTCATTAAGTAACGTTTCTCGATCCCGCTAGGATTATCAGGTTGTCGGCTCGTGCTATTGCAATTTGCCGGTAGATATTTTAGGCGGATTAGTTAACTCCGGAGTGCCAGCTCTCCAAAATGCGGCAGATATATTATCCGCTCACGGGCCAGGATTATCTAAATCAGCATGCTAAGGGGTTCAGGACATAGGAAGTGCCAAAGTTCCGTGTTTGGTGGACCGCTTCGACAAACGCCTTATGGACATGATCCGGCGGATGAGGGTAAGGCGAGGCATAAGACACAGAAGTGGATGAAGGAGCGCCTATAAAGGTTGGGAAGAACCAGGGTTTGTGCAGAAATCAATTCTTGTAGTAGCAGCGATTGCAGCGGAGCGGTTAAGTGCATCACTTTCTCTGCGTCAAAAGACTGGTAGCGCGTTCATCAACGCGTGAGTTGCCCACGTGACCACCAACGAAACGCAACCGCGGTCTCCATTGTCTCTATTGCCTCCAGTGTCTTGTCTCCAGTGTCTTCAGTATCTCGTAGCAACTCTGCAGCAACATTCAACCGTATTCTCAAGAAACAACGCGTCTTGACCTCAATATGAGTGATATCATCATGGGAGAGAGCACCACCGCCGGTCCCGCAACATTTAATCCACAGCAGGAGACGTTGCTCCGCGCGTTGCCCGATGGCGACAGGGCGCTCATGAAGGCCCTTATGGCGATTGATCAGCTGCAAGACGAGACGCATCGCAAGAGTCCACTGCTAAAGTTCCCCAAATTGACGCACGAGGCGGGCTTGACTGTACTGATGGCGATGCCGTACGAGGTGAAAAGCGGCCTTCTGCAGGGCAATCTACTCTCCACGCCTGGTATAGAGGACCTTCTTCCAGATCAAGATCGACCGCCGTTCCCGCTCCCTTCTCACGCTGAGCGGATTGCAGAGCTGGAATCAGCGGATCGGCAGCGGCTCTCCCATTGTCAAGAGCAGCACGCGCGAGATAAGGAAGGCTTACGGAGACTACGCGAGCTCGATGCCCGGCTTGGAGAGTACCTGGAGGACATGCAGAAGTTGAACGCTCTTCGGCGCAATTCATCTGGCCGAGGGCAAGATTACGGGGCTGCTTCTTGCAGGACTGGAAGGGAGACACTTGGTTTTTAGGTAGCATGAAAGCAGATATGTCTGGAACTCTGAGTTGATGGCCGTGAAATCGTTTCAATTCTGCTATTCCAAGAAAGAGAGCATCCCAAACCCAAGAAGAACCAGCAACCTAGACCCAGGCAGTCCCTAGCCGAGAAGAGAAAACCCGTGAAACCGGATAGGACTAGGTGGCATTCTAGATGAATAGCTGCAGCGAACGCAATGACGAGCGTGTCGAAGGCAGCTCTGAGTGATTGTGGCGGCGCCAGAGCAACAGAGTCCCGGGTGGACATTCTCTTTTCGGTGGCTTCCGTTCCAACGTTGGTGAAGATTGAGCGGAGCACCTTGCAGCGGAAGACCTCCGAAGACTGGAGAGCATGCGCCGCCAAGGAAAGAAGGGGAAGCCCTCAGTTCACCAAAGTCGGGAAGGTTGCGCGACGGAAAGATCTCGGGATGGAACTCGAGGGTAGTGCATTGAAGATACAGTAACAGTTGCAATCTTCTGTTGATTGGCTTGGTGTCTCTACTGAAAGTCCGGAGCTATGCCGGTCTCAACGTGCAACCTGTTCGGCAGATCCAGTCTGAGGGTGATCATGAAGTATTGGAAGTCCTCGTCTGGTAAGAGCTTTGTCGACTTGTGTGGTAAGTTGTGTCTCTGTACCAGAATCGATAGCGAGATGCCTGGCAAGTTCCTACATCCCTTGAATGCGTGGTATTGCAGCGCCATTTCGGCCATCTAGATGAGCGTCCGCTCCGGAGTTTCTCCAGCTCCGCGGTGAGGGTCTTGATATCTTAGCATCGGTGGATGTGGGCCGTAGCTTGACCGTGGCATGCATTGCTCTTAAGTAGTTGTTGAAGTTGTAAACCCGCCACTTCTCCATAAGCCTCTTCCTTTTCAAAGAGACTCTCTCCGCTGGCTGATACACGGTATAGAAATTAACGGTGTGGTCCAGCGGGTGCCATATGCGCACCACAGATATCTCGGCGTTCTCTGGCCATTGGTCATGAAGACTTCCTCTTGTTGCTCATTCGAAGCCGTAGTGAGATCCTGTTGGATTAAGCAACGCACCTGCTAGCGCCTCCTCGAAGCCTAGTGACTTCTCCGCTCAGATTTTGAGTCAAGCTCCCCCCGACTGCATTGCAATTCTCGATGCGTTGATCCCGTACATGAGATCTTGGCCAAGCGCTACGATCCAAATGTTTCCTTCAGGTCGCATGTCCCGCCGCGTTCGGAGTCAGACTTAGCAGTCGTGTGGGTGAATTGGAAAGATTGCTGAGAAAGCTCTGGAACAGACTCTGAGTTCGGAACTGAAGCAGTATAGACGGATAGGTTGCAATACAAGACTTGGGGTTATCAAGCGGCAGATTTGAAGGACCATTACATCTTACCTATCAAGGACTCGGAAAATGCACTCGGACGGGACATACTGCTTGCACAGGAGGCTGGATTGCTGGAAGATCTGCAAACAGCCTCAAGAATGCGGACTGAACAAGCTCACCAGCACGACTGACTTCATGGGGCAGCACAACCCACCGGTAAAGACTTCTTAAGAGAAGCTTCAGATCGCGGGCATGGCGGGACTACAGCTGGAACGTGTATTGTCCTGCGATGTTCACAGCAATCCGGATGCGCATTGACGGCCAGGGGCTGGAAGCCCTGGATGCGGACGGCGGCGGGCTCAAATGGGCAGCAGAATGGCGTGGCATGGTTCGCGGCGCAGACTTTCGGGCTATTCCATCAGGCAAGGTATACGGGGGGCGGGGGGCGGAGGGGTTTATATGCAGCGTCTGCAGGAGGGCTAGTGAATTTGGATGTGAAATCAGGGAAGGCGCTGGGCATCCTTTGAGACGTGGTCGCCATGATATATATACACCCTATGAGTGCGCGAACGCCTTCCGGCGTCTTGTCTCCATGGTGGCCAGGCGAGGCTATTGTTGTCTCCAAGTCGTCAAGGAGGCCCACTCCATCAAACGGGATGTCCCTTTCAGGCGCCCTCTCGAGTCTGTGGTCGGTTATGCCTTCGATATCGCTCCAACGACGATTGGTGGCTTCAGCCAGTCGTGAGACCGATACGTTGCCGGTACATCTGGCGCCGGTGGTTTTGAGCAATGCGGCGGTTCGGGCGAGTAGATAGGGTTGCGGAAGGAGTGGCGGAGGGACTGGTGGGAAGGTTGGGGGGAGGGTTGGCACAGCTAGAACGGTTCCCAGTCATGATCGTTGCTACATCATGAATCGCAGCATCAACGCGTTAATTTTTCAATCTTGCTATCATTTGACATAGCAATTATCTTCACATACCAGGGTGCCGTGCAAAGTGCAATTGCTCCATTTTCAGACGCGCCAGCGGGTAGTCTGCAGTTCGGCAGCAAGTATTCCCCTCCCTCTTCAATCCAAGGGCGGAGTGGTTCGTAGCTCAGCGGCAAGTATTCCTCTTCATCTCTGACGCGCCAGCGTCTAGCTTGTAGCTCACCGACGCATGTTCGTCTCCCTCTCTAACACGTCAGCAGAGTGGTAGCAGTTCAGCGCGGATAATCGAGGAGATTTAGATGATGCTAGATTGTTGCTACTTGTACAGATGAGGACAAGCCGCGCACTTACGATGAGCTGCGTCCAAGGCGGAAGGGTGTTATGAGCTGTGTTCTTGCCCAAGGCTCGGCGAAACTAACGGGCCGAGGTGCTTCACACGTGAGGCGGGAAACGGACCGTTCCGTGCTGCATGAATGCCTAAATTCAGCAATGGAGGAAGCGGGGGTCGCGCTAGCTAACTCACGTATGTCAGGCGAAGGTGTAGACTGAGGATCAGGCGGCCAAGGGCAGCCGCACGGAAGGATGCCTATGAGCAGGTTCACTGATACCGTCTCCGTCGTCACGGGCGGTGTTTCCGGCATCGGCGCCGCAATCACTCGCCGCCTCGTGGCGGAGGGCGGCCGCGTAGTCGTTGCCGACATCAACAAGGAGGCCATCGCCTCCACCGCCGAGACCTTCGGCGAGAACGTCGTCGGTCGTTACGCCGACATGACAGACGAAGCGTCAGTCGCCGCGGTCGTCGCCGAGGCCGTAGATCGCTTCGGCCAGCTTGATGCATTCTTCAACGTTGCCGGCGGTGCGCGTCCCGGCCGTCTCGTCGACATGTCACTCGACCACTGGCGCTTCAATATCGCGCTCAATCTGGACAGCGCGTTCCTCGGCACGAAGTACGCTGCGGCCCGCTTCCTCGAGCAGGGCGGTGGAGGCGTGATCATCAACGTCGCCTCGCTCAACTCGCTCATGCCGATGCACCAGGGCGCCGGCTACTCGACCGCGAAGGCCGGCGTCGTCATGCTCACGAAGCAGGCAGCCCTTGAGCTCGGCGGGCATGGAATCCGAGTCAACGCCGTCTCGCCGGGCCTCGTCGCGACACCCCTCACGAAGCAGCTGACAGATGTGCCCGCTATCGAAGCCGCCTACCTTGAGCGCATCCCGGCCGGCCGACTGGCTGCCCCGGAGGAGATTGCCGCGGCATGCCTCTTCCTCGCCTCTTCGGACGCTTCCTACGTGAACGGCGAGAATCTCGTCGTCGATGGCGCCTGGGCAACGACCGGCTACCCCGATCTGCGCCCATTCTTGGGTTAAGATGAGAGCAGATCGAGAGGAGGTTATCGACCCTCAGGTCCTCCATCGCTTCTGCGGCAGGCTTTGAGGCTCGCGCCGGTGGGCGGTGGCGGTCGAGAGTAGGTTCTGTGCATCCTATCTCTGCGGATACGGCAGGAGGCTAGGGATAAACCGGCGGAATGACATTTTCAGCTCAAAGCTCCGCCGCTTCAAGTGTATGCTTGACCTACGTGCTCCGACCCGAAGCAATCTCATACCCAACCCTACATCAGCCCAGGGCTCGGAGGCTCCAGTCCCACGTCACCTGGGTACAAGACCTTCAGCAGCAATGCCCCTGAGCCGACACTTCACCTCCGCAACTCGAATGCTTCAGCCGAACCGCGCGGATGCTACAGCCCAACGTGGTCATTCAAATCCTCCTGCCGACCTCGGCCAATATTATGTGGGTTGAATCTTCGTGCCAACGACTCGGAGGCTTCAGCCCAGCGCCGTGATCCAGATACTCCCTCCAAATCCAGGCGCGGCACTCGATCAAAACATCAATCTCAGCAGCACCGTCAAGACAGTGGCACGGCGCCTCTTCTGTCACGCCGAAGGAACCGCCTACACACGGAGCGGAGGGAGACTAGGCGTGGCGCTGAATCAAGGTGGAGTGTCTCCAGACAAGAGTTCACGGGAGCAGCGGCCACCGGAGACGAGTACGGAGACTGCGAGACTTGTAGAGAGATGAAGAGAAGCGCTGCGTCAGCCAGAACCGATAGTGACAAAATACTTCGAAGGGAATCGTCAGATGCGAGGTTGCTCATACGATGATGGAGGATGCTGGAAGAAGCGTGGTGGGAGGCTGGGGCTGCGGTTTCTCGTAGCAGGTAAACACCCCTCTAATTCCTTACTCTCCGGCGTGCGCGAGAAGTGACGAGAAGATGCTGCATGTGAGCTGGTGAAGCTGGGTGAAGACTATCCGTGCATTGACAAACGACGCCTAAAAAGCAACAAATCTTCTTCACAAACAAGAACTAACGCACCTTCAAAAAGCGCACTTCTCGTCTCTCGCATACTCAGCTTCTCGACATCACGTCGCATCTTTCCACTCTCAGCCGCACACCGATCAGTCAGTGGAATGGAAAATTCCGGAGGTTCTCGGCCTCGCCCGCTGCCGCCATCGGAACAAGAGGAGAGTATCGAGCTCGAATTGGACGAGGAATCCGACGAGAAAACCAGCGAACTCAAGGAGTGTGGACTGGGATACTTTGTTCCCAACAGGCGAAGCTGATCCGGAGACGCTCACTCTATCCACCGTAACCTACTACGAGGCATTCGATGACATCGATCCTCAAGGCGACGAATATCTCGAAGCAGCCAAGGAAGGCCCAGAGTCCCTGCTGAGCCTGGCGCCCAAGGAAGACAAAGCGTCGAAAATATTGGGTGGCGCACTGAAGGAGGAGGTTCTACGTACCAGCAAGCACATTGTATTCGCCATGGAGCCGTTCGTGTTGAAGGCGCTCTTGGAGGGGAACATCGCCCGCCAGTATCGGAGCAACGCGGAAGTTCGCAATGCGCTTGACACGCTCTGTGCCTGGGCCCGTCGAGTCACCCAATCATCCATCTGTGTACAAACGCTTGTCGACAAAGACGGGTTCTCCTCTACGCCGGCGGAGCTGTTCAAGGTTGTCTGGCAGCTTCGAAACCACTGTGACTTGGAGGAAGGTTAAAAAGGTGGTGCCAGCGCCATCGACCGCATTCAAATGCCTTCTTGGTCGTACGACTTGACCGAACAAGGGTTGCGCAAGTACCTCGGCGAGAAGCCGGAGTATCGAGTCATACCCAAGCGGCTGAAGCACCTCGAGGTGTTCTGCACGGAATTGGAGAAGCGCTTGCAATACGCACCGAAGAATCAGCCTCTAGCACAGCCGCTGATGGAGGTCGGCTACTCAAAAGACTCCGAGAAGCGTCTGTTCGATCATTCGAACCATACGTCGTCGAAATGGCTCACGAACCTACGCACTCCATTCTCCATCTTCTTTGTCCCGACAAATCCCTTCTGAACCAGCTCGTGGTGTTCTTCATCTTCCAATCTAAAATAGCCGCTCTTGCTGAAATCCTCACCACCCACTTCGCCCACGGCTACACGTTTGACGGTAGAGGTTTCTCCACGTATCGTGCGGGCCGCAGTGTGAGGAGCGCATACAAATCACGCCGGATGACTGGGAAGACTTCCTCAAACACACACTGGACCATAGCGCTCCGGAGAGGAACTACGATGCATATTCTGCCAGGCGCCATGCGGAAGCGGGACAGGTCCGGCGTCTGGAGGAGACCCACTGCAGAATCGTGTTGATGGAGCGATACTGGGCGGTCCAGGCCTGTCTACACAGGGTTGAGGAGAAGGATGCTATCCTGGACGCAGCCGACGCGGCGAGGGCGAATATTATCCTCGACTGCGGCAAGGTCCTTAGGGCCGCCGCAAAGCGCATCATCAGAACTGTGGGCGCTGAGCTACTGATTGAGGACGCGGAGTTGCTCCTGGAGGGATATCGCGCGTTGGAGGAAGGCCGGTGGGAAGAGTATGCGAAGAAGACAGAAGCTCAGTGGGCAGAGATCCAGCGCCTGATCGACGACCACTGGGCGGAATGCCTGCAGAAGGAAGAACAGGCGAAGGCAAAGGCTCAATCGGAGACTCGCGCAGGGGCAAGCGGTTCGCGGACATCGGAAGAGGGCCTGCAGCTCGAAGCCCAGGACTCGGCAGCCCAGCATATGGAAGGTCAGCCGGAGGTCCAGCCGGAGGTCCAGCCGGAGGTCCAGCAGGAAGTCTCAAGGACAATGGATGATGATTGAGGCGCGATCTTGATGAAGACGGGTTTTCGTGTACATGATACTCAATACACCCATTCCTTCTCATTAGGGGGGATAGAAGCGCAGTCATAATAGAGTGGAATTCTCTACGAATGAGGGAGCATTTATTGGGGAATCGGCGCTTGCTTGACCACCCTCCAATACCATGAAGAGACACTAACACACGATTCACATGATTTACATCTGGAACCTCCGTTGATTGAAGATGTATCTGATGAGCCAATCCAACTCCATAAGCATCGAAATACTGTGTTGAGAGGCGTTATGGTCGCGCGCCGTCAAGTGGCCGCTTCCTCCTAAAATATCTCTTCCTTGGTATGGTACACATATGACATAGCCCGTATCTAGATTGGTGACGCCTTTCCATTTGAACGGTAAAGTAGCGCAGTCCGACGGCTTCAGCCCGAATCCAACCGTATCCTAGAGTTATGCAAGACCGGCGAAACGCTACTCTTGTGTCTTACGCGGCGTGGCTGAGCGGCGCGTCCGTCCTCCGTAATACCGGACTGTCTCGTGCGCTGATCAAGCGACGTGATGGAACGGAGACGTTCTTCGGTACGGGTATGAAGGGGGACATGTGTTCTGCGATGGATGGAAGGTAGCGCACATTAGTCGGTGGTGGCAAAGGCATCTCTAGAAGTTGCGGCCAGCTGAGAACACCATCCTTTCGGCCTAGATTCACAGGCGCAGGCGGCCATAACGACTGCCCACATAGATTGACGGGACACCACACTCGAGCCCAATGATCGCGAGATGTTCCAGTGGACGTGGTGGCGGTGCTGGTTGGGTTGAGCTCTCTTCGTCGTCATCGGAGTTGAGGCTATCGCCGTCTTCCTGTTCGGGCGCGGCTGCACCATGCCGCATCACCACGGCCACTGTTTCAGTTCCTTTGACTGTCACAGGTAAGGGGCTTTAACGGACGAGAGGTTGTGCGGCTGGGACGGTGAGCTTGGATGACGCAGACGCGGATCCAGATGAGAAAGAGATGAGAAAGAGATGAGATGTAGAGATCCGCCTTCGGAAGAGACTAGGGTCCCACGGTTCCCCTAAAGACCGGGCAACAATGAACCGAATGAGGTTTCTTCTCCAGTCTCGCCGTTGAATAGGCGGGTTTCCGCCGTAGGTGGTCCGCATTCTATCAAGCCATGGGAATCTACCTGATCTTCGCTTTAAGATTGTCGTAGTACTGGCGTATCTTCTCCTCGAGACCTCTTTAGCTCCTGCTACCAGCGTCTCCACACCATCGTCGCCTTCCGCGCTCTTCCCGCCTTCTGTGCCCTGGACACCCTGCTGAGCTGTAGGCCGAGAGCCTGGTCTGCCGGCCATGTCCTTAGATCCTCTGAAGGTGTTTGTTATCCGTTGTGGCGAGGGTACTGTTTGGTAGATGCAAGATTGCTGCTGCTCGGAAAGCGAATTTGAAGGATGAGAGCCAGTGATGATGCTGCGCAGTACCAGGCTCGAGACGCGGCAGCTTCCGATGTTCGGAGATTGGGCGTGGACGCGGAGGGCGGACACGGAGGGTGGAGTTTAAGCTTACAGGGTGAGCTCGGAGGCTAAGGGGAGACTCGAGGAAGGTCGCCGCTCGAGGTGGCCAAGCGGCCGTCGAACGCCTTCCAGACGGTCCGCTAGGGTAAGGGAGCACCAGCCAACAGACGGACGGCATTAAGGCGCACCAGCGGGCTGGTATAGGTCAAGAAGCCATCCGAAGAATGTTAGTGAAGTTTTTAGCAGCATTTTCACAGATGACAGATGGACTTTGCCTATTAATGCCTCGCGATATGTCTACCATGCTGCTGGTTGATAACCGATTGACATCAATGTCGGCACTTCAAGCCTGTTGCGGGCTTGTCGCTTCCTAGGGCCGAGGTTGACGCGGTTGACTCCCGATTCATGTTGCTCGTACCAGGTGTGAAGTCAGTCATCCAATCTCGTTGTTGCGGTGAGCCGCCTGGGCGGAGAATCGAATCCATGGATGGAAGCCGGTTGAGGGCAGCCGAGAGACGAGCTGATGGGCAAGACAACGTGCGGGACACGGAACTGGTTCTTGCCGCAGGTCTGGTCCTGAGGAGGCCGATATCGCTAGTGAACGATGGGCATCAGAAGAGAAACGACATGGAGCGGCACCAGGAGGGCGGACAGGACGAGGACGGCGGCCAAGAGCGTTAGCAAGCTTGATGACGATCGTGGATACCACGGAGCTGAATTGGATTAGGCCCAGGGCCGGTATAAGGTAATGAGACACCAGAACAACGCGAACAAGAAGTCCAATTGGTCAGGTTAAAGGCTTGAGGTGATTGAGAAGTAGAGTGAAGCCGAATACACGAGCGGAGATGATTGCGCTCGACGAACAGGGAAAATGTGGTGGCGCTGTTTGATACACATCCACCAATAGCCAAGGAGACGTAAAAACCGCTGAAGAAGTCAAAAGCGCCCCGGACGTCATCGCCGGAGAGTATGTATGTTCCGAATCCGAGCAAGAGTCTAGCGCCCTCGCTATGCTTAGCAAGCATAGCACTGAGGCAGTGGGAATTACGCATCAAAGTGAGGCACAATGAGCTTTGATAACAGAGAAAGTCTATTGCCCTACAAGTACCGCTGGACTCAAGAGTACATTCGGAGTGCCGAGAGATGAGATGACAACAAGAAAGCGTGACTCACGAGCTTGGCCAGTCTTGACTCAATGGCCAACTTGGTTCAGGGCTCCTGAACCTATCCAAAGCTCACGCGGATGACGACGCCAGCGCAACCGCTTGTGTCACAGAACAATCGCATCTGCCTGATGTGTCCGTTCATGAGCTTATCCCAACTGCGCAATCACAGGCACTCGTATAGGTAATCCCGAACGTAGCCAAGATGCGCGTTACGGGGAATCTTAAGAAGAGAAGCGCTTGCGAGGTTACGAGATGCGTTCATGACTCGACGCCTCCAGGCAGCGCCTCTCGGCCTTGGACGGCGCCCGCGGCATCCACGGCGTCCGCTACGATCCTTATAACCAGCCGCGACTTCAAATCCATGAACGCGATGAGCGTCGGAATTCGGGGACATCTTTCTTCTAGAGAAACAACATACCAAGTGGGATGGCAAAACGTGCGGAGACGACACCAGTTCGCAGCGAAAGCGACAATGACTCGGGTGGCCAACAACAGTCCGAGCAGAAAGAAGGCGGAGGAGGATTAAAGAGTTATTTTGTCAGTCTCGATCTCGCCGTGCAATGCAGCAGCTAACAACTCCAACAGCGTGTGTTCAAGTATGCCGATGGATTGAGCTGGACTCTGAACAGCGGAGCCTTTCTTGCGGCGATAGCGGCCGGGACGCTGCTCCCATTGATGGATTTGATATTTGGCAAATTCGTCACCACATTCACAAACTTTGCCATTGGAACTCTTAACCCTGCAGCCTTTCGTTCAGAAATCAATAAGTTTACGTGAGTCCCTAACTTCTACTGCAATCGGGGCCGCACAACTGACTCGCGATAGCCTGTACTTTATATATCTGTTCGTTGCAAAGTTCTCCCTCACCTACATTCATACAGTATGCCCTTCAATTGACTATCACCTCCGCTTCTGACCTTTGCATAGGTTGCGATCTCGGTCTCCGCCATTCGAACAACCAAAGCTCTCCGCATCGACTTCCTGCAAGCCACGCTGCGGCAGAACATAGCTTTCTTCGACTCGGCAGATGTGGGATCAACATCGGTCCAAGTGACCACCAACGGAAACCTTGTTAGCCAGGGCATCTCCGAAAAGCTCACGCTTACAGTACAGGGCCTCTCAACCTTCATATCGGCCTTCGTCGTTGCATTTGCAGTACAATGGAAGCTCGCGTTCATCACCGTCAGCATCGTACCGACCATACTCATCGTCACCAGCATCTGCATTGTGATCGACACGAAGCAGGAAGCCCAAATGCTCCCTATCTACTCAAAGGCCGGACTTCTCGCCGAAGAGGTGTTCTCGAGCATGCGAACTGTCCACGCATTCTGGTTGCAGCCAACGCTGTCTAAACGATACGATGCGTTACTCGGAGACGCCATGAAAGTGGGCATGAAGAAATCTCCAAACTACGCGGTGCTTTTCTCCACCGAGTTCTTCTGCGTCTTCTCCGGATACGGCTTGGCTTTCTGGCAAGGCATCAGGATGTATGCCAGTGGCGAAATCGCAGAGTCGGGGGACGTTGTCACGTACGTTGACCCTCCCACGACTCTCGTGAAAATACTGACTTTTTTGACAGTGTCATCTTTGCAGTCGTTGTCGCCGCGACAGCCATGACTTCCATCGCTCCGCAAATTCTCCAGGTTACCAAGGCATCTTCAGCAGCCGAGGAACTCTTCAGAACCATCGACAGACCTTCCGAGATCGATGCCATGTCGGAGGCTGGGAAGGTACCGGACGCATCAATTGGCGACATAGAAGCACGTGATGTCCACTTCGCGTACCCAATCAGGCCGGGTGTCAAAGTGTTGCAAGGCTTGACGCTTAGCATTCCGGCGAGGAAGACGACTGCTTTAGTTGGTGCCAGCGGATCTGGGAAGAGCACGATTATCGGCTTGTTGGAGCGATGGTATGATCCCGCCGATGGGAGCTTGTACCTGGATGGAATCAATCTCAAGGATCTAAACGTCCGGTGGCTACGGACCAATATTCGACTTGTACAGCAGGTACGTCACAACTCTTTTCTGGCTCTTGAGCACCGCATCTTGCAGTTGATAGACCCTGACCTACTTGACTTGCAGGAGCCCGTGCTTTTCAATGGGACGGTTTTCGACAATGTTGCCTTCGGCCTTCTCGGCACCGACAAAGCAAGGCTACCCGCTGCTGAGCAACGGTCATTAGTAGAACGGGCATGCAAATCTGCGTACGCCGATGAGTTCATTGAACATCTTCCCAAGGTAATCCACCTCCCCTCGTCAAACACGACCTCCACTAACCCATGCAGAAATACGATACACAGATTGGCGAACGAGCGATAATGCTCTCAGGCGGACAAAAGCAAAGGCTAGCAATTGCTCGCAGCATCATCTCGGACCCAAAGGTCCTCCTACTCGATGAAGCCACCAGCGCACTTGACCCAAAATCAGAGAGAATTGTTCAACAGGCCCTCGACAATGTCTCCACGGATCGAACAACCGTTGTGATCGCGCACAAGTTGTCGACCGTGCGTAACGCTGACAACATTGCCGTCATGTCACAGGGTACCATCATTGAGCAGGGTACTCATGACGAACTGATTGCGGCAGGCGGTGCCTATGCTAGGCTTGTCATGGCACAAGACCTGGGTCACGCTGATAGCGACCAAAGAGACTCTGAGAAGGAACAAGTCGACCGCAGGCTCTCTCTCGTTCGAACACAAACAGGGACGAGATCAATACAAGCCGGGGAGAAACCAACCGCGGGAAAAGAGGGGAGCCTGAATTACAGTCTCATCCGCTGTCTTTGGATCCTTCTGGGCGAGCAGAAGCACTTGTGGCGTCTATTCCTTATTCTTGCCATTGCCTGTATCTTCGGAGGTCAGTCTAGCAGCACCAGATCAGTTCTGCAGAATCTGCTAACCTTTTCCCGCAGGCCTTACCTTTCCTGCTCAAGCGATACTGTTCTCCCGGACGATGACCGCTTTCCAGCTCCAAGGTCCCGAGAGAGTACGGCAAGGCGATTTCTACTCCCTCATGTTCTTTGTAGTCGCCCTCGCAAATCTTGTCGTATACGCCGCCGTGGGCTGGGTGAGCAATATCATCGCCCAGGTATGTGCTCCTGATGGGGACTCTGCATATGGTGGCTCACCGCAGACAGGTCGTGATTCGCGTGTACCGGCTGGAAATGTTCGACAACGCCCTCCGCCAGGACATGGACTTCTTTGACAGAGAAGAAAACGCAACGGGCGCCTTGGCCTCCCGCTTGTCGACGTACCCGACAAACCTTCAAGAGCTCCTGGGATTCAATATCATGCTTATCCTCATCAACGTTGTGAACGTCCTCTCCAGCTCTGTTCTCGCGCTCATCGTTGGATGGAAGCTGGGGTTAGTGGTCGTATTTGGCGCACTTCCACCCATGCTCTTCTGCGGATACCTTCGGATCCGCCTTGAGTTTAAACTCGACGACGCAACGGCGGAACGGTTTGCAAGCAGTGCGGCTCTTGCCACCGAAGCAGTCTCAGCAATTCGAACGGTTGCATCGCTTACTCTCGAGAAACACATCCTTGAAAGATATCATGACAAACTCCGAGGAGTCGCGCGGCGTTCTATGAAAGCGCTCATCTGGACGATGTTCTGGTACGCTTGGACGCAGTCCATCTCCTTCCTGGCGATGGCTCTCGGTTTCTGGTAAGCTCTCACATCTCCCTCCTATCTCTAACCGGACTCAGCTGATTGGGAACAGGTACGGCGGCCGCCTCATCTCTACCGGTGAATACTCCACCTCGCAATTCTTCATCGTCTTCATTGGCGTCATCTTCTCCGGCGAGGCAGCTGCAGCTTTCTTCTCCTACACAACTAGCATAACCAAAGCACAAAGCGCCGCGAATCACATCCTCTGGTTTCGCACGCTCATCCCTTCCATACGGGAAGACCAATCTCAAAGCCCGCCTGGCGAAAAGGACAGTGACAGTGGCAGCGGACCGGCGCATGTCGAATGCGAAGACCTCGAATTTTCGTACGCGTCACGTCCCAACACAAAAGTGCTCCAAGGCGTAAGTATAGACGTGAAAGCAGGCGCCTTTGCCGCGCTTGTTGGGCCCTCTGGCTGTGGCAAAAGCACTATGATCGCCCTTCTCGAACGCTTCTACGATCCTGCCTCCGGCTGTATCAGATTCGATGGCGCCGATATTAAGGACCTGTGTCCGCGTCGCTATCGCCGCAACGTCGCGCTCGTGCAGCAGGAGCCTGTCCTCTATCAGGGGAGTATCAGGGACAACGTTGCCATGGGTCTCGCCACTGAGGCCGAGGGTGCGGTGGGCGATGACAAGGTCGAAGAAGCTTGCAAGCAGGCGAACATCTACGAGTTTGTGTCCAGTCTCCCCGACGGTTTCAATACCTTGTGCGGATCAAGAGGGACTCAACTCTCCGGCGGACAACGCCAACGCGTCGCGATCGCGCGGGCGCTCATCCGGTCACCGCGCCTGTTGCTTCTTGACGAGGCGACGTCGGCGCTCGACACCGAATCAGAGAAGGTGGTCCAGGCGGCGCTGGAGAAAGCGCAGAGCGGGCGAACGACGGTTGCGGTCGCGCATCGGTTGAGCACGGTCAAGGTATGTGCTCTGCATCTCGCTAGCTTCTTCTTGCGCTAACGTCGAAGCAGGATGCGGATGTTATCATGGTTTTTTCGAAGGGGAGGATTGTGGAAAGCGGGACGCATGTGCAGCTTTTGGCGAAGAGAGGCGTGTACTATGAAATGTGTCTGGGCCAGAGTTTGGATCGGGATCCTGTGTGAGGTGTTTCCAACCGCAAGTTGTTAGCGGCCTCGGGCGCAACCTTGACGCTCGTAGCTGGGGTTAAGGCGGTCAAACGCCATGATTCAGAACCTAGAGATCTAGATAAACAGTCTCAAATCAGCGTACCATGTTCGTTCCAGCCTCTCACTTCCACTCCTCTCAAATCTGATACCCCGTACAACCGGTGTCCCCCCCGCCCGCCCGCTTCACCAGTCCCTTACGCATGACTGATATCCACGCCGCTGCCAAACCACTCCCTCAACATCTCCCATTCTCCCTCCTCCAAACCCGGCTCAGACGTCCCATATCTAGCGATCAAAAACCCCGCCAAGCTGCCCTTGGATTTCGCTGCTTTCTCGCCCGGTCTTGTGCCTTGCTCGTCCACCATGTCGCGCTCAGACAGTATGGCATCCCGCTTTGACGCGGACCGATCGATGCAGAATTGGCGGAGAAGGGCTAGTTCGGAAGGGTCGAGCACGGCGTCGGCAGTGTTGTGGCCCGATATGATCGAGTTGGCGAGGGTGTGGGCTTGGATGTGGTCGGCGACGGAGAAGGGTCTGGACATGGTGGATGGGGGTACTTGGTTTTTGGTGAAGGTGCTTTTGGGTCTGTTTGAAGAAGTGTCTGAGGGGGAATGCAGTAGACAGATGTAGCAAGCTCACCAGGCACTACGAGATATATTTGTTTGAACGGCTGTTGCCTGTTTGCTCCAGGGACAAAGTAAACAATGTCATGTGACTTGAACAGCGCCAATGACCTGAGGTACGCCTTCAGTGATACGATTTCTGGGTAGTTGTGCAGATTCCGAACTAGGTAAGTCGCAGAAACGATTTCCAACAGCCAAATGCGACACGCGAGATCCTACAAGATCAGTGTACCATATTCTTTCCAATCTCGCTCTCCCACCCCTTTGCCCTCTCGAACCCATTTGAATGCGTTGAGTAATCCATCATCGCCTGATAAACCTCCTCCTGGCTATTCAGCACAAAAGGCCCATACTGCACAACCTTCTGATCGAGCGGCAGGCCCGCCACAAGGATGAACCTGCCCTCCTCCTTCGCATCCGCCTTCACCTCCGCGACCGCCGAGTCGCCCTTCTGCTCAAAGACCACATTGTGATACTGCGGGATCGTCTGCGCGCCGTTTCCAGCGCCAAAAACCGTCGTGCCATTCAGAGTGTACGCGAACGCGTTCCAGCCCACCGGCAAGTTCTGCACGATTCTCCCGCCGGGCTTGATCGTGACATCCAGCAACCACACGGGCGTGTAGGCGAGTTCCTTGACACTGTCCACGCCGTGGCTCTGTCCGCTGATGACCTTGACGTGCACCTTTCCATCATCCACATCGACGGAGGGGATCTCGTTCGCTCTAAGGTCCCGGTATCTCGGCTCGCACATTTTCAGCTTCTTGGGCAAATCGACCCACAACTGCAGCCCGACGTTCGCGCTGCCGTCCGGGTTTTGCCGCGGCATCTCCGCGTGCATGATTCCCCGGCCCGCGGTCATGAATTGTAGGTCTCCGGTCTCGATTGTGCCTTTGTTGCCCGCGAAATCTTCATGATCGACCGCGCCGCTCAGTAGATACGTGATGGTCTCTTGTCCTCTGTGCGGATGATCTGGAAATCCAGCTGAAGGCGGTATTGAGAAATGATCGAGCATGAGGAACGGGCTGAAGTTGCGAAGCTTGGGTGTGCCGATTGAGCGGCGGACGCGCGCGCCCGCGCCCTCTGACTGTGAAACGGCGAGGAAAGCGGTCCGTATGGCGCGCGGGACGGACATGTTCTCGGGTGTCTTGAGGGAGGGGTCCTCTGGTGGGACTGCGGGGAGACCGGCGAAGGTCGAGGATGGGTTGGAAGGATCCAGAGACGGTTGCGTGGTGTTTGTTGTTGCGGACATTGAGGATGCTGTCGTGAAAGTGGTGCGAGTGAATTCCTTAATTCGAGTGAAGGTCGTTGTGTCGAGCTGGTATAGAGCAATTGCTGTGATGCAAATGAAGATGGGGAGAAGCAGTTTCATGGGTCAACGAACTGCTCTTTATACGCTCTGAAAGAGAAAGAACCAGAAGGATTGGACATGCTGCCGTAAATATAAGTCATGCTGAATAGCGGCATGTCCTGAGGCGTTCGCGATGATCTGGTCAGCAATTGTCAGCGGCTGTGTCGGCATTTCCTCGACTGACGCCATCCGATACTGGCACGTGACTAAAATCGGCAGCCTCGCATCAAGAACGCTTGGACATCTCACTCGGACGAGGAAAGAAGGGAGATCAAGCCGCTCTGCCTGGGTCAGTTTGTTGATCTATCAAGGGTCACGCAAAGGGGAAATCGCTGTCCCAAGGGAGGGAAGAGACTTCATGACCACTACAAATCTCAAGAGGACGGGTGTGTACTTATTTGTTTGCTGCGAGACTAGGGTCGAGAGCATAGCGGCGGAAAATCACTCTTGACAGCTATCAAGCCTTCGAAGCCGCTAGAGAGTTGTGAGATGGGCGCTGGGGCAGTGACACGGCTTAGGAAGTAACGGTCGGACCTCTGCAACAGCGACTTGTTGAGGACAGGCAGAACTACGCGAAGATCGTTCAATTCTAGTAATGAGCAGCACTGCATCCTGCACGCTATGCTAAACACCAGACAACCTAAACCCAGTGGCAGCCTTGCCCTAAAAGTATATACAACGCCAATGTGAGAAAGCTATCTAGAAACCGAACGGATTCTGCGGAGCTGGAGCACGTATCGTTAGCAGTATTCCTGTAAGCCCACGTATGTCCCCGACTTACTAGCTTGGCTCAAGTTCGCCCTCCGCCCCGTCGGCTGCGGCACCAGCTTGTTCGCTCCTCCCGCGACTCCAAATCTGACCGGTGGAGGCGGTCCCGTCTTCTGTGGCACCAACGGCGCCAGCGTCTGTTGAGGCATCGGCGGCATCGGTGGCAATGGCGGCGCGCTGAGCGTTGAGGGCGGCTGTCCAAATCCTGTCTGCTGTGGCTGGAACCCTGTCGGCTGTGGCGGGAAGCCTGTCCTTTGCGGCTGCAGCGGGGGAGGCAGGAACGCGTTGATGCCTGTTTGCTGCGGCTGCATGGGCTGGGACGTGAAACTCTGCTGCTGAAAGCCTGTGGGTTGTGGCTGGAAACCCGTGGCCTGAGGCTGGAAAGGTCGAGTTGGCGGATCGGCGAAGGGAGAGCCGCTCTGCTGCCCTGCGAGAAGCTGTTGCTGGAAAGCCGGGTTTTGGAAGCCTGTTGGCTGCGGTTGCTGGAACCCTTGTGGCGGCTGCCCGAACTGTTGGAAGCCAGTGGGTTGGGGCATGATACCGTTGGCGAACTGACCGGGGAACTGCTGGGGAAACCCCGTGGCTTGAGGCGGCATCTGCTGTGCTGCGAACTGCTGCGGCATTCGCTGTTGATTCAACTGTTCCTGCATACTCTGGCCCATCGGCGCCGGCCGAGCCTGCAATTGCCCAGGACTCTGATATCCCGTGAGTTGCGGCTGCAGAGGTGGAGGTGCGAACTGGCTCTGCGGAAAGTTTTGCGGCGCAGACGCTGCACGTTGAGGCGGAGGTGCGATGAGGCCTGCCTGCGGTTGCAGCTGCTGCGGTGCTTGCGGTCTTTGTCTTGGAGCTGCGGACTGCTGCTGCTGGAGATTGGCGGGTGAGTTCGCGAGCTGTTCAAACAATGAAGGTGTAGCTCCTGTTTGAGCAGGCTGCTGTTGCGAAGTGGGCGGCGCTGCAGCTGGTGCGATCTGGGTTTGAGACGTGGGCACCGGCGCCGGAGTAGGTTGTAAGGGTGGCGTGAGCAGATCTAAGCCTGCCAAATCAGGTGGCAACGTAGGTGCTGCGGCCGGTGCTGGTGCTTGTGCTGGTGGAGGACCAGTGGCAGACTTTGTAGGCTTGTTCTCCCATGCATCGTCGTCGAAGCCCGATAAGGCGGGTCCCCTCTTGGGTGCCGTGGCGAGGGGCGTCGCCGCTGCTTCGGCCGGTAGCCTCTTATTTGGAGAACTGTCGGTTGTTTGCTCAAAGGCCTTCGGATCCACGACGTCGCTCGTCTGGACAGGAGGCGCTGGCCGACCTTTTCTGGTATTGTTCTTCAGCGCTCCACCAGGACCAGAGAACAGACCACCCGCAGTGCCGTTGGCGGCATCAATCCCCTCACCCTCTTGTATCGTCGTAGTATCCCCAAAGCTCACACCTCGTTTCTGAGTGGCAGCGTTCCGGCCGAACTTGGTGTCAATATGTTTCAGGACTCTCAAGATATCGCCTTCCTTCAATCCAAGCACCCTCAGCGTCTTTTCAGTGATATCCGGCAGGTTCTCCTCGCCCATCTGGTCCCTCGCAAAGGCAGATGCATACCGTTCGCAGATTTGCGGATTGATGCCACACGCGAGGAAGAAATCGAACCAGTCGTAGTCTGGTTTCTTTGGCTGCTCAATGGTAGCACCGGCTTTGGGACGTGAGCTAGCGGAAGCATCCCTCGCCTTATCCTTCGCTCGCTGTGTACTTCTTCGCTTGATATCTGATAGTGGCTTGTCTTCGTCTAGAGATACGCCGGTTGCACGTTCAACGTATTCGAGATCTTCAATAGACATCTTGGGAACTGGCACCGCAATCTTGACACCGTTGAGCTTGTGCAGGTGAATCTTACCATCCTTCAAACCAATGAACTCAGCCTCGACCTTGAAAGATCCCGTTCGATCGGTCCATGTGCGTATCCGGGATTTGTCTGGTTCTTCGCAAGTCAACACCTCTGCAACCTCACGGAACCCTTTGTACTCACTTGGCTTCGAAGTCGTTGGCGCTTTCGCGTCTTTGCTTTCGCGCTTTCCTCTCTGTGAAGTGCGCCTCGTGTCAATTTCTTCCTGCGCTCTCGAAGAAGTACGCTCAGGCAGCTGGAAGCCAGGGCCTACCTCAGCCTGCTTGTCTTCCTTCTTCTTGCTCGCCCGCGATGCCTGCCTGGCTAGCCTTTCCTCCTCGAGCCTGTTTTGCTCGACCGTCGATCTGGCTGCGTTGAGGCCCCTCATACTGTCTGACTGTGGTTCTATCACTCCCGTAACCTCCACGTAGCTGCTCGGCACGACGCCCTCTCTCCCGTTCTTCAACCTTCTTACCATCCACCACTCGTCGCTCTTCGTGTCGTCCAGTACAATGACCTCGTCATCCACAGCAACGGTGACTTCATCATCGCCCTGTGCCATGAACTCATACAGCATCTTCCCCTTCTTTTGCCCACCTCCAGTGCTGGCAGCAATAACCTCCCTCAACCCCTCAGCCCTTGCCGCGCCAGCCAGCTCTCCCAGTGCGCTGACAATCTCCATGGCCGTATCCTTAGCGCCGGCATGGAAATCCGCGCTCTTGCTCGGCCGCACAAGCTCCATGAAAACGTGCTTCCCCTCGATGGAATAGTGCGTCAGCTTATCTGCCGTCCATTCCTTCGTCGGTCCATCTCGCGACTTCTCTGGGGAGATCGTGATCAGACCCTTCGCGATATTGATACCGAGCGTCATGGGCATCTTCTTGTTCTTGCCCATATGTGAGATCATCTCATGGATATTGTAGAGGTGGAAGCCGGTCGGGGATTGGAGCTCGCGGTCGTCAGAATAATCGCGCGGACTCGGGGTAGGCATGAAGCCGCCGGGAGGGGATGGTGAGCGGCGGGTTGCATATTGCGTTATCGGCGGTGAGAGTTGCTGGGATACCGGCCGCTGCGGCATCGCTGGCGGTGGCTCTTCATCAGACTCTTCAGGTGTGTACTGCGGCTGCCGAGGTGGCAGGCTGAGTGTTGGCGGCGGAGATGCAATGGCCCGACCTGAGCTCGCCGAGCGCTGTCCCGTCTTCTGCTGGATGATGGCGGCTACTGCTGCGGCGGGATTTGGCGGGGGGCTTGCTGGCGAGTCCGGTGTCGGCGGCGAATACCGATCAGCCTCAGGCTCAGGCTCTGCTTCGACAGCTCGTGGTCGCGCCGGCATTGCGGGAGCGGCTGCTGTGTTCGACGCCTCGATGTAGTTGGCTGGCGCAAACCCGTACTCTCCAGCCAGGCCTACCAGCGTCCAATCCGGGTCTGAAGTGTCGTATACGTCGAGCATGGCATCTTCTGTGAATGAGAGCTCCTCGTCAGTTTGTCGGGCGTAGTCGTAGAGAGCTCTCGCTCTGGTCAAGGGCGTCGCCTGGTAGTGAGGCGTAGTTAGCGGATGCCCGTTGAGCGTTACAATCCAGCACATCCAGGGCAACCCGCCGCATAGCCGCGATAGCAGCATACCCTACGCATCCTTCTTACAACGGGTCGCGTTTCTCACCTCCTCGACGTAGTTGTTGGGAATCAAGCCCTCGGGCTCTTCCTCATCTTCGTTCTGGGCCTTCTTTTTTGCCCTCCACCAATCATCATCGGTGCTTTTCTCCAGCACGAACAACAAATCGCCTTCCTTTATCTCGAGCTCGCCGCTGCTCTGCGGGTTGTAGTCGTAGAGGGCGCGATATATACCGAGGAACACCATTGTGGGCGAGTGGTGAGGCTTCGTGGGTGGTCGAGGCGGTCAGGCGCAGAGGCTGTAAGTCAGAGACCGGTACTGGGAGTGTTCTACGACGGGGGTGAGGCTGTGGTACGGTGTACTGCAAGGTCCGAGGAGTCTTGCGGGTGTGGTGGCATCAACAGGGGCTGGACAGTCGCTCTCAGTCCAGCGCAACGGATGTCCAGGCAGATTAGAGCGCTATGAAGTTTTTCGAGAATCACGAGTAAGGATGCAAGGGGTCTTCTATGGCTACGAGATTCGTAAGGGTTGCAGGCCGGGTGGTGACTTGGTGGTGAGCGTGGAGCGGCAGTGGTCCGAGATCCATGTCCTGCCAAGCCTGCGGCCCTGCATGAACTTCGTCATCCTCAGCGAAGCAGTTCGGCCAAGTCTCGATATCTGACAATCACCGCAAAGTTACTGCTGCACGGTTTTCTCGGCTGGAGATGTACTGAACGTAAAGAGTCAGGTACGGGAGCAACGTTTAGCGGCGGCCGTGATTTCTTGTCTATCTACACTACCAGCCAATGCCGTGTTCAACCGCTCGACAGGTCAAGTTGTTTAACTAACCCAAGAGCTTGAGGGACAGAAGCATCACGGAGTGCTCTGCCAGACCCACCATCGCGGGTGGATTGCGTTCTGAGAAGCAGCCGCGCTTGTGATGGAGAGCGACTATCGCCACACCCCGGAGTAGGAGATGTTTGCAAGGACTACGGCGCCGAGATTTCGTACGGTACTCGTTCAGGTGAGCTGTGTATTGAGAAAGTGGTACAGGCAAGGGACAGCGAAGACGTCACTCGCGTGTCTCCGCAGTCCAATCTCAGTACGTAAAGCGGAAGCCTTCCTGCACACGACGTTAGCTGAGCAGGTCCTGTCTGTGGTCGTGCCAACTTACTGTCTCCTCGATAATCACTTTACCTTTTGCCTGGCGTCTGTTGGCCCTCACAAAATAAATGGAAAAGGCACACACGACTGCGATCATCAAAACGTGCGAGCTATATGTAAAGTGTCAGCGGTATACATTGGTGCAGCCATGGTCTAGCTTACCCTATAGAGATCCATATAGCTGTCATGTATCTAGGCGCTTCATCCCTGTTGGGCCGAATCAGCTGAGTCCAGGTTGCCGTCGGGAGCGGCTTGCGTACTTTCGGACGATGAAGCTGCCACCAATGCCGCCAAGACCGTTGCAGGCGGTCACAGCTGCAGCAGTGAAGACGCGTTTCCACTGCCCGGCGATATTGTTGGCTTGATAAGCTGCCAGCGCCGCCCAATTGGCGATGTATGCCCCAGTGGCAAGGTACGTGCCGACATAGCGGACCGTCACTTGGTCGCTGAAGCCAAGCATGCAGAAGCCGACGATGAGGCAGATGGAGTTGAACGTGATGACCGGACCTCGCAGTCGGTACTTGTCGCCAATCCATGATGAGAGAAGGACTGGTATGACAGCGTAGTAGTATGGTGGCGCAGAAAGCAAGATTGACTTGTCCGAGCTGAAGCCCATGCCCTTCTGTAGAATGATCGGCAGGAAGTATGAGAGAGATGTCGAGACGAGGTTCAAGAGGAAATACATAAGGCAAAAGCCGTATACTTTTGGATCAGCCGCATGACGAAGAATTTTCCTCAAGGCAAAGCCGTCAGGCTTCACATCACCGCGGTCCTTCTGGATACGCGCAGCAGCGATCTCAGCCTCCTCCTTGCTCAGGAAGTGAAAGCTTCTGTGCGCATTCTCTGGGAAGTCGACGATCCACCAGTAGGTCAAAACCCCAAGCACGCAAGTGATTGTACCCTGTACGAGAAACATCCACCGCCAGCCCTCGAGCCCGCCTCTCTCATGGAGCCCATTGAGGCCAAAGTTGACAATGCTGCCCGTGGCGAGAATGATGACTTGGCCGCTCTGCAGAAAAGCAAACCGCAATTGCTGTTCCTGCCGTGTGTACCAGGTACTGATGAGGTACGTCAAGCCTGGATAGATGCCAGACATCGCGATACCAAGCAGAACTCGGAGACAAATCATCTGCCTCCATGACTGGATGAATGCGGTGCAGAGAGTGATCAAGCCAAAGCAGATGGTGATGAAGCTGAACCAGATTCGTGGACCAAAGGTTCTGGACGCAATCGTTGATGGCAATTGGAACACGATGCTTGCTACCGTAAAGATGAATATCGATACCGAGTAGCGGTTGCCCTGATCGAGTTCAAGGTCCTTAAGCATCGACGTGACGGAGGCACTGGATATCACCCCAGAGTCGAGCAGATTTAAACTGCAAAGAATACCGGCAATCGTGCAGAGTCTGAGATCTGCCTTGAGTTGAATCCGCCTTTCGAGCTCCAAGTCCTCGTTAGATATCCCAGCGCCAGATCTGACCTCTGCTTCGAGAGTTTCTTCATTGCCATGATTGTATCCCACGTTCTTGCTGGGTTGAAGCAACGGCGACGTGGAGGACGAGCGGGCGGAGGCAGGCATCTTGAATCTGCCTACGTCTCGATTGCTCTTCGAGGGAATCATCAACGCTTCATCCGCGTATCAACATGCTGTGCGGGTCCGGGATCCGAGAAGGTTGAAGGTTACATCACTACCTTACCGCACGAGCGGAGCACCTTTGAAAGTCAAACACGGCAAGCCATCATGGAATGATGCTATGGACCAGTAACTGCAACTGCTGTTGGTTTCCTAATAGCAGATAACTGTAGAGTATGCCCCCAAGTGCAGCATCCACGCCGTGTCACTGTGTAAGCTTCCTCAACGTCACGTGGGTTTGCAAGGTGCGCTTGGAGATTAATTCCTGACAGCGGACGCCGGGTTCGTGTCTGGCGGACGCATCGCCGCCTACGGTAATTTGCATCGTACCGGAATATCTCAGTAGACCATTAAATCTCATCTTCCCAGTAAGTATACGTAGCTATCACCTGATAAAATATTTGGGGAGTGCGTGCCCGTACAATCAATTACTACCGCTATCGCTGGAGTGTCCCACCCTTGACGGAGAGATGCACCGTCGAGCCATTGGGAGACGATTTTCAGGTGCCCAGCTACAAGACACGGCACCATGCTGCACAAGGATGGCCAGCACTTCAGCGAGGCGCTCCGATTCCATCTTGTACCGTGAAGTCCTAAGTTTATATAGATTATGGACCATTTTCTCGGCAATTAGCAGGGGCGTACCATAGTAAAACTCGGTACTCCTTGAATCGTGTCGAACGGTTGTCGTCGTAGACCTATACCCCATATCGACAGCGATTGCCTCCTCATTCCCAACTGCGTTTACTGCCGCTCCGGCATCTAGTAATAGCCTGACGACATCAACATGATGATCTCGTTCTATTGCAAGTTGTAACGGTGTTTTGCAGACTCCGGGAGGATTTGGATCTGCTCCTGCTCCAAGTAGAAGCCGTACAACATCTCGGTATTCTTGGCGTAGCTCCTCATTGTTGAATTTGTTGTAAAGATGGCGCCTTAAAGTCGACGTGAGAACGGTCCAGCCCCCGTGTCTGGCGTTCGCGTCGGCCCCATATCGAATGAAGATTTCGACCAGCTCTAGTCTACCCATCATCGCCGCCACTTGTAGGGGCGGCCCTTCCGCGTCCAAAGGGTAGTCGAGATATTCCAGAAGGTCAAAGCACTGCTCGAGCCGGTTTCGTAATATAGATGAGTTCAGATTGCGCCTTACCAAAGCTTCGGCAACTTCTGCCAGACCAAAATGGCAGATGTATGCCAATGTCATAGAAGATTCAGCACCCGGTACGAACTTGATTCGGAAGGATTTGCTCCCACGGAGATAGTCGAAAATCGTTCCCATCTCTTCGAATCCTCGGAAACATGCGCCTCGGGGGTCAAGTAACTTCAAGGTCAGTTCGGTTAGACATGCATTTGCTGGAATCTTTCCATACGCCATATCTGAATTCCAGCAGAGCAGTGCATCTTCCATAAGCGGATAGTCTCCCCGCATTTGACTCTTTAGTGCGTCTTGACCATTCGACCTGAGAAATTTCTCGGCAGTCGGAAGGCGATTGTAAGGAAGATTCAGAAGATATACGATTCGAATCGTAGACGCGAGAGTCATGGCTTCGTCGATCGATACCTTGAACATAGCTGCCGGTCCGTCTAGTATGCGCTCTGAAGTCAAGTATTCCTGGACCGTGTAATGGGCGAAGCTAGCGCGGCCATCTTCATCGTTGACCGCCATTAGACAGGTGCAGATCTCCAACAAATCCGTAGGATCAAAAAGCCGACTATCAGTTGTGAAGGAGTATTGATCAACGTCCACGACTACGGCTTCAGCGATCGTCTCAATCGTCATATCATTCGCCGCAGCAAGTAGTTGGAGGGCCTTGTGTGCAGTTGAGCGATTTGATTCTGGTATTCCTACCAGTATCCTTTCGTAGGTGTCTTCAAGAGTTTCTGGGAGCTCCTTCAATGCCTTTTGAATCGCCGGTTTTGAGTTGAGTCTCCCGAGGATATCCAGCTGACAAGCCGCCCAGCGGAACCTATCACTTGTTAGTTACGCGGTGACTACGCACGTGATGTGAAACTCTACAGAACATGGGAGACATACATGCCCTTTGCGCCTCCGGTAAGCGCATCTCGGATATCTCTTCTGAGGGATTCTGGCCAGCGGCTGAGTTTGCGATCGGTTTTCAATTGGTTCTCAACATAGACGCAGATATCTTCGTCGACGAGCGGGTTGGAAAGCGAAATGCTCGAGCACATTCCTTCAAACGCTCGCTGGATGTCTAGCTCCTTACGACTCGTCGTGAGGAGACTGACTTTTCGAAAAGCGTCATCGCTCGCAATCTTGATGAGCAGATCTAGTAGGAATCGGCGATCCTGTGACTCATCCAAAGCGTCTACTACTATGTAGACACGCCTGAATTTGTCGACTAGGGTAGAAAAGACTTCAAGAAGATCTGCATATCCCGGCTCGGTTCCGAGATCGTAGAGCGAGCAAAGGTTTCCAGGGATGCACTTCAGCTGCCGCCAGAGCTGGCTGATGATCCAGCGGAGAAAGGGGTGTGATTCATCCTGGTTTCGTTCGAAGTAACAGTAGTAGTATGCCCATCCCGTATCGTTGAGGTCAGGAGTTTTGCAAAACCTTTTTATGTTCTGGACGATGAATGAAGCTAAAATTGTTTTCCCGGAGCCAGGGATGCCGTGGAGCCACAAGAGGCGTATCGTACCACCTCGCCAAGCATCGTACTCTGTTGATCGGACCAGCCATTGGCCGGTGTGAGTCTCGTGAAGTTGGCAGGCCCTGTTATGATTTGAAGAAGGATCCGTCTTCACTAGCCACTTGAGGACCAAATCGCGTTGCTGGTCTATCCCGTCGAAGCGGTTAGAGAGTATTGTCCCAACGATCAATTCTCAGCAGCGACGTACCGGTAAGAGTACCCATGATCTTCTCCACGTTATCCTTAATGCTTTCGATGTCCTGTCTGTGTCGCTCCGGTCAGGAAAGCTTCATACGATACATTGACGTGCTTACCCTGCGTCTGTTGTTAAAATGAGAACCAATGTTGCCTTATGCCGGCCGAGATCCTCTAGTATCTTCCGGGCTTTGCCTTGCTTGAGAGGCCACGCCAATTCGGCGTAGGATGGAATAAATTTGCCACGCTTTCTTTTTCTAGAGGGGTCTGCGTCCACTGGAAGGAGCTGCGCAAGAGCTTCCAATTCTCGACGGCATCCCTCTAGTGGACTGTTGGCAACGTCGATTCTTTGCAGAACAGGAGAGAGCTTTTGGCGCATCTCGAGTGTTTCTAGGGTGCATTTGACACTTCCAACCTCGATCAGGATGTTGCAGAGATCGTTTGGAGCATCTTTGAGTGCGCTCACGTAGGTTCTACAGCCAGCAATAATCTTTTCCGAAAGACCGATGACTGCGATGACGCTAGCTGTGGCGCTGACAGGTTCCATGGTCTGGGAGGAGGGCAGTTTATTGGATTATGTGGTTTTGCGATCGATCATGAATGAAGCTGCAAAGACAAAAAGACGTGAATCGAGAGAGGGAGGCCAGGCGCTTAAATTCCAGGCGGCAAGTGTGAGTGCCCGAAGCTTCGTACTGCGCCCCGACTGCGGACTGTCGTGGCGCAGCCTCCGCCGTGCGTTATTGGACAACACCAGTAACTGGAGCTTGCAGCAATAGCCTTGACCACTTATGACTTTGTACCATGGCATTTAAGTTGACAGATCAATACTTCATACGTGGGTGATGATGATAGGGGAAGCTGAAGTTAAAGTAGGGTGTGGCTCAAGAGACTGCCTCATCTGGTGGACCCCGCTTCATTCATAGACGCGTCATGTTTGACTACAAGTACAACCGCTGTTGCTGGTTCTTCTAACAAAGCTCTGCAAAGTACTCGTAGCACTCGTAGTAGTATCCGTATCCCTCTTTGTCATAATCAGCAGCAGCAAAGGACAGCAAGACTAGAGGTCCGAATCAGCAGTGTACAGGATTACTCCAACGACACCATGCTTACAAGGCGCCCAAGCAACCACGATCCTTCTTTCTCTTTCACAATCACCTGCAGCAGCAGGCCTTGCTGATATCGCATCTGCATGCAGCATCCGTCCTCCAAGAGGTCTCCGCACAGTCCGAGACAAGAACTCCACGTACTGGCTGTTGAGGACCATAGCCGTAGCCCTGTTGCGGACAACCTTGCGGGGGATCGTAACTGCAGCGTGGTTATCAGCATTCGCCAGTCGACCGATCTGAAGGCATTGCAGTCTTCCGCGGATGGCGCAAGCGGGATTGTTCACCTCTGAGACGGATACTGAGGAGCTGCTTTTCGATAGTACTGCTGGGCTGACACAGTGAAGGTTGAGACTGTTCGTTTTCTAGCGATGCGACTAGAGTGATTCGCTTCCAGAGTAGAGTTGTAGCTATGTGACCTTTCCCGGCGGCAGGAGATGCCCGATGCGAAATGTAAGAATAAAGCTGTGCTCGACGTTGGAACTGTATAATTTCTCGGTGGACTCTGAATGTAAAAATGCAAGCATAACCCGACCGTTCCTTTCTGTCTTCCAGACATGGTCCCGTAAACAACACTTGCAATATCCGAGATGCGTGCGCGCAAGCTGTAAATACTGACGAATCCCTTGATACTGCACCAGATGCAACGGTGCTGGCCTGGATGGAGTCGGTTCTTGGCTTGGACTCGCTTTGCAGCTTGCGTGGCCATGCACCACCATAGTCTTACTCTGGGCACAATCTACCATTGTTCCTGGACGAGCCTGCCACCGAAGAGCCGAGATCTTGGCCTCAAGCTTTGCCAGGCAGGTTTAAGACTTTCGGAGACCTTGGCAGCGGATCTAGTTGGAATTGCATAGTGATGGGACCTAAAGAACCAGCGATGGAGCTAGAGAGCGAGATAAAGCGACGCCAAATGCTTGCTTCTACGCGGGTAGTCCGCCCTACCTCAGCATGGAATTCCAAACGGCCCCTCAGCTTCGCCGAGCGGAAACGCGCCGTAACGTCCCTCCACTTATCCACTCACCGTCCAAGATGCTATGCTTTGCCCTCTTGCTTCTTCAGTATCTCACCAGCAGGTGCGGGCAGCGGCGCGCCCTCGGGCGGTTTGTTCTTGCTCTTGAATTCGTCGCACATCTGTTCCATCGTCACCCACTCAACGCCTTCGTGCTTGTTGATGTGTTCGATGATCCTAGAAATACCCTACATCAGAACTCTGATTGGAAGCGACACTTGCGCCGGATCAAGACGATCAGAGGGATATCTACCTCTCATGCATAAGAAGCACATGCGGCCGCCCACTCACATCCGGATGGATCGTCATCGGGAACGAGAACTCGTCATACTCTCTGTAGAAGTAATCGAAGTGATCCATCCAGATCTGCTCGATATCCCTTGGATTGATGAAACCGTGGCTGTTCGGCACCTTCTTCATGTACATCATTGGCGGCAGATCATCAAGGTACCAATTGCCAGGTATCTGTGAGATTGAACTAGCGTCAGTCTGCCTCCTCAGGGGTTAGATAATCATCCTTACCTCTACTAAGCCAGTGACTTGTCCCGGCTTTAGGGGATGCTATGCTGCGTAAGCCTCTGGACTGCTGAGGGCTGGGCGACATACGGACCATCCAGTCGGATGCTTTCTTGCTGTAGTCAATCTTCGTCCACTCATCCCCCGTGCGCAGATAGTAGGGCGTATGATCTTCATGGTTCATGCTGTGGTCGTACTCGATGCCGTATTCGAGCAGTAAGTTTGCGCCCTCCTTGCTGACTTCCCACCACGGCGCCACAATCCCTCGCGGTGGCTTCCCGCAGAACTTTGTCAACATCTTGTACGAGTAGTCCAGTACGTCCCGCTGTTGCTCGAGACTCATGTCGACCGGATTCTCGTGCGAGTATCCGTGGAGGCCGATCTCGTGTCCAGCGTCGCGGACCATCTCGCACTCTTTCGGGAAGGTCTCGAGGGAGTGTCCAGGAATGAACCAGGTTCCTTTGATGTTGTATTTTTCGAAGAGCTTTAGCAATCGTGGAGTGCCCACATGGCCGGCCCAGAGCCCTTGAGGGTTGTCAGTACGTGTCGCTTTATGGTCAAAACAGTTGTTAGAGTACCTCTGCTGATGTCGCTGGTCGAATCTTCTCCTTTGTAGCTCCCCAGCCAGCCAGCGACAGCATCAATGTCAACGCCGTAGCTAACTAGCACGCGCTTCTTGCCCATGACGACCGGAAACTCGCCAGAGGAGTGGTTCGGACAGTGGAGGAATCGTGAACTCGGTTGAAGGCGCTTCCAGGGACAACAACGGTGGAGGACAAGGCAGGCTCCCCGCCTCTCCAGTTGAGGGCATGATACTGGCCTTTCCCCGCCATGATTGCTGCCAGATATCACACTAACGATGCTGCGGTTCCGTCATACATAAGGGGGGGGATGTTGCGCTACTTCGGCATTCGGTACCTCTCCCTTATCGGTGGCAGGGGTAGCTTTATCGGTGTGCTCGATTCCTAATCGGCCTGAGTGACGAACGCAGGTCGCGAGGTCCTGGATTGACGGGTGATTGACAGAGCCATGAAGATGACACTCTGGGCAATGGGTCAAGTAGCGGTGAGCTAAGTTCAGCCGTGTTCTTCGGCCTGCGGTCTTACCACTGATCAGTCTGATCAATCCAGAAGTCTCGCGTAGGAACCCAGCAAAGGTGTCATCAATGATGATAGGGGATCACGGAGGTGAAGTGGCTTGGAGATGGGGGTCACCTTCGACACCTGAAGACGGAGGACAGCGGGCAGTCATGGCACTCGTAGCTGGAGGAGCGTGTATGTGCAGATCATGTTTATGACAGTACGAGAGAGGCAGATGGTTTCAGTCTGTATTCTACCAAGGTAGCAAACAAGCGACAGTGCCAGCTATGAGATCCACCGTCGCCACATGAGAAGAGCAAAGTGCGGTTGCAAAGCCGGGACTGGGGCCCCACGAAGCGCACGACCCCCAGTCCCAGCTTTGCAACCGTGTGGTAGGTAACAAGCGTATCAGTCGTGTGCCGTTTGGAAACGCAGACAAGCCCGTCCGATGCTGATTCCTAGTGCCAGTTCTTCCATTGCCAGTGAATGAGGGTGCAGAACCATTGCGTGAGTCATGTCTGCCGATTCAGATAGTGCTAAACAGAGGAGGCTTTGAAGCTGCGCTGCTCTCGCAGGTGCCAAAGACATAGCTGGTTTGGAAGATGATCGACCAAGGACATCTGCGGCGCCGCGAGTATTCGATCGATGGAGATTTTGAGGTGCATGCCAGTGCGACGTCACCATTTCGTAACTTGAAGGAGGTTGCGGAATTGTCCGCTGGGTTTATGTGGTGAATGGTAGTGCCAGTGCGACACCACCGGAGTCAGGCGGTGTAGAGAACTTGAGTCACCACAGATGTCCGACACAGGAAGTTGTTGTTTAACCGCGGATGCCTGGATGACACCGCGTATATCGTTGAGGCTCGCAGCTTGCGGACCTTCAATTTTCTAATTCTGGGCTTCAAGGTTTCAACATTCATTTTTGTTGAAGATGGAGGTGGTAGCCTGTGTTTTGATACGTCAGTGTGTGTTAAGATTGGGTTTAGGAATGCCCACTCACAAGGCTGCCGCACAGCTTCAATATAGCAGCCAGTGACTCAACCCGTCACCAGAGCGATGCCAAAGAAACGCGAATAGCGGTAGCGACTGTGAGATTGATGGAGACAGCAACAGAGCTAGAAACTAGTAGAGAATTGGCGAGAGGTGGAAATAAGCGGTCACTCGTTGGGTGCCGCTGCTCGAGCTGAAGCGAGACGGGAGAGGGCTCGAGGGGCTTGAGGAATGTCGTGAGGGTGCCAAGCCCCTTCGTCATTACTATGTCGACGAGATGGCATCACTGACGGACGAGAATGACCGTACCTCCCAGAACCAGCAGCAGCCCACCTGACACGTGCAAGCACTGAGAAGGAGAGGCGGAAGACGGTGGCGGACCAAAGTTGTAGCAGAACAGTAAGACACCCGGCCATGGGTTAGGTTTTGTTGTATTGCTGCGAATTTGCTTCGCATTGTCGGTCAAAACGACCTAGCATAGAAGTAGGACGTGGAGATTTCGAGTTTGCCGACCAGTCCTTGTGCGTTGGTTGAGCAGAGACAAGATGTGGCTTCAATACGAGGACATGTTCGCCTTTAATCAGAGTCCATCTCTACGGCAATGTGCGAGATGTAAAGCGATGAAAGGCGAAGAGCGGAGATGAAAGAACCATAGGGATAGACACGGCAGAAGTACAGACGGTGTTGTGGTTGGACTAGTCGATCGTTGATGATGTATAGAGAGTGAAGCTGGCTCAATGTCGAGCTTTGCAGCAAAGAGCACCTCGCAAGCAATCGGCGTCTTAGTGAAATCGACCGTCACCATCAATCAAACGGCTCGCCGCTGAGTTTATCAGAGCCACCGCCAACTACCTAGACAGAAGCCTCATGAGTTGTATCATCCGATTGATCACGCCTTCCGGTGCATTGCTATCAAGAGCATCCATCGAAGGTGAACAAGAGGTTCTATGCATCACGTGACTGCAGCTCGTCCAAATCAACTACGACCAAGAAGAACTCTGGTTCGACAATGTTTTATCAACAAGTTTGGCTGTTTCTTGGAGACCTGCGGCTCTGGAGTAAACCGGGCGTCTCACCGTCATCATTCCTCGCTCTCTCTCATGATACAGGCCTGCCTCTCACTAGGGCAGCTACCTCTGAAATACCACCCAACCGGCATGCGGCCCCGCCCATCACCATGATAGAGACGCTTGCAAAGCGTACAGTGCGCCTCAGGAGCTCTACTGCGAAGTTTTGGAGGGATCTGTAGTTTTGCGGTTGTGATTTGATCATTTTTGTTGTTGCGAGCTGGTACAAAACTACTACTGCCGAAGGTTAAACCTCAGCATGTACATAAGCACGAATAAGTCTCCACAGGCATTGAGCTTTCCCGGTACTTTCAAAGTTCGGGTATGGTAGATTCCGCAGAATGGAACTTCGTAGTATGTCCAGCACAGGGTAAGGTATTCTCGCTCAGACAGTACTCTCGCTCAGACGAGATCCTCACTCAACTGTGGTTCCGCTGAAGTCGAAATAAAAAGTTGATCTTGCACTGGTATATAATCACCTGGCTTCCCACCCTCAAGTTTTCCATAGCCATTCTTCGAGATCACTACAATCAAGCAGAAGCTAAATACACTATCTTCAAAACCAATCCGCACCTCTCCTCCGTCTTCTAAAAACACACCACAGGTAACACATCCAAGCATCATCAACCCTTTCTCCCCTTGATCGACACTATACAGACCAATCTAGTCTGTCGCTAGCATGCTGTAGTTTAGTGTACTAACATGTGATAGTAGCTTCAAAGCCAAACCATCTCTCTCTTCCCTCCTCCGAAAAACATCCAAAAGGTAACATATCCATCCATCATCACTCCCTCTTACCATCATCAATATCATATCTCCCTATCAGCTCCATCCCCAACATTCCGCCCTCCAGACACTAACTCACTACAGTACCATCAAACCACCATGTCCAAGTCAATCGCCGCCAGCGCCGAGAAGAAGCGCTACATTAGCAGGGCCGAGAGGGCCAGAAATCAGCTGCGATATGAGAAGGCGATGGACGCGAAGCGCGAAGCATGGCGCAAGGAAGGCCTGCGCCGGGCCCGCGCCAAGGCCCGTTTGATTCGTGAGGGTCGGTGGCCGGTTGTGCCGGCGGCGTATGAGCGCCGTTAGAAGCTTCGTGGGGGCGTTTGGGGGGTATAGCACCGGGGCCAGGGGCCTGCGTTGCTGGGATGCACTGTGTGTTTGGGCTGTATCACGCGTTCGACATGCGATTGGTCCGAGAATCTTGATGGCTTTGATGCTTCAGTGATACTATGCTGGTCAGTGATCTCGAGATACACGAACGCCTTCAATGCCGCAACCATGCCACAAGCCTCTTCTTGTACAGTGATACAGTGTCATATGATGTCAGTCCGAATACACGCCAGCCTCCAGAGAACTGTACACCACCTGACAGACGCTCTTACTAGTCCTTCCTTGCTATACAACATCGCCAACCGACTCCCAGTTCCGCTCTCACGCAAGCCCCTCCACCTCCTCCAAACTCCTGACCCGCAGCTCCTGTACCCTCAACACCGTAAACTTATGCTTACTCTTCACCTGCCTCACATGCCGCTGTCTCTGCTTCGTCTTCTCCTTGATCCGCATCGGCTCCGCCTCAACCCCCATGACCACCGCCCTGCACACAAACAGCCTCTCATCGACGTAGCTCTGCTTGGCCCTGATATCCGCATGGCCAAGTTCCTCTTTCGGCAGCGACGCAACCGACGCCGCGGGCGCGCCTGCTTTCAAGGTGTAGTCTCGGCTTCCGACTACGGATGCCCGGTTTAGCCGCAGGATGTCGCCGGGCTGCACGCCGGGCATGAGGAAGGGGAGGCGCAGGGTGTCGCCTTGGGTTAGGAGGTAGGGCCGTCCGTGTAGGTGAGCGGTTATGTAGTGTGGTGTTTGAGATCGCAGGAGGGGGAGGAGGTCCTTGATGCTGTCTGAGAGAGGGGTCGTGGGCGTTGATGGGGAGGTGGAGGTAGGCGCTGGAAGTGCGGCGGTGGGTTGGGTTGCTGTTTCAGCCGGTTGTGTAGAGGATTGTCGGGATACAGGCGGTGTGTAAGGCCTTGTAGGTGTCTGGCGGGAGATATGGGCGGAGTTGAGAAGTGGTTCGGGGACTGGTTCGGGGTCGATGGTATGGCCGACAGTCGACAGGCGTGCGCGGAAGGGGAGGAGGTAGGTTGGCGGTAGATTCGCGTCTTGTAATGCGCGTCGCACTGTTCGGGACAGCATGATGGCGATGGGCAGTCTCGAATTGAGAGGCTGCTGGGTTATGCCATGTCCGCTGAAGTCGAGCACGAAGACGTTCGCCTAAACGTCGGCTCAATGCGCCGTCGCGAAATCTTGGCATCAGGCGTGGAGATTTTGAACATCGCCGCCGCTCTGCCGTGCAATTATAGCATCTCAATTCACGTCCGCCCTCTCCCCTCGACTCTTGCCACAAACCCTACAGCAGGATCTGGGTTACCGCTGCTGTATTCCGAAGCCTCTTAAACGCCACGAGAAGCCTGCCAGCGGCACTCAACCACCAAGATGCCTCAGAATGAGTACATGGAGAAGGCAGGTGCCAAAACTCGGACTCGAAGGCAAACCTGCTAATTCACCCTCAGTGGACCAAAGAGCATGGCCGCAGACTCGACCACGAAGAGCGCACCCGGAAGCGGAAAGCACGAGAAGGCCACGATGCGTCCGAAAAGGCACAGAACCTGCGAGGCCTGCGAGCCGTACGTTCTCCATGAATTCCTCAGCCCGAGAAGACCAGCGCTAACAGCCAGCGCAGAAACTGTACCAGCAGAAGCGACATAAAGAGAAGATCCAGATGAAGAAGCAGATCCGCGCGAAGGAAGAGCGCAATGTTAAGGGCGCCGAGGCCCAGCCCTCCACTACGCCACTGCCTCAGTACCTGCTCGACCGCAGCAATGAGACGAACGCGAAGGCGCTGAGTAGCGCGATCAAGAACAAGCGCGCTGAGAAGGCGGCGAAGTTTTCGGTACCGCTGCCAAAAGTCCGGGGTATCTCGGAGGAGGAGATGTTCAAGGTTGTGAAGACGGGCAAGAAGACGGCGAAGAAGAGCTGGAAGAGGATGATCACGAAGCCAAGTGAGTGGCATCAAGAACTGTCTTTGAGAATTTGTACTGACGATTCTTGCAGCGTTTGTCGGAGAGGGCTTCACACGGCGTCCCGTAAAATTCGAGCGCTTTATCAGGCCTATGGTAAGTGATCTGAGGCAAAGCGACGACTGCTCTTCCGTATCGCTTGTTAACATGCTATCCAGGGCCTGCGCTACAAGAAAGCAAACGTCACACATCCCGAACTCGGCGTTACGGTCCAGCTGCCCATCCTGGGCGTCAAGAAGAACCCGCAAAACCCAATGTACACGCAACTGGGCGTGCTGACGAAAGGCACTGTCATCGTAAGTTGCTCTGCCGATTCAATTGGCGTCGTCTGCACTTTATCTGACTTTGATTCAGGAGGTCAACGTCTCAGAATTGGGCATAGTAACTGCCGGAGGTAAAGTCGTGTGGGGACGGTGGGCACAAGTAACCAACAACCCTGAGAACGATGGGTGTTTGAACGCGTAAGTAGTGCCCTCCCAGCGTTGTATTTGTGACACGAGCAGTATGCTGACTGGCCGTAGGGTTCTGCTTGTCTGAGCATAGAAGTGTGAGCAGCATTATATGGAGTTCGGCGCATGGGACTACCAAAACGAGCTACTGTGGAAATTGCGGCTGGGAGGCGTGTAGCAGAGATCACAAAGAGGTGCATTTCGGCTGGAGTGACGGCGTTTCCGGATATAACGAGACGCTTGATACTCTCGACTGCTGCGAACCGCGCTTCGTAATCATTTTTCAAGAGTTGCAGATCCGTGGGCCTCAGGGCTGCACATATGGAACACAAGTCAAACTTTACGAATAATACCTCTACGTGGACTCGCGGCTCGGCTCCTAACAAGCGGCGCAGCAGGCCCTTGATACGTACTTTGTATGCAACAATCATACTTAAAATCCGTTGCCAATTCGAATCAGTTGCCATGAAGATAGCAAAGACAGAGCTGAGTCATAAAGCTTTGAGAACCTCTCAATAAGAGAGTATAAGGGTATCTACTACCGCAGCGGCGGACAGGGCACGAATATATACAGTTGCCCGTCGAAGCCTCCCCAGCATCCTCGAAACGCGCATGCTATGCAGCTGATACGTGTAGATGCGTCTGCAGAGACAGGCATAACCAAGAACAGCCCCAGGCGCCCTGCTAACCAAACCACAAAGAAAGACTCTTTCGTAACCAAGAAACGGCGCGCACGCCCAACCTCACCGACGGCTCTGAATCGCGTCCACATAACCCAGAACGCGGCATCAAAGCCGTGCGGGCCTCACGCCCTCCCATCTTCGATCATCTCCCTGATCTTGACGTAAAAGCTGCTCGCATACGACTTGATCTCATCGTCACTCGGCGGCTTCCTCTGCTCATCCCTGAACCGCTCCACGACCCTGTTAATCACGTTCTCTAGGATCGGCTGGCTGATCCTGAGATCGCACTCCGGGTACAACCAGCCGTTCCTCTCGGCTAGCAGATCCTCCACGCTCGGTCTTTTGGTGGGATCGCGCTGCAGACAGCCCCTGAGCGTGAAGAGCAGTTCCGGCGGCACCCTCACCCCGCCCACGCCGTGGGTGGGGAACTCGATGGAGACAGCCGGGTTGACAATCGCCATGACTCGGGTAAGCTGATTGGCAATGTGCGCAAACGGCGGACGCCCGTACACCATCTGATACAGAATACATCCCAGGCTCCAAACATCGCTTTTCTTGCCCAGCTTCATCATCTTGCCTAGACCGGCACCCCCTCCCTCCGCTCTCGCCGCCGCATTCGTGTCCGACAAGCTCTCCGGGGACATGTAGTTCGGCGTGCCGACATGGGAATCCCTGTGCACGTTCACCGTATTCTCGACGTCGATGGCGTTGGCGATGCCAAAGTCGATGAGCTGCAGGCGGCCGGAGACGAGCAGAAAGTTTGCGGGTTTCAGGTCCGAGTGCACGATGTCGTGGCTGTGCACGGCGGAGACGCATTCGAGCATCTCTTTCCAGTAGTAGCGCGTGAAGGGGAGGTCGAGGCGGGGGGGCTCGGCGCTGATGTCGGGGTCGAGTTTGGACTTGAGGATTTTTGCGAGGTCGGATTCACCCATGTCCATTAGCTGTGGTTATGTCAGCAATCTCCATCTCTACTCTGGTTTGAATAAAGGACCGCATTGTGGGGAAGTCGGCTCGTCTTGAGCCACGGAGAGAGGGGAAAAAGGGCACACGCACCACATAGAGCACCTGCTTCTCCTCATTGACCTCATAATCAAACAGCCGCACCACCCTCTCCACGTTCTCCAGCTTCCGCAGCAGCTCAATCTCCCCCTTGTAGCCCCGCACAGCCGCCTCGTCTGCGTCTTCGAGCGCAACTCTTTTCAGCGCAAACATCTTCCCGCTCTCAGCCATCACCCGGTAGACGTCTGAACTTCCGCCCTTGCCGATCTTGCCCATCTGGCTGTACTCGATGCCGTTGACCCTGACGCGACCTCGGCCTGCTCTCTTCTTCGTTGTTGACGCGCCTGCTGCTGTCGTGGCTGTTGAGAGCACGCTCATCTTCGGGGGTGGCGGGGGAGCGGGGCGGCGGGGGGTGTTTGCGCTGATGGGCGCGAGGGGTATCGGTTTCTCGGAGCGATGGAGGGAGGGTCGCACGGGCAGCTCGGCTTTCATGAGGGATGCCGGGTCTGGATGGATGATCGACTCCGGCGCAGGCTTCATGGTGGAACCGGACAGGTCGTGATGGTCGCGGGACGTGGGCGGGGGCTTCGACACAGTTCCGTAGATGTTCTCTTGATCGCGTGGTGCTATCGCGGGCTTCATGACTGAGCCGTACATATTCTCTTGATCTCGCGACGCGGAGGCTGGCTTTGAGACCGCGCCGTATATATACTCCTGCTCCTGGCTCGAAGGTTGATCCTGCTGTGAGTCCGGTGTGCGACGAAAGCGCACAGGTGCCCCACGGAGAGGCACTCTTTTTACCCGTATCGACGGCGCCGCAGGGGTGACGTCGGGTTTGGGTGTGTTGGACTGCGATGATGTATTTCTGGATATGCGTAGCTTGGGCTGCCGCTGGATTCTTTCCGGAGAGTGCAGCTTGTTCGCCGCGAGAAGGCCTTCGGTGTACGCAGACAGCTTCATGGGCTGGGGCATTTCGTCGTCGGAAGAGTCGCCAATGTCGATGCGCTGCATCATGGGCGCATTGGAAGAGAAGCCGTGACTCTGGCCGAGGACGGATAGCGGGGAGTCGCGGCGGACGTGGCGGGTAGAGGGCTGTCTGGCAGGTCTGCCATAGCCGTGCGACGCCATCGGAAGTGGTGTTGGTGAGGCCGCTGCCATAACGTGTATGCTCAGCCAGAAGCTATCCGGTGTTATTGTCCAGCAAGTGGGGCGATAGTGGATCCAGCACGTAGAGCGAGGCGAAGCAAGAGTAGCGAGTGTCTTTTCTGTGTTAGCTGTCCATAGGATGCAATTGGCGGCCGGCGTCGTATCGATGCTGCGCTGTAAGCAAGCTCGTCGTGTATTCGTCGCGTCCGGTGTCGAGGAGTTGCTGAAGTTCGCGATCTCGGTCTGCGCGCATCGGGCCTTCTCGGGTGTTTACATAGCAACGCCTGCCAAGCCCGACGAATATCGGAAGACGCGACCGACGAACAGCACCAGCATTGAAGACAGAACAAAGATTCTGTATGATAACTCCACCTCTTCATGGAAGAATTGAGGGTGTATGCGAAAATTCTCAAGTTGCTCGACCTTCGAGTCCTAAACCTCTATCGGGCCGGCGCCAGGATATCTTTACAATGCCACCTCATAGCTTCGCGCGCGGAGCTTCGTCCATCACGGCGATGGCGACTACTGTACAAATGTCGTCCGGCTTCCCACCGTGCCAGTTCTCACTAGGATATTCCTTCTGAACGGCCTTTGCGAACGGCCCATCCCGTCGCTGGTTCAAGCTGGCTGCCTTGGCTTCCTGCGTAATCGCTAGCGCTAGCAGAGCTTGCAGCGTATTCTCGCCAGACTTGCTGATGCCGCCCTTCTGCGTGAGCGCGCTCAGCTTCTTGCTGACTTCCAAACCATTCGCCGCACTCCTCCACCCGCCAAAGGTGCTCATCAGCCGGCTGACAACGCCCAAGATCTCTTGTGGGGTGATGTTGTCCCATACGCCGTCTGTCGCGAAGACAAGAACGTCCCCGTGTTTGACTTGATGGTTGTATATCTGCGCGTCCTTCGGTAGGTCTTGCAGCGGCTTTGCTCCGCCGCCGAACAGAGCCATCTGCGCAAGCATCTTCGGGGGCAGCTTGGAGAGCTGATAGGGTGTGTTGAATGCGTGTGTTTGTGGCTCAGACATGTTCCGCACTGCGTTCACGCCGAGCTGCAGGAAGCCAGAGTCGCCCAGACTACAGCTCTGTTAGCAGTCTAGTCAGCGGTGTAGTAGAATGGATCTTCTTACTTGGCAACCTCAAAGCGCCCATCCGGTTCTGCCGTCGCTATACATGCCGTGCTCCCACCGCCTTCTATCGACTTATCCTGCACGACCCTTTGAAAACCGTGCTGCAGCAAGTCCCTAGGCCGCAGAGGACCCTCTGGGAAACCGTCCGGAAATGCGCCGGCTGCGCTGGCCATATAGTCGCATAACGAATGCGAGAAATCCGCTGGGTCTATGCCGGAATCCGTCCACCCGCCCACACCGTCCGCCACGCCGAAAGCTACCGCACCAGTGTCTCCCACGTTACTAACGAGAAAAGCGTCCTGACCACTCTGCGGCCGATTGCGCTTGTCCTTCTTCCCGTTCGCAAGCTCGGTGGCCGTCTTGGTTACCCGCATGTACGGGTTGTAGTTGTAGAGATTCTGATCAGGATTCAGGCGCTGCCCTTTGGCAGAGTAGGCGGCGGATATGTGGTAGGTGTAGCGCTGCTGCGATTGAGGCCGCGCAGACGTTTGGACTGTACGGGAGTTCGGAGGCGCCATGGCGCAAGCTGGGAGCGCTGGAAGCTCTCGTGCGCGACAGACGGCTGTCAAGCTGGCGGAAGCGGCGGGATGTGATACAGAAGAGGGCTGAAGGGTTTTCGCCTGGCATGTTCCGAGAGAAGCGCTGAAGATCTTAAGCCATTGCCGCACGCTGGTGGGCTTCATCGCCTGGTGGTGAAGCTGGAACGGCGGGACACGGAGAGGGTCGATGCGGCACAGTCTAGGACGAAAAGCAGAACGACATGGCTGAGTGGAGACTACCGGGTATGTAGAAAGCGAACAACGAAGCCCAAGAAGCACGATTGAAGCGGAAGAGAGCGTGGAAATTTGGTTGCAAGTCTTTACAGGGAGCGAGCAACGACATCATTCTTCCAGGCAAACTTTGCCGAAGCATGCCCGTCAGGCCGCAGAGCAAGGGCGAGCTGAAAAGAAGATTGCCGCGCCCTACCCATGACCCGAGCTAGGAGATGCGGCAACCTCCATTTTAGCTCGACCTAGAAGCTCTCCAGCAGCTCAAGAACTTCACCATAAGATTACCAGACATTTGACCCTCGTCTCATAGTCCGCACTCATCGCTCGCACGCTCTGCCAAACCTGCCCACAGCTCTTTCACCTTCTTGACAAAATTCGCGCGCCCCTGTAGGAATCGTTCATCGGCAGTTATCGACCGCATATCAACACATACCGCGTTCAGTCAACTCTCTACCCACGGGGGACTTACCACCCGCAGTTCCGACAAGATGATGCACCCTTCGCGGCAGGCATACATGGAGGAGGCTCCAGACGAGGTAAGAAACAGCTCGGACTTTGCGCATATACATGGCGACCCAGTGTTCACAACTCCAAGCATAGAGGGCAAGGGCACCGCCGCGAGCGCCCCGAACGACAGCACAGGCTACCACGATAAACACCTCGCTGATGGTCCGTTCTAGGATGCAGACATGGGCGTCGACCTTGCGAATATCCGTAAGTAGAGCCTGCCCAACGCAGCTATGGAGAAAGCGCTAGATTGACTTAAACTACAGCCATTGACCGGGATCACGTCATCCCCTCAGGCGTCGCGGGCGTGCCGTCAGAGAAAGCTTCTGCGATCCTGAATCAGATGTCCCGCAAGCGCCGCGCTGCTGCGATAGCTGTACCAACAGACGACAACCGTGTACGGACCCGTTTACGCGAGCTCGGGGAGCCCATTACGCTCTTTGGAGAAGGACCTGCGGATCGACGAGACCGGCTACGGGAACTCCTGACGGTGCAAGCAGAGGCCGCTGACGGAGCAGATGGCGAAGGCGACATTCAGATGCAGGACGAGGCGCAAGAGGAGGACAAAGGCGAGGCAGAAGAGGAATTCTACACCGAAGGCATCGACGAGCTACTCGAGGCGCGGAAAGACATAGCGCGGTACTCCCTCCCACGAGCACGAGACCGCATAGCCTTGCAGAAGCAAGAATCAGCCATCCCCCTACGCACGCACGTCAAACACCGCAAAGCAATCAAAGAGCGCCTCGAAGGCTTCGAGCTCTCCGTAACATTCGACCCGCAAGACCGCGCCGTCAGCATAGTGCGTTTCGCGCCCAGCGGCAACCTCCTCGCATCCGGCAACTGGGGCGGCAGCATCCGCCTCCTCGACGTGGAGAACCTGAACACCAAGACCACGCTCCGCGGGCACAGCGACCGCGTCAGCGGCATATCCTGGTACCCCTCCGCCACCCTTCCGTCCTCGCCCGTCTCCCCTTCCTCCCTCAACCTCGCCTCCGGCGGCGGCGAAGGCCAGATCCACCTCTGGTCCCTGGAGCAAGACACGCCCATCTCGACGCTCTCAGGCCACACCGACCGCGTGTGCCGCGTCGAGTTCCACCCCTCGGGCCGCTACCTCGCCTCCGCGTCCTACGACACGACATGGCGCCTTTGGGACGTCGGCACGACGACTGAGCTGCTGCTGCAGGAGGGCCACAGCAAGGAAGTCTACGCAGTGGCGTTCAACCCGGACGGCTCGCTACTTGCGTCCGCGGGGCTGGATAGTATTGGCCGTGTCTGGGACCTTAGGACGGGCCGCACGGTCATGCTGCTCGATGGACATCAGAAGCCCATTTACGGCTTGGATTGGGGGAGTGATGGATATCGCGTCCTCACCGGCTCCGGGGACGGCTTCGCAAAGTGTTGGGACCTGCGTGCCGTCAGGGAGATGAGCAATATCGGCGCGCATTCGGGCGGCGTGACGGATCTGCGGTGGTTCAAGGGGCTTGATGGGCCGGGCAGCAGTAGCTTCTCACCCCCGAAAGCGGTGAATGGGGAAGAAGTGCAGCCGAAGAAGGCGGGCACGTTCTTCGTGAGCTGCGGGTTCGACAAGAACGTGAAGATCTTCTCGGCGGATGATTGGGCGATGTGCAACACGCTGAGTGGGCATAGTGGGAACGTGCTTAGTTGCGATGTCAGTGCTGATGCGAGGTGGATTGCGAGCTCGGGGCACGATAAGACGGTTAAGCTGTGGGCGAGGGATGAGGCTGGGGGTGGGAAGGGGATTTATGATGAGTGAATGTAGCCGTGTTCGAGCTGAGGTTCACGAGATAGCAAGAACAGCAAGCTGAGAAGATATACCCATCGTTTAAGGAGGACGAAAAAGTGGTTCTATCTGACGATGCCGCACTCGCGGCCTCCTCTGCTCACGTGACGACGCTCTGTCTCTGAGACTACTACCTAGGTAGGTAGATAAATCGATGGATTATCTGCGAGACCCCCGTCGTCGCCTGATGGAGAACAGCATGAACACCGGATGGGACAACCGGCTCCTTCCAGCTTCCAGGTCATTTTGGCACTCCGGGTGGTGGTGTCATAGCCAGGTGTTCTGTACCGACATGTTTTGCCATGATTCTTGTCAGAAAGACTCTCGAGTAGGATGTTGAGCCTTAGGAAGCCAACCAGGAAATTGGAATTTCTCTTCCAAGACATGTTCCCCCTTCTTCCCGTTAAACATGCAAAAGCTCTTGAACTCAGGTCTCGAAGAGATCGGCCATATAGTTCAGCAAGTCATCTTCGCTGCCGTCATCGACTCATCGTTCTCACCATTTTCGTCTTCATCAGCCTGTGCGTCCCGATTACCTGCGCTTTAACTGCTAGATATTGCCTTTGATAGACCGCCTGCCGGCAGACGTTCTCTCTGCTTCATGACGAATGGCGACCTGATCTTGAATGCTCGAAAAAGTCTTGCAAAAACATGACCGAAGACCTTCTCAAGCGATTCTTCCCCCAGAATTTGAAAGTAATAATCAGTTGAATCGGAATCCGCTGAGCCAATCTGTTTACCCGGGGACTTGAAGTTGCTCTCCGCCTGTCTAAGCGCTTCTTGCGCCTCGAGTTCTTTACTGTATGCCTCAAGGTTTGGTTGCATGCAGTATCGATTCCGTGCGGCTGACAACTTGTGCAGTGTTATCCAAAAAGATTTTCGCCAATCGGATGAGATGGACACACGTTCCTCCATATAGGTGAGTGCTGCCTCATGCTTCTGAGACACTGACATCTCTTTAGTGGCTACCAGAAGTACACTCAGGAATTCGATTTTATCGTCAAGATTACAGGCATCTAATTCAGCCCGAAAACTTGGCCTCAAGGTAGCGTTCGACGTGAACCAGCGGTCGGGATCGATAGTTTTCAGAACTGCGTCACTTGTCGCAACAACAGGTCCTGTTTTTAGCTAAAATGAAAACGAAGTCAGCGCTGGCAAAATACGCGAGCAAAAAGCACATACCTAGATAGCAAAAATCACTCGTCTAGTTCCTTCCCTCTCCTTAAACACAAACATGAGGTCCGGCCCTGCAGTCTGTTCAGGGAAATAGAATGTCGGCCTTGGAGCACTCTCGCGGACAAGTCGCAGCCAATCTGTTAGACCCAATTTCCCATCATTAGGGAGATAGTCGCTTTGAAGTCCGACACCTTCCTCTAAGATACAATTGGCCAGTTGGGGGTCTTCCTTGAATGCGCAGCCCGCAGCAGATATTTTGTACACTGTCTGGAAGGCAGATATAAAGTGTTCTGACTGTGGCAGCGTTTGACTGCTCAACAGCTTCACAGAAGCAGCCAGGGCGACTTCTGCAACCTCTCCAAATGCAGCTTCGTGAAATTGGTTGTCGTGAAGATAATCGTGGACCAGGGTTTCCAATTCGCCACTCTCCTTTAGATAGTCCATGATGCTATCCACAACCATTCTCTCCGCAAGGCAGACTTTGACCGCTTCTACTCCTTCGCTCGCAGCTGTTTCAACATATCCCAGTGCTTGCTCGATCAGCTCTGATCCGGTGTCCAAGGACAGTATCCGAGAGCGACCGAATAGATCCGCGTCGAAAGCCATTTTGAACACGTCTTTTAGCATTGCTTTGTTTTCTGGTATGTTCGCGAGCGCCTTGACCCTTTTTTTCAGAGGCTCTTTCAAGGTGGACTTGGCAGTATCAGCAACTTCATCGATCGCCTGGTCTGTCAAGCTCCCATCGTGGAGGAACCTGTCAAGAAGTCTCTCGATATAGTAAACAGACCATCGATATCGTCCCCTGAATCTAATGCTGTTCCGCAAGATGCGATCCATGGATAGTTCGATCCTTTGAATGACCTCGGCTGTTGAGGGGGACAGAGCACTGCCGCTAGAATCGCAATACCGCCGAAAGTGATCAAACAAACTGGAAGTAGCGAAACCCCGCTCGTTTGCAGGTAGCAACACTGCATCCCGGCTGTAAACACTTTGGACGAAGCTTGTCCTTGAATCCGAGATACAAAGCCTGTCAAGAAGCCCGGCCATTCGACAACGAAAAAGGTTCTTGAATTCTTGTTCATTTGTGACAAGAGGAAAAGGTGGCACGAGTTTTTCTCGCGGAGTGTTGCAGCGCAAGGGAGGCGGGGGGCTAGTAGCAGCAGCTATGGCAGCTCTCACTTTGTGAATATTGAGAGCCGTGCCAGAGAAAAAGCAATTTTCCGCAAAATGATGGCCCTCTGGTGCCTCGCGGACTCGAACTAGAGCTTGGACTAGAGACTCCAGCATAGTTCTCAAATAAATCGCACTGTACCTCATCGAAGCACCAAAAGAGCCCTTTTTGTCCAAGTACCGTATTCAGACGGAACCCCTGATGTTGTTTGAATCGTGCCTGGCGTAGTAATAGGGGACGATCTGCGGCGATTGTCGAAAGTCGGAACAGCCTTAGAAACGAGTCTTGTTTCCCTTGGCAAGAAAGCTGATACTGGAGCCAAATCTTCGGGCCGAACGTGAAACCAAGAGAATCATCTGCCGACCGCTTTGCAACTCGATGGAACAATTCGAGCCGGCAATGTATCAAACAATCCATTCTTTCCTCCAGAGGATAGGTGAGAATGGACGCTCTATTGATTGTCAACCAAGGCATATTTGTAGTCTCGAATAGCAGTTTCGTGTCTCGCGATGATCCCGTAATTCGTGGCTGATAAAGAGCCTCACCAGCATCATCAGCAACCTCATAATCGTCTCGGATAGCACCGGAAGTGAGATAGAAGCCATAGTTTTCCGACAGTGTGTTCATTATATGCTGCGTTTTGCCAGAGCCGGCTGAGGCAAGTAGAAAGTGATATTCTGGCCCTCTCATTTTCGTCCAAGTTACCGATCCTAAATGAGACTCCTCTTCACTGGAACCGCTTTCACGAGCATGATTTCCTGGTATCTTGCGATGTGACGACACATTCTCAGTGGGAGATGTCCGAAACTGCTGAGATAGTTGCGACATGACAGTTACCGCAGTTTCTGTCTCTTTCTCCGTCGCATATCGAAGTAGGCCAGGCCATATAAGACGTTGACCTCCAGCGAAAATGTAATCTAGTCCGAGATGGCGTGGCGAATATTGTCGCATCGAGTCCCAGTCGTTTTGTAGCCTGCTCAGAAATGCCGCCGTGTGTACAAGCTTTGGATGGCATGATTGCGACCAATCCTGTAGCAAACGTTTAAACTTGGGCTTCTCAATTGTGCGGTGCAATTCAAGTGTATGAATGTTGAAGAAGCAAGGAGCGTTGATCGAGACTGCCCAATCGGCCATGGAGTGAAACAGTGCAGGCCGATGTCCGTATATCTCCCATAATGGACCAAGCCATGGTATATCATTAGCTTGAAGAGAGGCTGTATAGAACTCATCATCGCGGTTGACGGCCTGTAGAACGTCTAAATTGTGTGGTCAGCTGGATGCATGCCCTCGGTTTCCGACAGGCGATTGTTGCTAAATACAACGTACCCTCAAGGATATTCCGTGGAATTTGTACAACGAACGTATCGGTGTGATCCTTCAGAATAGTCTCAAGTTCTTCAAAATGATGTTGTAGCGACTATTGCTCCATCATTCTGCGAAGAAAGAACCAGATACGCTTGTTGTCGGTACTAAGCTTCAAGAAACCGGGAAATGGTTCGTCGAGAATCTTTTTGAAGTATATCGAGCTGTTGAATTGGAGCGAATCGCCATAGAGGCTTGGCCGAGCATACAACGAGCTAGTACATATGACCGAGAACTAAATATCTCTAAGCATGAAATCATCTCATGAAAACGGTGTTCTTACCGGGTCCCGGGCCCAAGGTGCGAGCAGAAAGTCCACGACATCGCCTCTATCATTTTCTATCGCAACATGAACTGCATTCTTTGCGCAATGATGATCCCGCATTCAAGGAGCTGATGGCGGACACAGATGGGGTGTATCACCGCACCACGCTTCCACCGGGCAAGATGCAGCCGAAGGTGTGGGAGCGGCAGAAGCAGATCACGCGGGAGACGCTGCCCCCGCAGTTCGTGGAGCTGGTTGAGGAGACGACGAAGCCGCTCGTGCAGGTCATTACGGACGTGATCTCCCCTCAGAACGAGTTCTGCGGTGGCAAGGTGGTGCTTATCGGAGATGCGCTGGCGGGGTTCAGGCCGCATATTGCGGCTAGTACAAGCCAGGCGGCGTCTGACGCCATGAAATTGGCGGACATGCTGGAGGGGAAGATTGGGAGGGAACAGTGGAGAGAGGAGTCGATGCGGTTTGCGAGGGTGGTCCAGGAGAGGGGATTGCAGATGGGGGAGAGGAGTCAGTTTGGGAGACATCCGTTGAGTGGGCATATTAGGGACCGGAACACGGCGTCGAAGATGTAGGTCTTGAAGGAATCCATATTAAATATACTGACGATCTTCTAATGGTTTTGTGATGATGTTAATCCTATCCCAAACATGAACGTTGGTACTTCCAGGTTGGTGTCACGTGCTGACGCGCGTACATCCCCCAACTCTTACTGCCCTTTTTCAAAAGAAGCTGAGAGAAGATTGCTAATTAGTTTTAATTATGATGAACTAACAGGTTTAAAAAGAGGAATTAGAACAAGAACCAGCGTGCCATCAGCTCACTATTAACCCAAAGTAATTTCCTTCCACTCACTGCCGGCAAAGGCCGCTCTGAAAACTTTCCCAAGCGCCACGCGCTGATAGACGCTACGCTCCCTATTGTACTCAATCATGAGCACGTAGAACACATTCCACTCGGACTCGTGCCTCTCCTTCGGGATGTAGTACATCCAGGCCGGATACTCTTCCTCTATAAACGCCTTGGCTTCCGAGAGAGCAATAAACTCAAACATGGTCCCCTTTCTGGCACTTCGCTTGAGCCACTTCTCGTCCAGCACGATTGAGCCGCACCAATCGCCAGCAGCGTCCGCGATGTCGCATCTACAGAGTCCTTCGCCGACGTTCCTGTCTGAGTCCTCGGCCAGAAGGGTGTGCAGTGATGTCTACCAGGTCCAGAACTGCAGGAGCGGTTGATCGGGAAATTCTCTATAAGGCTCGGCGGTGAAGCCTGCGTGCAGGACGCGATACGGGTTCTCCGGGGTAGTTTGGGAGAACATGCCCTGCGGCTTGCCGTCGAGTTCGATCCAGTGCGCGCGGCCCCAGTCGTCGTAATAGTCTCTGGAATTGTCACCGTACTCCTGATTACGCCTATACCAAAGGCGCCGCTCCTCTTCCGGGCTTAGCTTCTGGGGACGACGTCGTACGATGATTCTCTCCTCATCCCCGCTCTCTCTATATCTGAATGAGGCTCTCCCTTCCTCGTTCTCTTTGTGTCTTTCGAAGTCTTCGCGGGCCTTAAGCTCTTCTGCGCGTCTCTCTTTTATGCGTTTGATCTCTTCCCGTTTTGACTCTTCGACTTCGCGCATTACAATTCTAAATGGCTCCTTCGTACTCCTCTCCCTTTCGCCCTCCAAAACTCTTTCTTGATGAAGCGCCCAGCCCCCTGAAATTGCCTCGTGATGCTTGTCACGTAGCCAGCGCTCTTTACCGGACAGGTTCAGTGTGTTGTAATTATCACCGACGTACACGTCCTCATCATCAAAATCGGAATATTCATCGGTCACAACGTGCTTACGCGCTCTGTAGCCTTTCCACCGTGTTTCTGTGCTCCGATCTTCTTCAGATCCGTCCTTGTTCCACAGCGGTCTCAAATCCCCGTGGCCATCACGGATGTACCAACAGATCCAGGTATGGTTGACCAGCCACTCATGGACGTTATCCAAACACCCGTCAACCATCTCTGCTTGGTAGTCCATCTGGGCACCTGTCCAACCGCACCACGCCCAGCTTGGGAACTCAAGATCCCTCCATTTTTCATCGCCGCTCACAATCCGGCGTCCGAGTGAGCTACGCGGCTGCCAGAGCAACGCGAGGTCCAGGTGAGAGGTAGGAAGGCCAAAGATGAACGGTGCTCGCAGGCGGTCTTGGATGAGGCTGCAGACACCCTCAAATGCAGCTAGTACATCTCCTGATCTGGTGAGTTCCCGAGAAGTGTAGAGCGATACACATTTCGTGTAGAACCAGAAGGCGCGGTTCTTCAGCTCGTCTAGCATCTGCAGGGGAGAGTGTATCGAATTCAGTGACCATCCTCCACCTCGGCCATCCGCAAAGATACCCTCGGATATGTCCGTCGACCGACATTGCCAGTAGACGCGCCCGTTGGTGAAGATCAGGCAGCGCTGTGAAAGCAGACGTTCTTGAAATGTCCAGGCCCGTTTATTCCAACGAGATGCTTGGATACCAATCTCCGGAGGTCGCGATACCATCAACCGTACATCAGGAGTGCAACGTTCCGTGAGCTGGCTTGGAGAATTCTCGAGTTCCATGGCTCTCAACCCAGTGGACGCGTCGTTTCCGTCCGCCGCACATATGGTCATGATTGCATTCCCGTAGATCAGGTCCATGTTTTGTGCGTTCAACTTCCATGATCGAGGGCTGTCTTGGACGATGCAGATGCTGTCAACCCAGATGAATCGTATACCTATCTTCTGAACAAGTCTTATCGCATCTTGAATAACCTGGGGTAGCCGGCGGAGAACGTCTTCCAGTCCGCCGTGGCTCTGGTGGAGCAAGATGTTCGACCGCTTCGTCACGTACGGGCCTCCCTTTTCCGGATCTGGACGGCCCCAAACGTAACTCAGCGTAACATAGGGCTCCCATCTGGGGGTAGGCCCATCCAAATCGTATGGCAGCGCAGTCAACTGCATATTCACAACGTCGATGACGCCAAAGTATGACTCGCCTAGCATCTCGCGGAACCGGGATACAGTGCTGGAGCGCTCCACGCATCGACGTCCGTGATGTCCGAGGCATAATCCCAACCAACTCACAATCAAGGCTTGCTTGCTCTTCGTCGGATCGATGGTCCGCCTCAGGAAATGCGTGTCCTTTCTCCAGACCGTTTGCGCATCTGAGTTTGGCCGATTATGGTTCTCCGGAGCGACGAACACCAGGTAAGACTCGCACTCTTTGAGGATCTCATTGTCCCAGCAGAATGCGAAGTCTTCGCGTACGATTTCTAGCGTCGCTCGAGCCTTCGCGCAAACACTCACGACCATCAATCTCCCACTTCACCTGGCAAGTAGCATCTAGGGCTGACTGCGGAAGGGAGCAGTTCACAAGGCCATTCGCGATGTCCTGCAAGGACTTCGTGACGAGCGTGCATAACGGACAAGATCTGCTCCTTCGCTGAATATCCCCCAGACGGCCAAGGCAAAACTTGGCGCGTCCAGACCTGAGTGGGAACGAGGTGAGTTTACTGGCGGCCGCAAACGAGGCCGATCTGTTGAATTTAGATGCCGGGGTCAAATTCTTCTCAATGATGAACTTGTCAACACCTAGGTTTAGGGATTTGCAAACCTCGCACAGTTCCTATCCCATCACCGTCAGCGATATGCTTTCGACATCTTGCAGCTGAAGACGGCTCTTACCTTCTTTTCTGGGACAACGGAGCCCCTTGGTTCATCCACCACCGTCTCCCCGTCGAGATCATCGCCTCCAGACATCCTCTTGGTGGGTAGAATCTGCGCTGTGAGACACCCCAAATGTCGGAACACCAACACGTTGTGCAAGCCATGGTGGGAGCGGAGAAGGCTTTGTTGTATACTCTCAGCTTCCCCCGCACCGACAAAACATTGGGGGTCAGAAGATTCTTTTGCATCTGGCCACCGGTCATGCCTGATGCAAGCTTGGGGAAGTGGTGGCAGTAGCTGAGCTTATTGACCAATGCAAGAGCGCTTGACCGGTCGTATTGCTGACAAGGCTTGCATTGTAGCGCTCACGCATGCTCAGCCGCACCAACCGCTGCCAAAAGTGTCGCAAGGCAGAACCATCGTCGGACACTGACGAGTCCTGGTCGATGAGAGCAGTGTTTGATGGACTCGGAAAATTCAAAGGCTCGGACTACTAGAAAGAGGACCAAGCTGATTGCGGCTCGGTGACTGCAAGCGCGAGGCATCATCACTGAGGATGCTGTCGGAGGTTGCCATGCGGGGTCAAAGAACGCCAGACACCTAAAATTCACCAAGGTTTTGCGGCAGACTACCTAGACACCTACATAGGTAGAGGCCCAACCCAATCTTTAGGTTTTAGAGGGATAGATACTTTGATCAGGGTTTCTCAAGCCTTACAATGTCAGCGAGGGCCCTGAAAAGAACGTGTCGCGCCTCCTCAAACTCCCACCCAAACTCCGCTTCCGCATCTACGAGCAAGCTCTAGCCGCTCGCGACAATGCTCTAAGGATCTATTACTCCTGGATGCATAATGACCACGTGAACCCCAACGTCGGTTTGGGTCTTCTCCGCGCGTGTAGGAAAATCTACCATGAGGCGCACAATCTGTTATACACTCAAAATACAATCTACCTTGCTCCTACGCTGGACTTCTGGTTGGGCGCAGCAACTCGCCTCCCGCTGTACGTGTTGCGAAATCTCCGACATCTACTCATTGTCATCGCATGTTATCGCACAGAACAAGAGGACGAAGAGCCGGCGCAAGGAGATCTGGGACTCCTTTCAGACATGACCAGCTTGCAGAGCGTTCGTGTCTGCGTTATCAGTCACGTTCACAATTTTGGTCGATTGCCCATGCCGTTTCTCTCGACCGTCGTGGAGAGTGCTCCAGCGAGCTGCGAGATTCTGCTCGGATCGGAGAGCGATGTGGAAAAGGCGTTTGCTAGCAAGTTCCTGAAGAAGGACTGGGATGACGAGCTGGATCCCATTGAGATCAACAAGAGTGATCTTGAAGAGGAGATGAAGAAGGTGATGGCGGTGAAGGGCGCGAAGCCAGGGCATACCAACCTGAAGCTGTGTCCAGCTGTGGAGTATGATCCTTTCTATAAGGATCCGAGGACATAGTGATGCTAGCAGAACGTTGAAGCAGTATTGAGAGTCCTTGATTAGCAAGCTTCACCTACCTACCGGGTCAGATAAGACTCTCCTAACGCTCGATAGAGTTAATAGAGTATCAGCAGTGCTTACGCAGGTGGCTTGTCTACTTGGGCTCGGCCTCAGCGAAGCCATGTGCTCTAGCCTTGTTGACGGTGCAGCAGGTCTCACCGTAAGCATGCATGTGAACATGGCTGTCACCGCGTGCCCCCTTACCATGCGATCAGACGAACAATAGAATCAGATGTTTCGCATGGTCCAGATACTGGAAGTACCTAGGTAGCTCCTTACGTCCTCCTCAGAGTTTGATTTAGTCTTCGTCTCCCAGCGTTGTGTACCTAGCGGAGAGGGAATTGCGTTGGACGACTGGCAAACTTCAGTAACGTTCGATAATCACCAAGCACTGAAGGCGCCACGTGGGTCCTCTTTGGGGCATGCGAACAGCTGCTGAGAGCTATTGCTGACTCATTGGAGGTTCGCAGTTGCCTTACCGCAAGTCCAAGGCAAATGATGCCTGCTGCTCAGCCTCAGCTGTGCTTGCTTACAGCTACATCTATATCTGATACTACGCACTTTCATAAATTCGCTCCTTCCTTTCGTGAAAGCTACAGAACCGCAATCGATCTCAAGCAATCAAAAACGTCTAGCATATCCATACATGTCTATTCCCCAAGTCTACAATGTCGACAGTCACATTCCTCCCGTCTCAAATCGGCGGCGCTAGAGGCAACGCCCAACCAGTGCCCATCCCCAATACTGGCAACCCGTTTAAGCTACTAGGTAGCGATATTATCCTCTTCATCAAGTGCAAGAAACACCTGCTCGGGATCCTCTCGCCATGGTATCCCTGGCCAACTGGCCCCCTTGACGAACTCTATCCCTCGCCAGCGAATCTCTTCTGCCTAGGCGTCCACGGCTTCCTTTTCCTCTACCAAGCTGCCTTCATCGTCGCCGTGATATTATCCTTCATCCTGCACGCGCCCTTGCCATGGTTCGTCGCCGGCGCCGGGCTGGCGCTCGCAATCAACTGGGCTATCTGCCGCTACCTTCTTAACGGCCCCCGCCGAGTCCTGCACTCCACGGTGGACCTGAGCAGAGAAAAACAGCACCCCAAAGAATTCTGGATCTTCCTCAACGGCGTCACCATCGGCTCGCACTGGCTGCAACAGAACCTGAATCGGCTCGCCTACACGTTCCGCCGCCCGATCACAGGCGTGCACAACATGACCGCGGGCCTCATCTTCGACATCGTACAGTGCCTCACTGAGCGCAATTTCTCGTACTCGACGCAGGACGTCCGAGATGGGTACGTACAGATCAAGCAGGCCCTGCTGGACGAGCGCTACGAGAAGGTTGTCTTCATCCTGCACAGTCAGGGCGGCATCGAGGGCGGGCTGATTGTCGACTGGCTGCTGGCCGAGGTGCCGCAGGACTGCATGCGCAAGCTCGAGGTGTACACGTTTGGATGCGCGGCGAACCACTTCAACAATCCGCACCAGACGCGCGGCGGTCAGCGGGCGGCGGAGGCGCAGGCGGATAGGGAAGAGCCCGGGTGCGGGCACGGCAGCAAGGTCATTCGGCATATCGAGCACTACGCCAACGACGGGGATCTCGTCGCCCAGTGGGGGCTGGTCAATTTCATCCGCGTCCCCAATCGATTCATGGGGACGCTTTTCCAGCGAAGGGGCGGGGGCCATCTGCTGAATCTGCACTACCTGCACGCCATCTTCCCGCTGGACAACAGAATGCGCGTGTTGGAGAACAACGAGTTCATGGATGCGCCGGTTAGGTTTGACCCGGATGGCGTGGCGGCTGACGCAAGAGACGGCGAGGTTGCGAGCCTGCAGGTGCCGGAGGCGGAGGTCGTGAATATCAATTCGCCGGTGGATGTTATGTCGCCACGATCGCCTACAAACGGCGAGGGCATGACGTACAGAGTTAGGGACTTTAGCCGGTTGTGGAGGTACCGAAATGGAGGGAGCCCGCAAGACTGACGAAGCCTGGGCTCTGATGCAGTGTCTGAATTCTTCTGAGTGGTGATATACTTTTGGAGGTGTTGCATGGTCGCTCTCAGGCTCCTCAAAGGCTATCCGTAGGTTGGTTTGTCAGTACAGAGGCGAACACTGGTAAATGTTTGGCGTTTGAGGACGCTTCTAAGTAGATCCATGGAAGGTTCGTGTAATGCTCGTGGTTCAGCAGAGACTTGCATAACAGTCGTATTCAGGGCGCATATTTGTTCTACCCGTTGAGTTGCAAGCAGTTGAGATATCAGCTAGTGTGAGTCGTACAACGATGGATTTGAGTTCAGCTACCCGCAAGGTATGGGACGACAGGGCATTGCGGACGCAACTATATAACACATTGCTTATGTAACATGGAAGAGGCTGATCGATCTATCGTTGGATCCTTCTGGGGGCGCTTATGCCTTTTGCGACACAATCCCTGTTGCGAGTTAGCTCCGAAATCGACCGATACTCGATAAGCCACTCACTCTCCACGTCCTTCACGCTCTGGTCCAGGATCTGCTTGAGCACCTTGGGATCCTGCAGCTCCTTCTCGATCTTGGCGATCACACTCTCCGCAAGCTCACGCTGCTGCCTCTGCTTGACCTGGCCCTCGTAACGTACCCACGAATCAAGAACAGATTTGGCTTCGCTAGCAAGGGCAGTCCTCTGCTCCAGCTCATAGGCCTTCGCCTCAAGCTGAGCGGTTTCCTATGACTCGTCAGCAGCTCTTCCGGATATGGATGCGATTGATCCGTCCTATGTAACCCGGACATACCTTCGAAACCTCGAACAGCGACTTAGTGATATCAATGACCCCGCCCAAGTCCTTGACACTATCAATGCGGTGCCTAACCGCCTCGGTATGGTCCTGCCTAGCCGCGTTCAAAATGCTCTTGATTTTCGCGTTCTGGCCCTCCGCCCACTGCTTGTACATCGGACCACCGTAGTGAGCGACCGCCCAGAAGATGGTCAGCAGACTGAACATGACGATCGACTCCTCGTTGACGACGTAGAGCTCGTTGCTGATCGCGGCAATGGACAGCCCAGCGCCGGCGGAGAGCACGGCCGCCTTGCCGACGACGCTGCTGCCCGGTATCGAGTCCATGATGGACTGGGCCTTCTTCTTCGGGTCTTCGGCGGGGACATTGGAGGCCGAGCGGGTGGAGGTGAGCTGGGTGATGGCAGGGAGGGTTCGGATGGGGAGGGTTGGCCGGATGCGGGCAGCGCCTGGGGACGGTTAGTGGGGTGTTCAATGGCTAGGAAGGTCAAACATGGAGCTAGTGACTGACCAAGAGCGCTTCTTGCGAGACGTGAAGCCATTTGCGATGGTACGGGAGTGGAGATGGTGCCGGTGATGCTGCTGAGGGTTCGAGGTGCAGTTCAGACATCGCAGTTGCTTGGCGCTCGGCATTACGTCGGGGAGCGCGTTGAACTTTTTGAGCTGCGCAAACACATGGGGAGAGCAACCATCGCCTACGATTTACCAAAGATGCCCTACCTTACCGCCGCTGCGTCTGCGGGCAAAAAGAGGAAAAGAGACGTCGAGGACCGCCATGCCAATCAGCGCGCAAAGACCAAGAGCAGATCAAAACCTACAGCCGCTGAAGAGGAGGATCCCCAGGCGCAGATATTGCTCCTAGAGAACCAGATTTTGGAGTCGCGACGCCACTACAACAATATCGCTACTCTTCTATCAACTGCGCGGCAAACGAATGGTGACAGCGAGATCACTCAAACTGCACTCATAGCACTATGCCGCGTCTTCAGCCGGTTGATGGCCGCTGGGAGTATGGTGAAGCGCAGGACAACACCGGAGACTGAGGTTGTCATAACTCAGTGGCTGAGAGGGAGATATCAAGAATACACACAGCTGTTGCTAGACTCTTTGCGCGGCGTGGATGCCGTAGAGCAGAGCACGGTTTTGACGCTGCTCATGCGCCTGGTCAAGGAGGAATCGATACACCTGCACAATCAAGGCGACAACGCTTGGAAAAACGGGCTGTTTGCAAGGGTGATTGGGGCTCTGCTCGAACTGTCCGAGTCTGCTGATCTGGTCAACGGATTCCTGGAGGAGTATGTGGAGGAATACGATGATGTTAGGTTCTACATGTTTCAGGTGTTACCGTAAGTGTCGCTGCTATGCTCACCGCATGCGGTTATTGATACGAGTTCAGGTCGCTGTTACGAGCCGACAGAACACCAGACGCGCAAGAACGAGCGACAGTCAATGCACTGGCTCTGCTCTCCGGTATCGAAAACGTACCTGAGAGCAAAGACGACCTTGATAGCTACTTTGGCGAGGCACCTGACCGTGAGAAGCACTCTCTGAAGTCTCTCCAGTCGCACAAACGGCAAGCTCAAGATGCTTGGTTAGCTTTACTACGCTCAGGGTTGAGTAAGGAGCAACGTAAAGCTGTGCTGGGTATCATGACCCATCGCGTTGTGCCGTGGTTCGTCAAAGTGGAACTCCTCATGGATTTCCTGACGGACTCGTACAACGTTGGCGGTGCGACGTCGCTTCTGGCACTATCCGGCTTGTTCTATCTAATTCAGGAGAAGAACCTGGATTACCCCTCGTTTTACCCGAAACTGTACTCGTTACTTGACGCTGGAATACTACACTCCAAACATCGGTCGCGCTTCTTTCGCCTGCTAGACACATTTATGTCTTCGACACATCTACCCGCTGCGCTTGTTGCAAGCTTTATCAAGCGGCTATCCAGACTAGCCCTGCAGGCGCCGCCAGCCGGCATTGTGGTGGTCGTGCCTTGGGCGTACAACATGCTGATGAAGCACCCAAGCTGCACGTTCATGATCCACCGGGAGATTCGTGTTCCAGAAGCTCGGAAACAATTGGAGGAAGAAGGCATGGATGACCCATTCGACATGAACGAGGTAGATCCTATGCAGACAGGCGCGATCGAGAGCAGCCTCTGGGAGATTGAGACGCTGCAGTCGCATTATCATCCGAACGTTGGGACGCTGGCGAAGATCATCTCTGAGCAGTTTACTAAGCGGTCTTACAACCTGGAAGACTTTCTTGACCATTCGTACAATGGTGTAAGTACTATCCGTGGTTGCGTCGTGAGGAGAAGCTAACGTCGTGCAGCTGATTGAGGCCGAACTGGCAAGAGAGCTCAAGAAGGCGCCGGTGGTCGAGTATGAGATACCTAAGCGTATTTTCACTGACGAAGGGGAAGGAGTAGGGCATTTGGGTGGGTTGATGGCTAAGGTGCTTGAGGTAAGCAAGCTAGATAGCGAATGATACTACATGGGCACCATACAAATACCCAGACATCAAATTCTGTTTTTTACCCTCCCGGAGACGTTCCGTCTGCCTAGCTCGCGGTGGCTCTACCATAAACAATCCCTCGTATCTTGCTGTGAGTCGAGCATGGCGTACCATAATCCTTTGATCTCTTGCGATGGGTTTCTAACTTTCGAGGCTGTCCCGCTTGCTGCGTCATGCGGAAGAATGAATTCAAGACCGCCATGTCGTCAGATATATTGTTGGGTTTCAATACGGATGTGATCCGGCAGTTATTGAGGCCTGAAGGCTTCTGCAAGCCCGCCGCTAAGTTTCTGCACATGCACGTCTTGACGACGGGACTGGATCGGGACGCTCTCGCCAGCTCCAGCATCACTTTCAGCATCCACGCGCGGCGCCTTGGGCGGGTAAGCCGAGTTGGGCAGGATCAGCCTGGGCAATGTGTCCCAGATTCAGACGGTGCAGCCTCTCGGAAGCAAGAGGCGTGCCAAACGTGTGGCTGCTGAGAGTCGACTGACCGGCCCGACGCTGAGATGCTCACAGGGCTCACGCAAGCGAGGAGACGGCAGCCATTCTCCCGTCCGGGTTTCGCGGTGTCCCATGTCACCATCAATGGATTGTACAAACCATAGCACGGCGACTATGCCCAAAGAATTTATCTGCTGCCGCTAAGCGTTACGCAAAACCTCCGCGAAGAGGCTCACGCTTGCAGAGCCCAGCACGCATCGACTTGCAGTCACAGCTCGGTTCAAATCTCCTGCGACTGCTCGACAGGAGAAGCAGGGAAAACGCGCATCACGACTCAGGTAAAGGTATGATTGGGCCAACCTCACCGTGACGACCGGATATCGTTGCATCAGCAGAAAAGTCATGCTACTAGATCCTTTATGTCCACGTGAATTGCTATCGTGACTGTCATGGTCAAGAGGCGAAGACAAAAACAGAAACCGCTACGGCTGACTAGACTCAACCAAGGACGGCAAGAGATCGCATCTGGGTTGCGGGTCGGACCTCTGCGCCTGTCCGTCATGGCCCGCTGCAAGCTTCTTTCGTGGTACCGCAGCACGGATATCCAGAGCTTCGTTACTCATCGAACCATGGGACACACGGAGCAACTACTCCTGTCGGTACCTCTGCCGCCGACAGTGGGAACAACAGCAGTCACCTTGCACCGAATTTGCTGGAGGTTGGCACCTTTGGGCAGAGCGACAAACGGACGGCTGAAGTCTCCGGCGATTCAATGTGCGCCTCTGGTTTATGCTGCCGCGGCAAGAGACGGCACCGCCATCGGGATCGCAAGCATCACAGCCGTGTATCAGAATGGCACAGGTCGTCATCTATCTCGGCTTCGGGGGCCAGGGAAGACTTCTGTTGACTGTCCTGCTACCTGAAGCTCCCCAAGCAGGACCGCACAGGCAGAGTGCTCCGCGCCAGATTCGCCGACTGAAGGGTGGCTGCATCACCCGGCACCCTGGGGCAGGGCTTACAGCCTATCATGGCGGCGGTTGTGCTGCGCTGATACCCAAACCATCAGGCTTGGTGGGCGGATTTTGGGGCGCCGAATCGCAGGGCAGCGGCTGGTTTCGCGTGCAGCCCACAGGCAGCCCACACACTTCTGCTCGCCCACACCCCACCTTCTCGCAAGAGTGAGGGAGCGCCCAGACTGCTCCGAGCGCGGCAACAATCATTGCCTTATGAAGCACGACGAGCCCAGCAGCAGATCTCCCCAGGTGTTTTTGGAATCTTTGCCACTTCTCCAGCTTGCACACAACACACTTGCGGCTCTGTACAGCGATCCGCCGGACCGTTCCTGAGCGACAGCCGCGACCAGCGCAGCACAGAGCTGACAGTTCCGCCGACCAAGCGCGCGAGATCCAGAGAGAGATCCATCTTCTGACGACCGCGCTCCGGGTTAGGTCAGCGATTCGCCCAATCGGGACATCTACACCGCCCATTGCCGCGCCTACACCGGTACTTGCATACAAGTACAGCAACATGGCATTTGCTTGCCAGCCAGACCTCCGCCGACCTTCTTCAACGCTTTCCATCGATACGAAGTCCGTATCCCTCTTCGGCGACAGTGACACTCTGCCCGACTTTGCTCTGGACCACACCGCCATCATGTCGCCCACGCTCACCCAGCGACGAGACTCTTTCAGCACGGCCGCCAATGGGTTTTGGTCACCTGACGCGCAGCCGTGGGAGGAGTTTCCCGTCAGCTTCATGGACCGGACCGCGAGCGCATCGACCAATCCGTTCCTGCAGCAGGACAACAACCCATTCACGCGGCTGAACTCTACCCAGGCCGCTGCTTACGGTCAGCAACCCGCCGCCTGGCCATTGCATGACGCTGATTCAGGCTCTTGCACGCCAACGACTGCCAAGACTGATTATGCCTTCCACCCGGACTTTGATACAGGTCCCGCTTCAGCCTTTGGTATGCCTGTGGGGTCCAACGCTGCCTTCAGTGGCCTACCGCACAGCAACGTGCGGCCCAGCTCGGTGTTCCCATCCGCCGCAGCCGGGACTCCAGCCATGCCCCAATCGCCCCATTCCCACAAGGAGTGGATGGCTATGGCCGCCTCGGAAGTTGAGTCGCGGCCAATGCCCAAGCGCATGCGGCCAAACACCCCTCCTAGGTCTTTCTCTCCTGGCTTTCTACGCCGTGACGGGATCAGAAAGAAGAATGCTCGCTTCGAGATCCCGGCGGAGCGAAGTCTCCTCAACATCGACCACCTAATCGCCCAGTCGCAAGACGAGGATGAGATCAAGGAGCTCAAGCAACAGAAGCGCCTACTTCGGAACAGGCAGGCCGCGTACGTCTTCCCATCGTTGGTCCTTCAGCCTTTCGGTCCACCGTATACTTTGGTTACTTCTGTCCCATGCTAACCTCTCGCACAGGCTTGACTCACGGCAACGGAAGAAGAAGCATACCGAAGAGCTCGAGGAAGAGAAGAAGGCATGGACCACTCGATTGGGTGAACTGGAAGACGAGCTCGTGCACATGCGCATGCAGCACGATGCGGCTCTGCAAGAGAAAGACCACTGGCACCGGGAGTTCCTGCATGCCGAGCAGGTCAATAACGGCCTTCAGTATGAGAGGGAAGAGATGGTCCGGACGCACACACTTGAGACGGGCGAGCTCCGCAAGAAGGTGTCCGTGCTCACCGAGAAGCTTGAAGCTAGCAGCAGCACCGCCATGTCTCACCAGCCCAGTCAGAGTAGCTTCACCGACTTCGCAGCAGACATGGATAACCTTACTATGGGTGGCAACGACTGGGACAACTACATCTTCGTCAACGACTTCTGCATAGACCCCGAGCAGACACAGAACCAGCAGCTTCCTCAGCCAGCGCAACAGCAGCCCCAACAATCCCTGGTAGTCCGGCAATCGAAGAAGGATGAAGACAAGCCTGTCGCTTCGGGGCTTCTGCTTATGCTCCTCCTCTGCGGTGCTTTCGTCGCCAGCCGGTCATCCGGCTCATCCGTGCCCGCGATTCCACGCATACCCGACGACGTCCGTGCCGCCTCTACGCAAGTCCTGGATAGCATCTTCAAAGACGCCGGCGTAGCACCCTCTTCAACATCACCGTCCGCGCCCGTCCACTCGTCTAACGTCATCGTCAATCATGTCGAAGGTTGGCCGCGGACGACGCTCTCCGGCGCGGAGTTTGCCAGTCTCTCGAACCTGGACAACCTCCATCACCACCTCGTCGCTCCGACCAAGGACCAGGAAGCCGAGCAACTCTTCTCCATCACCCCCGCCCAGTACAACTCCCTTACCTCCACCGACTTCGCCCGCCGTGTCTACAGCGTGCACTCCGACGATGACCACAGCGCCGCGCTATCGCCGGCCTCGCAGTCGCCGAGCCACCGCCGCAACTTGGCGGAGACGTTGGCAGCTATGCGCGAGGAGAGCAAAGGCGAGACGGCTGCCGAGGTGTATACCAGGAGTCTGCTCTGGGACACCATCCCCTCCGAAGTCGTCCGCGAGTTCAAGCGGATGGTTGAGGGAAGCGGCGCGGATGTCGATACGCCGCTGAGCAATGTCGACAGCGGCCTCAAGTGCGAATGAAGAGATCACTACATTAGCCGCATCCCTTCGCTTTCCTTTCTAAGAGTATTGCCCTTTCAGGCACGCTTCACAGCATCGAGCGGCTACTTGTGTTTTCGGTATCTGCATGCGGACGGCGGCGGCCTTTTCTCGTCCTTTATGGGTCGCTGCGAGGGCTTTCTTTCATCGTCTAGCGAGCTCACGCCTCAGACGTTTATTGACTACATCTTCGCTATGTTTCTTCTTTTCGGTTCACATGTTTGGTCACATCATTTCATCATCATTAGCAAGCGCAGCGAGCGAGCCATTTCTCATTATGTACATGCGCGTTTCTTCATTTCTACGCGCCCCACGAGCTTTACGATGGAATGCAGAAGGGGTAGACGAACGACGGGGGTGTAGATCGACGATGGGATGCACATACGAAGCCTTACGACCTCACACAGATCAATGTCGATAACGAAAGCACGAAACGGTTTAATGAATACGGACACGGATATACCTCGCTGGCCTCAGGGCTACGGATGGGCTAAGACTGGATAGTCTGGGAGGGTTTTTGATTTATTTGTTTTTATCTTCAAAGATATACATGTCTTTAATGACGACGCAAGTTGGATTGTGGCCTCCTGAGAGATGGCTAAACTAGGTATCTGGGTATTTACAGCTGAATTGACATCTCACGATGGCTACACTCTTCTCTTCTTTCTCCTTCCTCTGATTACTGTGGCTTCTACTTCGGATTGTACTGCGGAGCTTGAGTCAGCTTTGCCACCGCCTCCCTCTTGAGGGGGCGAAACAAGGAAACGGCTCACCTTATCTTTCCATATCCTGTGCACCACCGATGCCTGTCAGCCGACAATTTTCCAATGAGGACAGCAGGAAACGTTTGCGAAACAAGAAAATAGCTCGATTTGATGATCGATCAGAGAACACTGAGGTCACTCCACACACCCAGCAAATCACCAGCCAAGCGATGTGTCAGCAGCTCAGCTCCGGCTGGCTCGGCTCCTGCCGCCGTCCGCCTGCCAGATGTGCCGACCGAATGGCAGACAGCGGAAGGAAAGGAAGGGCACGCCCGGCACGGCGCCGACCGCTCAGCCGGGCCCGGCTGGGGCGAGACGCTTCGGGGGGCCTGAGCCTATCATGTGGGCTTGGCACGGATATACGAAACACGCGGATGAGGGACGGGAAAGGAAGCAGGAAGAGGAATGGTGCTGGTGTGATGGGCTGATAACGTGACGAGTTTTCTTGGGCACGTTTCGGGTGCGCGTGGAGAGCGGTGTCTCCTCCGAACGGGTGATACAGCATCCGTAAACAAGAGGACCGACTGGGAGAGCAAGGAAAGAGAGGCAGATGACGCGCATACGGCGGGGGAAAACGACCGAATCAAGGAAACAGGGAAATGCAACGTACCAAGTATTCCCAATGGTCTTGCTGCCCTTCTCTTCGGCGAGGCGCAAGTACTGCGCGGCTTTGAACTGCGGAGCGCGCCATGCAGCGGTCAGCCTCGTGCGCCAAGCAAATGCAGTGCTGCTGCCCAAAAGATGAGGCTGCAGGTCCCCACACACACACGCTCCCGCGCCTTCCCACGCCATGGCAGCCCCCAGCCCAAACGTCCTCGGCTGCATTGCATTTTCAGGCTCTGGCACGCCGTTTATGCGGGTCGGCCTCAAGCCAAAACCAAACCTTAAACCGCCCGAAGCTTACGCCATCTTCACCAAATCCTCCTTCCCTCGTTCCCCCATCCACTCGATCGCTTATACCAAAGATGCACGGCAAGAGAAAGAAGCACCCCACTCACCTTGTCCTTCCTGCATCCAAAGCCCTCCAGATAGCACCACGCCGCCTCATTCATCGCGTCCGTGTCGCCCAGGTTCGCCGCCGTCTCGTAGTACTCCTTCGCAGCCACAGGGTCCTTCTTGATGCCCCAGCCGTTGCGGAAGCAGTTGGCGAGCTCGAAGATTGCGAGGACGAGCTCGCCTTTTGCGGCGCCGCCTTTCTTCATGCCCGCCTGTAGCGCCAGGGCCTCGATCTCGGAGCTGTTGGAGGCGGCGTAGGAGAGGTATGTTATTGCGAGCTCGGGGTTTGGTTCGCAGCCCCAGCCGTGTCTGGTGGTGGTGTTAGACGTTCCGTGTGGGCTGGCTTTGGGCGTCCGTTTGCTGCCTGCTCCCTCCTAACGAAACAGCCTGAGAACGGGAGGGCGATGACTGACCTCAGAGCTAGCCCGTACAGCACCTGGCTGAGCGGGTTGTTTGCGCCCTTCGGATCTGCCAGTCTGCCAAACATGGCGGTTGACTGTTCGAGATCTGCCGACAGCGCAACACGACACATCAGCAATCTGCCTCCGCACATCTCCGTGCGAGATTTCTAGATATCTGGGGATCTGAGACTTACTGCCAGCTTCGTGCAACCTGATCGCCTCCTGGATATTTTCCTGTGACACACCCTGCCTCAGCAAGCCGCTCTCTTCCAAACAACCCCTCCTGCCCAAGCCCTTTCCCAGCGAAAGAAGAGGAAGAAACCCACATCGCCCCTCGCATCACCAACACTGACACTCCGTTTCCTCCCCCCCTCCCCAGCCTCCAGATTCGTCGCGCTCCCACCCGCCCCATGCGCAACCGAATTCCCCGCCCGTGCCAACAGCGTCGCCCGCTCCTCCCACCGCGCCTCCTGCTCCTCCTCGCCCGACGCGGCTTTCAACCCCTCGTCCTGCAGACCCAGCGGAATGTTCACCGAACTGCTGCTCCTGGCCCTATTCCCCAGATGCAGCCGCTCGCTCAGCTTGCGCTCGTTCTTGGGCCGCTCCGGGAGCGTCACTGTGCCGGCCAGACCCGTCGCCGCCGCCGCTGCTGCGACGTCGCTTGGCCTGCGAGGGCTGCTTGGTCTCCTGCCGCCGATGGAGCCGGTGCGCTTGCTTTCGTCTTGCGCTGCGGGCGAGGGCGAGGGCGTCGGGGTGTGTTTGCGGAAGAGGGAGAGGCGGCGGTGGCCCTCCTTTGGCTTTTCGGGCGGGTCGTGGTCGCCTGGGAAGGAGGGTGGCCGGATCAGCTCTTGCGTCGTCGTCGTGGTGCGCATGAAGGTTATCTCGGGGATGTCTTGCGTCGGGGGTGGGGGTGCTGGCGGAGCCGCATTCGCGCTGGTGGAGGCGCCGGCGTCCTTGATCTTGTCTTTTTTGCGGAGGAGGTCTTTGAGCGTCATGGTGAGGTTGGGCGCTGAGCTTGTCGGTCCCAGCTAAAGTTGGTTGTAGCGTATACGGTAAAGCGAATTGGTAGGTCCGCAGAGCAAGTCGCAAGCAGTTGTAAATCAGCCAGGCGCGCTTTTGTCTTTTGCCGGGCGCTGAGAGGTGAGAGGAAGACGCATTGGGTCAGGTGGAAAAGATAAGCTAGAAGTGACTGGAATTATGTGGCTATAGAAGGGGACGGCTCAGCGCGGGCTGCGTGGTTCAGCGCTCAGCCTCCGTTCGCGTCCCCCAGAAATGTTCCGCATTTAGAAATCTGGGGGCTAGGGCTGCGGCCACACAGCCATCATTGCTGATGCATGTCTAACAGAGATAAGAGGATCGTGAACAGTGTACAGAGCTGTTAGTAAGGATGTATACAGTAGCAGCAAAGTCAGGTAACTATTATATAAAGTTTCCTAAGGATCTCTCCGTGCTCGAAACAGGTTGGGTCGCATTGACTAGTGTATCAACCTTGATTGCTACTTTCTCGTTGCTCTAGCGCTGAAGATATACAAGCTTCTCATGCCTCTGATGAGAGAAAGTCGTGCCATCTTGGTGCCCCAATATTCCCCCGAACGCCGTACAGCCATGCCGGGTATCTCGCAAAGTTGTAGAAATAAAGAAGCGCCGTAAAGCGCCCAAAGCGCCTTCAAGAGTAGCCAGAACTTACATTCAGGATCCAAAGGCCACAAAGTCCCGCTGCTGGGTGAGCTCGTGACCGCCGTCGTTGGTATCCTGCATCCGCATATCCTCCTGAAAGCCATCAGAGTCCACGTCGTCGCTGCCAATCTCGTCGAAGTCCTCATCGCTGGATAGATCTGAGGATCCAGCCTCCGGTGACGACGTGGCGGACGATTGAGCGGTGCGCTTGCGGATTTGGCCAGCTCTATCAACATGCGGAAGACGGCACTTGTTGTTGCGGCAAAGACCTTTGTTAGCATAGTCAGGGCATTCAAATACATGCTTGTCGGCACACTCTGCGCCCTTCTCGCAATATCCCAAGGTCGCGAATACGCGGCACACTGGGGCTCCGGGATTGACTCGTATATGGGCATAGCGGCAGCTGTCATTCGTGCAATTGCCACGAAGGAAATGCAAGCATGCTGGGACACGGTTGGGCGTAGGGTCGTGGGAAAGGTCACAGGCATCGCCGGCAAGGCAGGCGCCCTTCGCAAGATAGTCCTTGCAGATAGCGACCTTGTTCGGGTCGTGAACGAAACGACAATGGGGTCCTTCGGGACAGGTACCTGCGTTGTCGGTGTCAGCTATGCTCCAGGGATACCCACCGGATGTTGTATCCAGAAGCGCAGTCGAGAATAGGAAATACCAGTTGACGTGAACCTTGGACAAGGTTGTTCGGATTTTATGATATTCTTGCCCCTAGAAGATGTCAGCCATCTGAGCATTAGACTGTAATTGTGAGCTTAGAAGTGCCAGTCAGGCTAGAAACGCGTTGCAACAAGAGATGGTCTCATTTGTCGCGACGTGTTTCACCAACACTTCTGACGTGAAGACCTGCTCCTCAGTCGTACAAGGGGGACTTCAATATATCGCATGCTTTGAGAGGTTGCGACCGATGCCTGTCGTCTGGCGCACTTGCCTTCGGGTTTTTACTAGTCCAGCACGGTACAAGTTGCCGTGCTTACTCCTGACGAAGGTCACTCCGCCGATTTTGGTCTGTCTCGGGGTCGTCTTGGCGCCAACGGTCGCATCATCTGCGAAGTGAGAGGCGGCCTCGTCGTCGGGACAAGAGGACGTACCAGTAAGCCGGATAAGCTTGCTGCCGCCGTCTGTAACTCGAAAGCGCAGGTCTCCTACGTTGATGACGTGAGAAGGGGCTTCCGTTGCAGTATGACCTGGGTGATACGGTGCGGAGGTGAGTTGGAAATGCTTGCCAAGCCTAGCCAGCTCTCGTTCGTTACGTTGAAGTTTTCGCTGTTCGAAGCTCTCTTGCATCGCCTTGGCCCGTTCTTGGCTGAACTTGTCGTATATAGAATTGTTGATGAGCTGCATGTGCCTGCCCTGTTTGGTCACGAAAGCTGGCGCCTTGTTTCCGGCACCTGATGACAATGCGCCATCATCTCGTTCTGAGGTGTCCCCTGGCGTAGCATCTGGTACGGGTGGTGAGTTGTTCAAGATAAGCTTGCGATTCCGATGCACTGGTGGCACGGGCTTCGCGCCGCCTCGACCACGAGAGTATCCATATGGTGTCCCTCGCTGAGGAAGCCAGTTCGTAGCGCCTCGTCCATATCCGTGACCGTACGTTTGGTCCTGTGGAGGGATTCCTGTAGCTTGCTTGTGGAGGTTTATGCGGCCTGAAGAATCTTGGTTAGCTGTGCGTGTCAACCAGACTTTGATCGTCCTACCTGACAGAGCTGCGATCTTTGCTTGAAGATCCCTCTCTTCGGACATTCTGAAGAGTTTTCTGCTTGTTAGCGAGGTTAGCTATGACGGAGATCAGACGAAGTTCTGTGTCTATTCGCGCTGTCTTGTTTGCGTTTGCGGCGTTGTCAGTTGATGGGTGGAATGCGGGTCACAAAGAAGACGGCCCGCGGTCTTTTGCCGCTTACGTCAGCTTGTTCCGACTCGGGACTTCCTAATCCGGAACATTCACACAACCTTTGTCACTCCGAACCCCGAACATAGTGAATACCATTTAGCTTTCGGTTCAATTCAGCCGAGTTTGGGCTTAACGCTTCGGGAACTTTTCATAGCACTGACTACCAGTGCTGCGGCTAGGATAAACACCAGTGGGTTTCTGCTGAACGCTGACGGAGCAAGTCCTTCCTTTCATGTATCAAGAGAAGTGGCTACATATTGCCATGCTTATAGCCTCGATCTCTCCCCGGGCTCGAGTAACACCTCCATCTTCGCCTTCCACTCCTGAGCTTTCTCCTCAGGAACGGCATTCCCATCATAGGATACAAAAAAGTGGATGCCAGTATTGTCGCCAGCACTCCCAACCAGAAACTCATTATCCCTAGCTCTCACCACTGACCGCAGGCTTCGGTAATCCGCCACCAACCCATTCTCCGGCTCTTTGCTCAAGTCGAACATGCCCGGACTCAGCAAGTCCTTTACCGAGCCCACCGAGCTGACACCGCAGGTTGCGCTGCCGAAGTTATAGGTGGCCGGATACGCGCCCTGTGGATTCATCCCGGTACGTCGTTCAGGAGGCAGCTTTGTCTCAGCTCGCTCAACCGCTGCGATGTAGTTCGTCGCGATCATGCGCGCGGGATTGTGAGAACTCATGCCCAGATTCAGCTCCGGATCTCGAAGCCGTTTCTGGTATATGCGTAGCTGTCGATGTGCAATCTTAGCCAGCAGTCTGAAGCGCCCCTCAACGGGCAAGGAGGAAGAGAGGAATGGCATGACGATACCGTCGCTGAAGGCCAGCATGCAAGAGTCGGCGGGGCCGTTGTAGCCAAAGAATGGTCTTGGGTTCAGCGGGAACGCTGCTACGAACGGTTTTCGATCCGCTAGCGGGACTGAGGGGTGCTGCTTTTCGTAAAGCTCCATCATCGCGAGGCCTACGAGGGCGAAGCATCCAGCGCCTACGCTAGCGTTTGCGTCTCGCACAAGCTGTTGGAGGCGGTGGGAAGCGGTTTGTGGCAGTGTGAGGCCAACGAAAAATGTGTTTAGTGGCGGCTTGCGGTTCGGTGAGTAGTTGAGAATGGCCGCGTAGTTCGGTGGCATCTCTGTAGCAGTGTCGTACCTTTGGTCCCTTCGCAGAGGATTCGTGAGCCCCTGAGGCAGCGGTTTGCGAACATGCCTCAGTATCCGGACGATGGCCCAGTACCAGCGTTGTCTGGCAACATTGCCTGCGACAGGGGGATACAGATCTTCTTGGGCGGGCGGTAGGCAGGCCCATAACCGTTCGGGAAGTCTGTTCTGCTCTATACTAGTCTGAAGGTCCCCATTCGAGGCGTTCAGGAGGCGCATGAAGTGCTGCTGCCAATTGTACATGGCGAGGCCGTCGGTGATCTCGTGAGCGGCTATCAGTATGGCCTGGAACTGGTCTGTCTTGTTTTCTGAGAACCTTGGCGGCAGGATGAAGAGCCGCGACAGCGAGTGTTCAGCATCCAGTACTCTGCCGGTATTGAGGGCATGACGGTAGAAGTCTTCGGCATCCGCATCCAAGTAATGGTCATCAATGAAGACAAGCTGGTTTCCTGCTGTTGCCAGAGCTTCTGGATAGTCCACCGGTGGCTCAATAACGAAACAATCCCCCGAAGCCTGACACTCTACTTTGGCAAGCAGGAGGGCATGTTGCAATCGGAGGCTTGCCCAGGCAAGAAGCACTCTCTCGCGTAGCGATTCGGCGCTCAACGTGCTGCGGGCATCGAGTATCAGAAAGGCATTGACATCAGCCCTTCCCTCATAGTCGGTGCCATCGGTGTGAAATGCTGATTCTACCACGCCTATCCTTCGCCTGAAGACCCGCCTGCCGTTCGAATTGGTGTCTTGCCACGCGTGAAAGCCGCTGGCGTAACGATCAAGCCAGTGCTGAGACATTATGTGGACTCTTCACAGTAGCGTAGATAGTTAGAAGAGAGAGAGATAGATAGACATTAACTAGGTTCGAGGGGGAACTGCTCCTACCTGTCACGGCCAAGTGCTGCAATGATGCAGGGCAGCGGAAGCCAAAATAGCCTTGAGCACCTGCTTTACCTCGGCGGTAGTTCTTTACCTTGGATGTACATATTAATCTGATCTCTATATGTTCCACCAATACTTTCCTGGCAGCTTGACGTCTTCCTCGCTCAGTGCCGGACTGAACCTCAGACTTACATGCCGCGGCGGGCAGTTACAATCCACGTGCAAAACGTTCCGTACCTTTGACCCTCAGCCGCGCTAGGAGAGCGTCAGCCGCATGGATCAGCGCGGCCGGCGATAAGGCTGTGGCGTATCGGCTCCTGGAAGCTGCAGTACTCGTATTGAGCCAGCTGTCAACAACTCCTGCAACTCGATGTTCACACAAGATGAAATTACTACGGAGCGTACTGCTGCCAGCGCTGCTGCTGGTGGCAGCATCTATAGCCAAGAAGGATGCACCAGCCGTCACATCACACAAGTTCGAGACACAGCCCGGCAACCTGTTCTACTTCGATGATTCCGATGTTGTCTTGGTCACCGAGTTCGACCGCGGTGTTGTCTGGCGATCCACGGATTCCGGGGCAGAATGGTCGGTGATAGAGGATATACCTCAAGGCGAACCTTATGCGGTGCTAAAGCACCCTTTCAACGGCAAGCTTGCTGTTGCGCTGGGTCGGAAGAAAAGACACTGGATCACGAAGGATCAGGGGAAGAGCTGGAAGGAGTTCAAGACCGATGCATCCCCCAAGAACGACCCGTTCTCGCTGCCTATCAGCTTCCACGCCGACGACCCGGATAAGATACTATTCCACGGCGGCGACGAGTGCGACTTCTACACCTGCATCGGCACAACTTGGTACACCAAGGATGGATTCGACACTATGTACAAGCTCACGGACAAGCGCAAGATGTGCGCGTGGGCAAAAGGCACCGACTCCTTCTCAACGGGAGACGCCACCTCCGACGCCAATCGTATACTGTGTATAGTGGAGGGCAAATACTCTCATCGTACCAGCGATTTCAGGCTTCTCCTGACGGACGACTACTTCAAAGACAACCAGGCGGTGGAGCCTGAGCTTGCCGGAGACAGGGTTGTTGCAGGCTTGGTCAATATGGCCGCTGTCAAAGGCTACCTTGTGGCGGCTGCTAAATCGGAAGGCACGGACGAACTTGCGTTGTACGTCACCGACGACACCAAAACATGGCACAAAGCGGAGTTTGGTCAAAAGCTGGAGCAGGATGCGTACACCGTATTGGAGTCTACGAATTACAGCATCCAGGTCGATGTGATGACGAACAAGTATGCAGCTATTGGCGAGCTGTACACTAGCAACTCCAATGGAACCTACTTCACGCGTAACATTCGGAACACAAACAGGAACGAAGCCGGGTTCGTCGATTTTGAGAAGATGACGAACATCCAGGGTATAGTACTGATCAATATCGTTTCCAATGCGGACAAGGTCAAGGACTCCTGGTTCGTGGAGAAGGAGGTCCAGTCAAGGATCAGCTTCGACGATGGGAGGACGTTTCAGGCTCTCAAAGCTGGTGACGAGGACTTACACCTACACTCGGTTACCGATCAGCGAAACGTCGGCCGGGTCTTCTCCAGTCCGGCTCCTGGCATCGTTATGGGAGTAGGGAATACTGGGAAATACTTGAAGCCATACAGCGAAGGCGACCTGTACGTCTCTGATGACGCTGGTGTTACCTGGAAGCGTGCCCTGAAGGAAGCTCACAAGTATGAAATCGGAGATAAAGGGGCGGTGCTAGTTGCAGTTTACGACGAGGGCCACACCGAAGGGTTCTCCTACTCGCTCGACCACGGAGGAAAGTGGGAACAGGTCTCGCTTGATGACAAGATCCGCGCTCACGAATTGACAACTGTTCCGGATTCTACCAGCCTCAAGTTCATTATGATTGCGACCAAAGGCAAGGGCAAGAGTACAGAGTACCATATCTACTCAATCAATTTCGAGGAGATGCATGCACGCAAGTGCGAGAAAGACGATTTCGAGATGTGGCCGGCTCGCGTTGACAAGAACGGAAAGAAGACGTGTATAATGGGCCGAACGCAGTCCTACCGTAGAAGGAAGGCGGACAAGGACTGTTTCGTCGAAGCAGACTTCCAGGATCCTGTCCCAGAGTGGGAAATCTGCGAATGCACAAAGGAAGACTTCGAGTGCGATTACAACTTCAAAGCGGAGTGGGACGACAGTAACAAGAAATGTGTTCCTGCCGTGCCGGTGCCTGCCCCTGAGGGAGAATGCAAGAAGCCGGAAGACACCTTCAAGGGCCCTTCAGGCTGGAGACTCATCCCTGGAAACCAGTGTAAGAAGGCTGACGTGAAGCTGGATGAACCGGTGGAACGAAGATGTGGCGATACCAAGCATACGCCCGCGACCGGTCAGATTGTCACCAAGATCACAGAATTCAAAACCGGAGGCTTTGAAGAATACTGGTATCTTGAAAGAAAGGATTCCCAAGATGGGACCGATGAGACCGTAGTCATGCTTACAACTGACCGCGTAGCCCACATTAGCCACGACCATGGGAAGACCTGGAAAAAAGCGGAAGTCGACGATGACAAAGTGTCGGCCATCTATCCAAACCCGTATCAGAGTGACGATATCTACTTCATCACTCCAACCAAGAGAATCTGGTACTCGAAAGAGCGTGCACTAAACAAGCTTCACTCCTTCAACGCACCCGAGCCTCCGAACGCGGACCAGCAGGTTCTTCAATTCCATCCGACGCAAAAGGATTGGCTGATCTTTGCCGGCGCTCAGGATTGTAAAGCATCTTCAGGCACCTGTCACGCGGTGTCGTATGCTTCCACCAAGGGTGGGGAGGACTCGTCATGGAAAACATTGCTCAAGTTCACAACCAAGTGCCAGTTCATGTGGAGGGACCGCCGCCAGGGCAGCGATAAATTGGTGTACTGCCAGCAGTATCAGGACGAAGACACAAGCAAGCCGAAGCAACTCATCTCCAGCGAGGACTGGTTTGAACACAAGCATGTGGAGCTGCAAGACGTGGTCAACTTTGCGACGATGGCAGAATACGTTGTCGTGGCGCAGAGGACCGAGGACCGCAAGTGGCTGAAGGTCCAAGCTAGCGTCGACGGCAAAACTTTCGCTCATGCACACTTCCCGCATGGCTTCCAGGTAGAGCATTCGCAGGCCTACACTGTCTTGGATAGCTCTACTCACGCTGTCTTCCTGCACGTTACGATCAATGGCGTCAAGGATCAAGAGTATGGCACCATCATCAAGAGCAACAGTAACGGAACGTCGTACGTTCTCAGCGCCAATTTTGTCAACCGAGACAAAGATGGCTATGTTGACTTCGAGAAGATGCTCGGCCTAGAGGGGGTCGCGCTCATTAATGTCGTCGACAATGTCAAAGATGTAGAGACTAAGGGAGCGGCAAAGCAGCTCAAGTCCATCATCACGCATAACGACGGCGCTGACTGGGATTATATTCCACGCCCCGATAAAGACAACGAGGGCAAGGACTACCCCTGCGCTGGCGCTGGCAAGGAGAAATGCTCACTGCATCTCCATGGGTACACCGAGCGTAAAGATGTTCGGAATGGTTTCTCTTCGCCCACCGCAGTCGGACTCATGATGGCCGTTGGTAATGTCGGCGCGACCTTAGGACAGCGCAAGGAGGGCAACACATACATCACCCGGGATGGTGGCATCACATGGCTCGAAGTGATGAAGGGCACCTTTATGTGGGAGTATGGTGACCAAGGTTCAGTCATCGTCATTGTGCAGGAGGAAGTCCCGACCAACATCGTCTACTACACGCTCGACGAAGGCGATCACTGGACCGAGCATCAGTTCAGCGAGCAGAAGATGCAAATCGCGGCCATCTCTACTGTCCCAAGCGACAACTCCCTTAACTTCTTACTCTGGGGCAAGGACACTAGCAGCAGCGCCAACCTCGTCACCATCAACCTTGACTTCTCGGGCCTCAAGGAGCGCAGCAAGCAATGCCACCTTGATGAAAAAAACCCAGAGGCACCTGACAGTGATTACTACCTATGGGAGCCCCGGCACCCGAAGCAGAAAGACAATTGCCTTTTCGGACACGTCTCCCAGTACCACCGCAAGAAGCTCGAGTCTCAATGTCGCAACGACCGCAACCCGATCGCCAAGCTGCACAACATCAAGAAGAACTGCGAGTGCACCCGGGAGGACTTTGAGTGGTAAGCTCTCTCTGCAATCTGCCCCCCTTTCGTTTCTTGATGCTAACCCCTCCCAGCGACTACAACTACCAACGCGCAAACGAAGGTTCCTGCGTCCTGGTTCATGGTCTCGAGCCGGCGAATCCCGAGCGCATCTGTAAGGAGAAGCCAGATCTGGTCGAGTATTACGACACGACCGGCTACCGGCGGATCCCGATAACGACCTGCATTGGTGGTCTCGAGATGGACGTCAGCACCCCCCACCCCTGCCCGGGCCACGAAGAGGAGTTCACCGAAAAGCGCGGTCTCAGCGGGCTGGGTCTCTTCTTTGCTATTATAATCCCCTTTGCCGCAGCGGCAGGGATCGGGTGGTATGTGTATCGCAACTGGGATGGTAAGTTTGGGCAGATTCGGCTCGGGGACGCGGCGCCGAGCTTTGATAGTGGGAGTGCGTGGGTCAGGTGGCCGGTTGCGGCTGTTGCGGGGGTCGTGGCGGTCGTGGGCGCGATTCCGCTGTTGGTTGGGAGCTTGTGGCGGAGCGTGAAGGGGAGGGTGGGCGGCGCCGGGGGGTATGGTGGTAGGACGTATACGAGCAGGAGCTCGTTTGCGACTGGGAGGGGGGATTATGCGGTTGTTGATCCGGATGAGGGGGAGTTGTTGGGGGAGGATAGCGATGAGGAGGCTTGAAGTAATTGGGGGACGATGATCATTGTTCAGTAGACTTTCGTGTAGATTGTACGGCGGCGTGGATGACTCATGGGCGCTGGGAAAGTTCTACCAGGGTTCCATGTCTAGTAGGTATCAGGATGTACAAAACATATTTGACTGCTAGTAGCTCCCAAGATATCGTTGAAGCAGATAAGTGTGCTCCTCTGGTAATAATACCCACTTCCATCCCAGGAATCCGACCGCGTGCCAGATTCCGACGCACCGATAGCAGAACCTGGCCGTACCCCCTACGCCCCCGTTCCAAATGCCCAGACGCCACGCTATGCAACGAACCAATGCAAGACTCAAGCAGGGAGAACATCCACCATCTCGTCATCATCATCCCCAAGATCCACATCATCCTCAAACTCGCCCTCGCCTTCCTGGTCCGTTCCGACACCCTCAGCCTCCGGTGCAGCCTCCTTAGGCGGCTCCAAATTCCCATACACCGAATCCCTATTCTCCGGCTTCAACATCCACAGATTCGTAAACGCGCCCCCGCGTACCATGACCGCGATCTGATCCAGCGTCTCCTTAAGATACGACTCCGGCTGCTTCGTCCTATCCCGCAGCGCCTTGAGGCTCCAGTACTGGAACTCCTTGAACGCGTCGAAGATCATGTTGATCAGCTCCGTCTCGCCGATGCGCACGGCTTTGTTGTCCTGGGGGCGCCGCTTGCGGATCTTGGAGGCTTGCGCGATGTTCTCGAAGGCGTCGGCGCGGCGGGCGACGGATTGCTTGATTGCTTTTTCGTCGCGGAGGTCGTGGATTTCCATCTTTTGGGCGCGGGCGCGGGGGGGTACGGGCGCTTTCGAGGGGTCGCGGATGGGGATGGCGGCTAGTTCGTGGTGGACTGCGCTGGCGAGGGCGGTGGATTCTGGGGGTTGGTGTCAGTCATAGAGCAGAATGGCGTCCTGGGGTGTCTGAAGAAGAACCCACTTGGTATGATAGTCCGACCATGCCTTTTCTTGTCGACCCTGTTGTTGGGATCTTGGGTGCGTGGATAGCCTGGTTTTGGACCACGACGGTAGACACCGGCTTTAAAGTCGGCCTGGTCCTTTTCGGAGAAGACATAGGTGTTTCTGGACGCTGCGTTGGTCAACCGCATTTCGTATTCCCTCTCCAGGTTGGCAGGCATGGACAGTGATGGGCTCAGCATCAGTCGGCTCTGTGGGATGGTCAGCGTCTGGAAGAGACGGAGAAGGCGGAAATTATCCACTTGCTTTTTGCTCGCCGTCTACCTGCCATACCGCCAGCGTGCCTATCTGAACCGGTTCGTCGTCCCTGATTTTCTCTAGGACCTCCCAAAGCTCTTCGGGTAATCGAGCCAACCACCCATTCCTTGTCAAGTTTTGCGGGATTGAGAGCTCGCCGGTGTCTTCGTAGACGTCTATGTCGTCTAGCACAGGCGCTGGCGACGAGGAATCTGGATCCAGCTTGATGTACTCGCCGTCCTCCATCTTTACGCCGTTAGTTACGTTCGTTGCCATACCGGGCCTGAAGTGTCGCGGTGTTCGTGCTAAGGATATGGTGTCGTCTTCGAAGAGACTGGACAGCTGATCAAGGGCATGTGGTGGTGAAGTGTGGAGGTGGAGTGGATGAATGAATAGGGCTCGAGGTCTCCGTATGAGCAAAGAGCCGCAACCGTCAAGCTCAGGATCCCCGTCATGTCAAGCATCGGCTTATCGATAACGGTGTGATCGCCATCACACCTTGGGCTTCCCGTGCTTCCCCAGATTTATCTCGATACTCGGCCTTCCTGACAACAAACTGCACCAACATGCCTGCGCTCGCTTCTGCAGAGGTAGCAAACGCCTTGAAAGACCTTGAAACATCTCCCAACAACAACAAAGCGTCCGCCTACAATGATCTGCTTGACAAGATTGTATCCACTAGCTTGCCGGATACTCTAGCATCCAATCTTCAAGGTACGCCAACGTTGTTCGATATGAAGGAACGGTCTCTCGGCTCATTTGTCAGATCTGTGTGCTGGCTCTGGCACTGCTGTTCCTCGTTTCATGTGACAGATGCTTTATGCAACCTCATCACTGACCGAGCAGTAGCCTACCTAGAATCTCTCCTCGGCGAGTCCCTCGGCATCGTAGCCTCGAGACCTCTCCTTGCATCCTTCGTAACCCGCTTCCGGTCATTGAACAATCCCGATGTCCAGATCGAGGTGGGGACGCACGCGTTAGAGCTCCTGCAGCCCAAGGTCGTGTCCTACGAAGAGCAAGACACCCAGATCAAAGAGATACTAGCCAGCGCGTACGAGACACAGGAAGATTTCACCTCCTCCGCGAAGGTCCTACAGAGCATCACTTTGGACAGCAGTCAGCGAGCGGTGTCCGCGGACGACAAAGCGAAGATATGGACAAGGATCGTGAGGTGCTACCTCGAGGAAGACGATCCCACATCGGCTATGAGCTACTTGAACCGCGTCAAGAATGTCCTTTTTGAAGTCACAGACAAGGAAACGCGGCTGAAGTTCGCGTTGAGTCAAGCGCGAATCCTTGACTCGCAGCGAAGTTTCCTCGAGGCCAGCCAGAGCTATCACAGCATCAGCTTCGAGAGCATAGTCGACGAGGAGGAGCGGCTCCAGGCGCTGTCTGCAGCCATTGTTTGCGCCGTTCTTGCGCCTGCTGGGCCGCAGCGGGCAAGAACTTTGGCCAGGTTATACAAAGACGACCGCGCTTCCCAGGTAGAAGAGTTCAGCATCCTGGAGAAGATCTTTCTTGACCGCCTGCTCTCGCCCTCGGAAGTTGCCGCTTTCGCGTCGAAGCTTCAACCGCATCAGCTGGCAAAGACCGCCGATGGCTCAACAGTGTTAGAAAAGGCTGTCCTCGAACACAACCTTCTGGCTACGTCGCGTCTCTACAACAATATCGGCATCGCACAGCTTGGTGATCTTCTAGGTGTGGATGCTGACCGAGCAGAAGGCTATGCGGCGCAGATGATTGAGCAGGGCCGTCTGGCAGGGTATATCGATCAAATCGATGCCGTCGTCTTCTTTGAGGGCGAGGGAAGCGGGGAGAGGAAGCGAGGACAAGCGGAAAGGCTTGTGGGGAGGGAGATCAGGAAGTGGGATGCCAACGTGCAAGGTCTGGCGGAAGAGGTAGAGAGGGTTGCAACGATGATCCAGAGCAAATATCCGGAGTTTTACGCGGCGCATATGAGTGTAGCCTGAGGTCAAGAACGGCACTCGAAGCGTGATTTGTTTGTTTTACAATCATAGCGATAGGCGAAGAGGTTAGATACTGCAGGTGGGTTTGTTATCAAGGTCTACGATGGGAGGCTTCATGGACATGAGCCGGTCGATGAGAACGCAGTAAGGACACGCGATTTCAACGTGCAACAAAGAGTTTGCGTCTGTACCATCAAAGTTGGAAGTTGAGTGACTGCGACCTGGATGTTCAAGGCGCTTCTTCGCGCGTTCACGTGACATCGTGATAACTACCCATCTCCTTGCCTTCTGTTGTGGTATGAAAAAATTGACCAAATACCTAGCTGCTTGACTGCCCATCGACCATGGCTTTGCCCTGCCCACTGCCGGTTGTAGAAGAAGCATTGTCACCGTACATACACACACGGCGAGACACTCTACGTATCCGCCAGTTGTTGATCGAATCACTTGTTTCCAACCTCTCAAACGGAGATACGCATCTCTCCTATCTAACATTGGCAAGTCTTCCAGCCGACTCGGCAGCGGAGACACTAAGTGGAAAATTTACCGGGCTTCGAAAGCGGTACATCGAAGCCTTACAAGCCAATGCAGCCGCTCGGGAGCAACTTGATACCGTAACGGCGGAGCTGAATGAGCTGCGCGAAGCAAACCTCAGAAACGAAACCCCGTCTCTAGGATTTGGATCCGGCCAGGACGAGCTTCGCAACTACATATCGCTTCTCCACCAGCGGCAGCAGTACGAGAAGCTGCAAGTGATCCAGCAGAGCTTAGATGAACTTGCCAGCGCGAGCGCCAGCGTAACCCGAGCGGATGTGAAAGCGATGATTACAGAAACCCTGGGCGAGTCGCCGGAGCCGCCACATGCGTATCCCAAGCAGGAGGACAAAGCCTCGAGTGTTGAGCAGTTGGTCTTCCGGTTGAAAGAAGAAGTGCTGGCAGCGAAGCAGCGCATGGACCTGGCGAACAGGTCTCGGGCTGAGATCCAGCAGCACGCAAGCAGCCCTGTCGAACCAAGCTTAGAAGCCCAGGTTGACGCACTACGACGCGCTAGGGATGAATTGGTCAGTTGGATTGAGGGAGAACTGGCAAAGATCTCTGAAGACTCCGCAATGATCGGCCCAGACTTACGGCAGGACGGACGAGATCCAGTATCAGACGGAAGCAAACTGCCAAACGATGCTCAGCCATACTTCATGCGTATACAAGAAACCTATAGACAGTATCTGGCAGCTCGTCAATCGATCATCGCAACCATAGAAGCCACCAGACACGAGCCTCAACGGCCTGCATCTCCTCCAAAGTTGACAGAACACCCTTCCCCAACTAAGGCGCCAAAGAGTGCAAAACCTCGGAATGTCGAGGCCTATGACGCTTTACCCTACTTCTCGCACCTCCTCCAAATCTCCCAGGACGAACGGTCGCTTCTGCAGCAGTCAACCTATGTTCGTCGCCAATTATCTACCGCAACAGCTGAGAACACCAAGCTCATCGAACGGCTGGCCGATGAGAGCCATCTGGTGACGCCCGGCGCAAAGGATGCAAAGGCATGGGCGGCGGCAGCTTCAGTGGCGTCGCAGAGCACGAACGCTTTTGTGACGGAGCATCTGGAGTCTGGGGAGCATGCGATTTCCAGTGCAGAAGGTGCTCTAGCGGAGATGAGTGCGCGGCGGAAGGCTTTGGGAGGGCTTTCTGGCAACGTGTAGCCAGGAAAGTCCTCGTCCATGAGAGTGGCCGGCGCTCCTTTGAATATGGAGCAGCTGCGTATGCCAGGCTCGCATGGCCTCATATCGAGAACCCGGCATTCATACTACAAACTTCCTTCTGGCCAGATACCAATGCTTCAATGCGCAAGATGCTTATCCGGAAGAGTAAAACTATCACTCCCCTGTAACCGTGCATTTCCAACCGCTGATGTCTGCCTGCCCGGGACATCCTAGATGGTTCTGGAAACCAAGATAGCATTGAGTATACACCACAAGCATGCACTACGGTGCATCTGATGGGAAACAGTGAACGCGACGTTATCACAGCTGTCTAGCAGCGGGCAAGTTGTCACGTGCTTACGCGAAGAGCTGTGAAGGCGACGTCACTTCAGCCCAGCGCACGGACCCTATCGCGCTTCGAAGTCGCGGCCCACTCAAGACTTCAAGCCGTCCCCTATCGTCAAGAACCCGAGCCCTCCAGTGGGACATATGGAGCAAACATGGCCAAGCGGTTGAAGACCGTATCTGCACCCAGTCATCATGAGATCTGTCCTCATCACGACAAAGACAACCCCGATCTCCGGAGATGCAACGCCCCGACGCAGGCTGGCCAAAGATGTTCTCGTAAATCCCGGATCACGCCCACAGGAGGTTACCTGCCTGTTTGCGCGACGCACAAGGATTACCGGATTCGCGGGGGGAAATGTCAAGCGATTGCGCAATGTGGAGAGAAGTGTGAACGTCGAATCTTATGGAATCCGCCGGAGTTCCAGTGAGTACAGATACGAACTGTGGCTTGTTTCCCGCAAGAAAACATCGTCATGCATTCGTGAATAATATTACATCGCCGACTGCAGGAGAGCAAAGATACCGATCATGATAGCGCTCTTGTTTATTGAAAAGCCTCAAGCTCTCTAGCGTCTGAAACTGTAGCCGGTAGTCTGATTTTTGAGCCGAACAGAGCCTCTCACGGCTAGCTTCGAGGCGAGTTTTGACAGAGCGCCGTCTGTGAGGTGTAGCATTATTCACGAATGCATGGTTATCTTCTGGTCCCCTTGGGTTCTACGAAGCTATCGATGGCCGCCTCACTGATTGTTTTTCAGGCTCTGCAAGGAACACGAGAACTACCAGATGCCCTGCTATATACTCAAGCTTCCACCCGAGGTCCGGCTAATGATCTTTGGATATCTCTTTCCATATCCTCACGTAGCGCACAGGAAGTACAACACTAAGTTTGAACACCCACGCTTACGGGTGAAGCGGCCGTCGTTTCGCTCTTTACTTCTTGTGAACCACCAGATTTCCCAGGAGGCTTTCAGCATCATGTACGAGACTGTACCGTATTGCTTCCAGATATCTGAGGAGATAATTCGGACTCCTAACAAAACGGCATTTACCGCCTCTGAGGCTGAAATCGGAGCGCGGCCTAGCAAGGATTGGCGGACTGACTTGCTCTCGCTGCCTTTCGCTCGGATTCGCAAGTTTCACGTATCCATCTTTGTCTCCCGACTCGGGTTCAGCGACCTGCTCGGACATCGAGAGGAAGAAGAGCTTAGTCTCTACAACGTTCGCGATAACGTTCAGAGACTTGTCGGCATTCTCAAGGAAGTTCCTTTCATCAAGGAGCTGAGGGTGAGAGCTTCTCTGCTCAATATTGAGTGGTTAGACCCAGAAAGCATTACTGCAGCCGAATTCCTGCTTAACCCCTTCATGTGCTTGCGTAATATATGCCGCCCCAGCCTCGATAACATTCAAGTCGGGGTGGTTAGTGAATCTGACCGCCTGGATGCTTACTTCATTGGGACCAAGCGTACTGGAACCTGTTACACCCCGGAAGTTGACTTTGTAGCCCCTCACGATATTCTCACCGGCTCGTCAGGCTACTACGAGCCGGTGGCAGATCTCTCTGGGGTCAAGGGTATGACATTTGCAGAATCCAGTTTCGCTGCAGGAAGCACGTTGGCTAACTTACAAGGGTGCAGTTCTGAGGTTCAGAGAGCACGCAATTTCGAGTAAAGACTACAAACCTGGAGAGGAGGACGAAACTTTCGCAACCTACGTGTCGAAGTGGGAGAAGCTGTTGGCGAGCGACGACCCTGCGCCGCCAGTGCCACCGCTTGCGCAAACATACGAAGACGTCAAAGACCTGCTCTGGGATCTGAGAAAACTTGGAGTACCACGGCGGGGGGAGTCGGAAGAACAGTTCGACCGCATTTGGAACTATCAGCCACCAGGACGGCTGCCTAACATTTTGACACGGCTTCTGCACCGAGCGAGGGTTGCACGAGAGGCGGACGGGAAGGACGATATGGCTGAAATCCAACAGGAGATGCATACTCTTTGGGCGGAGTTTGTTGCAGAACAGGATGCGAGTCGACGCAAGGTCAACGATCGCTTTGTACGAATGGCTCTGCCTCCAGCCGGCCAGTGTTCGGTTGTCCCGGAACTGCCCCAAAAGAGCGTCCCAGGAGAGCCCAGCAGGCTGTTTCCGCCGTTGATAGAGCCCCCTCATTACAATTCGCAAGGCGAATCCATATCGTTTATCGGCATGCCATATGGCAGCAAACCGAGAGCCCGGCTGGTGACCCCCGCTGTGGTAAGCGCAACTGGACAGCTCTTCCTTGAGTGATTGTTGGCTGACTCTCTGATTTTAGGTGGATGCAATGGAAGAAATGATAACTAGACGCGATGAAATCGACAGTTAGTGACGCCGCAAAGCCTGATGTCGGTCACGCATTGCGTTCAGGCAGCAGTGTGACAAAGGATTGAGAAGTAGGATTGTAGCATACGTGCTCAGGCTGCATTGCTGAAGCGCTCGGATGGAAGCGACTTGATGTTCATGCATCACGAAGCTGTTTGTAGCTGTTCGATGATCGTTGACTGATGGAGCAGAAGGGTAGCAGTGGCTAACAGTGTGCTACGTCTTTCGTGTTTTGCTCATCGCGTATACCCAACCGTAGGCAAGATACTGTATCATTCAACGGCACAGACAGGAGGTTGGTGATCTACCAGACACAGCGGTAAGCCAGGACCGACTAACATCGACAACCATGATCTGCCATGCTTTTCTTACTGTATCAACTGTTGATCGCCGGGACCAGGGAAAGGCGATTTGGGAGCTCTGCTGCTGTTCAGGGTCTGATCAACCATGAAGCAACAAATCCGTCATCTTGCCGCAGCTCCAATCCTCTCACCACCACCCAAACTTCATTCCGACCTCGATCAATATCTACCAACAATCAATGCCTCGACCCCACCACCCCCTCGAATGCTCAAGAGACTCTTCCCATCCACCCTGAAAAGCCCTGTAATAAAAATGACCGCCCCGACCACACTCGACATATTCACCACCGCCCTCCACCACATATACCGCTTCCCTATCCCCTCCCCATCCTCCCCCGCTCTCGATCCCACCACATGGACTCCTCCGCCCGCCTCCGCCGGCCACAAGGGCCGCTACCTCTGGACCGACGCCTTCGGCCTCCTTAATTTCCTGACTCTCTACCGCGAAACCTCTACCCCAGCCTATCTAACCTACGCACGCAGTCTCGCGACCGCCGTACATGGCACGCTCGGCCGTACACGGGACGGGCGTAGCCTCCTACCGGGCGCCAGCCCAGGGAATCCGCTGGGCGGGGGTCTGCGGATCGGCAAAGAGGCCGAGGGCGGAAGTGACGGGGATGGGCAGTATCACCACTATCTCACGCTGTGGATGTTTGGACTCAACCGGCTGGGCAGAGCTGTTGGCGGGGAAGAGGGGAGGGGGTGGAACGACCAAGCCATCGCGCTCGCGAAGGCGATTCATCCGGCGTTTGTGTATGAGCGGTTCAGCGCACGGCCGCGCATGGTGTGGAAGATGAGTATGGATCTAAAGAGGGTGCTGGTGGGCAGCGAGGGCAATCTGGACCCGGTGGATGGATACGTGGTCTTTAGGCTACTGCAGGAGAGCGACGGGCCAGGGAGCCAAGTCCTAGCAACAGAGATCGCGGACTACGAGCGCATCGTCCGCACAAAATGGCGCGGCTACAGCAGCAGCGATCCGCTCGATCTGGGCATGACGCTGTGGACGGCGCATTGGTTTGGGGCACGGGAGGAGCGGGAAGAGTGGGCGGAGGCGCTGGTGAGGGCTGCGGCAAGGGATGTGGGGGAGTTGTTTGAGGAGGGGTATTTTGAGAGGCCGGTTCGGAGGAGGTTGGCGTTTAGGGAGTTTGGGACTGCGATGGGGATGAGGTGTGCGATGGAGGGGAGGGAGTGGGATGAGAAGGCGGAGAGGATCACGGGGGCGTGGGAGAGGGCGGGTGTGGTGCCGACGCCTGATGGGAGTGGTGCTGCTGGTATGAATGCGGAGGATGAGTTGGTGCCGATTACGCTGGTTATGTATGCTGCGGCGTTGATTCCTGGAGGTGAGTGTGATGTTATCCGCGTCTTCTACTGCCGTGCTGTGCGTAGCTTCCACATTGCTTACTGTCACAGCTTTTCGAAAAGGCTACCTGTGAGATGGATGTACATCGCTGGCCACCAGAGGCGAAGCGGTTGAATGCGTTTGCTGGGAATACTTCTACAGCTTGTCCGGTTGCCGGGGACTCCTGACAGCCTACTTTCAACAAGAGATGGGCTTTGATGAAAGCTTCAGGTTATAGTCGAACTACATTCTCGGTTGTGCAATTACATTAGCTATCTCTATTACGTACCGCACCGGGTAGAAGCACGACGCGTAAAAACAACAAGGCACGAACCGGCCCTCGCAAGGATATACGCCAAAAGCCGGATTTGTCCCCTATGCGGCCTTCCTATATGCAGCGAAAGAAGCAAACGAGATGCGCCATGCCGAATGGCAATTTGGTATCTTCAACGGCCGCGAACTGTGTATCAAGGCCCAGCGCTTTTAGCAAGCAGTGTGTACGTAAGAAAAAGGAGCGAACATAGCCAGCTTGAACGCCAGATTAGGAAGGAGTTGGCGGAGCGGACAGTAGATGCGGCGCAAATAGCCATTGAGATCGTAGTTGGGGTCCCCACGCCTGAGCGAAAGAAAGACTTCGACAAGCTCAATTAGTGAGATACGGGTATCGTGGTCGCCAAACTCTAGACAGCGCGGGCTGGTACTTGAGTAACAAGCATAAAGCCAACACAGAAAATCAAAGCGCGGCATAAAGTCTGCTCGAACGCCTTCCGTCAGTGGTCGTTCCGATTCCGCAAACATGTTTTTTTTTGCTTACCGGGACATTGAACTAATACCGCCTGACTGGTGCGGCGACAGGGCTTTGACCGTCCGGATTGCCAGTAAGCTCAGCAACGCGAGCCTTGATGCGGGCCACACGCGACTCTATCGTCTCTTCGCCGCTTGTGTCAGGATCCTCAGTGGTGCCGTTCGCAAGATTGATCTGGCTGTTGTTCCGCTTAGACTCCTCCTCCATCCTGGCCGCGCGCTCCGCAGCGTTCTTTCGGATCTGTGCCCATCTGTCCTGTGCTGGCGAGACTGAGCGCGTAAGATCTACAGAGGTCTCCGAAGCATCGTCCTGAACTACTTCGAGCCCTTTTGCAACGAGGTCGGCCTGGCTAGGGTGTGCATTCTGGTAAAGCGCGGCCGCAGCTCGTGTCCTGAATTGTATCGGCGGCGACGGTGGCCTGGCTGCCTCCTCTGGAACGGCATCTGGAACGTACGCGGGCATGTCTTCTAGAGGGCCCTGGTTGAATTTAGTGGTTGGCTGTTCGGGCTCATAGTGCTCATGTGCGGCAGGTACGGTAGCAGCGGGTGCAGGAGCAGCAGGTACTGGAGCAGTTGGATAGCCGTAATCATGTGTATGTGTGTACGCGGGTGGAGGGCTCGGCCCAGCAACCTCGGAGGAAATTGGCTCGGCAGCCACTAAGGATGCAGGCTCTTTGGCGGCAACCATCTCAACAGACGGCTGCACGGCTTGCTGAGATGGCGGAGGCCTCTTTCGAAGCGCCGACATACGGCGTCCAAGGTTCGTCGTAGGCGGTTGAAGACCAGATTGGACGGTAGTAAGCTGCTGAGCGTGTGGACGGTCCATTCCATCACCTCTCGGTTTTCCAAACATCTTCTTGAATCCAACGGCGCCCTGTGTCTTCGCCAGTTTCTTCGGCGGCGGAGGCTCCTTGTTAATCGCAGCTTCTGGGCTAGAAGACTTCGACTCCCACGCCCGCTTGACCGGCTCGTCTGTTGTGCTTGCTCTAGGCGACTCGACTGGTCTCCGCTCGGGCACGTTCTGTCTGAAGGCCGGATGCTGTTCCATAATCGGGCTGGTCTCTGGGCTAGGGACTATGGGAGTTGCCTTATCGTCAGCCACGGGAGTGACCATCGGGATTGGTACTTTGGTAACAGCAGCGGCTTCGAGCCTGAGAGCTTGTACGTCATATGACTTCGGCGCAACCGGTAGGGGCGCTGGTGGTGGTGATGGCACCTCTGAGTCTGGTGTCCGCATTTCCGTCTCTGCGGGCAAAGAGGGTAGATCGCGGTTTGAGATTTCCCTAGGCAACCCGGGTGATAGAATACCATTAGCTTTTGGCAGGGTAGTTGTGCTGCCACCCGCGTAGACATTCTCCCTTGATGGGCCTGCGCCTAGATTGATGTCCCCTAGGTATTTCTCCCGTATGACACCCCTATCGAATTCTCTTGCCCACTTCATCGCCAGGCCAGCTTCGTCGTTCAAGAGTGGCTGCAGTGTCATGACGCTGGTGGTCTTATCGTATGATTCATCGTTAGTCCGACCGCGACGTTGAGCCTCGGCACCTGCGACTTGCTCCCTTTGCTTCCGCGCGAGCTCCGCCGCAGCGGCTTGGATCCTCGCATGCTGGTCAGGTCCAATGCTGGTCTTGCTCATTGGGGTGCTGGCGTTGGTCCGGTTGTACGGCTCCTCCACTTTCGGAACAGGTTTCTTCCCGGTCGACTTGCGTCGTCCCAGACGGCCACGTTTAGTGAAGCTGAAGCGGCCCTTCTTCTCCGCGATGTAAGCGCCCTCTTCCGGCCCTGGGGAAGCTCCTTTCACCTGCTCCTCCATGACGAGCCACTTACCGCCGCCAATGCGAGTTTCGATAAGAGCACAGCGACCAAATACGGCTTTCCGTTCAGTCGACTCCTCGTTGGCCAAGCTTGTCATCCAGACCCACCAGAATGTCTCGTCTAGCTCGAACTGGGTGATGCTGGCAAGCTCGCCTGGCTCGAGACTGCTGTCTTGCGTCACATTGCTAAGCACTGACTGAGAGCTTTGAACACGTGAGACGCTTAGCGGAGGCAGCACCTTGCCCGGAGGAAGCAGTAAAGGAGCGGGCGAAGGTTTACCGTTCTCTTCTACGAAGCCGGACGACAGGAAGTCAGCCCAAGATGGAGTGGTGGGGCGTCCAAGTTCAGCCGGTCGGGAACCTGGGGTTGATCGAAGACCTTGCATGCCGTTCTGTTTGCTGCCAAATCCGGATCCGTTAGAGCCGATACTGCTTACATCGTCAACAGCCGAGAAGCCCATGTCTTCGAAGCGGGACCAAGAAGCATCCGGGACACCAGAAGCACTGTCGTTGTTGACGTTGACGGACTGATTTGTGTTGGAAATGCAATTGAGCACGCGGCGACATTCGTCACTGAGTGCTCTGATAGGGTCATCGTAAGCGGAGAATTGCTGCAGGACTTGGTCGTCATCGCGATATGCGAAATTTTTCGCCCTTCGCAGCAGCGCGAATGGGGTCGGAGACACCTGATCCACTATCATAACCACCTTTGTCGTTGACGTCTGCATAAGCATTGGAGTTTCCGGAGGGTACTCGGTCTGTGAGAGAAGCGCTTGGAGTGAGCGCGGTAACGTGGATATGCCACTAACGCCAGTAACGGAATCTGGCGACAGAGAACGGAGGTAGGCGAAGAACAAGTGGCTCGTCGCATCAGCGGCACTACGCCAGTCAGCAAGAGTCGAGCTTCGTGGATGCGACAGCTTACCTTGCCCAGGATCGGTATCCCCCATCAAACCCTTTCCCTCCATCCGAGTGTTCAAACGCCCACCATCCAGCCATCCGCGACAATTTCCTGCCGCCCAAGCCGTTGGTCTTCCCTCTTGCGGCCACGGCAGCCAGCAGATCGAAGAAGTCGAATATGATTTCTTTTCGGGCGTCGGAGTCCACGCTAATCGGGATAAAGGCATTGAAGGCGTGTCGAGCCATGTTGGAGTCTGCGATACGTTAGCCATCTACCGCATAGATTGGAGCCCAGTGACTGACCTTTTTCGCCCATCTTGAACATCTCGTATGCATCCCACGTGACAACGCCTTGCGGCATTCTGCTCCAGCACCATTTCATAATGCTGCAGAGCACCTAGAGCCGTCAGCGGCCGCTTGTTCATGCGTTGGTTATCAGCTTACCATGGGCTCCGTTAGTCGCAGCTCGTGGCGCAGGCCAGCGCCGGTGCATAGTGCGGTCCGCTCACACGAGGACTTGAAGAAATTCCGGATAAAGCTGCGAGCAGCACTGGGGTCGGAGTGAAGTCGGAACGGTAACAGAAGGAATGGCATGTCGAGGGCTGGGAATGACGGGTTAGCTGAAGCGCACACCAGCGTCTCCGCGCGACTTCAGCGTCATTCGTGGGGCCAACATACCTCTGGACTTCATTTCCTGGGTGCACACGTGGATTAATTCCTGGATCTCCTCCGGGGCAACCTCCTTGCGTGACCACGCGTCTTCCCATCGTGGCTTTGGGAGAGCGATAGCCGAGTCGTTCCCGTTGGCGTGCTTGTCGAGCTTCGAAGAAGCTCGTGGGCCGTCCCTATGCTTGAAGACTCTGGAGAAGAACGGCATGGCGAAGGCCAAGCTGTGTGCGCGGTTTGTTTACTTGTACCCAAGGAACATCCGCTGGCTCAAAAACACTATGATTTCGGTGGGGAACGCGTTGTAGAAACGGTTTTCGAAGCGATATCTGAATTAACAGCGCATCAGTGGGTACGGATGCAGGTTGAACTCGAGGCGGATCAATCAATGGCAGGACCCTGAAGATATTCGGACACGCAGGGATGAGGTCGATCGCCGCGTCTCCCGCTGTCAGGACAGGAGCAGTTGCCGAAGGCCGATCGTGCAGCTCCCAAGTGTCGCAAGCTGGATATGTCTGACACGGTCGAGCGACAGGTTGCGTAAGGAATGTCGACGGCAACGAGCAGGATGGAGGGCTGGAGAGTTAGTGAATTGGTGGATGTTCAGGAGGGAGGAGAGCGAGGCCCATGGATGTTAAATGAGCTCAGGAGCTTGGATGCTCGTGGTCAATAACGAATCTCAGCTGAAGCGAGGTGACCCTGGTTCTTGATTTCTACCTGACAGCCACGCCCAAACTTTGCAGGAGTGCCATGTCCACGACAGCTCACATCACCATTGCCACAAATTCGCCCCGATCGCCGCCATTTTTCTATTCTTGCTGGGCGTCCAGCCAAAGAGCAGCGAGCCTGCGCTGCATATCTGAAACGGCCCTATCCTCCCCACAGCGGCGAACACATCAGTCGCACATCGTTTCAAGGAGCGGCAGCGAATCAGGGCACGTCAAACGTCGAGATTCCATAACCATTCTGTCAACGGAACGCTAATCAAAAGTTACCGGCCGGCTTTAAGTGGACCCTGATCCGTGCCAATGGGATCCACCGCTAGAGCAAGATGCGGCAAGGCTCGTCGATCTTGACAGGACGACCATTCTATTCTCCTGGGCATCTCCAGGGCCATGAGTGATTGCGACTGCCCCTAAACTCAGAAGTTCATTGCGTGTTCGCTCGATCATGGTTCAATGACCAATGCGCCTCACTAAACAGAGCGTTCTGTTGACGCCGACAACCCGGCATGGGGCCACAGGCATATCAGCAACGGGGGGCTGCCGGAGCGAGCGTCTGCTTCATCTCCTCTATCTGAACCTTCAGCCAACGGTTGGCGCCCCCTTCGACGAACTAAGGATCTGGCGGCACGGCACACGAAAAACGACGGTCAACGACATCGCTCTCTTGCTGTGCGACATCCTTCTAGTTATTGACCTTAGTTTGCTTCCTAACATGCGCCTAGATGCTTTCGCAATTCGGCGCGTCAACGCTGTTCACGTGATCGGGCGTTGCTTCAAACGTCGTGATGTCATTCAATCCAGCCAACATCTGTCTTCATCAAGCAGTGCTCGCATCTGCACTCTCTCCAGACTTCATTGCAGTCCACTGATATTAGCGATTCGTTCTGTCCAGATTACAAGAGCGTTTTCAGCTACACCTCGCAAAATGGTCAAGGACAAGGAAACCGTTATCGAGTATGGCATGAGAGCGTCATGCAACAAGCCTGTAGGCCGTACTGAAATTGCAACAGGGAGTGGAACGAGCTCGTCAACATGACCGCGGGCGAGCTGCAGGACTGGCTCGGCAGCGAAGAGTCCGTCGGCGCTGGCTGGAGCAAAGACGATGGCTCCGGCGAGACGATCGGCCATGAAAGGTGCGGCCGCGCATTGCAGAGTTCTACAGTGGACTTGTCGTCTGGCTGACACGGACCAGCGGACGCAAGATCATCAAGATCCTCGAGAAGAATCCAAACAAGGACCCGGACAGCTACGACGAGGAAGACATTGCCCACATGCGCAAGGTGGTTGCTTACTGCAAGCGTCACTTGGCGCAGGAGGAGAAGGCGAAACAGGACTCGAACAGCAAGTCGTACAAGTCTCTGAAGAACTGGGTCAGTATTCTTCGTTTGGCGATTGAACATGCAACACTTACCTTGATGTAGGGACATGATGCACAGAAGGCATGATCCCAAACCTAGCTATCATGCCCGCTTTGCTTTGGCAGGCAGGTAGGCAGGCAGGCAGGCAGAAGCAACAATACAAGTAATTCCGCAACAGCCGCACACAGAGTTTAGTGATAACAACTCACACCCCATTCTCATAAGAGCATGCCTCGCACTTACATAACTCCATGTGAGAGCGAACCTCAACAACCAGAGTACCTAGATGGCGGCTCGCATGTGGTTAGGTGCCAGTATATGTGGGGGAGTGAGGAGAACCCGTCGCATTTCCAGTGAATATTCCAGCCAGAAGCGGTTCGTTGTGTCTTAGTTGTCAACCGGAGCAATTATCATTTGGAACACATATCTGCAGAAAAGCAGCTCTGGTCTCAAGCAAGGGCAGGCCTGCGCCTATGGAACGTCGTCTGTGATCGTGCAAGGCCCTGAGCACGTTAGAGAGGTCAACCGCTTTCACCTCAAGTTAAGGCAAGCCTGCGCCTGTAGACTGTAGTCCGCAACGATGTAAAGCCTTAAGCGCATTACGTTTCATGCCGTTCTCCGTCGAGTACTTGTTCTTGTGCGCGACATCTTAGCCCCTCATAGACGACATCTCAGCCTCCCGTTAACATGTACGCTTCCCCGTTTTCGAATAACTCTTCGGCGCGCTGGGAGATCCTTCAGCTGGCTTGGGAGCATGTCATCTGTAGGTGTTCGCTGCGAGGCCAATTGTGGAGGTGATCGCACCGGAGGCAGTGAATTGATGCTCGCCGTAAGATTCCGGAGGTGGTGCGTATACAACTGTGTCCTGCTGAGCTGGTTTGGGCATTCTAAGTGCCGCCCTTTGTAACTTTGTGGAAAGCCGTTTTAGAATGGGAGCGAGGGAGCTGCACGTAGTCAGGGTGAGGTGGGGATCAATCACACACTTGGCGGATTGGGTCTATAGGCTTCATGTGCCGATGCCCACGAGATGAGCGCTTGAGAGCTTGAGGCAGCTGAGCATGATGCTCGGCGGCAGATAACAATGAGCTCTAAGGTGGTCCAAAGGTGATCTGAAAAGTTCGTTACCGCATCTTGCTGCAGCTTGTTCAGTACCACATCCATGATGAAACTGGACTCGTGATCTTCTCAGGTGTAGCGCAGCTAGACCAATTCCATGAAAAAGGGATCGAAAGATGTTCAGCAGCGTAGCTCTGCAATGCGTCGATCACCCGGGGTGTCTTTAATTGGCGAACTGTGCCTGAGGGTTATCCATCTCCAGAGCTACGAGTAGCTTTCAATGGCGCAGTCATGCGTTTCCGAGCAATATCACTGTGGTGCATTTACCCCCTCCTCCCATCTGGGGCCGCGAGGCTTCATTCCGCTTGGACGTGAGCTTATCAGCCATGCTCTCAGACGCTGGATTGCTTGAACGTTCGGATGATCAGGAGTATTGTGGTAATCGTTGGTATTTCCTCTCTTGCGGCTGGCGATGTGACACAGTTCGCAACTGTCTGGTTACCATGCATACCTTGCGTCCCTGCGCTGCATCCTGGAATAGGCTGTGCAAGCAAGTGCCATTGTCCCTAGTATGCGCGATGCCCCCTTGCTTCGTTGGTTGCAGTTCGGCTACAACCTCTGACGACATCTGTCAAACCCACTGGCTGTGCAGAAACAGCCGTTCGAAAGGCACTTAGTGCATGAGTACTCGAGTGCGCAGCAAAAGATCTACACCTGTGCTGTGCTATGTTTAGATACATTGCCATGCTCGCGGCAGCGTGCATCGCGCATCCGGATCGGCGCCACAGCCGCGGTGCTCCACAGAAACGGTGTCTCTTCCGAAGAAACCGGTCGTTGTATTTCGCCGGCTGCAGTAAGAAACTGCGTTTCGAAATGTCTTTGGCTGTACAATCTCGGGAGTCTACCAAAGACGTAGCAAGGAGCTGCTCTCGCGAGTTGGGTTGCCGTAGCACGAACTCAAGCTACCGCCGAAGAGGCTGTGTCCGCTGCCATGCTCTCGCTTCGAACCAAACTGCTAGAAGTGTGGTTGGACACAAGCACGTTCGGTTTCTTGACCTCACGCTGCAGGAGCCCGAACTGGCGTTGCTGACTGGAAAATGGTCGAAGAGCTTGGAGCACTCAAGCCTCTTACTAGACACAGCAAGTCGCCTTCCCATGCCACTCACATCTTCTAGAGCTCTTTCATATACCATACCGGCCGCTTCAAGAACAATGATAACGATGGAGAGGAGCGTTAAGCTCCCCGTCTCCGTCATTCAATGGCAGACTGCCATAAGGAGGCGTAGCCTGCCTAGATGCAGGTACGATCACCATTGCATCCCGACACTCAATCAGCAGCAGGACAGACGGATGTCAATGCCCAAGCCCCGCATGAAGACTCGAGATGAGGTCTGCCACAAGCGCGGCCGTTGGTTGAAAATCCAAGGGTCAAGAGACGGGACGGGGAGGCTGAAGCGCGCACAGACAAATGCCCTTAAAATAGCTCAACTTTGCCAATTAGGTGGAATTGCGCAAAGGCTTAGTCGCGGCATGTCAAACGTCCCCTTGACCTGTGACGGTGTTTTGGCAGTGTCTTTTACTTCCGTTGACGGGCTGCTGAAGATTCTCCACGCGTTCCTGTTCGTCCGTACTTCCGCGAGCATCTCTTTTAGAGCTTACCTCCTAACAGCATGTTGTGTGGCAATGTGGAGAGCCTCTCTTTCCGCGAAGGGCACTAGAGATTGTCTCGTAAAGCTCATTTAAAGCAGCGTCTGTGACAGCGAATCAGGGACTAGGAGTGAGGAAGAGGTAGGAAAGGCCCCAAAATCGTGGAGCAGTTAAGCCAAGCACCGACCGTCGCGGCACGATGCGGTAATATCCCGGCTAAAAGACGTTAAGGACTCCATATTTAGAATCGAAAATGCCCAGCTCTCGACCCGCCCGGTCTGAAAACCGCACCAGACCACTGGGAGCCGCATCCGCAGCGCCATCAGTTGCCGGCATTTCATATTACTACAGGTACACGCCGCTATCTCGTCGCCACTACCCGGCCGTTGGTATCGACCCTGGAACAGAGTCCATTCTACCAGGCTACTCACCGCGAACCGGTCGGTTGACGCCTGATATACCCACCGTCGCCATTCCCGACCGACATCACGACCGCACGACCACACTTCCGGTTAACATACGTCAACTGATGCGCGCCGTCGTCGCATAGCGCTGCCAACGATGGGCCGAAGAAAGATTGAGATCAAGGCCATTAAGGATGATAGAAATAGATCAGTGTACGTGTTTTGTCGACTCGCCCCACATTGCGAACGTAGAGAGCGGCCCGTTGCAGACCCAAGATCTGTTCGTGGTAGGCTTGAACGTCGCGTCAAGAACACTCAAAGCGCACCGCGAAGCTGTCACGTTCAATGATTGTACATGAAGCGCGCTCTCTGTAGTCTTGAGACTTAATGCATTCATCCCGAGCGATTTTCCAGTGTTGTCAGCGGCTAATTTCTGCATCATAGGACATTCCTCAAGCGCAAAGGCGGATTATTCAAGAAGGCGCACGAGCTCTCCGTCTTGTGCTCGGTCGATGTCGCTGTTATCATCTTCGGTCACAACAAGAAGCTGTATGAGTTCTCGTCGGGCGACATCAACGAAACCATTGGGCGATATCAATACTATGGCGGGGCACACGAACACAAGGGGCCGGAGGACTTCATGGGCAAGAAGGACATGGATGACGATGATGAAGACATGGACGACATGGGATCGCCGCCTCCGAACTCCCATTCACCTCCAGATCATCCGATGATGCCTCCTCATCTCCAGAACCAACCGCCATATCAGCACATAAGGAACGCGACACCATCCGCCTCTCCGCCGATGCCGAACGGTATGCCATTCCACCCACGCAATCCCTCACCTCAGCCACACCCTCAACAACAAGGCATCTCGCGTCCTCCGTCACGAACACACATCCGGCGAGCAAGCTCCAATCTTATGCCTCCACAGCATCCTCAGTATTCGCAGCCGTCCCAACCCCAACCCAACTATGCATACATTCCGCCAGTATACAATCACCAAGCCGCTCAAGGCATGCCAGAAGCTCCGAAGCCTGGTCTGCCGCCGCATTTCCAGTATCCGCACCCTCCGCCGAATAATGCACAGCTGCAGCAAGCGTATTTGCAGGAGCAGAGGAGGCAATCCATGCCACCAGCTTTTCCCCAACAACATCAGCAAGAGCAGCGGCCTCCAGCACCCATGCAGCCAACGCCGCAATCGCAACAGAACACATTCCAAAGCCCGCCGCTGCCGCAGCCCAAGCCCTTATCTTCAGCGGGGAAATCGAGCATATTCACGCCTATTGATGACAGCCGGTCACTGCTCGCTCAGCACTGGGGAAGCACTAGCACAGCTGAAGTGGCGCGCATGGAACCCGCGATTAAGCCGGAGTTCGGTCCTAGGTCGCAATCTATCGATGTCGCACAGATGTCTCGGCATCAAATGAACGGAGTATCATCTATGCCGCCGCAGCCACAGCACCTGCCCCAAGCGTCGCGGAATCCGTCGATCTCGTCGTTACCCAGTATACCGCCGCCATCACGGACGAACAGCATCCAGATAGGAGGAGAGAAAAGGCCAAGGCTTAAAGTACAAATCCCCAGCGAGCACTCAGATGCCGGAAGCGCAACAGCTGGCTCTTCACCAAAAGACACCAATACCAGTTCAACGCCACAAAGGAGCACGGAAGCCTCGCATTCATCTATAATGGTTCTGCCCCCACCTTCACCAAGCGCCAGCGCGCTGCTCAGCGCAGGTGCCACTGGGCCAATAAACCCGTTCGCCAGACCTCCGCCACCCATCAACCACAACTCTTTTGGAAACCGGAACGACATGGAAACGCCTATCTCTGCGCTGCCGAGTAGATTCGTTGCTGATGGACTTTTACCCTCGCCTTCCAGCTTCTACCCTGAGTGGGGCTTTGGACGAGATACCAACATGTTACCGAGCCCGTTGACGTTTCAGACGCCTGTTGTTGCCAACGGACCGAGCTTCAGAGATGAAGATGTCGACAAGAAGAGAAAGCCGTCTGAAGGCTCCGATGGGGGAGCCAACAAAAGAATGAAAAACTGAATAGAAGGCGGGTCTGATGAGAATTACGAGCCACGACCTAGCTCCGTAGCGAGAACATTCGGGTTCACTGGGCTGTCCCCACATCTTTCGTTTGCGTCCCTACACACGTATTCCAAACTCGCAGAAAACATCAGTCGCAGTCACCCTCAAAGGCACCCAAATCCAAGGCATGCATATATCCAGCAGCAATGATAGGCCCAGCAGTATGTACCCTTCTTAAAGGCCGCGATGGACTCCTCCCACCTTAACCGCTGGCACCCGTATGCCTGGGCACACCGCCCGCCCAGCCACGTTCGATCGTGGAGGATCTGCGGGAGGTTTAGATTCGCCGTTTCGAACACCGAGCGCCTTGTCGTCTTGCTGGCGTAAAAGACTAGAGGTTCATACTAAGTTGCCGATACGACCACCATTCTGCAGTGTCAACCCATCACTGCGATTTACGATGAAATGTAGTATGCATCAGCCCACTGGCCGGTTGTGTTTAGGGTGTTCTCCTCTTCCAAGACGAAAAAATTGTTTGCTTAAGCTGTTCTTTTAGTCCGCTTGTTTGCTACTTTCCCCCTCTTGGCCGGTCTTATACCTTCACTCGCTTTGGATACCCCGTAGGCGTTTCATGTCTTCGTTCTGGCTTCCTCCTACATGTCCTTTCTCACAACGAGGCCGCCATTCTTATTGTTGTTTCTCTTAGGCGTAGATCTAAGCTTGGAGGGTCAGGCGACGAGCGGATATAGCGGTGACAGAGTAGAATGTCAGGTGTAGCTAGTGATCTGTAGCAGGTACTCAATGAGCTTGGAGTCACCTCTCCGTCACAAGACAGGCCCTTTCGCAAGCCGAATCTTAAAGCATGTCCGCATGACAAGCATTATCTGCAGTGACTCTGTCTCGTATTGACTGCCATCGTGCAGCGGCATGCGGCTTTGCTTGAGCCCAGCCAGCTTGCCGAGACGGCAGCAAACAACGACCCCTCGCACCCCACCATGCAGCCTTGCATCGACAGTCGAAGGACGAGCATTCGAAGCGCACACCACATTCCCAACATCACCATTACCGAGACTCTCGTTACAAGATCAGACTCAGCCCAGCATCAAGCTCCACCGAGCTCACTGACCGGCGAAGCGAGCCTCCACCGTATGACCGCAGTAGCGCCCGCCTGCGTGTACTACCCCAGCCGCACAAGGCTGCCCTCAGACTGCGCCCTGCAGCTTGCTATTTGATAGCATTGTCACCTCGCCTGCGAGTCACCTACGCTCAGAAACCTCCATCTCACACACCATGGCCTACAACAAGGGCTACAACCCCGACGCGCTGCCCGCCCACGCCGAGCCCGAGCAGGTAAATTGAACCCCACCACACCACCACAGCTACGAGTGATCTGACAGCTATCCCACAGGCCGCTCAGCTCCTATCCCAATCCCAACAGGCCGCCCGCCCACCACGCACATCCTCCCGCCCAGACACCTACGCCTCCAAGCCCGCCGCCGCCCCGGCCTCCTCCCTCCGTCCGCGCGACGACGACCGCTATGCCCGCCCCAACGCCGCATACAGCAGCTCTAGTGGAGGAGGCGGACAAGCAGGCGGAGGCGGCGGTGCCTCCTACCGCGACGAGCGCGACCGCTACGCCGACCGCCCAGCACCGCTCTCCTACATAAACGACTCGCGACGGCGCGAGTCCAGCTCCCCCCGCTACGCCGGCTACGGCAGCCCCCCTCCGCCCGCCGACTACGGCCACGGCCCCCCGCCCGCCTCCTACCACGGCCGGCCACCCCTCACAGCCTCGTCGCGCCCTCCACCCACGCCGGCGCCCCCGCGCGACAGCAACGACCGCGACGCGCTGTGGCGCATCTTCAACGCCGTGGACAAAGACGGCAGCGGCCAGCTCACCGAGGACGAGCTCGGCCGCGCGCTCGTCAACGGCGACTGGTCCCCCTTCGACACGCACACCGTGCGCATGATGATCCGCATGTTCGACACGGACCGGAGCGGGACGATCAACTTCGACGAGTTCTGCGGGCTGTGGGCGTTTTTGGCCGCCTGGCGTGCGCTGTTCGACCGCTTCGACCTCGACCGCAGCGGGAACATAAGCTTGCCGGAGTTCAGCGAGGCGTTGGTTGCGTTTGGGTACCGGCTGAGTGGGCAGTTTGTGGGGCTGTTGTTTCGGACGTATGATCGGGGGAGAGGAGCCATTGGGTTTGATTTGTTTGTGCAGGCGTGTATTTCGTTGAAGAGGATGACAGATGTGTTTAAGAGGTATGACGAGGATCGGGATGGGTATATCACGTTGAGTTTGTGGGTGCCCCTTCTCTTCAGACACTGTTTCTCGTCCCCTCTTGTGGACCCCTTTCTGTCTCTGCCAAGGCCACGCAAGCTAACTTGACGCTCTCTACAGCGAAGAATTCCTCACAGGTGCGCAGCAGCTCTTCCTCTTCAACAGCATCTCCGCCGTCACTGATACCGGCCTCTACTAGAAATCATCAGGCAGCGCTAGAGCCTCTCAGCAGAACAAGCTGGACGAAGAGCCGAACTTGGGAAGGGAGGCGGCCGGAATTTCCACCATTCCCTACTGGGTGGTGTTAGCAATGGGGCTACTCGGTACTGAACGGAGAAAACCGTTTGCCAGTTTCTTTCTGGACGATGGACGAGTTCTGGCTGTGTCCCCGTGCCCAAGAGGGAAACAGGGATTACCAGGATTGAATAGAAACGTGGCTGGATTGGCTAGAGCTGCTTTCTCGCCCCTTATATATGTCCGGAGTGTTTGGATTGACGAGCTTGGTTCCGTTGACGGCCAGAATCACAGCCAAGTTAATGTCGCCCATCTCTAGCGGCGGGGGAAGTGGCGAAGAATTCATAGCTGGCAGGGGACAACCTTTATGCTTGTATACCCCAGAAGATCAAATCCTGTCAATTGCTATGCTGTACACATGCTATGTAAACCACCCAACTCCATCCGAACATGCAATGCCATCTTGATGCACCATTTCCCCATGCAATGCAAAAATCAAATCCGAAACAAGACCACCTTTTCCACAATGATGCTTGGAATTTCTGGACAAGAAAGTTATGAACTCACACCCCCTCCTTCTTCGCCGACGAGACCGTATCCGGCGTCCCCGGCATCCCCTCCTCCGCCGCCACACCCCCATCATCCGTCTTCAGCGGCGACAACGCCACAGGCACAGGCGCAGCCCCCGCTCCCGCCTCCGCCGCGCCCACGCCGTTTTTCTTCCTCCTCTTCTCCTCCGCCTCCTCCTTCCTCAGCCTCCGATTCTCCTTCTCCGTCTCCAGCCCCGTCGTCGTCTCCTCATGACTCTTACCCAGCACCCTCTTCGCGATCAAAAACGCCACCAGCAGCCCCACGCCCGAGAGCACCGTATACAGTATCCACATGCGCTGCAGACTCTCCGCGTACGCCGTCCGGACCACTTCTCTCGCAGGGTCGGGCAGCGCATTCACGACCTCCACGTTGGCGCCCGCGCCTGCGCCGCCTAGCTGTGCGGCTAGCGCTGGGTCTAGCACGCGTAGTAACCTGTCCTCGCGCCGCCGCATCTCGTTCTGGAAGACCACGCCCCCAATAACGACAGAGACAGCAGTAGCCAGGTTCCTAATGAACCCAAACGTCGCCGTCGCGGTCGCGATATCACGGGGCTTGACTCCGCTCTGCAGCGCAATAAGCGGGCTCTGGAAGTTCGGGCCAATACCTATGCCGGTGACGACCTGGTATACAATCACCTTGGTCCAGCTGGCGTCGACGGGGAGGTCGATGAACAGGCCCGTGCCGAGCGTCATGAGGAACATGCCGCTCCAGATCGCCGGGAGGTAGAGGCCCGTCTTGCGGATGAAGATGCCGGTAAGGGCCGAGGCGAAGGAGAGCGATAATGCGGTCGGCAGGATGGCGACGCCGGACTGGAGCGGGGAGCGGCCCCTCACGGCCTGGAAATACAGCGGGAGGAAGTAGGACCCGGCGATGAAGACGAAGCCATGCACGAAACAGACAGCGAGGCAGGCGAGGTTCGAGCGGGAGGCGAAGAGGCCGAGCGGCATGATTGGATAGGGTGCCACGCGCCACTCTATCACGACAAAGAGGGCCAGGGTGAGGATGCCGAAGACGAGGAGGCAGATGACGATGGCCGAGTTCCACGGGTGGGATGCGCCGCCGAACTCGAGCCCGAAGAGGAGCATGAGCGTGCCGCCGACCACGGCGAGGGCGCCCAGCCAATCGATCGCTTTGATGCCGTCCCAGAAGGGGGTTGTGGGCGTATGGATGTCGAGGTAGAAGAGGAGGATTAGGAAGGCGGCGCCGTCGAGAGGGAGGTTGATGTAGAAGCACCAGCGCCATGAGGCCTGTAATTTTTGAGCGTCAGCGAGGCTATGAATAAAACAGAACACATGAGAAGGAAAACGCACTTTTTCTGTAAAGGCACCTCCGACGATGGGACCCAGCGCGCTCGCTATCGCCCACACCATCCCGATGATGCCGAAGTACGCTCCACGAGACCGAATGCTGAACAGATCGCTGATACAGATATTGACAAGTGTGATTAAGCCGCCTCCGCCGATGCCTTGAATCGCACGGGCAGCGATGAGCATGCCAATGCTTGTGGAAAGCCCAGCAATGAGCGAGCCGACAAAGAACACAACATTAGCCAGGAGCAATATAGGCTTGCGCCCCCAGATGTCCGATATCTTCCCCCAGATTGGTGTAGACGCTGAGCAGGCGAGCAGGTACGCGGAGCCGATCCATGTATAGCCGGCGGAGGATCCGAAGTGTTCGGCGATTGTAGCGACGGCGGTGGTGATGATTGTCTGGCGCAGATGGTGAGTCGATTGCTTGGGATATAGATGGGTACATGGGGTCTATCTTACTACGTCAATCGCTGCGAGGAAGACGGCCATCTACATCTCGTGTCAGTGGCGATCTCTGATGGTATGAGCGATCCAAGGGCATACACCAAGCGCAGTCATAATGAGTGCTATCTTCGCTCTGCTCCGCGGCTGCTGAGCCTCTGTTTGCTTCTCGGCAGCGGCCGCCGCATCTGTAGTTGTTGCTGGCGCATCCTTAATGACCACATGATCGCTGGTAGAGCTCTCCTCCGACGACATTGGAGGTTCCTAGGTACGCAGTCTAAAGCCCAGGTCGTAAGGCGAATACTCAGTGATCTCAGCGAACGGCGAAGAGGACTGTTGTTGGTACAGGACGAGAGGAAGTCCCAACCGCGGCGCAAGTGCTGGAAGGAGTCGCATCTCGGAACACGGCACCGCGCGTGAGCGATCGCGGGGCAAGATCTGCCTCGTGAATCGCCGCGCCGTCATCGTGTCGACCACGAGGCTCACGCCCTTCACCAACAATGTGGAACTCGCGCAGAGAAGCGCAGAAGATGGAGATAGCTGCAATTTGAGGTGGCCGACGGACTTTTGTATATATGCCGTGCGCACAGATCAGTTGTCGCTGTTCGGCACCCCTCTGAGCAGTCCGCACAACGGCAGAGGCTTGACTGTCCCCTGCGCCAGGCTTGATTTCTGCGCCTCGCTGTGATTGGCTTCCAGGGCTGTTCTCCACTGATCTATCCGTAAAATCAACCCTGACGCCTGGTAAAAGCCCTCTGCATGCTGCGGAGAGTAGTTTATCCATCCCCGTTTCAACGTCTGGAACCCTTTTGCGAAAGGACACTCTATCACGAGTACCGCAGTCTTTAGTACCTCAGCTATAATCGATTTGTGGAATGCGCTCATCGCGCTTAAGATGTCTTTTGTGACGCTACGTTTCCAAAAGAAAGATAAATGGTTCCACGCTTCCTGCCAAGACGCCTGCCCACGATTAACAGAAGACGAGATTGTTAAATTGAGAAGGATTAAATCATAACTCATGCATAAGACTGTTAAGGGCGTTGCGTATGGGATACCTCATTTGCAAGCAGAGTCCGTCATGGTAATCCTCTTGTAAAGCGCCCTTGTGTGGAGCGCACTGGTAAAATAAGCAGTGAAGAGCACTCCCTAAGCCCCTTTTGAACAAGCAAAAGTGGTACATGGCCTGCGAGTAAGTGACGCGCACAAAGCGTCAAGTAGACACACTGCGCTATCTCCGTTTTGTCGAGTCCTGCTTCCATATTTCTTGTCCGAGCCTTCTGCATCAAAGTCCGAGATTCGCCGAGTGTTCTCTCAACCATAAGCTGGCACGGGTAGATGTGTTGCCGGATCATGCTTCGATGACAAGCGTTGTAATGTAACGTGCTCTTGCGGGAGGAGCGGGGCGCCGGGGCGTCATTGCTGCCGAGATGGGAAGGCGTCGTCAAGCGAGATTCTGCACACACTTGGGTAAGGGCTCTAGAAGGTGAGCACGCAGGCAATCTCGAGCATCGAGAGCAAAGGACGCCGTCTTCGGTGAGCGAGCCTTGCTATCTGTACCTGTGGTCGGTAGGCGAGAAGTCATGGAGGGGACAGGTACACAGGACACAGCCTCACGCCGAGCGTCGCTGCCGCATACGCTCAGGTAAGGGCGCAAAAGGAAGAACGCAGGCCATGTCGAGCAGTCAGGAGCGGAAAGAGCGGAGACTGTCGTCTTCCGAAGAGCACGGCTTGCTTTTTGTCAAAGCGACCGCAAGGTGAGGAGGCAGTGGGAGCGAGGCCGGCAGGGCCACGCGACACCGTTGCACACTCCAACGGATACAAGCCCTCCTAGCGAAAGCTTGTTGGCGTTTTGACTCACTTTTCTGTTCGCAGCCTCCTGGAGTTTAGCGTACTCAGGAACCCAACCTTTTGGGCCAACGAGAGTAATTTCATAGGTGTTTGCTACATCATGTGAAGAGTTCCTTCCACAGTTCGAAGGAAAGCTTGGAGTGACAATCGCTCAGACAGACACAACGATTGATTTGAGCACATTGCGAACTCCATTTAATCCCCCCAATCCCCCCAAAATCTCTCCCCTTCACACTCACAGAAAGCAGAAGCAATCGCGATAGCATCAATCCTCTGCATCAGCACAAAGCTTCACAACTTTCAGACACCACCAACAACACAACTTCACTTCCATCCTCCCATCATCATCACCTCCAATCATCATCAATACTCCATAACCACACTCATCTCTTCTTCACCACCTTATCCCCTCACCACCAACTCACCACCACCACACCCACTCCAGCACCATCACCTCAAAATGTGCTGCCACGACAACATGCCGGGTCAGTGCACCATGGTGTGCTACAACTTAGGCTACTGGATCCCAGAAGAAATCCTCTCTCGGATCCACGCCGCAGCAGCTGCTCAATTGCACCAAGCATTTGGTGCCCTACCCGTCCTCCCGCCGCAGCCGGAGCCGCTCCTCACCATGAGGCCAATGGACCCTATGGTCCAGAATCTGGAAGGCCAGATGGCCTACTACCAAGCGCCCGCCGCCGCCGCCTACCACCACCAACCGGCTGCTGCCGAACCCCAGCAGCACTATCCGGTCGATCCCGCGCTGCTGCTGCACGATTATACGCAGGGCTTCGACATGTCGGCGCCGCTCCCCTCGCCGCCATTATTCGGCGGTCTCGATCTCCAGCAACCGCAGCCACAGCCGCAGCCGCAGCCGCAGCCGCAGCCCGGCTTCGAGCTGGATTCTCAGTTCCCGGTTCTCCCCAACACGCCCCCAGAGCCGGACTACAGCGCCATCCGGAATGGCGCGCAGGAGGCCGCGGAGGAGGCCCACGCCCGCCTCGCTGCTTTGCGCGCGGCGCAGAATGTCGTTGGGGACGGCGCGGTGGCTGCGTCGGCGTCGGCGTCGGCGTCGTTTCAGAACTGGCTCGTCAACTTTCAGAGCGCTGCGCAGGGGAGCGCTGTGCAGGAGAGCTATGCCGACTATTTCGACACCGGTGACGGGATGGAGGTTTCTGGATTCTTCGGTGAGCATGGGATTGCGCCGCTTGGGAACCAGCTTGAATTCTCGCCCGAGGATCCGCTGTTTGCTGCTGTGACGGAGATGGAGTTGTAGATGTGACGATGGGTGTGCTTTTTGGTGATTTGAGCGGCGTTTGGGCGTTGTGGGTTCTTTAGTTTTGGTTTCTCGGGGTTGTTTTCGTGGCGTTAGGGCGTTGTGTGTTTCTTGGGGTTTCTTCTTGTATTCGTTTCGCGGCATTGGGATGGGTTGCTGTGTTTTCGGGTTTGGCTTTTGTGCTGCGTTTGGGTCTGTATTCTAGAAAAGCATGCTTTCAGAATGTTTCCCTGATCGTGACTTCCCTCCCAGGAGTCTTCACTCCACTGGCGCGGAAGGAGCTGAGGCTCTGACTGCAGCCCATGATACTTGCCTTAGCCATAAAGCACGCCCTAATGCCTCGTGATCATGCTGTGAGCAATGTATACCTTGTGCATCCTCCCAAATTCTAAGAACTGCGCAAACTGCATGAATCCCCATCGTGACCGGCATCGGATGTGGTATGCATCTTCCCTAGAGCGTTGCTTGGCAAGGCGTATGTTGAATGGCAATGCTCAATTGCAGTTCTTTACTGGAAAGTCCCTCACGACACTGCCGTTTGGGGATTCAAGTTCTAAAAATACCACGTAATGCTCTCTACATTCCTAGCAGTGACCGACAAGTCACGACGATGGCGCTCGCAATTCACACCTGTACACTCCTTCACGGAAAAAAAGCCGGCAAACTCTCGAATCCAAGATCTAATTGGCACTACCATAAACATAACTAGCCGCTCCCCCCTCACACCGGCCTCCTCGCCACCCCCCTCAACCTCACATACCCAAGCCACGCACTCCCATCCTCCTCCCTCCTCACCACACTCCCCAACACACGCACCACCCACCCCACAACCTCCTGCCTCCTCTCCTCCTCCACAGCCTCCAAAAACCCCGCCCCCATCAACCTGACCCACCCCTCCAACCCCCCACCCTCCCCCTCCGTCAACCTCGTAGGCCTATACTCGCTCTCCAGCCTCTCAACCACGAACCCGACCTCCATCAACGCATCGCGCATCCACGTCTCCGAGGGGAAGAACCACGGACTCGCGGCCTGCGCATCGGCGAGCGGGACGCCGAAATGCACGAGCGCGGCGATGAGGGCGGCGTGAACTTCTCCGACGTTGCCGGCGCCGCCGAGCTCGAAGACAAAGGTTCCGCCGGGCTTGAGGGCCGCGAGGGCGTCGGCGAGGACGGTCTTGCGGGTGGAAGGGGAGCGCAAGATCCAGTGGAGAGCGGCGTTTGAGAAGACTTTATCGAATTCGCCTCGACAGAGCTCGGGGGCCTCGGCGGAGATGGTGGTGCAGTCCTGGAGACTGAAGGTGCAGTTGGGGGCGGCATAGGAGTTGGCGGCGGTGGTGATCATGGAGGCGGAAGCGTCGAGACCGAGGATGGAGCCGCCGGGAACGAGGGCAGCGATACGGGAGGTCAGGATGCCGTCGCCGCAGCCGAGATCGAGGATGCGGTCGGTAGGCTCTGGTGCGAGGAGCTTGAGGACGGTGGTGGTGAGGGCGGGGACGAAGGAGGCGGAGGCGGCGTAGGCCTGGTCGGGTATGTGAGACGGAAAGGACTGATGACAAGAGCATTTGAGAGGAGACGCGGGACTGATTGGACTTGAGATGGAACGTGGTGTACCTGTCATAACATACCTCGGAAGACCAGTGATCTGTTGCTTTCCCTTGTTGGGCTGCCATTTTGGTACGTTTCAGTAAAAACCTTGACACCAAGATTTACTGAGTAAAAGTGGGTGTTTGATGGGCGGTGCTAGACTTAGATTCGGGTGTTCATATATGGTTCGACTCGTCAGGGATACTTGGCCGATATCGGAGGCTGCTCATATTCAGCAAAAGGTGCGGAAGCATACACAACATGATCGGAATCTCACATAACCAGGATGTGAATCGAAGTGTAAAGTGACTTAGAATAGATCTACACCTCATTGCCCCTTCACAGAGGCCGCTTTCCGCCTCCGCAAGAGGTCAGCCAACGGGACCTCGTCCTCGTCATAGAAATCTACGTCCTCTTCCACACCGAAGTCTGCCAGCCGTTCACCTTCGGAGTTTCTCCACGCCTCTTCGCCGGGCGCACCGTCTTGCTCATCAGGACTGCTATACCCATCTTCCACCTCCGCTGCCACCGATTTCTCGAGGCGCTCATGGAACGGTCGACGCCTCTGCACCTCATTTGATGGTCGCTTCCATCGTTGTAGGTCCTCCTGTTGGCGTTGACGGAATGCTTCGACTTCGTTGTACGTGTCCACATAGCCTTCCTTGTGGATAAACGCCTCTTCAGGGTTAAATTCTCGGCGAACGCGCGGTATGCGGTCGGGATCTGGAGGGGGCCAGGTGACTGAGGGGTCTAACAAAATAACCGGTCAGTATCCGCGTGGCAGCGTGATAAGCGAAGGATTGCTAACACACCTTCGAATCCGTTTACTTCAAACTGCAATCCGCTCGTAACCGAAAGAGATCGGGCAAGTGCCCAGAACCAGCTTAGAGGCTGTAGTATAGTATTAGCCCAGTATTTGGATCTGTTCGCGGGACAAACATGCATTTCCACTACCCATGCCCTGCTTTATGTTCTTCCAGATACCGATGTCGTACGGGAACTCCTGCCTGATAATTCTAACCCTCTGGCCGTCCGGACCATCCAGAAACCCTCCCAGGTGTCTGGCACGTCTAAGCAGAGCTTCGTGACGCTCAATCTCCCAGCGCTCGATCGTAGTCGTGTTCGATGCAAGTCCCCATATCGACTGGACTAGCAGGATTGACAGAGCAAAGAGCGTTGTCGAGTTGGCAACAACGAGTACAAAGAGGTGCGCCAATTGAAGCGCAGATGGTCCTAGATAGCTCGGCATCTTGCGGTCTTTCCAGAGAACAGCGGCCCGGATATAGAGGAAGTACTCGAGATATACCATAGCTGCCACGGCGTAGAACAGAAAGCGGATGAAGTGTGGAAACGTAATGTGCGAGACGCAATTGACAGTCCAAGGACAGTGGTGGTCCATCTTGAGGATACATCTGTTACACGTTTTACAGTGGTGTGCCCGTGGTGGTTTCGCCGCTTCGCATTTTCGACACCATCGCTGTCGTCCTTTCGTCAGGCCGCCTTCCGAGGAGGTAGGGTTTGATACATCCTCCTCTTGGCTATCATCTGCTGTCCATGCTTTGGGTACACGGCCTGGGTCGGTCAGGCAAGCGCGAGCATAGCAGAGTAGTAGGCATGCTACCAGGACATTGAAGACGATGGTTTGCTTCCGCGTAAGGGGATGCGGCTCCAGACTAAGGAAGAGATACTGGGAGCTGTATGCCAGAAATGACACCAGTAGCAAGACGCCTGGTACAGCTAGAGAAGACAGAGACCATGACTGTTGTTGCATTTTGCGTTTGATTGCTGTCAAGCAGTCTGAAAGATGCGGGATTAGTAAGGCATTCCGCCAAGAACGGCTCGACCAGGGGGAGCTCGTCTTGAGCAACACCCCTCTATCGAGGCAGTGAGAGAGTGCTTTGAAGCCTGTTTAGATAGCTGAGTGGTTAGGGGGTTTCAATTCGGTCGTGACGAGATATCTTTTCACATAATCCGATTGATTGGAGATGATGATTCGACAATTCATCGCCCGGTAAACACCATGAACCCGCTCCTGGGTAAGTAAGTCATACCGATCGCCTCTTCCTAAGCTTAGTGTCTGATCCAAACCTGTATAGAGTCCACGCTTTCGCTATTGATTCCAACTATCATTCTGATCTATCTGTTCTGGGCTCCATTCACAAAAGTCGAAGAATCATTCAACATCCAAGCAATCCATGACATCCTCACGTATGGAATCCCCACAAAAGACGTAAATCTAAGGCTTGCCGAAGAATACGACCATGTCACCTTTACAGGCTCCGTTCCCCGAACGTTCGTTGGTGCTCTGGTACTGGCCGGACTCTCCAAGCCTTGGCTTGGGTGGCTGAGAACCGCTTTCCAAGCGCAGCTGTTGGGTAAGAATTCATTGACCCCGAATTAATAATTCACAGAACTTTACCACTTGCTAATCTATCTTTCAAGCACGCGGAATACTGGGCCTTCTCAATGCCGCCGCTCTCACGTATTTACGCCGAGCGGCGACCAAGGTGTATGGAAAGACCGCCGGAATCTGGTTTGTCCTGCTGCAGGCTAGCCAGTTTCATGTGATGTACTATGCTTCCAGAACGCTGCCCAACATGTATGCGTTTTGCCTCAGTACGGTTGCGCTAGCTTCCTGTCTCCTCGTTGTTGGAGACCCGTTAAGCGATGTACGAGATGGGACCCATAAGTATCAGCGGCTTTGCCTCTACCTGCTCACATTGGCCGGCGTCATCTTCCGCTCAGAGCTCGCCATTCTAGTTGGGACAATCACTCTCGTTTTCCTCTTGATATACCGCTCGCCACTACCGCGCGCTAGCATACTCCCCGGCATCGCTGGCCTAGCAATCGGACTCCTGCTCACGATACCCGTGGACACTTTCTTCTGGCGCACCTATCCCAAGCCCCTCTGGCCCGAACTCGAAGCCTTCTGGTACAACACGATCCAAGGGAAATCTTCCGACTGGGGCACCAGCCCATGGCACTACTACTTCCTAAACGCTGTCCCCAAACTCCTACTCAACCCCTTAACCTATCTGCTGCTCATCCCAGTAGCAGTCATCAATCCAGCAACGCGCAAGGCAAGCACTCGTCTCCTACTTCCCCTCCTCAGCTTCGTGGCGCTGTACTCCCTACTTCCGCACAAGGAGTGGCGCTTCATTATCTACGTCATTCCAGGCCTGACCGCCGTCGCCGCGGCAGGCGCGGCATGGATCTGGGACCGTCGCGCCAAGAGCACTACACACCGGCTCCTGTCTTTGGCGCTGGTCGGATCAGTGCTCGCGTCCTTCGCCGCCAGCTTCGCGCTCCTCGCTGTATCCAGCACGAACTACCCCGGCGGCGAAGCCATGATACGCCTCCACTCCATCATGGCAAACGAGACGGGAGTCGTGAGGATACACGCGGATAACCTGGCTTGCCAGACGGGGCTTACGCGGTTCCTGGAGCATGTACCGGTTGAGACGGCGTCGGATGACGCAGGGGTGCTGAGGCCGACGTCGAAGTTGCTGGTTGACAAGACAGACGACACGGATAAGCTGCTTAATCCGGCGTTTTGGGTACAGTTCGATTACGCACTGGCGGAGAGGCCGGAGAAGGCGATTGGGAAGTGGGAGGTGCTGGATACTGTGTACGGCTTTGCAGGAGTCGAGCTTGTGAGGCCGGAAAGGTCTAGCGAGGACGCGCGTACTGAGGAAGGTATGGGTCAAGCTGAAGATGGCAGCATCGAACAGAAGAATCTGCGCGGGATCTGGAGGATCTGGCATCAGCTGGAGAGGAAGTTTAGTCCTATTACGAGGGGGTGGTGGATCAGGGTTAAGATGGAGCCGAAGATCCATATTCTTAAGCGGCTTGAGATGTAGGCCAAGGCTGGCTGTTACGGGTCCGTAGAGCGAGGTCAAAAGATTTTGCATGTGGCAAGTGAGTATCAGCGCAGCGCTGACGATGCAGACACAGATGCCAAAGTGGGCGGTCTGTGGCGACTCGAGAACGTGTCCTGGTACATGCAGTTCACCTCTTGTGCACGGATGTTCTGTCACGGCCAGCGTCAGTTCAGGTTTGCGCAGTCATGTTACTCGAAAGTGCACCCTCCAACGTACGCTGTAGGCGCTTATTCACAAAGAGCATTAGCTAGGGAGGCCGCGATAAAGTAATTATGGGTTGTGATCATATGTCAGTGAATGCTCTATCAAGGAAGGTAAATACTACGCAGTAGGATGCAGCAAGCCCGGACTCCAAGCAAATGCCAAAAATCCAACGCCATGCAATGCTAACAAGATCCCAAACCCTCGAACGCTATGCTGCCGGACTCGTAGTAGTTCTCTATTGGCCATCCCAATAACTTTTAATCTCTATCGCGCTTCAGCCACAGATAGCAGTGTTGGTCGTGCACCCAACGAAGCCATTGGCACAGTTGTAGTAATTACCATGGTTCGGCGGGCAGCTGCCAAAGTAGCGCTGCGGACCGTTGTCGCAGACCTGCGGGCTCTGGCTCGTGCAGCCCACGAATCCGCTTGGGCACTCGCTCTTCTTCGCGTACCAGGTGCCCGGGGGGCAAGACCAGCCTGCAGCAGGTGGAGATGTGGGGGCATTGCCAGTAGTGGGCGGCGGGTTGGAAGGCGGCGCGGAGGAGGTAGCGCAGATGTTGGCATTTGTCGTGCAGCCAATGAAGCCGTTGGATGCGCAGCGGTAGAAGGAGCCGGAGCCGGGGAGCGCGCTGCAGTCGTTGTAGAAGCGCTTAGGACCGTTGCATACTTCGGAGGCCTTCGCGTACTCGACGCAGCCGACGAAACCGCTGGAGCAGCCGTGTTCGGGCTTGAGGTGCGACATGCCTGGGCACTGTGCGGAGCTCCGCTCGGTGAGAGTCGGCACGGCGCTGGCGACTGAGAGGACGCAAGTAGCGACGAAAACAGAAGTGAAGAAATGCATCATGACTGGTAGAAATGGAGAAGTAGAAATATAAAGACTTGTTATTTGGTGATGCGACTCCGATGGAAATTGCCTGATGAGATGGAAAGGACGTAGATTGGTAGCGAGTGGAGATGAATTGACTGTAGAACTGTACTGTTGTCGGACACTTAGTTGAGTGATGATTGCAAGAGAGATAAAGCCGAATACTTATAACCACCGTGAGCTCTACCCGTTCAATGCCGAGTTGGTGAAGCTCAGCGTTGAGCCACTGCGCCGCTCCACAGCGCGACTCCTAAAATTACCAGGCTCTGCCACGATCTGGGGCTGAGAGGGGAAGCTGAGATGGGCTGAATCTGGTGCACTTGGCGATGCATGGCTGACTGACCAGTAGCCTTCAGGGCTGCGCCTCCATGACGGTGGACGGCTAACCCGCCTCGCACCGAAGGCTTAGCTGCCGGAGCTGAGGAACAAGTTTCGTAGTAGCTCTTGGATTCTCGTCCTTGTACAGCTTGATATACTTGTACGAAGGACGGGGTTTGTATTGAGGAAGCGGAAGCTTTGCGGCGTGCAATCACGAGGTTTTGAAACAAAGTATTTCGGGGATTATGGGAGAAGAATCGAGCCCTTAGAGGCCTCTGTGGTCATGAGAAGCTTTGAATTTCCATCAGATTACTCACTTGGTAGTGCTTTACGAATAACAGATGAAGGGTGGCAAGCGTCCGCTTCCTCAATACAAACCCCGTCCTTCGTATTGTGCAGAGATAGTTCGGTCATGTGCAAGCCTTCCTGAGTCGACACGGTCGCATCTCCATGAACTCTACTACATTTGCCACCCTGTTTACCCATCACGTATCTAAATAATGCCCAAAAAGGGCCAGAAGACACAGCTATACCTAACCAACGAAGTTCGCGCTGGAACCATCGTTGCTCATCTTGTTTTTGATTGTTAATGGACTTGTATTGGCGAAGTCTTCCATTGCCATGCTCCCACGGCCCAGAAGGTCTGCCAACGAGCTACAGAACGAGCTGATACGACTACTAGAAAGACGCTCTAGAGTAGACACCTTACTAGCTTCACAGCGGACTACCAAGTCGCAAGCTTGTATTAGATAAAGTAAGGCAAGGAACAATAGGATTTGCGCGGGTTCTAGAGAATATAGCATTAGTTAGAGAGGAAGTTTAGTCCTATTATAAGGGGATAGTAGATTAGGGTCAAGATAAAGCTATAGATTCGCACTCTTAAGCGGCTAGAGATATAAGCTAGGGCTTGCTATAAGACATCTGTAGAGTAAGGCTGACTATCTCTCTTAAGGTAAAGAACATCTGCATAGCGCTGCTGCTGCATACCAAAATCAAACTGGGCGATTCGCAGCGATCCGAGAACATCTTTCGATGGTTGATGAGCCGACTGCGGCTGCGGTATATGGCTATGCTGCAACCAGGGCTTGATGTTAGGTAGTCGTGGCTGCATGCTGTAAAGGACTCCAGATCTAGCATACGCATCTTGCACTCAAGCACGTGTAGCCGTCTTGAGATTGTTTGAAAACTCCGAATGTAGATGCTAGCTGCATGAGCCTCTGCTGGTAATCCGTGCAGCATTCCTCGCAGTGAATATGTGACGCGCATGCAGGGCAGAAGGCAACAGCATATGAGAGATCGTGAAAGCAATGAGCTCTGAAGCAGAGAAGGACAAGAACGACTTTTGAGGAGCTCAAGCACACAAGCCTCCGATAACCTGCAGAAAGCCTAAATCTAGAAAAACTCGCCATCTTGAACTCAGGAAGGACGAGTAACTGATGACCAGGCCATGAGAATGAGTTACGTTGCTGGCGGCTGTACCTCTGAGTGCCGACTTGAGATTCTTGCTGCGCGCCTGGAACGACGCTGTGGAGACGGGGGCACCTGGGTGACAGAAATTGCCGGACTCCGAAAAACAGATAGATCTTCAGTCAGCATACGGAGGTCGTGAGTAGGGATAATCCTTCATGGTATGCTGCCACATAAAAATGTGCAAGCTATATCTGGAGGTAGGATGGCTAAAGTAAAGATCTTTGGAGACGTGGTGAATCTAACGGATTTCGGTGATTTGAGAGTGAGTTGTAAGTCCGGTAGTTTACGAGTCCGGCGATAGCTGTCACTCGCGTGGGGGGTATCGAGGTGTTCAGCGTAAGAGTAGACCGCTAGTGTGAGGAGCGAAACGCAGTGTTCAGTCGGTACTCTTCTTCCATGGCAGTTCATCTTCTGAGACTTCGATGCACCTGAGTTGAGGGGCCTCTTCCTTGAATGACCACACTGGCGAATTTCCTAAGACATCTCCCAGGGCTTCGGCTGCTTTGGAAGTGATCTCATCTAGAAAACTCTCACCGTTACCCTCGGCAAAGCTTTTCAGGTCAAAAGTCGCCAAGAATGAGTGCAGTTCATGGGCCGTGTACCATCTGCCATGCGTCATCTCGTGGTAAAGTTTCGCATATCCAGCTCCCAAGGCGGAGCCGAGGTCATTGTCGAGGCGGTCTTTGAGGACCATGCCAAAGAACGCCGTTGCTATGAAATGCATTTTCTTGGCCGGGCCTTGACGAGACGAGTATGACTCAAGACGAAGTAGGTCGTGGTCGACGTCGTGAAGCTTTTCAACGAACTCCGCACGTTTCCGTTCGATGAATTCAGACATCCCGGTCCCCATGGTGTCTATCTTCTTTTGCGCTTGCTCGAACGTTGGAGCGTCGTGGCCCACAATGACGATGGTCGCCTCCTTGAAGATCCAATCACTCTTTAGTTTCAAAGATAGACCGAGCATGTCCACAGGCTTTGTTGAACAGAGCGACGAGACCAGGAACTGGTACTGATGGATGTAGTTTTCAATTGGCAAATTGACAAGATGGCTGCAGCCATACATGTCCGCAATCTCGGCGAGCGTGAGCAGTTTTGATATCTGTGACTGAAAGGACCAGCGCTCATTCACGAAAGTTGGAGGAATGTGATAGAATGCTCCGAGTAGCTGCTTGTGTGCATTCGCAACTGCCTTCGTTGTTGAATCTGCAGTCCAAATGCTCTTCGTAGGATTGACGAGCCTTGGACCGGACCTTGGTCCAGTCGCATTGTTAGGCTTGGTCTTAGTCTGGTCATTCTTGGAGCTTTCACCGTTCTGATAAACCATGTTAGATAAATGAAGAAGTGACTGAATATAAACTCACGCATTTGATGAGTATGCTGATAGAGCCTTCGTTATCAGTCGCTAGATGATAGATCCACCGGACCTTTCCACCTTCTTTCTTGCTCCATCGATCGCTGAGGCTGGCTTTCATGAACGGGGAATGCAATGCTAGAACGAAGCTGTGCAGTACGAAGACGTCCTCCGGTTTTTCCGATAAATGGATTTCGACATCGCCGTCGGCGAATCGTGGGAAGTACGAGTTGATAGTGGCCTGGTAGGCTGACGCGTTAATGAGGACGAACAAGAGTTCACTACTAGGAAACCTACCATATCTGACTCAGGCGCGCTCACAGTGAAGGGATGAAGGACAGTTGGAGGTGATGTTTGATAGATGTTTTCGGAGAGGTGATGAGGTTGCTTTGCAAGGGTCAAGCCGAGGTTCTAGACGGGAGTGAGCTCAAGAGTCTCGAAAAGAAGTGAAGTGAAGATATGGAGCCACCTCGGCGCGAAAACGTACGACACGGTCCTGACATGACGGAGCCAAAGTATTGTAAATGAGAATCAAGCTCAGTCCACGTCGTTTCACTTCAGACCCGGTAGTCTGACTGATCTCGAAATTTCACGGCATGATCATGATCCAAGGATGTCAGAAAGGTTTCTTCACAGCACAATTCGAGCATTTCGAAGGCTACATCAATAATTTATGAAACTACGTGAAAACCGTAGCCTGCATCCCCCATAAGCCCCATATCTGAACCCAGAGCATTTACTTAAGAGGGATGAAACGCGAAGAGTGCGTTGCACCGATACCCGGCCTTCCGTGCTTGACCGGCTTGCTGTTCAGATGTGAGAACTCATTCCACTCATCATCTATCCGCATCCTGTACTTACTATGAGATCGAGAACTCTGCAAGGTAGTGACCAACCATCTCCGGCTTGATTTCGACCTGGTTGAATTCCTTGCCGGAGTAGATACCGATAACGCTGCCAATCATCTCCGGCACAACGATCATGTTACGAAGGTGCGTCTTGACCAGGTCCGGCTTCTCGTTGGGCTTGGCCTCCTGCTTGGCCTTGCGGAGCTTCTTGATCAAACCCATGGGCTTGCGCTTGAGGCCGCGGTTGAACCGACGGCGAGCGCGGGCGTGGACGACATCGCGGAGCTGTTCGGAGGAAAGGTCGAGGAGTCTGGCAAACTTGTCAGCACCAACCGCGAAGTGTGGGTAGTAGCGCTCTTCAGCGCAGTGAGATGCGCATACTGGTCTAGATCAATTCCGCGGTAGGAGAACTTGCGGAATGCTCTCTTCTTCTTGAGCTCTGCGCATCGCAACAGGGTTAGCCTGGGCTCCCCTTTGTGCGTTTCCCATTGCCGAAACCATCCCCCCAATGTCGAAACAGGCGTTCAAAACACAGCCGGCGGATCGCGACAGGTGTTATCAAGGGTATCAGAGCGTACCGGCAGCCTCCTCGGCGTTCTGTTGAAGAGAATTAGTTAGCACTCCGCGGCGTTGAAAGGCCTGCTGCTCAGATCCAAACTCACGTAGTTCTCGTCAGCCATTTTTGCGTGATGTCGAAGCGCTACTGTATTAACTTCGATGAACGCGGTGGAGTTGTCGTGGGTTGATGTGTCGACGGCCTTCGTTGGAGGTTCTCGACTTTCAAAAGTGCGTCCTGATTAAGCGAGGTCTTGGCATCAGGTTCGGCGCCATCCGCCAGCACCAGCAGCGCTCGAAGATATCTTATCTTGATCATCACAGGCCAACTGAACGCTACAGGAACAGTACCACGCAAATTGTTCCAGTTATATAGAAGTCACGAATATGCAGTTGGGGAAGTACGGCTAAATTGGACTAAGGCATTGAACAAGCGCCCCATGGAGCATACATTGACAATGTGTAATTGAAATCCTTGCCCCCAGCTCGCACAACTCCTCCCAAAGTCCAGCCAGGTCCGACATGATACAGCAATCGAAGCTCTTATATCCTTCGAAATGACCAATGACCGGCGCTCCTCTCGCATCACACTTAGTCGAAGAGACCGAAGCCCATGTCCTCGTCCGACTCCTCCTTCTCTTCTTCCTTCTCGGCAGGCTTCTCCTCCTCTGCGGCAGCACCGCCGCCAGAAGCAGCGGCAGCGCCACCAGCAGCCGGGGCACCACCAGCACCGCCGGACGGGACGGATGCGAGCTTCTGGCTGCCTTGTTGGATGAGCTGTGAGCAGTTGTTAGTCCTCATGTCCATTATAGGGTCGTTTGCCCTCAAGTTCTTCATGATGGCCATACATCGTTGAGGTCCTTGCCCTTGAGCTCTTCGAGGAGCTTCTCCAGACGGTCATCATCAGCCTCAATGCCAACAGACTCGAGGACGCCCTTGATGTCGGAGGCAGAGGGGTCGGTGTTGCCGCCGAGGCCGAGGAGGAGGTAAGCTGCGAGGTGCTTCATTTTGATGGATGCTGCGCACGCCGTTAGACACCCGGAGCTGATGCGATTGAAGCCTATAACAGGAAAGTCTCACTGTTGTTTTTGTGGGTGTAGAACTAGAGCTCAATCGATTTAACCGGGGTGCCGGAGACTGAAACTGCAAGTCCAGAAGGTGGTTTGTGTGGAAGACGTCGGCGTGAGCTCTGAAGAAGATGCACCGCCAAAAGTTTCGCCGATGTGCTGTGGGCTCGCTTGACTTGCCCGAAACGTCGTAGCCTCTTGTTCCGCAAACAGGTCTTGGCGCCGGACGACTTCACTCTTGCCATTCGTCATCCGCGCGTTCCTTCCACAACCTCACGCGGCGCATTTCACTTCTCTACACTCTTCCAGTGGGTCTTTAAAGAGGGCTCCTTCCCCGAGCTTCGCGCTCCATTCCATCTCCAACCTCTAGCATTATGACAACGTCCTCATTCGCTACCAAACATTGGTAATACAACAAACTCGTCCGCTCCGCCATGACGAGCGTAGGTCAGCTGGATTCTGCCTTGAAGGACTGCGCTGAAGCACCTCAGACTCTCGACTCCCTCCTGTCTTCTATCGGCGCCCCAAAGCCCACGACCGGTTCCACGCCTCAAAATGAATCCACAGCATCCAAGCCCTCCCAGCCCACGCGGCCGACCGTCACGAACGGAGCGAGTCCAAATGCGCCACCAAAGCGAAAGGCAGAAGGCGATCTAGCGGCGGCAGGAGCGAAAGCGCAGAAGCGCGAGGGACAAACAGCCGTCGACCGACCGCGAGCACCTGCGCAGAAACCAGATTCGATACCCTATCGCGGCACTGCAAACGTGAGGCCAACAACCTCATTAACAATCGCTCCAGCATCTGCCGTAAAGCCGACGCCCAACCAAGCCCCACCCCCCACAAACAAAGCGCCCTCTGTCCCAGCAGCAGCGCCGAAGAAAGGCTCATACGCCGAGATCCTCGCCCGAGCGAAAGCCGCACAAGAAGCCAAAACCGCCATCGGATCCATCAAGCACAAGCCTGTCGAGAAGCTCGCAAAGAAGGAACGACCAGCTCCATTAGCCGCCGCAAAAGGCGCGCAACCAGCAGGCGCGAAGAGCAAGCAACCATTAGCCAAGGATAATAAAGTAAGCGGGCCAGGTCGGAGCAGGAGTCCGGAAAAACCGAAGGTGAAAGGTGCAGAGCCGGTCAAGGAGAAGAGAAAGCCACTTGACCTTGGTTACACCGGCACGATGCGCCCGAAGCCGGCGGAACCAGCTTACAAGGGTACTATGGGCCTCTCCGCCGCGGCACGGAGGCCCGGATATGACAGCGATCGCTCGCGACCTATGGATCGGAGTCGTAGCACGTCATCTACTGCGAAGGCGGCGTCGAAGGGCCGCTATACCTACGCTAGTTACTCCGATGAGGAGGAAGAGGACGATGACGGCGCATCGGATGCATCGTCAGACATGGAAGCCGCGGCGTGGGATCTCGAAGAAGAGGAGCAGATGAGTTTGCGCGTGGCGAAGAAGGAAGATGAAGAGGCTCTCGCGGAGGAGAACAGGCTCAAGCGTGAGAAGGCCGAGAAGAAGAAGAAGCTGGAGCAGTTGGCGGCATCGGCGGCGAAGAAGAAGAAGATGTACTAGCTGCGTTGTTCGAGGTCTGATTCTTGCTAACGTGGCTTGGTGGTCTTTGATGAAGCGTTCTTGTGGACGATGCATGACTTGGTAGTGAGCTTTAGCGGGCGCTGGTCGGAGTCTTGGCGCGTCTCTTGCATACAGTGAGCGTGTCGTTTGATGGGACTGTTGGGCCGAACGATCGATTTGTCACTTCGAGCTGTAGCGAGCTTGCAACTATGAACTAATATTGGTATTGCAAACCCTCAGTTTCCCCGCTTTCCCATTGGGTGTGCGAAGAATTATACGGACAGCCCTTGCCTTCTGAATGCGGTAATATAGGGGGTCTCGTTGGCACGCCGCCACAGTCCTGCTGTCCCCCGATTCTCCTATCATCCTCTCCCCCATCGTGCTGATGTCCTATCCTCCGGTCCTCTTCTACTATCTAGTGTCATTCTACGGACAGCCTAAGTTCCAAAAGCGGTAACATGAGTATCCTCGTAGAACGCAGCAAAAGTCTTCTTGTCCCTACTCCTGTCCCTGCTCCTGTCCCTATCCCTATGCCTAACATGCGTCGTTGTATAGAAAGCCCTCAACTTCCAAAAGCGGCAACGTCAGGACCCAGGACGATTGAGACATGGCGGTGTAGATAAGACATAGAGAAATCATAATAGCCACCGTGAATAGCGCACGTAACAACTAGATAGTCCCTCAGCACGATAGGGCAGCTTAAGAAGGAGGACGTAGATGATGATAGGGGGACCTGGGAATCACGATAAACTAGAGAATATGGTATCGTCTTTCAGCCTCTTCACACTGCCATTTGCGTTGTTCTTGTTGAGTATAGTACGTGAACTGCACACGCGAACAAGGATGATGATGTCGGACGCATAAACGCTGCCAATGTCTGAACATTTCGTGCCGAGTTCAATCACCACCATGTATCCATCTCCATCATAAGGTTTTCCTGTCCGTGACTTTCTCACTGTCAACTTTCCAGCAGCCTCTACCCCAAAGTCCGACTGCATATTCAGTCCCGCTACTCCCCTCCACGCCCCGCCTCTCTAGCCTCATACCGCTCAGCCACCGCTCTCCACGCTGCAGTATTTCTACGGGCAACATGATGCAACACGAGCATCCCAATCTGTCTGATCTGTTCGCGGACCACGTCGCCACGCTCCGGCGACCTCAGCGTCTCATTATCCGGTACTGTAAAAGTTGCTATGTAAAGCGCATAGCAAGCGATCAGAATAGCCAGCCACCCAGCAATATCGCGCTTGGTAGCCGCGCCCAAGGGACGCTTCCCGGTTGCGAGATAGCACTCGTACAGCGTGCAGGGAACCGACATCTGGACTTCAAGCGTAGCGTCAACCATCACTTTGACGACGATGGTGAGGACAAGGCTGATGGTGAGGCAGCAGATGTTGAGGCAGAGCGACGCTAAGCTCTTCGTGGGCTGTGCCGAGGGGTCGTCCTCAGTGCCGATATTGCGATGTTTCCGGAAAATGCAGACGAGATACCACCCAGCAAGCAGGACGATGAGGAAGAGGCACGGAATGGCCCAAATGCTGAGAGTAGTGCTGTGCCTGTAAAAGAGGGCAGTGGCGGTAACGAGCAGGAGGAAGCGGAGCTGGACGAGGCTGTTCGTGATAGCGCTGCAGAGGTCAGAGAATTCCAGGATGTTTAGGTTTGCGGGCGTGTTAGTGGTGTATTTGGCGAAGAATCGGAGGGTTGACTCGAGGTGGAAGAATCGCAGGAGTACATGGCTGATAGCATCAATGATGCAGGCGAGCGATGAGATTGCCATCACGGCTAATAAGCGTTTCGTTTTGCTTGAACGCGTATGCAGTAGCTCCTGTGGAACGAGACAGAAAGAGAGAAAGTTGCTGTAAATGTACTACGCAATTCCATGTGGCTGGAGCTATGAGGTGAAGTGCGAAAGGTGAATCCATCCTGCAAGGAAACCTGACTCTGATTGAATGGAAAACCTTTGCTGTGCTTGTGAAGAAGATTCGGAACGGTCGGTGTGAACTTGATCAAACCTTAGACCGACCAAATTCACCATACAGAACGTGCCAGCGTCAATGTCGCCACTGGGCCAGTCTGCTTTCAAAGCGTACACCCTACAATTCTGCCACCTACAACGAGCTCAGCACCGCCTGCACGCCCACACTCCCGGCATCCTCCCTTCTCAACACATAGCTCCTCAACTCCCTCCCCTCTCTCGCATTCCTCAGTCTCTCTCTCAGCGCCTCCGGCCCAATAACAAACAGATTCGCCACCTCAACCAGCACCTCCATGCCACCCTCCCTCCCAAACTCCTCGCTAACAGACCACCCCCTTACCAACTCCACATACTTGGTCACGTCCTTACTAACCACCAGCCCACCCGCCAAACTGACGCTGAACCGCCGGAAATGCTCCAGCAGCGCCATGCGCAGTCCAGAGGCGAGTTCCGTAAGGAAGAGCACGAGGTTCTGCCCCGAGAGCGCAGATGACGCAATCCCAGCGACGCGGGCCAGGAACGCTGAGACGGAAAGCGCGGTCGGTGTTTCGGTGCCCAGGGCGATGAGGTCGTCGTCACGGGGGCGGAAGTCCGATTTCTTCTGCGCGGCCAGCAGGCGGGATACCCACGCCAACGCGGCGTCGAGGGTGCGGTGAAGGATTGTGCTGATCTTGGACTCCAGGGTCGCTAGGGTCAGGGCCACGGCTTTTTCGATCTCGCGGCGGATGGTTAAGTTCGAGGATGCGAGGGGCAGGAGGACTGTTTGGGTGGATGTTTGGAGGAGGTGCAGGATGCTGATTGCGGTGCGCAGGGAGGCGAGGTATGTCAAGTCCGGTTCTGTCTTTGAAGACTCCTGCGAGGCGGCGAGTTCAGATGCGCCGTCGAGCGCCGTCTCAAGGTAGATCTCGCCCATGTGGGTAAGCAGTAGCCCGAGCAGCGCCTGCACGTCTTTGGGCGTCTCTGCGCCGCCGCCGAGCTCGAGACCACGGCCGACGCCCTCAGCGAGCCATTTGAGCATTCGCTTGGCGTTGGGGAGGGAAAGCTTGCCGTCTTCCTCTGTGACGTCGATCTCGCCTTTGCTTTTGTCGCTGTCGCTGTCTTTGAGGCCGGCGATGCGGATGAGCATTGCTTTCTGCGACGCTGGCAGATCTGAAGAGTCTAGCCGTTCCATGTAGGCGTCTCGAGCTGAGGCGATCATTTCTCGGCCTCGTTTCCCTAGGGAAGCAAGGTAAGTGGTCGGTACTTTTTGTCTGCGAGACTGTTCGCACGTGTAAACGCCTTGCCTCATTCCACAAAGAGCAGTCAATACTTACGTGGTAGATGGTGAACTTGAAGAGCAAAGATGAATATAGTTCGTCTAGGTTTCTCTTCTCTCGTTCTATGTAGGATGAGCCAACGAAATAAGGTACGAACAGGTCGTCCAATTGCTGGTCGAGTGTAGCCGCAATCTGGGACGACACGGGCTCAGGGTGCTCGGTCAAACCATGAGACTTCAAATCATCGACGAGGGCGCCAATGTAGCTTCGTGCGGCCTGCAGTGACCTGAGGAATGCCAAGGAAGATATGGAGTTCGCCTTATCCAGCACCATCTCCAGACGTTGTTGAATCTGCCAGGTCAGGAGCAGTCAAAGCATTTGTGCGCATAATACTCACAGATTGCTGGAAGATTCTTTGTAAAAACCGCTGTAGCACTTCGTCGTAGTAGGGAAATGCCCTCTTAATGAAGAAGGACTCCTGCTGAACCACGAGCTTGACTTCATCAACTAGATTCTGAAGGCTAGGCTCGACACCCGGCGGTTCAGTGTCGGGATCCGCTAATCGATCCCAGCTGGAGAAGAAATCAGTTCTGATGCTCTTGAGAGACCAGCTTCACGGGAGAAACGTACGTTTCGCCATCCTCAGCGACCTCTTCAACCACCAGTTGACTCTTGTCGATAAAGAACTGATGTTGATTGACAAATACTGCCATTACGCTTGCGCCCTCGTTGAAACCACGTAGAGCGATAGCGCATTCCTACATCTTGAGCGTTAGCATGAGCTGTCTAAAAAGCGTTCATCCTGGTTAAACTTACTCTCATGCCGTCAAAGTTCTGCTTGCGGTAGAACTCATCAAACTGCTTCAGGAGATCCTTTTCGAGTGACTCCAGGAATTTCTCGATAACCTCTCTGGCCTGATATCTGCTCCGATTGTTTCCGTTACGCACACCGTTTACTCCGTTTACCGCTCGGCTTCCATTGACTTCTGCTGAGTCGTCGGCCTCAAGCCTATGACTAAGTCGTAAAAGCTGTCTGGCAATGTGCGCGCATCGAACTTTGCCGTCTCCTCCACCCAATCTTCGGACATCTTCTAGACTCGACAGATTGCCCTTTTCGCTGACTTCCATCCAGCATTGTATGAGGAACTTTGCGTCTTGTGCCCGTTGTCGCTGCCGGTCTAGCTCTTCCAACCGTTCGCCAATCCTGACAGCCACATTACCGCCAGCATCGCCATCTCCGTCCCCAGTTCCGCCGTTCAATGAGCTGTCTAACCGTTCGAATGACCTGAATGCTTGATCTAGCTTGCGACCCAGCGACTGGACACTCTGGTGATGCTGTGCCTCCGCGCGACGGACGGAGCTCGACAGTTCATTCTCATGTGATTCTAGCTCTTCGGATAGGGCACTTAAGCGCGACAATGCATGTTCGAAGGTGCGAATGAGAGGCTTAGGGTCAAAGGCTGCTTGCTGGCTGGAGGGAGCTGATCGGCGACTCGCAGGGATCGCGCTGTCGGACAACGCTTCGATGAAGTCTTTGACTATGAAGTCCTTGCTCTACGTGCGCTTCAATCAGTCAATTGCAATTCGCGGGGATCCAGAGAAAGGTGTCCACTGACTGAGAAGTTATCGAGGGTGAATGTGGTGCCCTTGGGAATGCCAGCTCTGCCCCCACCAGATGAGCTGCCTCGCGACAGCAATGAAGCTGTATCTGCCGCTGGACCTGGCGGCATCTTCGCCTACAACCGCATGCGCGGGCGGTGTGCGCTCGATGAGGCAGGCAACTGGGGATCAATTCGTTGTCGGAATCTCTTCCTGCACTGTACCAAGCTGACCCCTGCCTCCGAATTTCTGAAGCCGTCGTCTCCGCTCGAAGGACCAGCCACGTCCTGGCCCTTGTGTATTGCTTGGTGTCGGAATAGTACTTGCAGTAATACGGGTACAATATGGCGTCTGACCGACTTTGTCAGTATTGTGTGTGAATAAGTGCTGAGCCAGCTTCTCGCTTGAACATGATCAGTTGCTGCGTAAAGGACTAGACTTACTGGCACTTGCAAGAATGCCTGAGGTTGTTGGTGTTTCGAAGCTGCGCGCCAATGCGCCGGAACCAAGCTGTCAGAAGTCCGGGGAAAGCGCCGGTGCCTGAGCCGGGGTCCGTGGTGACGAATGCCCGGGACTTTCAACGGTTGTCCCAAGATGATCAACAGGGCCGCACAATTGCTGACGACGCCCGCCTCTCTCAGCCTCAATGTTTTGGGGCCATTGCCTCTGATCTCGTTGTTCTACTTGTGACATAAAAGGACTCAAGGGTGGTTGCTTCACGCCATCATCTAGTCGTACAGCATTTATCTCACTCTCTGTCTCTAGCAATGGTGGGATTCCGGGAAACCGAGGCACTACGCCGCAATGTCCTCCCAGATGGCCGCCCACTATCCGCACACGATCGGGAGAGGCTTTTGAGGCCATATCTACCGCCAACACCAGACTCGAAATCACCGTCGAGAGCTCCATCCTCGTCTGGGAAGCCGCAAAAGTCTTCCAGGTCAAAGCCTTCCAAGGGCTTCCTACGACAGTACCTCTACGTCCTAATATACACCGTCATACACGCCCTCTTCTCAGCCTACATACGTGTGCGAAGAGCTTATCATGCTATTGTCGACCATATCTTCGCCGTTCTCTACTATCACCACCGCACGCCGGAGCTTATAAGGAAGGATGTCAGCAACTTGAGTCGGCTGCCTCAGCACCTCAGCGTCATACTTGATTTCAATGACGATGAGCAGGATGGCGGTGGTGGGCTCGAAGGGCTTGTCAATGACGTTGGAGAGATAGCTGCATGGTGTGCTAGTGCTGGTATACCAGTGGTCAGCATCTACGAGAAGACAGGTAAGCGCCTCGTCTTATGGAACTACCTTTATTGCATCTACTGTTCGTAAGCTTCGAGGGTGCAATGGCTAACTATCTCGACGAACAGGCGTGCTGAAGAGCTACATCCCCCAAACCCACCGAAATATCTCCAGAACTCTAGAATCTTACTTTGGCACGCTCAAGAAACCATCCCTATCTCTCCGTGCTCCGCATCTTCCCACCTTCAGCCCTCCGGCAACGCCGCCCTCCGCTTTCGCGACAGCATCCGATTTCTCCACGTCGCCATTTCACATCACGGTCCTGCTTCTCAGCGCAGAGGACGGCCGTAGCACGCTGGTGGACCTCACCAAGACTCTTGCTGAGATGTCGCAGCGCGGGAAGCTCTCGCCAGCTGATATCAGCGCTGAGTTGATTGATGCTGAGATCAGCGAGAGCGTGATGGGGGAGCCGGACTTGTTAGTGCTGTTTGGGCCGAGGGTGGAGCTGAAGGGGTATCCGCCGTGGCAAGTTCGACTGACCGAGATCTAGTAAGTCACAGCAAGCAGAGGTTCTTGTTAGAATTTTCGACTTCTGAACCGGCAGCTAACGGCAGTTCTCTAGTCATGCACCAGACAATGCAGGTGTGGGCTACCAGACCTTCCTCCGAGCACTACATCGGTTTGCAAAGGCGAAGATGCGGTTTGGGCGATAGAAAGAATTGGGTACGCATGTTTGCAATTCGAAAGCGCTCATGTTGTTTATAGCAGCAGATTTATGCTTCAGGCTACCGAGATATACCCAACTAGACAGCCATTTCCCTCCCCTTGTATTGCCCCTGGAACCTGCAGCACTGTTCTCTTTCTCTGCTGCCAGCCTGGCAAGGAAACCCGCAAGGCGCACTCCGAGGCTGCAGTCGATGCTTGGCGAAAGAGGCGTCTTTCATATACGAGGTCACGGGATCAGCCCTGCCGCCGAGGCGGAGCTGACACAGCCTCACTCAAGAGAGTCGCGCAAAATCACAAAGGCATGATGGATTGCGAACAGCCAAATATCTATCTAGAATTGACCGAACGGCTCTTGAGCGCTGAAAAATGAAGCAGACAGTGATCTCGCCGTGCCAAGATGTGGGGGTAGCCAACCCCGATATAGGGGGGATTGGCGTGAGTCCTCGATTTCTTTCCTCCTGAAGAACACTTCGACGGCTAACATAGACATTGCAGACACTGCTCTCTTTCGGTCTCCTAGGCTTGACGTCTCTCTCCCTCTCCCTGTGGTGGGACTGGCTGTACCGCACGAAAAAGAAGCGCGATACACCGCGATCTCTAGAACAACGTCACAAAAAGAGACAGATCATCAACGGCGTCTTGCTCCTTACTAGCGATGCTCAGACCATCAACGGTATAAGCCCTTGACTGGCAGACAGTCAAGCTGAGACTGACGAGGGCTGCATACAAGGCATCGCGCTCCTCCTAAGCGCGCTTGTGGACTCTAGATCTATGAGCATTTATCATCTTCATCTGGTCTATGATATTGCAAGCTTTACTGGGTATATTCTCCCCCATACTCTACCCGTCTTCATCCGTCAGTTCATTTCCGACCTGAGAGCAATGTTGTGCTCATCTGGAGAGCTCGTTCATTCACCGCTGACATCTTTCAAGCGTGTCAAACATCCCAGCTTTGACTCTTGCCATGAGAAACATCTTGTCCCGCCGCCGCATTTCCACTCGCATATATGGCATCTTGTTCTTCGGAATCGTTTATCTTATCTTCATTATTGTCTTCTGCGTTCGTCTTGCCTCATATGACGACACAACCCCAGGCCGCTGCTACAACGCTCTACTTACCTCTTCGCTGACCGCAACACATCCCGCTCATGACTATATCTACATTGCCATCACTGGCTGCTGGTTCTACTTGCTGTTGGCTGGCTGCCTAGCCGTTGCCATTCGCACCAACCGAAAATTATCCTCTTGTTCCAACGGCAACGAAGTTGCTCTTTCGCAAGTGGAGTGGGTTTCCCGGAAGACGCCCAAAATTGAAATGGAGGGAATGGTGATACTCTTCAGCTCATTTCAGTATCCTGTTCACCTCTGGTCGGCAATCAGCCTGAGGCAGGCTAATCAGACTCTGTTGACGCCGAGTGGCGGGGAGAACCACTGGGGATTTGGGCAGACAGTAACCCTCGTTATGGTCGCTGGTGTGGTGATTGAATGCTGCAAAGGCGTGATGTGGTATGTGGTTTGGAATCGCGAATCTGGAAAGCAAAAATCATGCGCCCAAGGGGGTTCACATGTTGATGATACGGCATTGTGAGGCCAGCGTCACTGTACTCGAGTCGGTAAGAGGAGCTTATTTGTGTTCTCGTAAAGCCTTGTCGTTGCATGGGAGCGCGTTCTTCTTGTTCTCTTTCTAGATCTTTGACATGTTATAGAATCATCATCATTAGGATTGGTCTCGCTTAGCGGAGCAGAAATACAACTCACCATGGCTACGCCGCCTGTCAGAACCACGGCGATGTTAAGTCCACACCACGAAAATGGAGAATTTCCCGCTCAAAGGTTGGAAGCTTGCGCAAATCTTAGGGAAGCCGTTTCCTGTCTCCACTTCGGTGCTTAGCGTACCGTCCACATAGATGCCATCGCAGCGGTAAGTATAAATTTTGAACTCAAAACAGTCCCCATTCTCTATAAATCTAGAGCGACGCGCTTTCTGCTCTTTCTCCGAAGTGTCGCAATTCTCATAACTCAATATCCAATAGAGCTTCAGCATCTTGGTAAAACTTCCTCTATCTCACAAAGTTTACCCTAATCTCTCCACCGCAACACGATGAACAACACCTTCGGCGGCGATCTCGCAGCCAGGCGCGCACGGCTTCACGATGCCGAAGCTTCACACGCGCAGCACCAACCCTGCGAAGTCGTCTTCGTTGCCTCATCCCCCATTGCCTCAACCGCCACGCTGAGCCCATCGTCCCCAGCGCCGCCCACTCCAACCACCAGGCTCCCCGCGCCAGATGATCGGCTGCCTTTCCGATACGACTATGCCCCCCCGTCACCGGTGCAACAGTACGCCACAGTCCCCTCCGGGCACCTGGCCGATCCAGGAATGTACCCGTCAGGAGCACGAAGTCCCTCGCCCCCGTCTCCGAGCTATTCTCCAACCAGCCCCGAGTACACGCCGCCATCTCCGACGTTTGCGCCTTTCTCTCCGATATTCTCGCCACCATCTCCAACGTTTTCGCCAACCTCTCCAAGATATTCGCCGACCTCCCCAAGGTACTCGCCAACCTCCCCGTGCGGGGTGCGGCCCTCTCTGAGCTACTCGCCGCCCAACTGGCCGTACCTATCGCGCACGCCGACAGTCTCACCATGCAGCCCAACGTATTCGCCATGCTCTCCGGTCGAAGCGCCAGCCACGCCTCCGCCCGCTGCCACTGCTCCAGAGGGGAACTCGGTGGAGGAGCAGGATCGACGGACGCCACGCATCAGCAGGAAGAGGGCACGGTCGGCGAGCCCACGCTCCCCACACTCCTCCTTGCCAAGCCACCTTCGCTACCGGGTGCGTGTTGCAGCGGTGGATGTGCAGTTCGCGCTTGCCCTGACGGATCGGGCGTTGGAGAAGGTGGATGAGGCGCTGCGTGGCCTCGATGCTGCGAGGGTAGGGTTGGTTGCGGTGCGAAACTCGTTGACGGCATCTGCGGATGGATTGAGGGAGTCCGGGGGAACTTGATGATGGCTCTGTCGGTTGATGATTGTTGGAAATTGATTGAAGTGAGCTAGCGTTGGAGATCTTAGTGAATGTCTTTCTTAAGTCACATGCGCAGAATAGCGCCTTATGAAGTAGGTTGTCAGAAGGTTGCCTGGCTACCCGTGTTTGGTTTCGTCACGCCCGCGTCCCTTCTCTCTCTCTCTCTCTCTCTCTAACTTGTTACAACCTTGAGCACAGACGAAATAGTGTCAGCAACTCGGTCAGACTTTGCTGTCGGTAGTTTTCAAGCTAAGCATTGCTATCAATCTTCCACTCTCACATCAAGTCATCACCCATCCGAATCCGTGTTTACAACGAAGCTGCTCCACGCGTTGGTTTTATCACGGACAAACAATACACGATGGAGTTCTTCTCAATCGCCAGCGCCTGGGAGGTCATCAACTTCAGTCTCTTCGCCTTCACTTGCCTCTGCGACGTTACCACAATTCTCATCAACCCACCGTCATACGCGCACGCTCAGCGTGTCGACTCCTCAGCGGAATCACAAGTCTCGCGCCTCCCCCGTCTCTGCAGCACACTCTGTAGCGGCATCGCCTTCCTCCGCTTCTCCATTGCCAGCGCCATCACTATCATCAACTCGGACGAGAGCGCAGCCCGCAGCGTCTGGATCATAACATCCCTAGCCCTTGCCATCCGTTTAGGCGCCAAGTTCGGCGAGTGGCGCCTCAAGCATCATAACTCATTATGGGAGAGTAATTACACCTGGGCTCACGTCTCCTTGGACATCATTTCGGGCATCTGCGTCTGGATCTGGGGCATCCCCATGTACGTCGAAGTCACCCCGACTATGTGGTTCGTGGACACCATGGTGTCTCCCTTGATGGAGCGCATTGTCCGATGCCGAGCCGGAAGCTCAGAGGATAAGATCCTGTGGATGACTTGCTACATTTCGGCCGCCTCCTTCTCATTCTGTGCTTTCTGTGTAGCTGCTTACGGGCTCGTGAACGCAACGACGACACTGAGATACTTGGAGAATGGCACCAGGGCACAAGAACAGGCTTGGGCGCTTGCTGCGCTGCTCTTGTACATCAATGCCCGCAGAATCGCTACAGAGGGCTTCCACGAGGCTACGTTTCGGGCGAAAAAGGCGCGCACTCATGATGAGGCCCGCGAGGAGCTTCTGGGCGCCAGAGCTTGGGATGAAAAGACCGTCGGAAGGTTAAGAGAGATCAAGAGCTCGGATGAGAAGATTGTCGTGTCGTTCGAGGAAGAAGAAGATCTCGACGCTGTCGTGAGCGCTGTGTTGGGAACTCAGGTCGGCGCAACGGGTGGGACTGTTCTAACACCGACCGATGGCCGCATCCAAGTCGAACCTCTGAACGGTCGTAGGGAGCTGGAAGCTTCGAACTTCTTCATGCACTCGCGCATGTAAGGAGAACGCGATGGTTCGCTTGTGCGAGAAGGACGAAAGTGATCCTACCTATGTATCTCTGAAGCGCCTGGCTCATACGAAGGAGGGGGTATTAACTGAGGAAGCGGCAGCCGCTTGACCACCCTCCAATGTTATCAAGAAATATTAACAATCAGTTTATATAATTCAAACCTGCACCTTCTATTCACTGAAGATATATCTAATGTGCCAGCCCACCTCTGCAAACGCCTCAATACTGTGTCAAGAAGCCTTGTGGTCGCGCGCCATCAAGTGACCGCTTCCTCGGTAGATACCCCGTCCTTCGTAGGCTCGGCGAGAGGTGGTTGTGGCTGCCTAATCGAGCCGAATTGGCTCTTGCATTGCTGGACAATTTACCTCAAGTGGGGGTTGACAGGGAGATATCAGCTCTGCTACTGTTGCTAGAAAGCACTTGCACACACACACGGTACCACCGTCCTTGAGGCAAAGCTCAGGCTCCTGGTTGTGATATGCCCCACTAGCTAGAGTGCGACTCAGTGCACCCTAAGATATATTACCCATGACCTCGAAGTGTCGAAACATTTCCCTGACATATGACCCTTTTCACGCGCACTTCTGCGCCTTGCACATAGATGGCTTGATTAAACTCATCCCAAACAGGCGGTCCATCAGCCGGTACGATGTGGTTCGCATTAGATGCTTTGCGTAACTTTATGTAGCTGTCTGGAAGAAGACTTGGCGTTATGAGGAAGAATGAGGCTCCTTATTCACATGCGTCCGAAGTTTGTCCGGATCACGGAGACGGCTCCTGGATCAAGCGGACTGCTTGCATCAGCTCGACAGGCACCCTTGTATCGCATCTCTCTTGAGCCTCTTCTTCGCAATACATTCACGATGTCGAAGAATGGAAGGCTATGAGCGATGTTGCTGTCAGCCGCTCACTCGACGTCACGACTGACACGTCTTCGGCGGACCATTGCAATGATGAAGGAATGATGTAACCCCTCGCAACCCGGTTTCGGCAGGTAGGACGACGTAGGTAGGCGGTCTATCAACTGAGGCGATGCTTTTTATTATACAGTGACTCTCGAGCTTCATCTCTCAACTTTTCCTATCGTTCATTCCAGCAGTATGGACTACCTCAATTCCTCTTCTCAATTCGTCAAACCCGCCCCTGTAGACCCGGCGGCGCAGCAGCTTCTGCATGAACTGCCACCTGCGCTCGCGTGCTTACTCGTGTCTACTACCATTCTTTATACAGCAATTTACCTTCTCCTAAAGGGAAGTCATGCCCTGCACGCAATCTCGACTTTCCTCTCCGTCGGGTTGTTCGCTGCAAGCCCCTATGTAGCGCCTCTCAACTGCATCGCAGCTCGCTGCATATACAATTTTGCCAGTAAAGCAACCCCAAGGTCTTGCCCCAAACTCGCAAGCTAAAACGCTCTTCAGTCGAGATCGGCATCATGAAAGCCCTCGACCTGTTCGCCCGCCGCAACAACCTCCCCAAATACATCTACGAACCTACACCGCCTGCCCCAACCCTCGCGGCCCTCCTCCTCACCGAGCTCCGCTACGAGTCCTTCACGCCGAACCAAATCCGGCACTCCGCCCACGAGCAGTCCTTCTCCGAGCACAACCAGTATCTCATCCACATCTGCATGTTCGCCGTCTTTCAAATGCTGCCGCAGATCCCGCCCGTCATCGCCTTCGAGATCCTGCTCGCCATCTACATCATCTGGACGTCCATGCAGCTGCTGCTCCGCTACAAATCCTCGCCCGCGCTCTTCGGCCCGCTCTACCACGGCGACAGCCTCGCGGGACTGTGGACCGAGACGTGGCACAACGCCTTCGCGGCGCCGTGCATGAGTCTCGCGTTCAGCCCCGTGCGGAACACGCTCTGCGCGCTCGGGGTCCCCAAGAAGATGGCAAAAGGCGCGGGCATGCTGGCTGTGTTTGTGCTCATGGGCTTCTTCCATGTCTATGCGCTACTGCCGCTGCTCTCGGCGGAGGGCCTGCGTAGGATCCTGATCTTCTTCGCGGGGAATGGCCTGCTGACGGTGCTGGAGTTCGCCGTCTGGGGCAAGCGGAAGCATTGGCTTAAGGCGGCCATGGCGTGGGGTGTGGAGACTGCGTTTGCGAGTTGGACGGTGCAGGGCATGGAGTTTCCGGATGGGCTGAGGAATCTGAGGTGGAGTCAGGTTTGTGGAGGGGCTGGATGGTAGCTTGTGGACTGGGGAGGGTTGCATCTGTGAGCGTTGGGGGTAGGTTAGAGGGTAGATGGCTTAGACTGGTAACATGCTTGAGTGAGGTCGCAGCATTTACGGCGTTGTGTATGAAAGCTTGGGTGATACAAACACAGCCACAGAAAAGCTGCAAGCAGTGAACCGAACATGCAAAGCGCTTCAATTTTTCATGGTGACGCAAGAGATATCGCGAGCCCTCTCACCCGCATTCATCCTGCTTGACACGGTTGAAACAGCTGAGAGTGTTCTGAAAAGGTCATTGACTCAGCTGCGGCCCGCAGGCTGGCTGTTGTACCACATAGAGAAGTAACAGGAGAGAAGACCATCAAACCGAGAAAATCAAGACAAGGCCAGCCTGCTTCTCTAAGAGGACCGTAAGTATACAGGCATGAGTAACCTATTAGAGGCCCCACTCAGGGGTGAATTTGCGCCACCAAAGCCTGGGTAGCGCATAGTTGCCCTGGAGGACAAGACAGCAACGAAACTGAACCCGAACCGAAAATGCAGGACAAACCTCTGAGGCACCACCTGAACGCCGCTCCATGCAATCATAGCACCAGTCCTCAAGACCCTTTCCTTTCGTCTTGCTTCTCCTCCCCCTTCTTCTCCTCGTTCTCTTTCCTCTTCTCCTTCGCCGCTTTGACCGACTCGCTCACCCAATCCTTAACCCTCTCCCACCGATTCCTGTTGAGCTTGTTACTCAGTTGCCGATAGTTATACATCTCCCCCCAACAATCCCTCCCCCACTCGCAGCCTGCCATATTAACCACAAAATCCCTGTCCTGCTCTTTGTAATGTATCCTCGGATCCTCGCCCTTCTCGCCACACGCGCCCGGCGGGAAACTGTTGATCATCCGTTGCTCGATAAACGCCACATGCGGCCTCACCCACGCCTGACTCGCATACAGGTGCTCGAGCGCGTCCTGCTCTTTGTGCTCCCACTCCATGTGCTTCTGCTCGTAGAACACGGGGTCCCACCATATGTCCAACAGCCGGTCTGTCCAGGCGGAGCGCCGCACGAAAAAAGAGCCTAGGTTGAAGCCGGAGCAGTCTTGCGGGACGATGATGTTGATGGAGGAGGCGAGGCCGTCGCCGATGGGGGAGCGGGTTTCGGCGTCGAGGTAGGGGGAGGTCAGGGGGTGGGTGATGTTGAGCGGGTTGTAGGCGTTGATGTCGCGGTAGGTGGTCTTGGCGAGGTTGTTGAAGATGTGCGATTGGAGGGAGTAGGAGGGCTCCATTATGAAGGTGTTGAGGTCGAGCCACCAGAACCTGCAGAGCTGTCAATTTCCATGTTCCTTGCGAGTTCTTGAGTGCGGATGAAGTGGGCGGGACTGTTCTCACCACTCAGCATCCGGATACTTGCGCATCGCGTTCCGGATCGTGTCGACCTTTTCCCAGCTCTCGCGCCACTCGTGCGCGTACCGCTTCTTGGTGCTCATGTCCACAATCTCGAGCTCGTAGCCCCATTTCTTCGCGTACTTGCGCTTATTCTTCAGACTGTCCCGCTCGATCGCCCATTCTCGAGGGCCTTTCCACTCCATAACGCCGCCGCCCAGGTTCGCGGCTTGGATTATCACGAACTTGCTGCCGCCGCCGAGGAAGGAGGCGCGCCGGTAGATGCGGTGGAGTGCTAGATGGCAGTTAGATCGGGATGACTTTGGAAATCGGTGGGCAGACTTACGAGTCACATAAAACGCTACGACAAGGAAGAAAAATCCAAACAGCACCGCAAACCGCAACCGCATCCTCCACATCATCCTCCCAATCCTGCCCATGATCCCACTCCACCTTCCCGCACCGCCACCCCACCGTCCCCGCTGCAACTTCTCCTTCTCCGCATACCGCGCATTCCTACCGCCATCAAACCGCGGCAAACTCGCCGATATCCGCCGCATGTGTCGCGAGAAGAAGCCCTGGTTCCGCGTTGCGAACGACGGATAACCCTTCACCTCGGCGCTCTTGGCCTGCGCAGACGCCCAGCTGATGTGTGCGCCGCCGTTGGTGTTTGCGTTCACGCGCATTGGCGTCGAGCGGCCGCTCGTGTTGTAAGGCGTGTTCAGACCGGGTGACGACCAGCCGCCGCCGCGCTGGGGGGAGGGAGAGCGTGAGAGCGACATGGTGGGATCGAGAGGAGGGCCGGGGAGAGCTGCCGGTGGCCGGCCGGAGGTTGCACCAACCGCTCGATAGGGCGAGGTGTCCGAGGTGGTGTGGGGGAGGGGGGGCGCGGCGGAGGAGCGCCGGCGGCGGTGCGAAGAAGCGGCTTCGGAGGACGTTGATGTCGCCAGGATGAGCGGGACTGCGTGTGTGGAGAGGTTCGTCGTGGTGCTGGTAAGGCCGTGGCTTCGATCTGGGTCGGGTTGTAGAGTCGTCAAGAGGTCGGACGGCCGTTAGAAATGAAGCGAGGTGAACAAAACCAGACTCAGGACTGGATGCTATCGCCAGGCAAGGAATCTGAGTGGTAGGATTCCGCGTGTACCGAGAGCTGGAGGGCTGCGCGGAGAGCTGGCGCGGGCGTGTAGGGCTCGGTGCTCTGTGGAAGGTGGCTCTTCAGGGTGGATGCGGGTACCCGTAAGTGCGACGTGGATGGTATTTTGGTGGTAACGAGCGGTTAGGTCAGACGCTTACGGGTCCGGCCTAGGTGGGCTGAAAGGTGCAATTGGGTTGACTTGGAATCTCCATAGGGAGGAAGCGGTGCACGGCTAGTCAGCGTTGAGGTTGGAAGGGAGATCTTTCAGCATTCATTCTACATGTCTTGGCACGAGATGTGAGGGAAATTTGAACGCGGGCCCTAGCGGGACCTAGATACACCACTGTATGCGCGTAATCGAGAGGCGTATTTCCTTGTTGCTGTATGCAAAGGCGCACTTCAGACACAGAGCTGACGCCCAGCTGCGAGTACCGCAGATACGGCCACTGGGACTCGTACAGTCCTACACGAGCTCAACCGCTTGATGCCACCTCCAGCGCTCAGAAATGGTGCCGCCGAATCTTCAGATGCTTCTTCATGACGTCGAGACATCAAACCACTTGGCCTTATCAATTGCGCCTCCACCAAAGACGATAGATGCGGTGTTAGCTAAGGATAGTCCTCTGTAACGGCGGAGGGCCGGTACCTGTCAGGCCGGCGCAAAGCTCCGATACAGTTCCTATCAAGAGCATACTTAGAGGTACAAGACTTAACGGTTGGTACTTGTAAGCCAGTGAATCCTACCATACGGAAGAGTGATCAGTCTCAGGGTGCAATTGTATCAGAGGCGGCACCTGGGGCTAGAGGTGATCCACAAAGACCACGAACTGTGCGCTTCGCGCTCCTCTCCTTGGAAAATTCATCATGTCAAGTCCAGGCTGTTTCCAGCAACGTCATCCTCGAAGGGGTTCACAGCTCTTTATGAGGTTTGTCGAGAGGTAGGTTCATGGGAGATCCGGCCTCGAAGCGCCAGGCAAGCCAAGGCCCTGCCCGTTCCTGCATTTTGGTGGAGCCAGCTCTCGAGCCGCCAGAGCAGCAATCCCGTGCAGTCGCCCAACCAGCGCCAAATTCTCCCCTCCGTACCACTAGAGAACTCTGCTACGACCAACCACAGCTGCCTGGCGGCTGTGCACCAAGAATGGTGCTGCTAGCCAAATCTGCCGCTCTACACAAGCCTCCAGTCGGAGCTTCAGATGCAGCCCGGTGAGTCAGACCCGCAGCAATACCTGGTAAGCTTCGAGAGATAGATGGAGAGCCCATCGCGGCTCTGTCTCGTGCCCACGCGACGCTTTCTTGCGTTCTTTCTATTTCTTTTTGTCTGCTGATGCTTCTCGTTGATGATCGCTGCATTCTTTGTTGTTCATTCTCATTCGAGTCTATTGTCTTGATGTCTCGTCTGTTCGCCATTGTTGTCGCCCAGGTTCAACAATAGAACAACGCAACCAGCAAAATCCATCCGCAACTCACAAAGATCGCGGCGCAAGTCGAACACCTATCGAACAGACAGCTGTGGCATGGCATTTCCTGGGCCACGAATAGCCTCAGACAGCCACCAACACACAGCCACGAATTAGAAAGTACCTGTGCCTCCGCGCAGGAACCACGCCGCATCGCATAGCAGCTTTACGGACGACGAGATATAATGCTACACACGCTGGACGTGTTGCAACCTAAAATCTACGAACCTGTCCTCTCCCCATCGACCGCAGACAAACCTTCGAGCAGGTACCCTTTCCTGACACCTGAGCTTGGCACGGATAGAGCAGACCCAATACTGGGGGAGAAGAGCAACATCATGGTGTCGGCGAATGATTTTGGTATGGATGCGAGCGAGGTCGCGCCTCCTCAGTACAACGCACGGACTCGAGACGCAGAAGCGAAGATGTATGAACAGGACAAATACGAATACAAGCAGCAGGACTGGACGACAGAGGTGTCGCGAGCTGCCGCTCGGAATGCTCTAGCAAGACAGCCCAGGAGGACGTCAATACATAAGGCAGCTCGACAGCAGTCCAGAAGGAAACAGAAGCCGTTCGCGAAGACGCTCAGGCCGGGCATCACTGTAGACACCAGTGTGTCAAGGCACCGCGGAGCTGCTCCGCGTCAGGTTTTCCCTCAAGCAGAAGAAGTCAACCTTGTGGAGAACTTCAAGGGTGCCGGCGGCTTTGTCGGTTTTGTAAGCTTAGCCGACTTGGCTGGTGCGCAAGAGGAGGAACGTCCGGCAAAAGGTGGATGGTGGCAGAGAGCGAGAGCAGCCCGGATGAAGGGCAAAACCAGCAACAGTACTGAAGCAGTAAAGGTGCCGACAGCGAACGCAGGTGGCGATAGAAATGATTATGACGACGGCTTCCGCTCCAAGGCGAAGACTATAAGGGCTCATGCCCACGTACCAAACCAGGAGACTACGTCAGAGTGGCGAACAGATGGAGCGCTGCGTAGCAAGACCGACGCGAACGGCGTAGGAGAACAGCACGAAGAGATGACGATGCCGAAGTACAAGGGCTTACGACCGGCGCGCTTAACGTTGACAGACATATCGCCTTCCGATCGACCGATCCAGATCGGCATCTCCATCCCATCCGCACGTCTCCCGGAATTTGTGGTCAGCCCACAGACAGCTGGTGGCTATGAGCGAGATGCACTGGGGCCAGCAGGGCACCACCTAGGCCTAGGCGAAGGCGGAGTGGAAACACCAACTGTTATCATAACACCAGCAAGAGAAGATTCTGGGTGGTTCAACAGGACAGGCGAGGACAACAACTCCGACCACCGTCCGCGACCTGCCTCAAGTATCTATTCGCGAGCCACTTCCTACTGGCCTAAGCCTGCCGGCACCCAAGAGGCACCTCCCATGCCAGCGTTACCTGCGAATTTTGTTGGAGGTGGACGAAGCTCCATCGTGACGGAAAGAGGAGGCATACATGCTTTTGGAGCCGTCTTTGTCTCAGACATGGGCCGTAAAGCTGGAGGCAGCCAAACGGGACGAGCGAATAGAGACTCAACCGTCACCGCGTTCGAGGAGGATGCCGATGCCAAGCGGAAAGATCGAGTCATGTCAGGCTGTACTCTATTCGAGGAGGACGAGACTCCTCAAACTGCTTCCGCGAAAAGTGCTAAAAGTCTGAACGGCTTGACCCTCGAGACGGTGTTGCCCACACCGCGGCGATCGCGTGGCTGGTGGAATGTCATAACGACGCCTTTCGAGGCTACGCCCAAAGGGAAATCCCATTTCTGGACGACCAGCCCGACGAATGAGGACGACACGCCCGACGTACCAATGCTACCGGATATGGCCTCCATCGTGGGCCCTCAAATGGCACAGCAAACCGCAGTCTCTCCACTAGAATCAACCTGTCCTTCCTCAGCTACTACGCCAGTGACGGCTTCTGCTATTGGTGTCTCTCCCACAACGTTCCTTGCCATCAGGTCTCCTGTCAGCCCTGGGAATCCGGAAGATTCAGAGCAGACCTGGGCGATATACAGCCCGAGTCTAGCAAAGATCCCTGAAGACACGCGTTCCGAGACAGCGGTTAACACTCCAGAAAGTCGATTTGTCAACGAGAACAATCTTAAACAAGCAGTAGCTGTGCAGCCTGTCGTTATTTGCTCTCATCCATCAATGCATGATTCTCCGCCAAGATCTCATTTCAGCGTCTTCAGCCCGGATGAAAGCGACCTCAGCATCACGCTCGGCGATGCTTCAACAGAACCTAACTTGCCTATTGGCAACTCAGAGAACCCATCGACACAGGCCCCCACTCAACCACTAGCTCAAGCTGTGACTTCGCCAGTGGATGAGAATCCGAGATCACCCACCGTTGGGGAGACACCTGTGGTAGCGATGGCATCCGTTGGCACAGTCCATGCTGCTCGTACGGTTGGTAGGGAGGCGTACCAGCAAGGAACGTCGGGTCAGGAGTCGTACACTGCTTCTGCTTCTTATCAGAGCCGCATTCCTCCCCCTATTGTGAATATCACGCTGGCTGAACGCAGCAATCAACCTCTGCATTTCTACTCTGAGCCGCCAGAATACCAGCGGCACGGCCCCGACTCTCGGAGCGCTGGCGTTGCTGGCTTGTATGGACAGTCAGGGAACAACTATCCACTGAACCCCATCTCGCATCAGCAGTATCAGGACAAGGACGAGTACGCGCAGGAGAGGTCTCGGGGAGGTCGTCGATCGGACAACCCGTTCAGGAGATCGAAAGATCAAGATCCAGGCAAGCGGAAGAAGAAGAGGATATGCCTGTGGAGCTGCCTGGCAATCTTCATCCTGGCCATCATCGCGCTCATTGTCGGACTTGCTGTGGGCTTGACGAGGAAGCCCAAGAACGACATGCCGGTCGAGTCGCGGTGGCTCAACCTGACGGGTTATCCTCCTATCCCAACCGGCATTTCCACGGTCGCAAGACTCGACACCATCAAAGAAGTCTCCGGATGCGTAAACCCCTCTACAGTATGGAGTTGTGCTGTGCCTAAGGAGGAGCAGGAATCCATCGCCCCCAACGCGCCCAACCAGCCAAACTTCCGACTCGAGATCCGCTTCGTGAACGGCAGCATCTCCAACTCATCCGCCACCCAAACTCTGAGCCGCCGAAGCTCCTCCCGCCACTTCCAACCCCGCGACACCTTCCTCGACACGATCCTTAACCCCTCCCCCCGCGTCCCCACCCTCGAAGACCAGCGCTTCCTCGGCAACACAACCGATGACCACGCCCTCCCCTTCGAAGGCGAATCCACGCCCTTCTACCTCTCCTTCCTAAACCCGGCCCCCCTGCCCTCGCGGCTGGCAAAGCGCCAAACCCGCCCCACCAACACCACCACCCCATCCCCATCCTCATCCTCAGATGACGCACTCGTCTCCCGCCTCGCCTCCCTCATCCCCACCCCCGCCACCAACCCCGACGGCTCCGGCGCCGCAGCGCCAGCGAACCTGTACCCGCTGCCCACAGCGCAGCCCCTGCGCCTCTTCGACCGCGGCCTACCGACCGAGCATTACGGGTTCTACACCTACTTCGAGCGGTCCATCTTCCTGCGGTCGCTGAACTCGACCGCGGAAAAGGAGGCCGGCGAAACGGGCAACGTGGCCGCTGATCTCGATGGCGGTGCTGCGGCTGAGGGCGCGAATTTCCGCTGCTCGTGGACGCAGACGAGGTTTAGGGTCCAGATCTGGACGAGGCAGGCCACCCCGCTACTCGGAAACTCCTCTGCTACGGTGCATTTAGGCGGTGGTGCTAGCGGCGGTAGCAACAAGACGTCTTCGGCGAACACGTTCGCTCAGCCGGGCTCGTTTCCCTACCCGGTAACTATCACGACGGACCGACATGGCGGGAGCCTGGACGGGAAGATGGTGTACTGCTACGCACTGGATGAACGGGGGCGGTATATCCTCAATGAGAAAGGGATCCAGCCTGAGCAGCGCAGTTTTGGGGGCACGCCTGTGAATCCTGCACAAGGGCCTTTTGGGGACGTGCCCGTGTCATTAGAGGACGGTGGGCCTGGAGGCATCGATGGCGGAAGCGGCGGATGCGAATGTCAGTGGGTGAACTGGCAGAGAGGAACGTAGAGTGAGCGGGTAGGAGGGGTGTTGGTAGTTTTGCGGGATCTTGTTGAACCACATTCATCGCCACCTTATCTGTACTCGACCTAGAATGAACATAGATTGTACATACCTGTAATGTTAGCTGCGTCGTTGACTTTACTCGACGTGCGTCCGCAAACATCCCTGATCAGGTTGTTAAAGGTGTCCGGGTTTCTCAAATTAATGCTAGGTATTCGATACCAGCACTACTTATGCCCAAGTCGGTGATTAAGCCATCTCTACACAAGAACCACAACACCCATCACGTGTGCATCGTGCTTACCCACCGCTAAAACATGGGTATGGAGGAAAGACGCCGGCGCCACGAAACGCCCCGAACCCCTCAACCAAAGAGAAGAGATCATCCTGTTGCGAATCACTACTGTTCCCTACGCTCACCTCATGCACCGTTGCACCATCGTCCACCGTGCTCCGTTATCGCCATGTGTCATGCACTCATAACCGTGTCTTAGCAATGGGCCCCCCAGCAAATGGCCACCCTGGAACGCCGCCGTTCCCAGCAGTGCAGGGGACGCCTAAGACCGCCCCCACTCCAACAATGCACCGAACACCCTCGCGTCCCCACGAGTAAACCACCCACCAACTCCGCCCCTAAACCCTCACAGCAGTCGGAACCCTCAGCTTCCTAACCCCCATCCCCGCCCTCCCAATCTCGCTCCCAAAACCAACCCCACACCTCCGCGCCTCCATCGCGGCCTCCGACAGCGGCCCAACAAACTCCGCCTCCGCCCTCCCGGCTTCGCGTCCAACCACATAACCCGCCGAAAAACTGAGCGCGCTCACCAGCACCACGACACCCGCGCTCACGACCCAGGTCAGCAGCGTTGGGGTGATCTCCTCCGCCGTCGGGGCGGGCGAGGACGAGGTCCGCCGCGCCTTCTTGACGGCTCGTCGCTCTTTGCTGCTGCTGCGGTTTGTGCTGTCTTTGCGCTTGCCCTTCTCCACGCCCGGGCTGCGGGGCTGCGACGAGGCGGGCTGCGCGTGCGTGGAGCTAGGCGGCGAGGGTCCCGTCGGTCCGCCCAGGGCGACTGACTCGGGAACCATGCGGATGGAGGTTGGGTCCAGGCGGGCGGGTCCGGGCTGCGTCGCAGCGGGTGGCTGGTCCGATTTCGTGAGGCCGCGGGCTGCGGCGCCGAGGGAGAGGAGCGTTGAGAGGCTGGCGCGGAGAGCAGCGTCGTGGTCCGCGGTGTGCGAGGGCGCGATTACCGTGTAGGGCGTGTGCGTCTGCGGCGCGGCGTATGAGTGGCGGTGGGCTGGCGGGCGCGGAGTAGGGCGCACGGGGGGGAAGTAGCCGGCAGATTGCGGGGCGCGGTTTGCGTGGGAGCTTGGGGGGTGCGAGAAGGCGTTTGGCTGCGGAGTGAAGCATTGTTCGGCTATGGGCGGGATGCCGATGGCGGTGGAGTTTTCGTCGTCGTCGTTGCCGCCTTCGTCGTCGGTGTAGTTCCCTGAGGAGGCGTTTGACAGGGCGCGGCTTGTTCGGTGGAGTTCTTGGAGGGGAGAGGGCTGGAGTCCCTCGTTCGAGGACGTCATGACTCGGTCTGATTCGCTCTCGCTCTCTTCGTACTCTTCTTGACTGCTGCCGCCTGTGCTTTTTGCTCGTGGTCCTATCTGGATGTGTAGGGGGCTGTTGTGCCTTAGTCGGCGTCGGCGGCGGGTGTTGGAGTCGTGCTGGACGCGCAGGCCGGTGGTGACGATCTCTTCGGCGGCAGAGGAGAGGGAGGACGAGGATGGCTGGGAGGAGACCTCGATCCAGGATTCTGCAAACAGGCGATAAGTATCCCAGCTCAACATGTACGTAGACATTGCTATACTTGTCGATGGGTCAGGGGAAGAGAGGAAGCGCTCGGTCGAGATCTTGCAGGCAAGGGATCACCAGGCACGGCTTACATACCGTCTGACCTTGGCCGCATGGCAGATTGCACAGGGCGTTGTAACCCGTCCATGGGGTGGTTGCGACTTCGAGTATCGCGGCTCAAGCCATCGCCAGACTGAGCGCGGCGGTCAAAGTTGGCTTGCTGCATTGCAGGGTACCAATACTGGAGAGGCGGGATTCAAGACCGGCGGGTGAGCAGGAGGAGCGTGAGAGGTGCAAGTAGGGAGAAGTCGTCGGATTTGAGCAAGGAGATGGCTCCGCCGTGATACCGAGAGCGGTGTACCAGTACCGGCCTGAGCGAGTCTGGGGAAGTGGGGTGATTAGAGGGGGGGCGCTGATATCGCTGCTCTGCACTCTTGAGAAGGCTGCTGTTGCTGTGCGTGACTGCGGAGGAGGATGGGTTCAGTAGGTGGTTGCAGATGAGATTCGCAGATGGAGCAACAAGTCACGATCAGAAGTCACCGCCAGAAGCGGCTGATGGTGCTCGTCAGGTGCAGTCAGGTGTTTCGACATCCAAGTTTCAGTACAAACAACCACGGGCATGGGTACAGGCCGGGTACAGACCGGGGTCTGATAGGACTGATAACAATCAAGCCTGGATGCTGACGTTGCGGGGCTCTTGTCCTCGTAAGACGCTGTCGTCCTGCCAAGTCTCCCCCGAATGCTTACGAGAAGCGTAGCTTAGAACTTCGAATCGTCCGTCTAGAAGATGCCCGGAAAGGTATTCCATACATTTCAATGCAAGTGAAACTGGGTTTGGAACCAAACCAACGGCGGCACAGTACGACGCCAAATGGTTGGAACGAAGGTCAGCCATCACAAGGCACCGAGTCTCGCACGTGACGTGTTGTGAGCGGGGAAGCGGTGCGTGGACTCCGCTCACGTGTCCAGCTTGACAAATTTGTCCCTCCAGGTAAAGCTGGGGACGATGAGGTTCAAAACGTAGATGGTGTTGACCAGAGAATGCCAACTGTGTCGACTCAGTCCGCATCTCTTGAACGGCTGGGGCTCCCATCTTCGTGCTCGGGAGATTCAACCCCATCATCCCGCTCCGCCTTCGAGGCATATACATCTCGCCGTCTCGCGCATGATTCCAACACAATTTGCCCGGCTCGGCACATATATGCTGGTAACGAAAGCAGCCTATGCCTACTCGCCGCGACATTACCATGGCGGATATCAAAGGCGGACTCCGTACCTCAACATGGTGACGCCTACCTAGGAGCGGCCTAAGATCTGCCCAATCCGTCCCGGTTACCGTTAGTCAGATTCGATACCGTAACGGGATTAATAGGATTTCGCGACACTGTGTCGACATCGTTTCCAAACGGTAATTTATGTCTGAAACCATACTGGCGTATGGGTTTCTGCTGCTAGGTAGAAAACTCCTATCTTATCGCCCTGTACGCGCATCACGTGAACGGACTGCCGCTTGCACGGCTGATGCAGTCTTTTCAGCTTCATGGGTTGGCCGTAGAGCTGAAAAGGTTGCATCCACCAATCAATACCCTCGGGTTATACTACGGCATGAGTATACCACCTGGCCGCATCCGATGGATTGTCTGCAGGTGGCGTCAAGGTATGTCAGGCTGCCGGGTCAAGAGCTGAATGGCTAAGAGCGCATCTTCTCAGCGTTTTGGGCCAATGATCGCTGGAGGGCATCGTTTGTAACATAGGAAGTCATTATGTGCGGATTACCCATTGGACGCGGCCTGGTGGTGTAAAGTTATGGATGTGTTGCCGAGCACGAGCTGAAAGCTCCTACGACAAGATGAAAGAGTGACAGCTGATGCGGCTGAAGCATCTTGAGGTGCGGCTGATCCAGGCTTGTGGTTGATTGCAAATGTCATCCTGTCCTCTTAAGGCTTGCACCGGTGCCGCATATATTTTGGTGGGCCGTCTCTTTACTTGGTGCCAGACAACCTGACCCCGAATTCTGGTATCACTCGGCCCACATGGCGGATGAAGGGATCTACGTTGGCCCTTGGATTAATTGGAGTAGGTTCTCCGTCCCTGCAGCGGCCCTCATACTCAAATCCTCAACAGGCCGGATTATTGTTACTGCTGCTCGTTTGCGAGCTTTTAAACTTCCTCCGCAAGCTAATAACGCTCAGGCAGGGGCCGAGTATCAGGCGCGACAATAACTCTTCCTACCGAACATGGATTGATCCTGATCTCAGTCTTGGCCTTGTTCGTGCGCTGGGCCGGGAGTCATATGTGGGGAGTCACATGCTTTGTACTTCACCAGCTCCGATCGACAGATAAAGAGTGCGATGCGCTCCATCACCAGCATCAAGCGCTACTGCGGACCAGTCTCGATGACGCGAACGTGTTATGGCAATTGATCAGGATGTGCTGGGCTTGGAGATTAAAGACAACTAGCGTCTTCTGGCGTAGTTCCCCGCTGTTGTTTATCACATTAGTCCACCTCGCCACTTTCCTGCTTGCAGGCGCCTTTTCATCAAGCATAACAGCCACCGATGGCGAAGTACTCGTCAAGAGCAGTCATTGTGGCTGGTTGAATGAGTGGGCGATGAGGGATCCCGCACAATGGACTGAAGCTAACTGGGGTGTAACCGATTCATTGTTTGTTACGGCCCACTGGGGCTATAGAAGAAGCGCAGAATATGCACGGTTATGTTACGATAGCGGGCTGGGAACCCATCCGTCGCTCTGTAACCGGTTCTCCAAGCAGAATATCCAGTCAAAGGTCGATAGAACAGCCCCTTGTCCGTTCTCACAGGGAATGTGTGGGTCGTCGGCTATTACTCTAGATTCTGGTCTTATTGATTCTCATCTTGACCTAGGGATCAATGCACCACAAGAAGCCCGTATTCAGCTGCGCAAGATCATGACCTGCGCTCCAGTCCTTGTGGAAGAGAGATTTTCCACTTCATGGACTCCCGGTGGCTTAGAAGGCATCTTTGGGGACACTTATAAATATTACTACGTCGGGGACTCGTCCCTATGGGGGGAAAAACAGAGTGGTTACACTTTCAGAATAAGTAATTTCAGCATGCTTGCCTTATCGGATCCTTACTGGGTTTTGTGCGTATCATCCATCCTTATATATTTTCCGCTTCCCCCTAACGCTTCCTAGTCCACAAAGTGCGTACACGAACAACACCATGGAAGACGATTTCAGGCCCATTCCTGAATTTCAACGTAGCAACGCCGACGTCAATCTCCTCAACCTCGTGAGCCGCGTTGTGTACACTGGCAATGTGACAGACCAGTGGTTCGGCGCGACGATAAGATCCGATATTCCAGCTCTTGGAACCCAGGGATGGATCTCATCTCGAACAGTTTCCACTCTCGGGTGTACTGAGAGATATCAGTTCTGTAACGGTAATAGGTGCAACAGTCCCACCGGACTCTTCAGTATCAATGGAGAGAGCGTGGAAGCACTCCGGTTAAATGCAAGACAAATTGCTACATTCCATCTTCTCAGGAAGGTCGCCAACGGAGCGAGACTAAGATACATACTGTATTTTCTTGGCAAGAACATCCTTATCGCCAATGAGAAGGTTTATGGCGTTTTTCCGATCTCGTCGCCACTTCCAGATGACCAATGGCAGATCGAAATGAAAAACCTCAACAGCCTGTCAATGGCGGTACTTCAGCAGAGGGTAATGGAGCACGCCTCTCCGCAGAACATCGAAGTTCGCCCAGGCGTTACGTCTCGCCAATATATAATTCCGGAAACCACAACCGAAGGAAAGCGACTCTGTGCTAATCAGAAGACCCGTCACGCGGCCTACTCCTCATTCAACCTGCTTGGTATCTGCGTCATCATATTCGGCGGTTCTCTGCTCATCCTTGTTAATATCTCGCTCCCACATCTCGTGGGTTGGATCCAGAAGATGACCGGCATGGGACTCGCAGCAAGGCTTGACTGGATTGAGAGTGAAACTCTACAGCTGCAGCGCATGGCATTTGAAGGGCGTGGGATCGGACCGTGGATCGGCAAGCAAGATCGAGTCCCCACGACTGCCAAGTTTGGCCGGAGGTTTCCACGCACCGCCATCAATCTACGCGACAGCTACCCGTTGCGAATGAGCGAGACTTCTGACCCACTCGTGGTGACACAACCAGCGCAAGGACCGACCACCGGGTTTCAAGGACATGTATATGACTCTGAATCGCCGACCTTCTGGCGTCAGCGGGGTTTCTAAGACCTTGAAAAGTCTATTGATTGAGTCCTGCACCAGGCTGCAAAAAGGCCGGCGACGGGGGAGCAAGGAAAGTGCGGAGCGTTGCTTAGGAAAGAAATTCTCCATTGAGAACATATAGCTGTGCTTACTGTTAAATTAGACTTTCTTGGGACAAGGTTCGCGAGCAGTAGGGAGAACTTTAAGCGCACAATGTTGAAAAGGCCATATTCACTTTCAGACTCGTAAGCCACGTTGGTCACTGGAACTGTAATCAAGAATCGCAGTATCGTGGTTGCGCGGTCACGCTTACTGGATGCGGCCACGTCTTGGAAGTTGGTATAGAATATTTCTACCTACAGCTGCCTCAATCCCTCGTAGATGACCTGTATCCCGGCATGTTGTGAGCCACTCTTGTTAGATGAATCAAGCCTTCAGCAATGCCGCTTCCTCTTCAAGCTCCCCAATCCGCTCGTCGCCAAAAATGCTTTACTATGCAAGGAGGAATCCACCAGCAACGAGAGCAAGCCAACCAACAACACCCACACCACCACCAACCACAGCAGCAGCCGCGTTGTCAGTCTGCACAGCCGGGCTCGCCGTCGTCGCCGAGCCAGCCGAAGTGCCCACCCTCGTCGTTGCAGTTCCCCCCTCCACAGCCGTCGACGTAATCGTCAGTGGTCCGCGCGACGAGACACTGAGCGTTGATGGCTGCGGCGTGACCAAAACCGGAGTTGTAGCCACGGCCGAAGTCGGGACCGCAACTGTGGTGTTCGCGTAACTGCCGGTCGGCGACGCGACAACAGTGGTTTCGGCAGGTAGAGAGGTTGTGACGGTCTCGACAGGCAGGATGGACACGTTCGTGACGGGCAGGATGCTGAAGATCTGCGTGTCGCTTGACGCAGCGCTGACAATGGATGCGAGTTCGGCCAACGCGCTGGAGACGGAGGCAGGGACGTCGGCGGTCAGGGTGATAGCGGTGGTCTCTTCGGCGATGGCGGCGGCGGAGGTGACGTCGACTGCGGTGGTTGTGGCTGTTGCTTCGGCGTAGTATGGAGCTTGAATTTGGCCGTCGCCGATCTGGGAGACGGCGTCCGTGACTGTTGTGTAGGTTTCCTCTGAGTAGGCTCGGGGCGCGGTGTCGGCATCGAAGTTGGAGGGGTTTTGGGCCAGAGCAGTGCCGGCTGCTGCGGCGAAGAAAGCGAGGTATGCTGCGGAGTGCATTTTGAACAAGGCGGAGGGTTGAACGCGAGTCGAGATGGCTAATTAGCTTGATGAAGCTTCCGATGGAGCTTTGTAGCTGCGATTCACAGAATCGATGGTGAATTGGGAAAGAAGTTGGTGTAGAAAGTAACGACTGTAGTGCCGGCCTGGTCGCTGAAAGAGGAGAGGGAAAAGGTGTAGAAAGGTGGCTGTGAAGAATGGAAAGGGATGTCCGGGTTCTTACAGCGGTCAGATGTAACCTTCTGCTATGGGAGAGCTGTGCATCACAGCACGTGACGTGTTTCAGGCACTGTCAAGGCGCGGCCGCGGAAGCCGACTGCTCATCTCCACTTGTTTCACGTTTATACTGAGGGGAATGCCTGTTTGACGCCGGGCCATTGCTGCGAGTCACACAAACGGGCAGGTCCTCTCATGGACTTTCCCGGTGGTTGGGCGCGGCGTGGAATGGCGGCCGCAAGTCCACCAGGCCCCCAGCCGACGACTCAATCTAAGCAGCATAGGGAAGGTGCGTAGACACTCCATGATATTCCGATGTTTCATGCATGTCATGACGGCTAGGAAGACATCTCATCACAAGTCAAGCCGAACGCATTCCAATCAATCGTACATCATCTGATACCACGCGCTCCCAATAAAAATTCCGTAAGGGCATCCAAGCCGATTCTCTTACTACTCTCCGAGCCGCGAAAGGCTGTTCCGTTACCCGATGCTATCGACCCAAAAATGCCTGAGCGAGAGCCTTCCTAAAGCCTCATCAACCCTCCTGATCTCTTATCTTTCCGTGCTGCTAGTCCCAGACGATGACTGAATCTGAATGTTCTTATTCTTCTCTTCGTAGCTATCCGAACTCTGGTCCTGTCTGCCCGTGGCAGCGTTAGCGGCAGTCCGGTGAAAGTAATTCGAGACCTCTTCGGGGAACCCTGGGTCCTCTTCAGCTTCAGAGTCTTCGTCCTTGAGCTTCTCTTCAGCCTTGCGGGCCTGCCAATTTTCCCAGTCACCCCGCATCTCTTCCACTCTTTGCTCGTAGTCAGCGCTACTGTTGTATCGTTCGCCGACACCGCGGAGACGCTCCCATACAGAGAGATGCTTCGGATGGATGGCAATGCCGTGATAATCTTGCTCACGACCCTCCCTGATGTATGACCATCGCCTTTCCTGCTCCTTGAGATCCAACCCGGTGGTGTCTGGGAGAAAGACCAACGTCAGGATGGCTCCAGCCAAGCCGAACCAAGGTACGACGTAGAATATGCTCTGGGTGCTGATTTTGTTGTAGATAATGGCGGCAACCAAGGCCCCCAGCTTCCCGATTGCGGCGGCAAAGCCGTGTGCGGTCGCCCTAACTTGCGTGGGGAACACCTCAGCTGCAACAAGGAATGTGACGGAATTAGGACCAAACTGATTGAAGAAGGATGAGAGGAAGTACATGGCCTGGAATGCGTGGATGTGATTCTTCGAGGTGAAGAAATCAAAAGCGAAAGCTGGTACCATAAAGAGGACGAAGTCGCACATGAAACCGACTATCATCATCCATTTGCGGCCGTAGAGCTTGTTGTCGATGAAGAAGGAAGCCAGGTAGTAGCCGGCCAAGCTGACAGCGACATTGATCAAGTTATACTTCCAGGTGGTCATGACAGACTTGTTCCCTGTAGTGAGGACCTCGATAAACTGGTTCTGGAACAACTTGTTGCCGTAGAAGAAGACGTCATTCATGAACCATGTTCCCGCGGTGGCCACGAGACGAGATCCGAAGTACTTGCAGGTCAATTTAAGCGACTGGGTGTCGTACCCGGTAACGTTGGCCTTCTTCTTGGCCGCAGTGAGGTCTCTGCTGGCGAATTTCATCCTGTAAGCTCTGTACCAGACGAGCCACCCCGTCCCGAGAGCTGGGATGAAAAAGCTGACACGGTATGTCCACTGCACCGCAGCCTGGGAATACGGAGGGTTGCCGCTGCGCTGTGTGATGTACAGCATGATGATCAGGATGATGACGTTCCAGAACTGTCCCCAGCCCTGCATCAAGAAGGCTGATGTGACTTTGCGGCCGCGATGTAAGCGATCTTCTCTTGTGGAGACCTTGCCGGAGCCGACTGCACTCTCCATGCCGAAAGTCGCAGTCATCGGATACTCTCCACCCACGCCGATTCCGTAAAAGAACAATGCCCAGGCGTAGAAAACTATCCAGCTGTTTTGGGTAACCCCCCATGCTGCGGTCAGCATGAGCAGGCCGACGAACATGATTCCGGCGTCCTGAATGAGGCCCCAACGGCGACCGACCCAGTCTCCAATGAAGCCGACTACGATCTGGCCGAAGATTATACCGACAACTTCGAGATATTCAATGGCGTGAAGCCAGGTTAAGTTGCAGATCTCGTTGTCTTTCCAGCATCGCGGAAAAGCGGACTGTAATAGTGGCTTGATATTGCCGATGGAGAAGAGAACATAACTAGTAGTCAAGTCAGTATCATTCCGAGCTGTGAGGGTACCTGACTGCAACACTGGAGAGGATTGTACTCGCCCCTCAAGACCAAGGCCAGCGCCTGGGAGAACAGCAGTCTCGCAATACCAAGCGAATAGCTTGAAGAAGCCGCGTATCCACCCTATCCATGCAAGCGGACCATTCCACCCTTCGCAACTCACCAGGAACTCACGTTTGATAGCGCTCGATTCCTGGCGTCTTTCGACGGAGTCCACACTTCGGATGAAGTTGATTCGGTCACCGAAGCTCAGGTCAGCCCAGTAGATTCCGTGATCGTAGCTATCGTTTGGAAACAATAAAGAGTTGAAGGCAGTCGCTTCAGTCGGGCTCATCTCCGACATTGCCATTCTTCCGTCGAGCTCTCCGGGCTGACTTGGAAATGATCTAGCCAGCAACGCAGGTACTTAGGTGGCTAGCGGCTCGCAGAGCGCGCAAAATTAGAAGTTGCGTCGGGGTACTGAAGGCTTATCAGAGCTGGCAAGCGCGAAGGTTGAGAGCAAGAGCAGGCGAGGGCAGGACGACACACCAGGTCAACGGCCAGAGCGGAGGCATCTTATCAACATCTGGGCTCCCATGTCGGGGTAAACTTGAGAACAAACAATCACGAGTACACAAGCGTAGGGTAGCCTTACTGTGCGCCCCGTGCTTTCAAGACCTAGTTTATCTCAAACCAAACCAAATATATCTGACTCTGAACGCAGCCACCGAATGATGCGACTTGCTGTTATCAGATATCAGTTTCAAGCGTTCCTGCATTAGGGGCTGCGGAATCACATAAGCCTGGAGACTTCTCAGAGTTAGATGTGAACCAACGGGAAACCGCAAGCATGTAATCCATAGGTCATTTGATTCGCAGGCACTGCGGGGGACGTTGGATCAGAACAAGGGTAAGAGATGCTCTTGGCAACGCTGTTCGTGCCTTCCCAACCGCCATCATCCTAGAGGGATCAGATCTCCCGGGGATTAGGCAACCTTGTGACATTCGACTCGGTGGACAGCGTTCCGCCAATCGAGGCCACATGGTTGTCAGCGCAATGAGTGTTATCAGCCTTTTCCCGGATTGTTCCGATTGATTTTCTGGAGATCCTGACGGTTCATTCAAACACTCCACTTCTTTCTCCACCCCAGGCGGGGCAGGTGTAGTATCTCCGCTTCTTCATTCGTTCCTGGCTCATCGCCAGCGTCGGAACCCTCGCGTGACCTACACTCGGCGCACTCGTCTGTTGCAGGGCTAAGGTAATACTGCGTAGCCAATCACTGACAGACTCAGCTTCGTGGATGAAACGAAGCTGCCAGGGTCTTATGCGGAGCACAAATTGTTCTGATGTAGGTTAGGTCTATTGGAATAGTTGAAGATTGACGCCCATGAAAATGCACGTTAAGATGCGCGCACGTGCAGCAGATCGGCGCGCGGAGATTGAACGGCCCGTACCGGCGGGTTTCGCGCCACGACGCTAGGTCAGCAGGGGCAGCGGGGCAGGGCAGCATCTGATTCCCTACACTCGACCAAGGGCCGTCCGGAAAATTCGTTGCTGTATTGAAAGCGTTCCATAGATCTGGAGGTGAGCACTCGAAAGAACAGTCAACAGATCAAACAAACCTTACCTAGGTGATCGATGCATTGAAGAGCTAATCTGCTGAATACGCTTTGCTTTCTATCACGTGGAATCAATCAGCTCCTCTACAGCTGACGGGATCTTGGGTCCAGTGTGGTCGTGAACCTGGTGTTGAGTAAGCTGGAGCAACGATGCAGCAGCGAAGTTTTTGGATGTCACTTTAAACTGACTGTGGTCTTCGCAAGTCCAGTGCTGTACAATCTGTGCCCTCGCCCGCTAATCAAGCTATTACCTTGGATGTCACGAAAGATCCACCACGCCGGTGCTGATGCACAGTGAAGGGCGTAGAGCACGCCTATAGCCTTATAAAGTTGTCGCAGTTACGACTAGAGTGGACAAGTCCATACTAAGAATCCAGATGAACATCATGAAGATCAGAAACTTCGATGATTTTGGGATCGAGCGGTCCCTATCTCCCCGGCGCTTGAGTCTCAAAGTGGAGGGTTCTGCGCAACTAGTAGTTTGCAACGCTTCAGACTGGTAGCTTCCGGAGAGCGTGGAGAATGTACGTAGCTTGCTAAACGTGTTGCCTAGGTTTAGACAGAGCTGTGCGTAGTACGGGATATATTGGCGTAGCCACCCCATTGGCCCGAGGTAGTTCTCGAGAGCTCCCAGCGTGGACGGGAACTACAGGGCGCGGATCGCCTCCACCTTTTCTTTGTTGGTCCCAAGACTAAGGCCGTTGACTTTCTACCTAAGCAGCGTGGTTGTTAGGTAACCGATGAAAGACTTGTCGGGGCGAGGCTAACTCCTAGCTTGTTAAATCGCTAGAAGACCGCGTGGAGGTGCTTAATGTGCTCTTTAAGCGTAGCTAAGTAAATGCAGACATCGTCCATATATGCCTTCGCGAAGGGAAGGTCTTTAAGGATCCGATCCAGCTGCCGTTGGATATACTGCACTAAATTGCAGTATCCCATCAACGCGACCTTGAAGTATTCTTGGCCACGGTGGCTATTAACCGTGAACTTGTGCCGATCCGCCTCTGCAACAAGCCATTGGTAAAACCACTTCACGCAGTCTACGGTCGTGATATATCGCGATCCTCGCAGGGATTGGATAAGATCTGCCTGCAAGGGAAGAGGGTATGAGTCCTCACAACCGTAGGCGTAAAGCTGTAGTGCACACCGCACGGGAACATCACCCAGAAAAGAAGTTCGGTCCACGTGATAATGCATAGCTATATCTTTATCCAATGCGTATGCTACACGAACTATCCTAGTGATAATTGAAGCATCACCTTAGCTCTACCTTTACGCATCACCAGCTGTTTCCTATCGGCGAGTCGCATCGCGATAACTCGTACTCCGCATCCCAATCCACCCACTCCTCCCAGTAACCTATTCTCTTAGGCGCCTTGGGCGCGTAGGTCTCCCTCCTCTTTCTGAAGTACTCTTTCCCTTCTTCTGGGAACTGTATAGCCTCAAAGAGGTCTTCTATATCGATCTTGTCTTCCCAATCACTCACCGGGCACTCTTCTCCGGTTATAGTATACCGATGCGCGAGCTGCACCAGCCCGGTACAGAATCTCACCCACCAGAATACATCCTGCGGGTCGAGCGTCCCGGCATGTTGCCGAAACTCGACCGTGTTCGGCCTGTTCTCCCTCACTAAACCCGAGAAGTTGACGATGTGCGCCCGATGCCTGCCCATGAAGCCGAGCAGCCTCTCCAGCGGCTGCGCCGCAGCGGCAACCGTCTCAGACAGCGACGCGCGGATCTCCTCCAGCGGCTTGAATATCGGCACGAACTTTTTGCACTCGCGCTCACCAGTTTCTGAATTGATGACGAGCCGCTCCACCGGCTCCGCGCAGCCGTCGTGGAGGAAATTTTCGCGGTTGGTGATGATCTCCTCCGCGGCCTGATGCCGCTGCGGCTCGTGCAGCTGGCTGATCTCCTCTTCGTAGACAACTAGTAAGTATGCTAAGTGCTGAAGAGTAGTGATGCTGAAGCGCTCGTTATTAGGGAGGCCGACGTGCACGTGCATGCCGCAGATGGTGCTAACGGTCGCGCCGTAGTCTGATAAGGATGTGCCGCGGAGAGAGGAGAGAATGGCGGAGACTTCGTCGTAAGCGTGCGCGGCATCAGTGTATGGTGGTGAGATGAGCTCGACCCCCGAGGAGTCCCAGTCATTGGCGGCTTCTAGCGTGGGGATGCGGTCGTTGAAGGCCTCCATTAGAGCCTGCTTGGTGAGGCCGTTCAGGCTGCTGTCGTTGGAGATGCTCCACGCCGAGTAGTCAGTCTGCTTTGTATACTCGGCTGAGTAGTGGACCCGTATGCTTTGGCCGATAACATCCTGCGCAAGCTCTAGCGGCTCCTCGTGGTATTGTCGGAGCCTGGACATCTCGCCACACTGCTCATCGATAGGTCCTTGTGGTGTTGAGTTCTTGTCGGCTTCTCGGAGCAACCAGCTAGTATAGCCGTTCGATTGTTCTGTGCCGCCCGGTTGCGTACTGCAGTGGGTGTCTTTGACTAGTCTTGTGTCTGGACGGTGTTTGTCGAGATGGTTTTGTAGGCGGCTCTCATGGAATGCGAAGATTGCTTCCAGCTCAATACCAAAAGTGAGGGGGAGAGTGGTTTTGGGTGTCGACGCCATGCTGGTTGTTCAAGCTGGGTCGTTTTAGTATTGTGTGTAGGAATAAGGAAGAGATGTTGTGAAGAGTATAATAGTGCAGATGATTGCGCAGCTATAGCATATGGGTTGAGCGCAAGGGCTGATTTGTATAGTGTGAAATAGTCTGGTTGTGTGAAGGGATGCTGGAGTGCGACAAGAGCGGGAGAAAGGCGGACGTGGGCGGCGCTTTTGTACCTCGCTATGGTCTATAATGGTACTGTTAGCGAGCAAATCGTGGCCACAACGCTTTGATTACGAAGTTGAATTACCACGTTGATGCGCTCAGACAAATACGAGCAACGTATTGGCAGTCAGTTGGGTATCTTAGTCTATATCGTAGCGTGGTTCGCTACCCGGGAATCTTAAAACCTTAACGCCCTTTAACCACACAGCTTAATAACGTCAAGCGGACGTCCGATTGCTATTATTACCAAAGTGATCCTCTGCCCATGCCTTTGCGCCATCAAATTTGTCTTTCACCCACTGCCACCAGTCACGGTCTTCGTCTTGATTGTTGGTAGGCGTGGGCTCCTTTTCATCGTTGTGGTCTACTGTAGGTCTGATCGGCACTGGTTCGGTAGCGCTTGCTTCGATAGCAGGCGGCGCCAGAGAGAAAGTCGCAGAAGAAGGGGAGACAGCATCACTGATGGTGGTTTCGGGAGGATCCGAGGGTACGTCCAACACAGGAGCGTCTTCGTCGGAATGCAAGCCGACCGGCTTCAGCGGTAATCTCAGCGTGCCGTTATTTGCCTTAGGTGTCAGGCCAACGGAGTCGCATACGATGTTGTAGATCTCGGTATTTTCTGTAATGTTCGGTCAGCAAAGATTCCCGCATGGCTGCGGCAGTACCCACGAAAGACGTCAACTCGGCTGCCAGGTTTATGAGGAAATGCAGGTCCTCTAGCAACGAAGATTGCTCTCATAAGTGGATGCTCATGGTCGTATCCGTGTAAACCGCGCGGATGGTATACTTCACCGTTGCGAAGCCCTGCTTCAAGGTCGAACTCTTCTTTGGTAGCGATAGCCCAGCCTGCTTTGGGAACGATCCATAGAGGTGCAATGCGGTCGTTGTTGGAGAAGTGGTAGCGTGCAGGCATGTCGACATCACGTAGGTATACGTCGATGTTTGGGTTGTCCTTGGCCTTTGATTGAAGCTCTTCGTATAAGGGCTGCAGATCGTTGGGGTCCTTTGGTCGCAAACCGAACAAGGGCCAGCCGTCGATATGCTCGACGCGGTTGACATCGACGAGGTCTTCCAGTTGGATGAGGCGGTCAACGGAAGTAGTGGCCATGCCATGGTCACTGACAACAACAACGTTGACGGTTTCAGTGAGATTACGTTGCTGTAGGCCTTCGAATATGTCGCCGACCATCGTGTCTACCTGCTGTATCGTCCGTCGAATCTCCGTGCTGTTGGGTCCGTAATTGTGCCCATCAGTGTCTACCACTGGGACGTAAGTAAGAATCAGCTGGGGCCTAGGCTGATCAGCTAAAGCGGACGGGCTTTCCGGTCCAGGAAGGTCCAGCAGCTGCATGATACGATCTACTTTAGAAGAGAGCGGTTCGGATCCATTGTACTTGTCGAGATGAGCTGGTTCGATATCTCCTATATGGGCTTCGGAACCTGGCCACATATGGACGGCGGTTCGCACGCCTTGATTTTCAGCAGTTATCCAGAGAGGCTCGCCGCCCCACCACTTGGCTTGCATGCTCCTCGAGAACTCTTCCTGCATAGCAGGATCCCAAAACGTGTTGCCTACAATACCATGACTCTCGGGGTATAACCCTGTGACCATTGTGTAGTGATTCGGAAAGGTAACACTCGGGAAGCTTGGCAGCATCCATGGGGGCGAGATGCCGTTCTGGATGAAGGAGTTGAGAGTAGGCGTAATGCCCCGCTGCAGGAAGTCTGCTCGAAAGCCATCGAGGGAGACGAGTATTGTCGTAGCTGCGAATCGCGACGTGCCGTTGTTGAACAGAGCTGTGCCTTCTTTCCATGCAGGCTTGCTCGAAGCCCTATAGGCCGCATATAGGAGAACGAGGAAGAGCGAGAGGATTGATATGTGTAACAAGACTCGATTGTATGGGCGTAATCGCTTTGCCTACAAGTGGTAACATTAGCACTGGCTCTTGTGGTTCAACAATAATGCTTAACGCCTCCCGTACCTGGAAATTTCCAAGTCTCTGCTGATCCGATTCGGACGACGATGTTGATGACAGAGAACTGGATGACTGCCCACCTTCCTCCATCGCGTACACGGAGGCACTATCCCTTCTGCGACGCCTCCGCTTGCGGTCGCTCTTTCCCGACTTCTTCTGCTTCATCCCTCTTCGATGACCTGCCCTGGCATCCTCTTTGCCGTTGTTGCCCACGAATATCCTTCGGAGACCTTCTTGATCCGCATCTCCCATTAGCAGCTTCTCCCTTTCCTCATCCTCTTGCAATACTTCATGATCATCCTGGGTTACCTCAAACGAGGTCCTGCCGGCGGTGATTGTCTCGACATCCGACTCGGGCTCGTCGTCAGAGCCGGTCGTGTTGGGGCGCATGAACGCTGCTTCTGCATTCATTGGGATTGTTTTTTTTTTCGCCGGTTGTCAGGTTATGGCCTTCATGTTCCTGGATTGCACCTGCGCGGCTGGCTTAATGTATGTTCAGCCGACAGGAATGCACGTCGCGGTCTCGGCGCCTCAGGCGTCCCTCGGATTTCCACCGCGCGTCATCGTGCTGGTTTAACACCGCGCGCTGGATGACTATCGCCCATGTTGCCAATTACACTTGCACTGCTTACTGCTGCAATGGTTCATCGATTGGCACTCGAGGAGCACTCCGCATGAACACTTGTCGTTGCGCAGAATGACAATTGTGCTTGGTTCATAGCATAAAACGTTATCAGAATTGATCGGGGCATTAGCTTTGTAGGCTATGTGAGACGCGGACGTAATGGGTTATTCATTCAATTGTCTCGCTTTCTGTACCTGTCTCAGTTACCGTCCAACATGTTCTGTACCAGCTTCCTCCGCGTCTGATGTTTGTATCAGTATTCCTTGAAACACACTATTGAAGCAAGCAAGGAAGCAGGCAAGCAGGCAAGCAAGCAAGCAAGCAAGCAAGCAAGCAACATGATCTCTTTCTTATCAGAAGCGTACAAACAGCACACAACGTTTCCGTGCTTATGACCCTCAATCTCGACATCGTTTCTCCACACATCTGTGAGACAATTGCCGTCTTTACGCCGCACCCGACCATCTTTGCGATTTTTTCAGAGTTCCATGACCGCCGTTTGCACGCTGGAGGCCTATGGAAAGGAAGCTGAAATCAGTAGGATGTCCAGGATCTTTCGAGATGAGGTTTGGATCACGCCGCGACTCCTCATTCATTCGCTTTGCATTAATGTGTTGTCTAGAGATCTCTGAGGAGACAGTGCTTCGAACATGTGGGCTCTCTGGAGGAATCATCACTGTACCGCATCTGCGTTGGTAATCAGTCACTGCTTGGATGATGGGGCCGTTGCATCTAGTGCAACGTATGTCGTTAACAGGCCCGCGCTCGGATTCGCAAGAACACCACCTCGCGCTCTCTGCTCTTCTCTTCGGCCAGCATCAGATGGTCTGACAGAGCCGAGCAAAGTCTGCAGCCGAATATAAGGACCATGTCGACCAGATTGGACATCGCGAAGTGACGTTGGTGCGGACCGCTAAGGCAGACGTGCCAATTTCTGGACCGAGGGCAGCTCGAAAGGGCCAGCTTCTGCGACGGCTTAATCGTGTGAAGACAGGACAGCAGGAATGAAGCAGAACCCTGCCATTCTGATCAAGAGGCAGATTGACACATCGTGCCAACCTCGAAGATACACGCGACGTTGATTTTTGTACGATAACTCTTGTATAGTAAAGGCCCGATACGTACTCAGCTTGAAAGACACTCCGAGAGAAACCTGATAGCACGACCACCTGAACCGGGCTTCCCTGTCGCCGAAACCCGGAGCTGGACGCACAGCCAACAAAGCAATTGTGACTTCTACCAAAGTAGTCTGTCATCATCAAAGAAAGAGTCCTGTGAAACGCTCGAACGCGAACAATGGCGTTGTTATCGGACACGATGCTACATTCTGCAGGTCGTGGTCTGATATATAGTGATCGAGTAAGAAGAGCATTATAGCAACTAAACATTGCAAAACAAAATCATTACCGCTATGGAATACACACCTCGCAACATCCACCTGGACCCATCTGGGAAAAACACAATGCCGACTCTCAAAGCGCACTCACTGATCGATACAACGCCGGCCGTTGCTTCCTTTCTTGACAAGCTTGTCCAGTATGGCATAAACAAAATACCTAATCCTCCCGCGCAGCTGGAGCTGCAACGGCCGCTAGGTATATACGTCCCTAGAATGTATTTCGACGCCGAAGGCAACAACCTCGGCCGGCACGGAACGCTTTCGATTCTTCAGGTGTACGTGTTACCTCTGGATCACGTCTACCTCATAGACGTCACAACGCTGAAAGGCGCAGCTTTTGATACGCCTGGCAAGGCGGGTCTGACACTACGAATGATCCTCGAGGATCCGGCGGTTCTGAAGGTCTTCTTCGACGTTCGTGGCGACTCCGATGCCCTGCACGCACTCCACAGCATAGAGCTGCGGGGCATCCACGACCTTCAACTGATGCAACTTGGCACTCTAAAGTCTGTAGATGGCCTTAGCAAACTCGCAAGCCTCGAGATCTGCATTCGAAAAGACACCGGTATCTCGACCGAGGAACAGGACGCTATGGCTGCACTCAAGCGGGCAGGTAAGCAGTTGTTTCGTACTGGGTTTGGCGTGTTTGATGAACGGCCGTTGAAAGCGCCCTTGGCTGAGTATTGTGTTCAGGATGTGCAGCATATGGCCACGCTTTGGACAGCATATGCGAACCTTCTGACCAAGGAAAAGTGGGCGCGGGTGCTAGACATATCGAGGGCCAGAGTCAATGGCAGCCAGTCCGCTGACTTCACACGAACCTGTTGGAACAAAAGTCTGGTTCCTGTCCAATTCTGGAGTAGGCCTGGCGCTGGTCAGCAATGGGGGCCGTTCTACTAGCCTGTAGCTCGGAGTGTCGCATTATCTCCAGTCGAACCCGTGTTCTCATCGCCAGGTAGGCTGCTGTGATAAAATAGAAATTCTGCTCGTATGGATGTCTTCGCTGTAACGTGATTAAGATTGAGTATTCTGCCCGCGTTCTTTCCCCAACTCGTTCTGGTTATGGCCTTAGCATGTGTCCAACCTAGCTCTTACCTTCTACAGCTTATCGTTACCGTAGATCTTCCCTGCGCCTACTCTCTTCGTACACCATCAACACAGTTGTCTCTTGACAGAGGTAACTTCTCCTCCTACACTGAGAATCACCTCAAGTTATATAGTAACGTGTTAGAGTATGTACGTACCACCAAATGCTGTCTTTACGTCAAGGTTTCTGCTAACTGTAAGGCTCACAGAATGGATACTACGGTACTGCGAGCCACACAGCAGGAACAACTGTCCCACCCATGGCACTTCACCTCTTTTGAGACTGGCCGCAGCGATATACCAGCTACCAAAACACTACACCAGGACCATGACTATGAACCCAGCCCTGCTGTTCTTCGATTCCCAAAAGTCCTCAGCAAATTTCCATACACCTTTGTTGACACCGAACAAGGTGTGATCAAGTTCATCAACAAGCTCGTAGAACTCGGCATGGACAACACCCAAGCCACAGCCAAGTGGTCTGCGATCGCAACCTTACAGGCCTCGGACCAAATCTTAGAACTACGCCGCCGCGAGTTCAACCCCGCGTACAAGCCAAAGACTTTCGCAGATCTGAATCGCCCACACAGCGTCGCTGCTCGAATGCCGGTCGCAGCCATGCAAGCTTCCAAGAAGATCCTGGGATTCGACCGTCGCGCGCAGAATCCGGCATATAAGCCGAAGATCTCTTCACATCTCAACTGGCCGAATAGCGTTGCTCCTCTGGTGCTAGCTTTGGACCTGGATTGTGAGGGCGTGCGTGAATCTAGTGAACATGGTTGATTCAATGGCAAATTCCACGCGGAAAGGTACATATCCCTGGTTCACCTCCAACATTGTTAAGTAACTTTACTTGGGTGCTAAAGGTACCAGTGAGGACGGCTTTCACAGACCCCGGTTCGCGTTCATCGATTTCACAGCTGCGCCTAAATACTTAAACGCTGCGAGTCCTTTCTTTCGTCGACATCCACTCTCCCATCTATACCCAACAGCCTCTTGATCGCATCACTACGCCACCTTCCGGACGCGTATTTAAGCCTCTTATCAACCAGACACATCCCTTTCAACTGCACCATGGAATCTCCCGTCCGCTTCTACGAGAACGAGGAAGAGCTCTTCGGTGCCTCCAATGAGGCGCCAACCCCTCATGAGAAGATCATAACTCGCCGTTTGCTCAACCTTCTGCACAAGTACAAGGTCGGGTATACCTGGGTTGACACCGTAGAGGCCGTGGTTGCCTTCCTCAACAAGCTCGACAAACTGGGCATGCGCAATAAAGATGCTCCAGCTGCATGGTCTTCCATAGCGACGCAGCGCGATTCGAAGAACGTCCGGAACATGAATCTTCATGAACTCCATGCGACGTACAAGCCAAAGACATTCCGAGATCTGAACCGTCCCTACAGTATCGTGTCAAAGATGCCGGCACTTTACATCGACTGCGAAGGCGTAAACCTCTCTCGAAGCGGAACGCTGTCGATCTTCGAGGTTATGTCGGTTTTGGAGAATCACGTCTACGTGTTCGATGTGCACGTTCTGGGCAAGAAAGCATTCGAGACCGCGGGCGTCAACGGGGTAACGTTGAAGAAGATCCTCGAGGACCCTGGCATTGGGATAGCGTTCTTCGATGTTCGGAATGATAGTGATGCGCTTCATCACCATTTCGGAATCAAGCTGCAGGGAGTTCAAGATATACAGCTGATGGAGCTCGCGACGCGCAGAGGCGGCATCGACTATGTTCACGGACTCAAGCGATGCATCGAGGAGGTCACCATTCACTCCGAACTCTCTTGGGGTGAGCGTAGTGTCTTCATGCAAGTCAAGTCTGCAGGCCGACAAGCGCTCGGCGGCGATTATCGGGTCTTCGCGGAGCGGCCCCTCAAAGAGATGTTAGTGATGTACTGCATCGTTGACGTGGCGTTGCTACCTATGATCTGGACCGACTACTCGTGGATGGTATCAAAAGAAGGCTGGGCCAAGGTCCTCGAGGTTTCAGCAACGAGGGTTGCAGAAAGCCAGCAAGCAGACTACGATCCACACAATCCGAACAAAGTAATCGCAGACCCAGGCTTTCAACTTTTGCCGCGAGGACTCAGGAAGGTGTCGAACTATGGCAACGGCGACATGATGTAGAGTCCAAACCAGAGCCGTCCTGATGCCGCCGAGCCTTCCTCGCCTTGCACACAACATCACAGAGCTCTCATCATCGCCAATCTTCACCACCATCATGCCTACACCAGCGCTTTGCGCGATCCGCGCTACTGGATTCTGCACCTTCCAGCTCTACAAGGACCCGATTGCGTACCCGCCGCTAAGAACTTGTGGCGTTGCGCAGTATAGGGCAGCGGGAACACTGCACACTCAGAAAGAGATACATGCAGATCACTAGACTGAACGCTTGTTGTAGCGCAAGAGGGGTTTCTGGGAAAGGCACTTTTGAATCTCCTGTGACAGACTTGCTTCGGACAGCTGGGCCAGAAATTGATGGAGGCTTTCCGGCTTGGAGTTTGGGCTTGCTATGGGTTGGCTTTGGATTTCGCGGCGTGGCGTTCAAGCAGTTAGAAAACGCCAAAGGGCACAAAAAAAAACTCGTAAAATCCTCTGCGACTGTTGAACACTGATACTCACTACTGTGACTGTGCATGCGTATAACTAGCTTTCATTTCACAAAGTCTTATCTGATAAAATGGCTCCTTCCATTCGTCTCCCTGGACTTCGGCTGCAAGCGAGCTGCCGCTAGGATACGCTCGCGCGCTCCGACTTGTCTATCGTCCCAGGGTGCAGGAAGCGGGTTCTTCGAAACATAGCATCCCTACTGATCCAAACCCCTCGATTGCCTGGGCACCGCTTCCATCTCCACCACAACCTCCCCCCTCCCCGCAACCCACCTCGCCCCCGTCCACTTAACCCACCGCCCACTCGCAACAACCATAAAAGCCCACACATGCCCGACAATCTCGCCCCAGCACCAGAACCTAACAATCCCCAACCCCCCGTCTGCTTGGATCTCCGCGCAAGCCGGGAACTCACTGCTCACCTCCCGCGTGCACCACACGTTCCAGCCGCAGTTGCCGGCGCGGATGTTGTCGCCGACGATGCGCCAGAAGTCGGCTTGGATGTCCAGCGGCCAGGAAGAGGGGTCGAGGTGCCAGTAGCCGCGCTCCACGGGGGTGATGGCGCAGGTGCTGCGTTTGTGGATCATGTCCGGGTTGGCGACGACGCCGGCGAAGACTTGGGCCAAGGTGGGGGTTACTTGAGAGGGCCAGCTGGGAGTGGTGATGGAGTCGGTTTCGGGAGATAGGGGGTGGTGGACCATTGGAAGCACGCTTAGATTGATGGGATTCGGAGGATCTGGATCCTTGTACGGTACCGCGTGTGGTATTGCGTAACGAGCGTCACATTCACGCTCAGTGAGTTGCTGATCGCTAGGTGTTGAGGCAGCTTTCGCTGCTTGGTCGCTGTTGTCCGCCATCGCAAGCGCTGGGTGATCAGAGCTGGCAAGGAATGGTCTTCTTATAGGGCGCTCGGATTGATTAGACGAGCAAACAGCGGCCTGCTTGCGCGTGGTTTGCGCATCCCGTGACCCATCAGAATCATTTCTGGTGTGGTCTGTTGAGATCAGCACGGTACAATCCTCAGTCAAGCATGCCTGGTTTCCAATGCACTGTACTTTATGTATGGGTAATATAATGCGGTTGGAGATTCAACGAGGACAAAGAAAGGGCTTGAATGCACTCACGTCTTCGACTAGCCCCTGATGCAAGTGCGGCTTTCGGTGTTGACGAGCTGTCACCATAATGATTTGACCCTAATTCTGAAGGTAACACAGATGCCGCACTGCCCTCAATAGGAACACCAATGAAGTCAGACGGCACATAGTCGGTCGCCTCGCGTCCACTGGACAGCGGCGAAGGATCTCTCCCTGCTGGAATGACCTTACTGGAAGCGGGTGATGCAGTACTGCTGGATAGACGCTGCCGCTTTGAAGCTCTCCCGACCAACGGAGACGAAGACACCTCGAAGAATGCGGATGGTGCAACCTGACTTTCCAAGGCGGCAACTGCAAGCTGGGTGTCTTCAATATACACAGGTGAACTCTGCACGGTTGAGACAGGCGCTGGGTTCTCGCCTGAGAGCGTCGCTTTTGGCCTGCTCAGCCCAGATGAGCGATGCTGTTTACGGTGCGAGCTCTGCAGAATCTCCAACTGGTGGATAGGGTCCTTCGAGCTTCTGAGTTTCGAATGAAGTTCCACGAGTTCTGGCCGACGGGAGCTGGCCAGCGGCGTCCCCTCGAGCATAGAAGACCAGGAGGATCCGGGCAAAAACCCTGTTACATGTTTTCGAGGCACGCCCGGACTTGCCTCGTCAGATAGTTGGGGCTTGTCAGACGGGTTGCCACTGCTTGGGATATTCTCGGCCACGTTCCGCTCTCCCTGGGCGGAGGTTGATAGATGCGTAGTGGAGCCATTCCCCAAAGAAAGATTCGTTACATGTTGGACCCCCTCTTCCTTCTCAGATTCGCCCTCGGTCGTCGCAACCACAGAGACTCTGTTCGAGCATTCGAAATCATTATAAGCGAGAGCCTGAGCTCTGTAACGGTCATCGTCCTTGCGAGTAGTAGGGGCCGATATATGCACAAGGAGCTCCATGATTTTGCTTTACTGGACGACAGATGACTTGCAAGCTAAACGCCATGATAGCGACCACAGTGTCAAAGCACTACAAGTGAATGTAACAGAGCCAGGAACGGACAGACGTGAATGCAGGAATGCTATGGAGTCGGTCGCTGGAGCAGGTGATCAAAAGCGGAAGACGATCACGTGTTACGCACAATCGGCGTCCAACACCACCGACCCAAAGCCGCCAAGATTTCGCTCGCACCCGTAGTTTATTCCCCCACCACGAAAGTCGCCTCGATAACGTATTAACCGCCTTCATTGTCACAAAATAACGACAACAAACAACCACTTCAGCCATGGCGCCTATTTCGCTTCAGGATCTGATCAGCTCGCTGCCGGTTACCGACACATGGGGACCACCGGTCACGAACGAGACCACGCTCGATGGCGTTCCATACCAGCCGTACTCGAAGGGCGACAAGCTGGGGCGCATGGCCGACTGGACCGAGGGGAAGGATCGGGATAGGGGCGGCAGACAACAGTATGGAGGTAGAAACTATCGAGGTAAAATGTTTTTATATACGGCTGTATCTACATTATGCGAGGATGGGGAGGCTCTGAGCAACGCGGTCTGTTCACTCGCTAACTTGCAGTAGACCAACAGGCATACGGTGCAAACCAGACCAACAACCCCTTCGCCATCCAGCTCGCCGAGGAAGAAGCCACATTCTCTGTCGTCGATAACACGCGCACATCTGCTCGGACCCGCGGCTTCGGACGCGGCGGTGGGACTATTTTCCGCGGTCGTGGCCAGCGTGGTGGTCAGACACAACGTGGTGGTCGAGGCACTTTCCAGCGCGTAGGCGGCGGGAGAGGAGGTCAGCAAGGCTACGACAACCGCGGTGGCCGTGGTGGGCGCGGCGGTAGGCGGTTCGGCTGGAGAGACGACAAGCCGCAACGCAACCGTGACGCCTCCGTCAATGTCAAGCCAGACTGGCAGATGCTTGAGGAGATCGACTTCAACCGTCTGTCCAAGCTCAATCTGGAGACCGGCGATGGCGAAGAAATCGACAGCTACGGCTTCCTCTACCAGTATGACCGTGCGTATGATAAAAATCCTGGCGCGAAGACATCCGAGCGGAGGCTCAACGTTCTGGAGCGTGCCGCATACAATGTCACCACGTCAAGCGATCCCATTATTCAAGAACTAGCGGATAAGGACGAGGCTACCATCTTTGCTACGGACAACATTCTCTCCGTGCTGATGTGTGCTACTAAATCAGTGTACTCGTGGGATCTGATCTTTACCCGACGACGCAATCAGGTCTTCATCGACAAGCGTGAGGGATCCAACATCGACATGGTGACCGTCAATGAAAACGCGACAGATGCACCGTTGGAGATTTCTGAGGGCAACAAAGATACCGTGAACAGCCCGCACGCCTTGATGCTGGAAGCCACACATATCAACAACGTCTTCCCATTGCAAGTTGTCATTGAGGGCGAGAGCTCGAAGCGCGAGATGGCCAACCCGCATCCATTCTACAACCCCGAAGAAGAGACGGACCCGCCCGCATCCAAGGCCTACAGATACCGCCGCTTCGATCTGTCGCTGGAGAAGGACGAGGAGCCGCTGCACCTGATTGTGCGGACAGAACTGGACGCGATTGCCAGGAATAATATCAATGGCGAGGACCAGTTCATGACCATCAAGGCTTTGAATGAGTTTGACAACAAGGCCCAAGGCAGCGGGGGTGCTCTGGATTGGCGCTCGAAGCTGCAGAGTGGGCGAGGTGCGGTCTTGGCTACGGAGATGAAGAACAACAGCTGCAAGCTCGCCCGATGGACGACTCAGAGTATGCTGGCCAAGGCTGATGCGATGAAGCTTGGGTAAGTCTCCATCTCATCATTTGGAATCAAGCTAGCAGTTTGTCTCACTAATGTTCCGAAGTTTCGTCTCCCGTGCCAATCCGCGCAGCAACAACGATCACGTCATCCTAGGTGTCCTCAGCAACAAGCCGCGCGACTTCGCCAACCAGATGGCGCTCAATCCGGCTAATGGCTGGGGTATTGTCCGCACGATCGTCGACATGTGTCTCAAGATGCCAGAGGGCAAGTATGTGCTAGTCAAGGATCCGAACAAGCCAACCCTTCGGCTGTACCAGGTTCCTGAACACACCTTTGAGGAGGAAGTGGAGGAGACGCAGACGGTGCAGGAGGACGAAGACGAGGAATAGATGGCCTTGATGATGTTGGAGGACGTTCGATGAGCCTAGGGGGTTGAGAGACGCCTATCATGTGTAACGATGGACGGTAGATAGCGGATGAAGCGCTGGTCATCTGATATTACTCTTCCAACCCCCAGTCGGGGATGATAGATCGAACAAAATCCACCCTGTCCATTACCTTAAAAATAATCCACATGCCAAATAGTCTATACTCTGCGGGCTTGTTGACCTAGGAATGCTCCACCACTCCACCATCCAGATCCGATAAGATAAGCCCCCATAACATCAAACCACCCCCACCAAGCACCTCTCCCTTCCCTCCCTCCCACCATGACCGCCCAGAACGGAGACTCATCTCTCACGACCAGCGACATCACCGACTCCAGCGCCCTGATCCACGGCCTCACAGCCGAAGAGATCGGCACCCTAACAGCAAAATGCACTGAAGCAAAAGCAGCGGCTTATTGTACCTCGCCCCCCTTCCTCCCCTAACCCTCCTCCCCCTTCCTTCCTCATCTCCAGTTCCTCCCACGCCCCCAAACACCTCTCCACCTTCTAGAGCCCGTTGACCGCTGACTTCGGCGGGCTGCTGTCAGGCCCCTACTCGCTCTTCCGCGTCGGCTGCACCCTCCTCACGCACTCCGGAGCCTTCATCTCCGGCGCCAACGTCGAAAACGCATCCTACCCCGTGGGCACGTGCGCGGAGCGTGTGGCCATGGGCAGCGCGGTCTTCGCCGGCCACCGGCGGGGAGACTTCAGGGCCGTGGCCGTCGCGACAGATGCGCCGGAGCCGAGCTCGCCGTGCGGAATGTGCAGGCAGTTTTTGCGGGAGTTTTGCGGGGAGGATGTCCCGGTTGTGATGGTTGGACGGGATGGGGGGGAGGGGAGGGTGGTTGTCAGGACGATGGGGGAGGTGAGTTGGGATTCTTTAGGGGGAAATTGGGGGAAGGGTGTGGAACAAGGGCTAATGGGTTGAACAGCTGCTGCCGATGAGTTTTGGACCCGAGTCGTTGCCGCCGAGGGAAGAGCTTGCGAAGGTGGGCGAGGGGAGGAGGAAGGGATGATGGGGATGTTCAGGTCATTGATCGCACTCGTGCACATGTCCGGCGTTGTGGTAGGAATGCAATCATCAATCTTCGCAGATGCCTTTCTGGCGACACTGTTCGCTATGGTCCAAATGGCGCAGCGTGAAGTGGGTCTGAGTGCGGCGCTACCAGAATGAAGTCTTGGTTTTGGAAGAAGCTTTTGATAAAGATAATCCAATGTTCGTCATGCTTCTATTCTAGCTTCAGACATATGTATGCCGGAAATTACCGAAATATGTCCCCTGGTATCTGCTGCACTGTGCGATCACACTTCTAGATTTCGCGGACTCTATGAGGTCAGGATGCCAGATGAGTGCAGGGACCAGAGTGAGTGGTTGCTTGCTAGTGCTTCGAGTACCAGTGGAGGCAGTCAAGTTTGGAGGTACCGTAGCGCAACGTCTATTCCCACAATATGTATGCGACAGGCGTGGCCGCTACATGACGTGCTCCACAGGCATGCATTACTCGGAGGCGTCACGTCTTCGGTTGCTACACGCTCAGCCGTGCTCTGTCGTACCCATTATGATCTTCTGAGGTGGGGGATTGCGTTGGAGCTACTCACCAGCTTGCGGCGGACCTGAGTTTGATTGTGGAATGGCCGGCTGCGGAACCGGTACTGAGTCTCACTTTCAATCGCTGATTGGTTTTAGGAGTTCTTCGAGTCCGGCATCCACTCGTCAACACTCGACGTGTCGAGGCGTGCCTCGAACTCTTTTATGGCTGCCTTGGTCGCCTCGATGTTCTGCAGTAGCTGATATTTATGCCCTCGCAACGTCAGCTGGGCGTCTTTCGGCATTTTTGAAAACTCTCGATCGGTCATCGCTGCGTCAAAAACCCGGTTCACCTCTTCTAGATTTGAGAGGTGTCTTCTGAAAATCTCTACGCATAGGTCAGGGCGGAATTTCGCCCTGTCGATGAACCCAGGAGCCGGTGTCCAGGTGCGGCCGCTTTGCTTGGCCTCCAGCTGAAGGATGCGCTTCTTGGTGTCTGCAATCATCCAATCTAGTCCTGAGATGCTATCCCAAAGCTTGTGGTGCGTGCTGCCCAGTAGCTCAAGCGCTCTGCGTGAGGCATCCCTGGCCTTGTCATCTGTCATGCACTGAAACGCCGTCTCCCTGTCTGCAAGCTCGTGCCAGATGAACTCGGCTTCTGTCACCTCCCTTGTCCTTCTCTCTACAAGTGTTTTGAGATGCTCCTCGAGAGTCCTGATCCCTTCTTCGGAAGAAGCTGGCACCCATGTGTAGTCTGTAGAGGGAATGAAGATGCGTCCCCACCGCGGATCCAAGCCGTAGCGGTGTGGCCATGTCTCTGGCGTTTCATCCTGGGACTGTTGGACGCTTGGCGAAAAGGGCGATAGGGATTTGGCGGCAACAGTCAAGTCATGTTTTTCAGCGAGTTCTTTCTGGAGCAAACGTGCTTGTTGCAGTCGCCTTGTGTAAAGACCCGTCGCAGGATCTGAGACTTTGGAGTTGAGTGGAGTGAAGATGAGATATCCCCCGCAGCCGCCCCAGGATGCTGCACCGACGTATCGAAGCCAGCCGATCGTACTCGGGGCGACCCTCTTGGATAACGCACATAAGATGCCGATGGCGCAGCCTGCAACGAGGTAGTCATCTTGCTGAACAACTCCATTCTTCACCAAGAGGGTACGGGATGGAATCGTTGTTCCTTGGCGGTCCAGCACCGCGCGCGCCGCCCGACGCTCGTATATCTCGTTTCTGTACAAGCCGTAGCCAAGGAAAAGGAGTGTCCCGTAAGCTGGACCCTTCAGCCCCCAGCCGTGTATTGACAGTCCAAGCAGTCTCCGTGCAACTATAACTGCGGCACCCGCGGCAGAGCCCAATACAGGAGCGCCCGCAACGGTGGAATTGGCTGCCAACGGTTCTGGAGGCGCGGGGAACGCTGGGTGGAGGCCTTCCCCTAGACCGGCATCAGACAGATCCAACATAAGAGCTGGGAAGTGTGGTCTGCTTACATGGCAACGGAAACAACCGCGTCATGGTGCTTTGGCAGTGCCGATAGTGGGTTCTTTGCTAAGTGATTCTTGCGTCGTGTCGATTCGAGTCAGCGTGGCTTTGTACAGAAGAGCAATTGCTCCTGTCCGCGGTTTAGAACCCACCTAGGATAGCTGCGGGTATGAACATGCAGACGCTAAGTAATCTCATGGTCTTACATATATGCCGGCTGGGGCACTCAACATGCCAGTGCCTCCAAGCAGATGGAGGAACAAGGCAGCATGGATGGATGCCTGGCGGCAAGGGAGCACCGCAGCGCGGAAATCTCCAGCGGGCCGTGCTCCGCGAACGCCTGCTCACTTTTGCGACAGCTATCAATCAATCCCACCTGCATTCACCGCACCACCAACGCTGCATCCCACTGCAGCCACCGCGCACAACATCCACGACACCCACAATGCCGGGCAGGAAGCGCAGCCGCGGCGAGTACGAGGCCGAAAGCAGAGACAACCACTTCGGCATGGGTCAGACGCTCTCACTGCTGCGGGAGCCCAACTCTGCTGCAGAGGACACCTCCGAATCGCACAGCCGGCGCGCGTCTCCTTCCGCCAAGGAGGGAGAGAGAGAGGGAGAGTGGCAGACGGTGGAGAAGCGGTCGAAGAAGCCAAAGCAGGAGAAAAAGAATAATGGCAACTACCCTGCCATCTTCCATTCCGCAAACGCGCGCCTGCAGACGCATGTCAAGATCGGTGACCTGCAGCAACTGACGCTGTACCTGCTTGCTGATGGCACGGCCCCGCAATGGGTTTCTGTTCGACATCACAACTCTGTGAGGAAGGTGGTTGTGCTCATGGTGCCTGGACTGGAAGCTGGGATGTTTGATGGAAAAATTCCTCTCGAGAGCGCGGCAGACGCAACTGCTACCTCAGCGGAGGTGCTTTCAGAGTACGGAGAGAAGTCGCCAAATACACATGTACACCAAACAATCAACAACAAAATCCGACTTTCCCCAGACGACTACTACCCTGTCAAGCTTGCTTCTGAAAAGTTGCCTGAGCCCCTCAAGCCTTTAGCAGACGTCTTCCCACATATCTGGCCAATCAAGACCCCAGGCGACGACAAGTACCACCGTATACACTCGCCATTGCACGCCATGCTCACGGCGCCCTTGCCGAAGACGAAGGAGGAAAAGCGGGGGAAAGGGCCTGGTCCGCCGCGCGAGGGCAGGAACTGGGCGAACAAACCGACGCCTGTGACTGAGTTTCTTGCTTCGCTAGAAGAGCTGCAGGAGAACGAATACGTCCTTCATCCCGCTTTGTTCACCACCGCCGAAGCCAAGCAGAATTACCTGGAAAGCAGACGCAAAGCCCACCAATCTACAGAGGACGGCTGGGTCGACACCAAAGTAGCCACCCTCGAAGACGGCGACGTCCCCGAGAAAGAAACCCAGCAAGGCAGTCTCACGGCCGGCCGCGACATCCTCGCTATGGACTGCGAAATGTGCAAAACCTCACCCGACACCTTCGCCCTGACGCGCATCAGCCTCGTCTCCTGGGACGGCTCCGTAGTCCTCGACGAACTCGTTAAGCCCGACGTCCCAATAACCGACTACCTGACCCCCTACTCCGGCATCACGGCCGCCATGCTCGGCCCCGTCACCACCACGCTCTCCGACATCCAGACCTGCCTGCTGGACCTCATAACCCCCCGCACCATCCTTGTCGGCCACTCGCTTAATGCAGATCTCACGGCGCTGAGAATGACGCACCCCTTCATCATCGACACCGCGCTCATCTATCCGCACCCGCGCGGCCCGCCGCTCAAGTCCTCGCTCAAGTGGATCGCGCAAAAGTATCTCAGTCGCGATATCCAGCAGCACCATGGCACGACGGGGCACGACAGCGTCGAGGACGCGCGCGCGTGCCTCGATCTGCTGAAGTCCAAGTGCGAGAAGGGGCCGAAATGGGGCACGGCTGAGGCGAGCGGGGAGAGCATTTTCAAGAGGCTGAGACGGGCGAAGAGGCCCGCGAGTGGGAGAAGCGGGGGTGGGGATGAGGGCAGGACGGGCGCGGTGGTGGATTGGGGAGACCCAAAGAGGGGACATGGGGCGGGCGCGGCCGTGTGCGTGGGGTGTGAGGACGATGCTGGAGTTGCGGAGGGCGTCAAGATGGCTGTCAGTGGGGATGCTGGGGGTGGAGCTGGTGGTGTTGATTTTGTGTGGGCGAGGCTGAGGGAGCTGGAGGCTGTGAGAGGGTGGTGGAATAGGACGAAGACGGCTGACAGCGCTGAACTGCTGGCGAATGCGCTCGCGGGCAGTAAGACGGCTAACGGCGAAACTGCCGATTCCACTGCAAGCCCATCGGTCCTCGCGGAAGCCGTTGCGAAGACTGTTGCGAATATCAAGGCGATTTACGACGTCCTGCCTCCCTGCACGGCTTTGATTGTCTACAGCGGCTCGGGCGATCCGAGAGAGGCGGCGCGGCTGCAGAACATGCAGCAGCAGTTCAAGAAGGAGTACGCGACCAAGAAGTGGGATCAGCTGAGCATCAAGTGGACGGATACGGAGGAGCAGGCATTGAAGAAGGCGGCCAAGAAAGCAAGGGAGGGCGTGGGATTTGTGGTGGTGAAGTGAGGTATTTAGGCTTCTGCATGGAGTCGTGAAGCGCGTCAGTGTCGTAAACGCTGTCTTGCTGCCAGGAGGACATCGGCTCAGGAGAGAAGGCATGAGGTGGTGAAGTTCGAGGCGCTGTCACATGACTGTGTCGCTTGATGTCTGTTCGGATGGTGGGCAGACAGCTGCACCCTTGCTTCGTGTGTAGAGCTGCGCCTAGCGCAAGCACCCGCGAATCGCTCTCATGCTACTGAGTCATGATGAATAATCACTCAGCGTTTGTGTTGCTGCTCCAGTCTAGGTGAGAGCTGGGCTAGTTTGCGTTGCACACTGAAGCAGGAGTCTCGTCGACACGCTTAAGACCACGTTATATCATCGAGATCGAGTGAAGCAGTGGCTTCTTGTGTAGCATCCTCCTACCTACTCTTGTCCTCCTTCAACAACGAAAAGATAGGTCTAAAAGTGACGTCGGTTCAAGCGGCAAGGATCCCCGAACGCCTGTTGCAGAACAGAGCAAATCAATGGCAACGCAGAAAGATTCGCCAGCGAGCACAGACGCTAGCAAACCCGCCACCGGCCTATATAAGGTTTCATAATCTGCAATAGCCGACACAGCGCTTGACTCAAACGAGCGGATGAGGGAATCTTGGATGCTAATCAATTAGCAAATAGTCCAAGCTCAAAAGGGCGACCGCTTCCCTTCCCACCCAGCGAGCACCAATAAGCCGCTCGTCGTCTTATCGACCTAATCAAAAAACTTGCGCGCACCCGTTCCACGGTTTCACTTTTAGTCCCGCCTTTTCGTCTTAACCACTCCTAAACTCTAAGTCAGGACCTGGTCGCACTCTGCTGCACGCTTTCTCTGCTCGCCTCAGCTCTCACTCCAGACGATGGCCGCTGCGAGATCAGTGCGCGAGAGTACAACAATCTCCGAATCTCAACCGGAAGCTGAAGCCGACGCCGAGTCCCAAAGTAGCGATGAGGACGTTAGCCGTTCGACAAACGGCTTCTGCAGGAAATGCAACTCCAACATCGGCGAGTTCTACAATGGCTGGATCAAGATTACGAACACATATTATCTGCCAGCGCTTGTTGGATCCTACAGCGCGCCAGGCCTGCAGCTGACGCCGAAAGCCAAAGTCGCGCTGATTGGCAGCGAGTTCGAAGGATGGTGAGTCTGCAATCGATTTTTTTTTTCGCCTTTCCCGGATGCAGAGTTAGGGCATAATCTACGGCGGGCGCGTTCGTGTTTCTCTGAGCCGACGCCTCCACTAAAATTTAATCTGTGTCACGCTAGCTATATGTAACCGCTCGACTGCTTATTGCATCTACGGTTGCTTTAATAGGGAGCCATGCATCCCAGGCCGTGACTGACAAGTTTGACGCAGCACTCTCCAGGCCCTGAACTGTCGGCTTTGCACCGAGAACACGACTTTAGGTATCCTGTGCACTCAGGCGCCCGAGGAGAAGGCCTTTTTCGAGTGAGTGAAGCTTGGTTTTCTGCGCTGCGCAGCCACTAGCACACGATGCGCCGCCGTTTCTACAAGCTGTTTTGCAATGTGCAGCAAGCTGACTGCTCTCCTGCAGAGGTCGAGAGTTCTTCAAGCTGCCGCGGTTAGAGCTCCGAAGCGAAGCTTCTGGCAAAGTCGTTCGAGAAATACTGGAGCCCGCTCGCCCAGAGTTCCAATTAAAGCGTTCGAGATCGACCACTGCAGAAATGGACGTTGATGGTCAGCCTCGACCACCGGAGCCCGTCAACCAGCCGGCCAAATCGTCCGGCAGCTTCCACCAGCCCAACCCGTCTGCCACCCCTCTATCAAATACTTCGCCGCAACCACCCTCAAGCACTGTCCCTACACAATCCACGCATACGCTGCAAAACTCCGCAAACGCCGACCCGCAAATTAGCTTGCCTGGGAGCACAGGCGAAGCAAGTGCCCGCCCAAGCGAGCATACGCTCCGGTTGCGAAGCCCAATTGGTCAAGTCACGAACAATTTTCGACACTATGTATCCGAAGAACAACGTCGCCTCGACTCTGTCGCGCGATTGCAAACCGAAATTAGCCAAAACGCAGCCGCGTTAGCAAGCCAGCAGCAACATGTAGCTGCATGGGAAGAGGCCTTCGGCAGGTTACAGATGGAAATGGGCGGGTTAGCCGCGCTGGTGGATACTATGCGGAGGGAATTACTGGCGCGGCCCATTGCGCAAATCGCACCGACACCACCGCCGCCCCCACCGCCTGTAAAGGTTGATGAGACGCTCGAGATCTTCTCTGCCACGCTATCGAACGTCGCTGCCAAAGTAACCGAGGTGGATGCACTGAAGATGCAGCTGGAGATTATGAAGCGCAAGATCCAGCGTATCGAGGAGGGGAGTGTCGGGCCCGGATCTGCCGCTGCGTCGTTTCATTCGCCCAGAGAGCCGCCGTTTCACGCTCTACCACACCTTCCCCAGCCCCCTAATCACATTCGTCGAGTATCAACCCCTATGCGGAACGAGATCCAAATGCAATCCTCTCATCAACCTACGGAGTCATCCTTTCGGCCCTTATTAACTTCGGACGTGTCTCACCAAACACCACAACCTCAAGCCCCCAGCAGTGGATGGACTTCAGTGAATTCCAGCCATAAACGCGGCCCCTCACACGGACCAGATGGCCACGTAGAACCAGGAAGCCGAATCGGCTCGCCAAAACGCCCCAAACTCGCACCCTTGGAGCCACAGCTACATACCTCGCGCCCCCAGAGCTACGATACCGCCGCCGGGTCCCCCATCGTGTACAACACGATGGAAACAAACGAAAGCGGCTCGCGCTACGTCCCAACCCCCAGCGACGCCCGACACGACTCCAACTCCACCGCTCCAGTTTCCACGACCTTCATCCCCTACGACTCAACCGCCACAACCGCCGACCGCAACCCCGACGACAGCTGGCGCCCCGCCCCCGAACGCGCCCCGCACCAGGGCCCGTCGCCCAAACGCGGCCGCGGCGGCCGACGCGGTGGCCGCCCGCGCCAGAGCCTGCCCCCCCAGCTCGGGACCCCCGAATGGGAAAAGCCCGACTGGACCGGCTCCCAGATCGTCAACGGGTACTACGCCCCGCACACGCCCGGGGGCAGTCGGCGCGGGGGTCCCGTGCGGCGCGGCTCCGGCGGTGCGCGGCATCCCGAGACGCCCGCGCGGCCGTCGTCGTCGTCCGGACCGCCGTCCAGTTCCGCGGCGCCGGGGGATCCGTACAGCCACACGAAGCGGACGCGCACGAAGCCGGTGCGGAACGCGGAGGGGATTCTGATCCGCAAGGACGGGCGGCCGGACATGCGGAGCCAGTCGTCGGCGGCGAATCTGCGGAAGGTGCATGCGAGGAAGGAGGCCGAGAAGGCGGAGGCCGAGGGCGGGCACGGCCAGAGCCACACCCAGCACGCCCACCAACATCCCCATCACCACACGCCGACCTCGGCGCTCGCCAACGCGCCCGTGCTCTCCCGCGACGGCCTCGAAACCCCCTCCCCCGGCAGCTCGGCCGAGCCCCGCGAGCAGAGCACCCAGGAGCGCCACGCCGAGATCCTGAGCAAGATCTTCCCGCGCGGCATCGAGAGCAGCGGCGGGGCGTACGACGCGGCGAGCTTCTTCCCGGGCAGCTCGCCCGTCCGGAGGGGCGCGAAAGCCAAGACGGAGAGGGTCAAGTTTAGGGAGGAGGCCGTGGGTGCCGCGAGGGAGGGGGAGAGGGCTGGTGGGGAGCATGGCGAGCATGGCGATGTGGAGGCCGGGATGAGTCCTGCGAGTAGTTTGACGGGGACTGAGAGTGGGGGTGCGGCGGGCTCGCCGGTGGATGGGGATGTTAGGATGGAGGAGCCGCCGGAGGGGCGGACGCAGGAGGAGCCGCAGGGGACGCAGTTGCCGGGGTTTGGGGGGGAGGAGTAGGGGCCTTGGGGATCTATCAATATGCGCCACATCGGTAGCTTTCAACGACCGTATCCGATTATCGGTATTTTACAAGATTCTGGCGTTCACACTTTGGGACTTGCATAGTGGCGCTGGGCTATGGGCCTTCGGCCTTTGCTGGGCTAGCTCGATATAGCGTGCCCATCTATCTGAGAATGGCATATTTATCCATCTCTAAGCAGTTTTGTACAAGCGAGCATATATCTACATACAAAGATCCATCGCCTTCCGTGATCCTGACAAGCAACTTGCAGCGCCACCCCCATCGAACAAACCAGAAAACCGCGTGTTACGCATCGGGCTCGACCGTTGTGGGGCAGCCGCGCTGATTAGAGCGTTCCACTGCACAACTCTGTCAGCACCTGAGTCCGCGCATCAAGACGATTTGATCCAGCGACAATGACGATAATGCGTTTACGCAAGCTCTGGATCCGGGTTTCTGGGCTGGAAAAGGCGGCACGGGGGCGGGCACTGCATGATAGCAGAGGGAGGGTTCAGAGAATGCTGGGTGATCTAGCGATAGGGACGGGACGACGATGGAGGCCATGTCGGGCAAGATTGTGCGGGCCTTTTTGCGGATGGTGGCGCGGTGGGCGCGAGTTCCGCTTCAGGATTTGCTGCCTGGTGGAGGAGGGGAGGGTCTAGGAGGGAGAGGGAAGGGGGAGTGGGAGACGTGAGTCTAGTTCATGGGACGGACGAGCTACGGATAAGCTTGTCCTCGCGGTTGGGAGAGACGCGCTGGGGTTCGAGTATAGCAAAGACAGGGAGGCTCCGGAGGAAGAATGACGTTTGGGCGTTGCGCGAGCGAGGCCGGGACATACGGCTAACGGTAAGCTGTTGACGTTAGCTGGACTGAGGGAGGCTTGTGTACGATCTATGAAGCTGTGGGGTTGTATTGGGTAGTGAGGCGAGCGGCTAGTTTTGGTGGTATGAATTGTTCTTGATGAGATGTAAGAGATGTATAAGATGGAGTGATATGGTATCTTTCATTAAGTTGTCTCGCTTAGCTACAGCGTTGTCCAAGCTATGGCAGCGAAAATGAAGCTCGAGGAGATGACGGCATATGCTGGTAAAATGCGGCTCCAGATACACGCCAAGTCTCCCAAGCAACAGCGGCAGCTAAGGAATCGCGCAAAAGCCGGTTCATCTGAAGAACACCGCGCTGAAGACGCCGTAGCCGACCGGAAGAAGCGAAGATGAACAGTCCACCAACACCCGCTTGAAACCCTGACAGGACCGACCCAAGATACCCTGATTTTAGTAGCGGAAATGCGCAGAAATAGAGAACGGGACGAGATACGAAGACGGAAAGAAATGCACATGTACAACGATAGCAGATGAGCAGGCCTAAACCAGCCCCGAGGCCTATTCCAATGAGCTGAGTGTCATCACTGCGAGCATGGAAAGGTAGTCTTCTCGACAATGAACCTCGACCCAGCCGGCCTAGCCTGCGCCGCCTCGCCATGGAAAAACTCGCACTTGAACTTCAGCGGGGCCTCGCTTCTTCCGCCTTGGGACACCGTGATGACATCACCCGTACGGAGGTGACCCCAAAAGTACTCCTTGTCGCTCGATGGCTTGAGGGCGACTCCGTTGATCCAGATACCGTTGCGTGCGTTGGTGAAGATGCCGGTGTAAAGGCCGTCCATCTTCGTCCAGTCTTTGCCTTCTCTATCCATGTCTTCGATCCCTGAGGCATAGAAGTAGATGGTCAGGGCGGCCTTCGGAACACGGACATCTCTGCCATCACGGTAGACAATTGTGTTGCTGGGATTGCGACCCCAGGAGGTGACGCGGCGGTCAATCTTGAGAACAATCGGGGCGAATGAGTCTGGCGTGTGCTCGAGTCTGCCGAAAATAGGCGGCGGGAGTTTGAACTGGGAATTGTTCTCTGGAGGAGTGAAGAGAACCGGCGCTATATCTGCTTGCTCTGCGTCTGCCTCATCGAGTGAACCGGTCATCGTTGCAGGGAGAGAAGGCAAGGCACGTGACTGTGCCGCTTCCTCCGCCGCGTACTCATGATCGCTGCCGTTTGACGCATACTCGGAATTATGTGCATTCTGGTCGTACTGTTCGAAGAAGAATTCCGTGGGTATCGGCAGATGAATGCGTCGGCTGAAGCTGGGTTGCTTCGGCGTGACATCCTCAGGTCGGCCCACTCCTTGGGTTTCGACATCTTCATGCGCTATTGAGGAATTTGGAAGAGATTCGGGCGTCTTGGGCGTCGGTGGCTGGTCTAGCGACGCTGCAGGCGAGTTTCCTGAACCGGGTGATGCCATGTTGAGTTCGCGCACCATGGATTCGGCGCCAAGTAGACTTTGAGCGGCCTGCAACCCTTGAGCGTGGCCATGATCCTGATCATAGCCGTGATCCTCGCCCGGAATGGTGCTCACAACGCGTGCGCTAGACTCGGTTGAGGTAGAAGCGTCGTGAACCTCGAGCGCGCGGTTCGTCCGTTCTCCGAGAATGCCAGAGCTCGCTAGAGCCGACTGGCCAATCTCGCCAAAGAGGCGGGGCGGTCGCGCAGTGTGCTGTGGCACAGTGAAGCCCTCGTCGGTTTGGCGCATGACGGGTATGGACTGATAGGACCCCTCAGGACTTGAGTCGGTCGCTGCGTAGCCACGGTGTTGGTCTCGAGGATGGAGTGGATCCGTCTTGACACGCTTTGATACTCGAAGATCGAGGAACCGAAAGTCGTCGGAGGATAGGTCCGCTTCGTTCTCGAACGATTCACGATCAGACGCACGGTCATTGATGCTGAGCTGTGAGAACGCGTCCGGTGAAGGGTCTTTCACGCCTGCCTCCGATGTTTCAGGCAGCAAACCTATCAGTGCGTCATCAGCAGTGACTTCGCGACGCAAATCTGCGTCTTGCTGCAGAATCTCGTCCGACTCCTCAGGAATGGCATTGAGCTCGTAATTCACATCGAGCTCGGGCGCCTCTTCCGCCGTACGTAAGTCGTCGAACCAGGCATGTCGCAAACACTGTTGCTCCGTAGGCCGACTTGACGGATCGGTGTTCAGCATTCGTATCAGGAGATCGATGGCTTGTGGCGACACGCCATGCGCTCGGAGAGGATTGACGTCCGGAGTTGTGGTCATAATCTTGTCAAACATGCCGCGACCTTGGTGGTCGACCACGCCTTCGAACGGTGGTTTGCTGCAAAGTGCAAACCATAGGACCGCCGCAAATGACCATATATCCACCGACTGGCTATAGGAGTGGAATTGTGACGGAGGAGCACTGCCAGGTTTGCGACGTTTCGAACCCCTGGTGGCGGCATGCGTACCATAATGCGGGAACACTTCCGGGGCGCAATACAGCAATGTGCCGCAAAAGGTCTTGAGGAAGGTCTCGTCGTGCTGTACAACCTTTGACAGGCCGAAGTCGGAGAGCTTGACTTCAAACGGGTCCAGACTGGCAATCAGGATGTTGTCGGGCTTGATGTCTCTATGAGTGATCTTCTTACGGTGTAAATATGCGAGAGCGTTAAGAATCTGGTAAGCCATTCGCTTCGCCGCAGCCTCATGAAGCACGTCGTTCTCCTTGAGGTAGTCCTGCAAATCCCCGCACGGCACGTACTCCATGATGATGTAGATGTGATCTTTCGCATCGACGTAGTCAACATATTGCACGATGTTGGGATGCACTAGTGTCTTCATGATCCTCATCTCATTGTCCAATTTCTGATCAAGCTGCCCGTTTTTGATGAAACGTCTCTTCTCAAGCTCTTTCGCGGCCAAGATTTGCCCGTCCATAGCTGTAGCCAACTGGAAAACAGTCGCGAACGCGCCTTTTCCAAGTACGCCGGTCACATTGTAAATTCCATCTCCATTCCAATGCATGCCGTACCGTGTACTGGCATACACCGATGGCTTCGAGGAGGCAGCGGCTGCAGCACTACGAAGTCTTGTCGTTGGGCCGGCCAAAGCGGGCGACGCTTTTTGTCCTTGCTGTCCACGCTGCGCTGCGATCTCGAGCTGGGCAGCATCGAAGGCTGGTCTAAGTTGATGTTGGAGCGCTGGATATTGCGCCCGTTCGGCGATTGACAGACGCTCCATGTATGCCGCGAAGTTCCTGTAGTACTCTTCGCCATGGCCGTCGCGTGGCGGAATGGTGACGACAAATTTGATATGCTCGTCTGGGTCTGGGGAAAGGATTTGTATCATTACATTTGACTGCAGCATCCGAGTTGTGGGTCCTTTCGACGATTTTCCTTTCAGAACCACCTCTTCAACCATTGTGCCATTTGTTGAAGTGTCTTCCAGCATGATGATCCCCGATTTGTTCATGAAAATCCGGAAATGCATATTGCTCACCCTCTTGGCCGACCCAAGCCCAATCACGATATCGCATTGCGACGAATTTCGTCCAAAGCAGAACCCCAAGAAGGGCTTGAGAGTTTGGGAGGAGAACCGAAGTGCGAGGTCTTGCGCTTTTTGGGCCTTGCCAGCATCAACGATAAAGGTCTCTTTCTCATCTGGATCCTCGTCTGCATAATCAAAGCTCACCAGCCCGTTGTTCTGAAGTACGTGCTGAGGAGAGAGCCTTGCAGTTTCCCGGACTATGCGGATGGCAGCCAAGGAGCACGGATGAAGTATGCAGATGACATCGGAGATATCGGACTCGCTCAGGCCCGAGTTATTCCTCCCTAAACGGCGAGGATCGAGGATCTGCTGCGTTGACGGCTGCGTCAACTCGTTTTCCACCATGTCGTATGGGGTAGTGGTGGACATTTTGAAACGAAAGGCGGTGATGAGCTGTTCGTGAGATTGACAATTACATCCAATGTTTCAGGCATCAACGACAGTCACGCGTCCAGCGGCCTCCGAGAGTCCGATAGCGGAAGAGGTACCGGCAGACGCCAAGAAATGACTATGAATGGTCGGAGTGACAAGGTTGTCTACGGACAGAGCCGCAGTTCACTCTACAGCACAGAGCCAAGTCTTTCGAACTGCGTGTCGCCTGCAATGAAAAAGTCGGGCTGGGACAAGCTAGTTGAAGGCGACGATAGAGAGGATCCAGGCGAGGCGTACCATACGCGAAGACGGTGTAAAGCGTGGAGCACCGCACAAAGCTCAAACTTCTTTTAATCTTAGAAGAGTCTGCCCAGGACGTTTCTCGAACCCTCCTGACCAGTGGAACCCTTGTTCCTGTTCACTGCGCTCATGCCACAGATCATCCCAGTACTGTGTATTTGTCGGAGTTTCTTGAGACGTGTAGACCGGTGTAGCACCTCGGGAGACACTGGCGATCTGATCCAGTTTCCACCTCTTTCAACGTTAACCGGTTGTACCTTATCAGAAGCGGTGCTTGCCTAACGCCTTCGACCGTCGCACAGTCTTCGGTTGTCTTGGCTGCCTGCAAACCGCGTCGCTGCCCCCGTTGAGCTCTGTATACCGTTGTGGTGGTGTGAAAGTCGAGTGAAGATTCGGTCGGACGGTTGCCGAGGGAACACAGGCGGCGAAGGAGTTAACTGAGGCCTGTTGTAAGCTTCGGAAGAGCAGGCAGAGGCTTCGTGGCGATTATCAAGCGGCGGAGGTAGAGATTGAGGCAGATCAGCTGCCTGACCAGCAGGAAACGGCCTGGATGGGCACGGAGGAGGTCAATGCGAGGGCAGTGTCAGCGTCTTTGCGAGGGGCAACGGAACACGCAAATTGCTCAATGGTCGGTCTGGTCTCGAGGTCAGGCTTCGAGACTTTCTGGAGAGCGGAGTTAAGATGGTGACGGTAAACACAGCCAACGATTTGTGGCACACCGTTTCAATTGGAAAGCCTGGGGTTTGGTTCGGTCGGAAGCCAGCGTTATCGATAAGCCTTGGCTGGTGTTTCAAAAAACGCGCTCACGCGTCGATGACCACAGCCCATTAAACGCCCGAGTCGGCTGTCGTGAAGGCGAAGCTGCAGCCTCAGGTACGAGCACACAGCAGACACGTCGACGAACCTTCTGTGTATTTGCAACAACCGGGTGTTGATTACACCTCAGGCTCTATTTGGTATCTAGTGGAACCTACTGGCTCGCAGTTCGAACTGCTTCCACCCCTAACGTTGACGCACCTGCTGCGGTTGCTGCTACTCGTTTTGAACTTCGTAAGCATCTAGTCTCATCCCATCAATCATATGAAGCTATCTACGCCGTGCTCTATGGTTTCCAACGAGCACCAGTATGTACCATCCAGATCCAGCACCGTCCTAAAAACACCGCATGAGAATGCAAAGCGCCTAGACCAACTCCCCCCAACAAATGATAACATGTGGGTATCGTCGTGATTATATGTGCCAAAGATGTTCATATCGACGTCACTCGCCCCATCGCCTGCCGATTCGGCCGCAGATTGATGACCGACTCCAGCTCCTTAAGCATGTTCGTGTTGGCCTCTCTCTGCTCGCGGAAAGAAGCCTGCCGAGCTTGGTCCTCGTGCATCTTCGCCATGCGTTCTTCTCGCGTCATGGACAGTCTATTCCGTTGTCGTGGGATGGCAATCGCCTCGAAAATTTCCTCGTCAGATGCACTACCCGACGTGCTCGATGGGCCAGAGTGCTCCGGCACCTCTCCATTGAGCGCGCGCAGCGCATCGGACGGACTGCCCTCATCCACAACCGTCAGGCCGCCCAGACTCGGCACCGGCGAGCGCAGGCCACTTGAGGCCTGGGATACGCGTCGCTCGCGGCGGTCGATGTTGAGCGCCAGAGAAGCCTTTCCGCTTTCCCATGCCTGCATTAGGCTCTTTAGGTCTGCGCCGATGGATTCATACTGCGCCATCAGGCTCGCGCCGAGATCAGAGATATCTTCAGACTCCTCGAGGCTCCGGGCCGACTCTTCGCGCAGAATCTGCATTTTGGCCTGCAGGCCCTTGATGCCCTGCGACAGGGCGCTGAGCTTGCGGACTTGTGCGCGGAGACGTTGGCGGCCTGGCGTAACAGGCGCCTTCGGCGTTGGTGGCACGGTAAATTGTTCTTCCTCGTTCAGGACGCTGTTGATCTTCTCGCTCCACTCGGCACTTAGCGCAGAGATCTTGACTATAGACTCCACCGCGGAGGACCAGCGCGCGAAGTCAGGTGATCCGCCATCAGCCTCCAGCGATAGCAAAGAACAAAGAAAGACTCGTCTGAGCGTGCTGAAGCGGTATTGGAGTATGCGTAGGGTCTTGAGGGATTCGAGGTCGTCGAATTCGGAGTCTGAGTAGCCTAGGGACGCCTCGTGCAGGTCGGGGTTTGTGATGTCGTAGACTTCTAGATAACGCTCCAGATCGTCTTCTGCAATTAGACGGCGCACATTGCCGCACTCTTCGCTCAGCGAAGGGACTGTGGCAGCGAAGGCGCTTCGTATGTTCCGACGCAGGCGAGCACATCGGCGGCTTTGGCCCTTTTCATCCAGTCGAGTGATCGGCGGTAAAGGTGTACTCCTGCTGAGTGTTAGCTTAGATGTTCTTAACCGCTAAGCCTGAGAACGTACAATCGGTAGCCGCGCGATACAAGCTCGACTTCTTGAATCAGGGTCAGGGCAGTCGAAGTTGACGCGTCAAAGGCATGCAGATTCGCCATGAGCGTTGACGCGGTGTTAACGGCCTGCTGCCGGACATACTGCAGCCACTGCCGCCTCAGGTAGCTATATCCAATGGTGGCCACAACAACGAAGACGGCCAGCACCAGCGAAAGTCTCCCCTTGCTGAATCCTGACTGCCTGCCGGCACGCGCCCAGTTCAGCAACCATACCAAGGCAAAAGCAGCCACGGCCGTAGCAGCCGCACCACCGACATTCGTCGACGCATCTCTAAAGTCAGCGGCTGGTATGCCATGGCTACTATTGGTGTGCGGATTCGGTGCCTTAAGGGAGGTGTGTCCCGGGTGCTCGCTCAATAGCTGCGACGCAACGATGATATAGCGGAAGTGTTCCAAGAACCGGACGTTGTCTGCTCGACCGAGCCGTGAATTTATCGCCCGCTGCGCGTAGGAAACAGCGTCAGCGGCTTTGACGTGTAGAAACCCTCTGTATATGTGCTTACCGAACAGGCGGTGTGTATCCTCCCAAGCGTGCTCTGACCCGTCAGGTGTATCCGTATAGGCTGGGGAAGCTTATTCCGTATCCTCGTAGATAGTTTAGAAGGTCCTGAGGGGGCAAACGACTGCCGTTCAGGCGAGTCCGTTTCGGAGGCTTCGTGGGGTTCCGCCCACTCCGGTGCGCCGTGCCCTTCTCCTGTTGGCGGTATTAGCATTATGCAGACAGTAGCGCAACGTGTCGGGACTGCAAGCGGTGTCCAACAGGTACGCGCGGGTCGGAGACTGTGTACCCTCTAAGTACGCCGCGAGGGGCGAGTCCTCGTGTATTATGCTCTCCATGGTAGTCTTATATGCATGATCGTGTCGCGCGCTTCGGGTCAGCAGGTGTTGCGCCGGCCGGACGAAGTTGGTAATGCGATTCCCTGTGCCGGGATAGTTCAGGTGTGGAGAGTATGTGGTTGAAAGAAGACGGTATGGACTTCGACCTGATTGTACAGTGGTGGGAGGTTAGCTGTTGTAGGCGTTGACAGGAGACACGGTGGTGAGTTCGGAGCTCCGCTGTCCACGGGGTGGCTTGAATCAAGCTCGTGGGATTTCCAGGGTCCGCGAGCCACAGCACAGCCCGAAAACCGTTGCTGCGCTGGGGCGCTCCGAACCTTGCTAATTCGAATGTCCGAGTCTGTGCTGTTGAATGAAGGTGTCGTTGTCTGAAGCAGTTCTTGCGCAAGAAGCCCCTCAACAACATGGCACAGTCCTTCAAGGCATAATTGGGAGGACTGTTCACCCTAGTCAACAAAGTTGCACTAAGTACTTTCTACATGTTGTTCGTTAAGCGGCACTGTTTCATTGCCTCGGATTCATGGAAACAATCTCATCTCCAACCTTGAGCCTGGCTACCGCTTCCTTAACACATCTAAGCACTAGCACAATGCCCACGGCTCTCCGTATCGTTCTACACTGTTTCTGTTCTCAGGAAAACCTTGGCAACCTCGCTGTCTCTCTGCTGTCACTCAATTTCCTTAGTTCGAGTTCTTCACCAGGGCAATTATCAGGCAAGGTGCTAGCCTTCTAGTCCACAACAGAATATCATGGGGATATAGGAGAGTTCTCCACGTGCTACGTTCGTGTGTCTATCAATGAGGTGATACACAGAACCGTACACGTTCGAGCGGCTGTCTAGATCAGGTAATCTCCAAACCCCTAGAATGGCGATGCTCCTCTGCCACCAGAGGTTGGCAGTCACTTCATCTGCTCCTCCTTGCTATCCCTCTTCTTCTTCTCTGCCTCGTTCCATTCACCCGCCGTGGCGTCTACACCTGTTTTCACTGCATGTCTCCTATCGGGGGTAGCACGCCCTCCGTCAAGCACAATCCTACCATTGCGCCTCTCGAATGGCTTCACATCGTCACATCCCTTTGGCGTCCTACATATCTTCCTAGATTCCTCGGGCGCAGTTCGCCAGATAATCTCCTTGACTTCTTTCCCAACCTTTTCAATGGCATCCATGGCCCAAATGACATCCAGATGCTCGTACCCCTCAATGATCTTCGCGTGGACAAGATCCACATACGGTTCTCTGCCGCGCTCGAACCTCCGCAACAACCGTCTCCCGTCGACCAAATCATCCGCGCCGGCTACCCAAAATGCCATTGGCGGGCACTGCTCATCGTACCACGCGAACCTTCCTCTATCATCCTCTTCGTTCTCGTCACTCTTCTCGCTATCTCGCTCTCCTCTATGCGGCGGCTCCCTCTTTTCCGTTCTATGCATCCTAGCATTGCTGTAATACTGTTCAATGACCTGGTCCTCTTCTTCGTCCTCCTCATCCTCCATCCTCCCCTCCTCCCTCGTCGCCAAAATACACTTCTGCCTCGCAAAGCACTCCCTCCCCAACCACCACCGCATACTCTCGGCACTGACATACACCGGCGCAAACTGAAAGCAGCGATCCCTCAGATCGCGCTCCCACCGCTCATCCGTCCAGTTGAACAAGAAGCTAAACACCAGATACCCCATCCTGCCATAGAACTTCCCAGGCAGCAACGCATGCATCTTCAGCATGAATGGTATAAACGCATGCACCCCGAAGATGGCCCGAAACATCCCGGGCGAAATCACCCGCATAAACTTGAGATACATCTTCCCAATCAGCGGGCCCGCATACGCCGCAGGCGCCAGCGCGCAGAACACGCTTATCTTGCCTCCAATATCCGGCCGCTGCTCCTTGGCGAGCGCGACGAACGTCTGCGTGGTCCCCTGGCTGTGCGCCACGAGCGCGAGCTTCGGAAAGCCCGTCTCAGACAGCACGCGCGAGATCAGCGCCGGCAGGTCCATGACGCCCATCTGGCGGATGTTCCAGGCCCACATGCGCGGGTCCGAGGGGTCGAGTTGGGCGTGCTGGGCCGAGAAGCCGCACCGGTTGTTGCCGAGCCAGACGTCCAGCCCGGATTTGGCGAGGTAGAAGGCGAGAGAGGTGTCGTCGTTGGTGCAGTAGGCGCCGGCGGATTGGAGGAGGCCGGGGATGAGGAGGACGGGGTATTTGCGGCTACCGTGGGAGAAGTGGAAGCTGGAGGCGCTGCCGTTGGACGTGTGGTCGGAGGGGAAAATGGACGGCGAGTGTGGGCCATGGGCGGAGGGTGGGGACGGCGTGTAGGTGCGTGGGTTGTAGAGGTGCCACAGCGTGATGATGAAGCCGTCTTCGGTTTGCACGGAGAACATCTCGCAGTCGAGACCGACGCGGCGAGCGTAGTAGCCTACGTCGCAGACGAGCGGGTCCGGGCCGCCTTCGAGGGGGACGAATTCTTCCTCGGAATCTACGTCGTCGCTAGCTCCGGCTTCGAAGAGCGGAGACTTCTTCTTGCGCTGTTTCTGCTTTCTCACCCATGCTCTCTCTTCCTCTCTTCTGGCTCCCCTCCGCCGCTTCTCCTCGTGGTAGAAGGGTCGGTCTGAGTCAGGGTTTTTTAGCCGCACCCGCATCCAAAATCTATGCCAAACCTGCAGTGGCACCATCGTGAAGAGCGCGCCGAGGACTATGGTGAACAGAAAGCATATCGACCCTATCGCCGACGATATCCTCAACGCCAAAACCTGCAGATCCTTCAACGGCGTGGGCGGGCCGTACAGCGGCAGTTGAGGGAACAGTGGATTTGTCCTGTACGGAGGAACCGCAGACCTCAACGATCCGTTGGTCTCCTGATCCAGTGTTCCGCCATCGTTGTCGCCTAGGTTCGGCCGCGCGCCGTGTATAGTTCCATCTTTTGCCTCGCGGGTTCCGATCTTGACGGGGCTGTGTTGCGAAGGATTGCGCCCTTCGAGGATGTCTTTTAGCCTGTTGAGCTTGATAGCTTCTTTTATAGGCACGGCAGGTAGCCGGGCTCCATTGGCAATCTCGATGACTGGGTCTTGCGCCGTGATGAACTTCGCCTCAATTGCTTGGGTTGAGCCTGTCGTGTCGTTCTCCTGGGCAGGGATATACTGCGCGAGTCTCTCGGCTTGGTGGGCATATTGTATAGCGGCTTCGGACCTAGAGGGTCTGGAGGACTTGGTGGTGACTTCTGACGCCGTCAGGGAGAGCATTGTTACGGTACAGCGGTAACCAAGCGGCACGGCGGGGCGCGCTGCGATTCGCGTAGTTCATCAAATTTGGGGTCGCCCTGCGCGGGTCTAAGAAGCAACTGAAGGGTCCGCGAAGAGAATCGCAGTCGTCTAACGAACGGTCTTTCTCGTCTATGCAGGTTTGAAGCGTGTGAACAGACATGATGGAAAAGCAAAGCGCCATGAGTGGAGGCGCAAAATGCGCTGAGAACGCTGGAGGAGAATTGACTCGATTGATTGGCAGAATGCGGGGAGCGGGATGGGGTTGAGGCTGCCGCTAGGTGATGTCGGGCAGATTGTTCAGAGTTTGGGGTTTGCACGTGTCAAGCATGTGGCAGTGCGCCCCACGTTTGTGGACCCTGCGATGCCTGAGGCATCAATTGCTCCGCTCCGGGAGAATTGTAAGCGTTCTGGGCGGAGACTGCGCAGTCCACACACCCGGGGCAGCTTTTGATCATTCCGAGAGGATAACCCGAAGTCTCCGCTAGCCTCCACCGGCTGTTTCTCTGGCTCCGGGGTTCCCGACTTCGATGCCGCGGGCGGCATGCAGGGTTCCGTCCTTAGGCTCATCCCCATTTCCCCATGCCTCGGCACGCGATTGCTCGGCGCAGCCTGGCGGACGACGGCGCGCTTGTTAAGCTCTGGTCAATCCATGTCACGAACACGCATATCGACACTCCTCTGAGAATCACGTCGGAGAAGAATGGAGGCCCAAGATATCCACGTTAATCCGCGGAAACGGCGGCGCAGGAGAAGACAGGACAAGCCCGCGATATCTGCACACCTGCTGCTGGATGAACGTATGAGGGGAGAGGTCGGTGTCCTCTCCAATGATCTCTTCGCAGACCTCTTCCCTGCTTATAGGCAGTCATCCGGTATCTTCAAGCCCGGGCGCGTTGAGTGCGAACTCTGGCTGACTGTTAGTTGTATAGGCCATGGCAGCCCCGACGAGCCATCTCTAGATTCCGTCTTCCACATTGCGATAACCCCATGGATACCTACCACTTCCATTGATGTTGCCTCCTGGACGATCGTTCCCGTCAAGCCAGCAGGCAGACATGAGTCTGCCAACAGACCACATTCCTCGCTTCAGTTCCCTGCTGCATCACTCGCCTTGCAATCCTTCGCCAGTATACTCCATGCAGTAGCGCCTTCTAAAGTCGTACAAAGACGAGACGTGCCCTTAGAGATTAGGATATCGGATGTAGTGCCTCTCGGCCTGGATACTGTTTATGTCAACTTGGATACAAACGCCCTAAAAAAACTCGATGAAGTTCATACGGAATTCGGCGGAGGCTTCGGGGTTGGTAAAACAAACGGACACGTTCGGGGTCCCAAAGGGAAACAAACACAAATCAATGGCACAAAGCTGGAAAGCCACGACGCAGCCGCTACGCAGGAGCGCGGGTGGAAGAAAGCAGTTAGGGAGGCTCTTCAGTCGCCCAGTATAGTCCATACGGGCGACCTATTACCCCTTCCTATACCCTCGCATCCCATCACACACGTGCCGCCACCACCGGTTAAAGTCACGGCATGTGAACCGGTCTCACAAGGGCTGCTTCTACCGAGCACGAGAATTATAATAATCAAGTCACAAACACATGCAAAACCTACAAGGGTATTACCGCCAGTAGCTCCACCGGCTCTGGCCAACGGCATCGCGGAAGAAGATGAAGACACATCGAACGAGATGTTCTACTCTGCGGCGGAGGAAAACACCCTATCCCAAGCTCCATCTCCACCGTCTGAGGACGAGGCGGGCTCCGCGACTGATAATCTTGAATCGGAACTTTCAGGTACAGATGGTGGCGATCTGTCTGATGACTCTGAAGATATGATCTCGCTGAGCGCGCCCCTGCTCCCTCCGCAGTCAACCGGCGCCTTGTCATCATTCACGTCCGCAACACCCCAACTCGGAGGCCTGCACGCTAACGGTATAGCTACACCCGGATCCGTGTTCTCCAGCTTCACCGCCACGACTATACGTGGACCTGGGTCAAGAGGCAGATCGTTCGAAGCTCACGGCCTCCTCAAGCGTATTCCGGACGAGCTGATACATCCAAAGCCCGGCAGTGATGACGACGAAGAGGCTCGGATCTTCGTTGAGACCAGCGCTTTAGCTAAGATTAGGTGCTTCTCTGGGGACTGGGTCAAGATTGAAGCGTCTGCAGAACCACACCACCCGCTGGGGTCATGGGGTTTAGGCGCCTTTGGGGACGAACATGAAGAGCAGACTGAATGGAGAGCTGTCAAGATATTTGGTCTGCCGGAAAATCTTTCGAAAAAGCCGCCGCGGTACCCAGTGAACAGGAACAGTAACCGGCGCTTGAGCATCTCACAATTTGATCAGCCTACTCTGGCTGCTCGAGTCTACCTTTCTCCACTGCTGTTATCGAACCTTGGACAGCCATCGCATCTGCTCGTCAGCCCTCTGTCAGCGTTGTATCCACCTGTCGGGCCGCGAACCGGTGCTCAGAAAAACAAGATCACAAGCAACTCTTCTCCGCCATACGCAAAAGAGGTCTCATTACTGAAGCTTGCCACACCTTTGTCTTCAGAAATCACTCTTCAACCAAGCTTGTTTGCCGCATTGAAAGACCACTTTGAGCAGAAACGCCGAATAGTGAAGAGCGGTGATCTTGTCGGCATCACTGTCGATACGGCTCTGGGAAGAGCGGTATTCCAGGGGTCAGAGGATAACACGAATGACGAACTGTTGGCACAGACGAAGCGCGAAGACGCGGAGACCAGCCGTTCGGAAAGCAGTAGAGAATCACGAGGCGTTGTATGGTTCAAGGTCGACCACGCTGCGGTAAGCGGGTCGAAAGAGCAACGCGAAGTTGAAGACCAAGATGTCTGGGGGGGCGTAACCACCATCGATCCAGCGATATCCGTACTCAAGATGGGTGCTACAGCACAAGGCAAAGTACCACCTGCAATCAGCAGCTCTTGGCAATACTACCTAGGGGTTAAGTCCCTGCCGATGTCGAACAACGATTCTCCAACCAAAGCGCCCGGCATCGCGGAGCTGCCAAAGCCCTACGTATCATCCCTGAGACGTCGACTAAGAGAGCTTATCTCTGCTGCTACCAGTCCACGAGCAATACATCTAGGCCTGCCTCCGCTTGCAATTTTACTCACTTCGAGTCAACGGGGCATTGGAAAAGCCACCACAGCCACTCGCGCATGCGAGGACCTTGGCTTGCATACCTTCACGATAGACTCCTTCGACATCGTCACCGAAGGTGGTGCCGGAGGCGGAGACAACAAAACCGAAGCAACTCTCGAAATGAGGGCAGACAGAGCTTTCCACTGCGGAGCCGAGTACACAGCCCTCCTCATCAAGCACATCGATGCACTCAATGCCGACCGCATGGTAGCTGCGTTGAAAAAGGTTCTAGCCGACTCGCGAGTCCTCATCGCCACCACGATCGAAGTCGACAAAGTCTCCGAAGGCATCCGCGGCCTCTTCACCCACGAGCTCGAGCTCTCCGCCCCCGACGAAGCCGAGAGAGAAGGCATCCTGCGCGGCATCATCGAAGACACCGGCATCGGCCTCTCTCCCTCCGTGGACCTCAGCTCCGTTGCCGTGAAAACCGCCGCGCTCGTCGCCAGCGACCTAGTCGACGTGCTCGACCGCGCCCTCGTGGCCAAGCGCTCGCGTCTCGAAAACCTCGTCGAAACCTCTAATGCCGCCCTTCGCCCCGCTCTCCCCATCACCCTCAAAGACATCCAACTAGCCGGCGGCCCCGCCAGCACCAGCCTCACGAAACCGGACCTCGACGCCGCCGTCGACGCGGCCCGCAAGAACTTCGCCGACGCAATCGGCGCGCCCAAGATCCCCAACGTCTCCTGGTCCGACGTCGGCGGGCTTACTCACGTCAAGGATGCCGTGATGGAGACGATTCAGCTGCCGCTCTCGCGGCCGGAGCTGTTTGCCAAGGGCATGAAGAAGCGCTCAGGCATCCTCTTTTACGGTCCTCCGGGCACGGGCAAGACGCTGCTCGCCAAGGCCATCGCGACGGAGTTCTCACTGAACTTCTTTTCCGTTAAGGGGCCCGAGCTGCTGAATATGTATATTGGCGAGTCGGAAGCTAATGTGCGGCGCGTGTTTCAGCGGGCGCGGGATGCGAGACCTTGTGTCGTGTTCTTCGATGAGCTGGATTCGGTGGCGCCGAAGAGGGGGAATCAGGGCGATAGTGGCGGCGTTATGGACCGAATCGTGTCGCAGCTGCTCGCGGAACTGGACGGTATGAGCGATGGTGGGGAGGGCGTGTTCGTCATTGGTGCGACTAATCGACCGGATCTGCTGGATCAGGCGCTGTTGCGGCCGGGACGGTTTGATAAGATGCTGTATCTGGGCGTGAGCGATACGCATGAGAAGCAGCTTACGATCCTAGAGGCGCTGACAAGAAAGTATGTATATCCTTCCCAGAAGTCCCTCCCCCAACACTCCGCCGGTCAGACTCAAAACAGTCCGGAAGATCTGCTAACCCATCCCCGCAGATTCACACTGCACCCATCCCTGGAATTACGAAGGATAGCAGAACAACTCCCCTTCACCTACACCGGCGCCGACCTCTACGCCCTCTGCTCCGACGCAATGCTCAAAGCCATAACCCGCACCGCCCACCGCGTCGACGCCAAAGTCGCCGCCCTCAACGCCTCCCCCGACCGGCCGCCAAACGCGCCGCCGATCACCATCGCGCACTTCTTCGACCACTTTGCTACGCCCGAGGACACGAGCGTTGAGGTCACGGAGGAAGACTTTGTCGCGGCGAGGAGGGAGCTGGTGCCGAGCGTTAGTGCTGATGAGCTGGGGCATTATGAGCGGGTTCGGCGGACGTTTGAGGGGGTGGGGTCGGCGAAGGAGAAGGGGGGAAAGCTTGCTGCGGGTCAGTTGGCGGATAGGGCGGCTAGGGAACTGGGAAGTAGCAGGGGCGGTGCGAAGTCCGGCAACATCGGTCGAGGGAAGGGGAAGGGGAAGGGCAAGTCGGCGTCTCATCATGGCGACGATGTCAGCGGGAACCATCGGGTTCTTGATGGAGTAGGGAAAGAGGAAGATAGTGAGGATGAGTATGTGATCAGGACGGATCATCTGAAGGCGAATGGCTCCGCTACCGGCACGGATGTAAGTAAAGGGCCAGGAAAGGGCAAGGGCAAGAGCGCGGCGGCGGATATTGATGATCGAGGAGGAGGATTTGGAGACGCGGCCGAACGAGATGAGGAGGAATTGTATTCATAGCATCTACGTGCCTAGGAGTGAAGGGTACCGGTTCCCTGGAAAAGTACGTACGAAGGCTACAACTTGAGGACTCTGAATGATTCGTAAGCGGGCCGCCTCCGCTACCCTGAGTTCACGCGGTGGTCCTATTCCTTGTTCGGGGTATGCAAATATTCGGTTTGTTCCAGTTCATTGACCACAACCCTCTTTGCGTGGCTGTGAAATGATTCACACTCTCACTGCTGGAAGACATAGCAACCGCCTTCCAAGCCGACTGAAAGAGAGCGACAGCACAAACGCGGGACAAGAACGAACCCTTTCGAGATGAGAAATAGAGCCAGTGCATGATCGGTAATCGACTTTTCAGCGGTGGGACATCAAGATCTTGCGTCTGTGGTTAACAGTGGCGACTTTCCCCAGCCGAGATATCCAGGGCGTGCTACGGACAGTTGAAGGACGGTGGACACGTATTCCAACTCTTGGGTGGGAGGATATGCGGCATGCTGGCGGGTTCGCAGATGACCGAGGATTTCTGGCGCTTTGGGCGGCAACTATTCATGATGATAGCAAGGCGCTTATTTCCGACCCAATCACAGAATCAGGTGACTCCAAGTCTCGCCACTCATGACTGCCTTATTTTTCTGCGTTGGGAAACCATTTGCCTGGTTACTGGGATACCTTTGGGGGGAGGGGGGCCGGATACTTATGAAGCTGAAAAGTTTGCACGAACCAATCGATTTGAGGTACCCTGTACAGATCAACGATTTGACTGGCTCCTACAAACTTTTCAGCTTCATGAGTAGCATGCCTGAGGCACAGAGTTCAAAGCCAAGCGATCCTTATATATACACATGTCCTTAAAGAAGTTCGCGGTCTAGTAGGGGTATGCGGCAAATCGGAGATTTGATATACCTTGCTGGCGTGCTCGCTCGATGCAAACTTCTTAAGGACATGTGTACCTAGGTACCGTACCGTGACATGCCCTGGTTATATTTGCTGGCTTTGAACAGGCCTCGGCAGCGGATTGAAACACGGTGTCGAAATATCTCAGCTGAGCACGAGGAATGACTCACATCGTTCGCGGCGTGGGATGCCGAGCAAACCTGAATTGCGTGGCCTTTGGGCATGAATTCAAAATTAGGAAGCCTCGGTTCGAGGTGGCAACGGTCCGGAACAATCTCAGCTCCGGCATTCGGCGGCGATGCATGGCTGTGCGTTCTGATTTATCGTTTAGCTCCAGAGCAGAACCTTCCCATTGGTAGAAGACGGAATGCGTGACCCAGCATGTAACATGGACATTACGCAGTTGCTTAATGCCTAAGTTCTATTGTGATTTTAACCTTAAGGTAACCATATTCACTCTGCGGTGTCCGCACAAGTGGCTTGATCCTCAGCAATGATGACTGATGCGTCCCGTCAAGGCGTTTCTACGCCGTCTCCCCTCTTGTTTCTGCAGATTGACGGTGTCTTAAGCTGCTTAGCCGGACTGGAAGGCATAGATAAGAACATCGGACTCGACAACATGAAGCGTTCTTGCAGTCCAGACGGCATCCTAGCTTTCGAGCATTACCTTATAAAAAATGGATACCATTAAACGCAATCCCAACTCGGGTGATGATCCGCATGCCCCTTATATCGACCCTCACTTCAATCCTCCGTTAGGATCTTGGGGGCTCCACGATACTCTTGAGGAGGCCTACCCGACAACAGAAGAGGCCAGAGAGGTGCTCGCAAGAGCTACTACAGCTTCTACACGGTCTGGCTTAAACGATTTCGGGAATGTGGAGCCCAACGCTCTCCAATTCTCACTGTTGGCCAAATCCCGCGCCGCGTCAGTTGATCCCGAGATCTTAGTCGAGATGCGGGATGGAATGAACGTTTGGGAGCTGTCAGGCACACGTGCCCCTAAGCAGCACCATAGAAGACAGATGACTGGACAGGAGCGGTCCGAATACCGCGAGAAAAGAAAGGTTGGAGCGTGTCAAAAATGCAGAACCCGCAAGAAAAAGGTACGTGACATGAGGACACAAGAAATCTTTCATAAACACTAAGTGAGTTCAGTGTGTCCATGTCACCGGAGATGCAAAGCCCGGCGAAAACGTAGCGCCCGATTTGCGAACCTCCCTTCCCGAACCGTATCAGTCGCTTTTCAGCCATCAGGCTCTGCAGTCCAGCTCAAAACAAAACCCAGCGCCGGATGCAAGCTCGAGTGATTCTTGGTGCACATATGCTACCGGAGAAACCTGGACGTCAGGCTCTAGCTGGCCATCTGCTCAGCGAAACAACATTGAGGTTTCGGTGCCAGGCAGCTCCCATGGCGAATCCAAAGGGGCGAAGAACCAGTCCACGATGCCCTATAAGAATGAGCAACCAGTCGTGGAGGCTCCCCAAGGCGTTTCCGGTTGGGAAGAAACGGCAACCACCTGGAATACAGGACTTACCTCGAGGAGAATATCAGAAACAACGGCTGACTTCGAATGGGAGATGTATGGCCATTATAATTGCCAAGCAGCGTTCCAGTCAGAGGGTGTTGATCTTACTGACGTTGGTTATTTCGTGTACCATAATTGATGCTTGGGGTTTCTGCTCCGGTTTGAGGTATTGCTCATGTCTGTTCTGGCTGGCCGCGGCACATGGCGTCGTAGCGTACGAAAATGGCCATCTAACAGCAGGCGAAAGCCCAATTTTGCAGGAGGAATACTCGTTTGCCCTTTGGAGCACCCGATTGATGGCGATGCAGCTGGAAGTCGTGGAGCTTTGATGCCGTTGTTCGGCCCGGAGGATCGGCGCCGCAACATGACGTTGTGATCGTTCAAGGCGATGTCTTTATTCCGCGTCTCTCAATTCCTGCGTTCACAATTAATCATATAATCGACTATACATTTGATACACTGTCCTATCTACGGTCTTGCAAACACACTCGTACTTGAACATGCGCCCGATCACACCAGCGACCCTCAGCTGGCTTCGCGCAGCTACCGATGCAGCGTTTCCGAGCAGCGCGCTGGCTTCCCAACCGCACCGTCAGGCGTGTAGAAGCAAATCCTACTGCAGTTGGAACAAGCATCATAGCAACCACTTAGCATCTCGCGGACGGCACTTCTCCACAACTCACACTCAACGGGCAGAAGCCGCTTCGCCGCCGCAAACTCATTACCACTTCTTCCCTCGCTCTTTGCCGTCAGGGCCCCCACCACAAGGCGCATTCGCTGTCGACCTTAACCAGCTGAAGCGGGAATTTCTTCAGCTGCAGGCTCAAGCGCACCCGGACCGGCACTCCCAAGGAAACAAGCGCAAGGCGGAGGCCATGTCTGCGCGCATCAACGAGGCGTACAAGACGCTGGAGGACCCGCTCTTGAGAGCGCAATATCTACTGAGTCTACGCGGTATAGATGTGGCGGAAGATGAGAGCGCGAAGGTGGAGGATCCGGAGTTGCTGATGGAGGTGCTGGAGGCGAGGGAGGATATTGAGGCTGCGGAGTCGGATGACGAGATCAGAGCGATGAAGAAGGTTAATAGCCAGAGGATTGAGGAGAGCGTGCGCATGCTGGAAGATGCGTTCATGAGGGACGATATGGACTCGGCCAAATCGGAGGCGGTCAAGCTGAGGTATTGGATCAACATCAAGCAGAGCTTGGATGATTGGGAGCCGGGGAAGCCGGTTGTCCTAATTCATTGAAACCGCATTGCGCCTGACTGCAGACGGTGCTATAGACACCCGGAGGCAGAGAGTGTCGAGCGGTTGGCGGCGCTTTGGCTTCAGAAGACAACAATACCAATCCGCAGCATAGATATAAAACAGCTCAATCATGAGTACGTCTGTTGAAGCTAGTTCGAACTGTTATCCCATCTATCAACTGTCTCGCGGCGGCTCCTAAAATAAATTACCTGCAGTTGTCATGTGATATCATCACCAGTTCGCGTCAGTGCGCCTCGGAGGTTCATCCATGGATCGCGAAAGTTGCAAGGTGGCAGCTCGCTTTCTCTAAAACTCCACCACGATCAACCTCAGTACATGCTGCCAGGTCGTGTACAACACACAGCTATGAGGAATTTCTGGGCACTTCCAGCTCTTCTTAGGCTTGCGCTGGCAAGCCAGCACACTTTCAGCGTTCTCGAAGACCTCCTCGCGCACCCTCAGGTAAGCTACTGCAGCTCGCACAACTAGCCTGTCTTCGCGATTGATATTGAGTGTGTGATAGTACAAGGTCCTCTTCCCTGACTCTTTCGTGTCCGAGTCCTACGCCGAGTCGCAATTGGCCTACGCTTCATCTCAAGCCACCAAGCCGACTGCGCCGGAGTCCCAAGAGACAATCGATCTGTCCTACGAGAGCAACGGGCATACAGAGCAGAATAGGAATGATGATGGCTACAGTCCGACAGAATCATATGAGGTCATGCGACTGGGCGATCTGCGCTACCTCTGCAGCATACCTACAGTACAATCCGCGCCCCAGAACGACACCTCGAAACCTGCGACAGCAGAGGAGGAGCAGAAGGAGCTCGCACGCGCGTCAGACCGGGGCTGGGAGCTCCTCAAGAGCATGGAGGGCAACTGCGTATACTTCCACTCCGGGAAGTGGTGGTCATACTCGTTCTGCTACAACGCGGAGGTGAAGCAGTTCCATCAGCTGCCCCCGAGTCGAGGCGTACCGATGTACCCGCCGGTAGAAGACCCGAGCGTGCATAGCTTTGTACTGGGCAAGTACCCGGGCAAAAGTCAAGATGGCGACAGGAAGAGCTTGGGTGCTGTAGAGGACGAGGAGGGTGACGGTCCGGCCGAGACGGGTGTCGCACGGCTGGTGACGAAGGGGGAGACAAGATACATGGCGCAGAAGCTGGGCGGAGGCACTCGATGTGATCTAACGGGAGAGCGCCGGAAGATCGAAGTTCAGGTAGGTGTCCATTATCCCGAACACGATCACAAATTGCTGACAGCCACCCGCAGTTCCACTGTCACGCTGCTTCGAATGACCGGATAGCTATGATCAAGGAAGTGGCCACGTGCTCATACCTTATGGTCATCTATACACCACGCCTCTGCAATGATGTTGCTTTCCTCCCACCTCAAGAGAACACAGCGAATACTATCAGTTGTCAGCCGATAGTCGCCGAGCAGGACGTCAGCAAATGGGCCGCCGCTGAGCCTGCAAGCGGGGAGGGTGTTATGCCGCACGGCTTCGGCGAAGAACGGCCGGTTGTCGGCGGCATCGAAATTGGCGCAAAGAAAGATGTTGGCTCGGAAGGCAAAGTTATCGAGAAGTCGGTCATCGTTGGTGGCGGCAAAGAGAATCTCCTCGGTACTGTTGCTGCGAGCGATGCCGGCGCCAAGATACTCAGCAAGGAAGATCTGAAGAAGCTTGTGCCCGTGACACACAAGGACTTGGAGAGACTGAAGAGGGACGTGCAAAAGATGGCGGGAGACAAGAGCTGGCGACTTGAGCTGGTCGACACCCCAAGAGGTAGAGAGTTCAGGGGTATCATTGACGCTGATAGGGAAGATGAAGAGGTGAAGCGGGAAGAGGGCGATGAGGAGCCTGATGGCGATGAAGTCGAAGGCAGTGAGGAGACTTACAAGGAGGAGTTGTAGTCTTGTCCAGATAGAATTATCAATCAGAGTCTCCCATAAATTCAACATCCTGCACTCTCGCTCTGAGGCTTCTCATCTATTCCCACGGCCGAATTGCATTCAACAGCCTGTCTGCTGTAGCAGCCCCCTTACCCACGGAGCACGCATACCTCGTGCACTCCGCCATGAGCCTCCTTTTAAGTTCTGTATTCAATCGCCAAGCCATGGATGTGATGCAGGGATAGTGAGATCAGCAGCATGGATGCTGATAGCGATAAGGGAGCTCCAACACTTCTCCGTGGCCCATTGACTGTTTCTATCTACTGTCCAATTACCTCAACCCTACCGTTGTCTTAGCATGACTCCCAGCTATTCCAAGATGAGATTAACCCCAGAATTCCTTTATAGGATTCTCCCAGAGAGCAGAGCCGCAGGGTCGTTTATCTTCCTGCAACAGAATATCCACCAAAAACCGCCGCGATGCAATCCACACCACAAGACAAGATGAATTCGGAGCACTTCTCGCCCTACAGGCCTGACGGGAAGCTGGTACGGATTAGTGAGTGCTCATGGGAGACTCGATGGCTAACGTTGGCGGCAGTATGGCTTCGTGTGCGTGGTAACAGGCGCAACCCAGCCGATAGGGAAGGCCATTACCACTGAGCTTGCCGGTAAGTATCCCAAGACCAGCGACGATGTCCCAGATTACGATACTAGCTGACTTATGCCTCAAGCTCACGGTGCTGCCTGTATATACGGTATGTCGAGTTAACGGGAAAACTCCCCAACCGCCGCCTTGACGGCTTTACGTACACTCCTACGGGCGACACCGCGGGCCGTGCTGACTGATGCCGATCTGGCGAGCAGCTTGCTCGGAATCACCGAACGAGAGCTACCAGCAACTGGCGGATGAGGTCAACAAGGAGTATCCTCATACAAAGGTAGTCGGCTACCCCTACCATATCGGAACGGAAGAAGATACATTGGGGTTGATTGACGACGTCCTGAATTCATGGGGAAGGTCCGCACCACACTACATCTAGCTTCAAACGTCCCAGTCGCTGACAGCATTGTCAGATTGGATGTTTGGGTAACCTCATCTGGTCTTCTGGGCCCGCCGTCCATCCAAGACACGACGCCCGATGACCTGCGGAAGTGCTTCGAAGCGAACAGCATGGCGCCCTTCTTCGCGCTGAAATACGCGCCGCCTGCCATGGCCAAGACGACGCCAAAGGGCAACTATCCTAACGCTGCACCGAAGGATATTGCATATGGGAGCATTATTGTCGTAGCTTCTGTGGCTAGCACATATGGCGGTGAGCAATCCGAAGACGTTGTGGTTGGTCCGGAGGTAAGGTGGAAGCGCTAACACGGTGACCAGGATGCTGGGGCCCCGTTCTCACCATGAGTTCCCACGCTGCACTGGGTGTTGTCAGAGCTGGCGTAGCGGTGCTGAAAGGCAAGCGACGCAGGTATTCTACATCGTATGAACCAAGACTGACGGGCTCATGTAACAGGGACTAGCGTACGGATCAACTGCATCTCACCCGGCCAGATCGATGTTGGTGTTGATCTCAAAGGCGTACGTGGTCTTCCCCTCCAAGGTGACATCGCCTTATAAAAGAACTAACTGACCCTCAGTTCGACATGCGAGGCATGAGCGCTCAGCTACCGCCGTCGAGTCTGCAATCTGCAGAGGTGAGCACCTCTACGGTCTCGGTGTCGCGCATGCACGCTAATGAAGCCTCAGGCGCAGAAGCAGTACATCGGTCTCGAGCGGGCTGGCCTGCCCCAGGAAGTCGGCAGAGTAGCGGGGTTCCTAGCCAGCGGATTTAGCAGCTATATAACGGGTGCGAACATGGTGGTCGATGGCGGTGCTTCGTGAGTGGAGTGGAATGCTGTGCAGCGGAAGCTTGCCGCTAACCATTGCAGGGTGATAAATCCCTTGACCATTCCAATATAGTTGGGTTCAAGCATCGGTCGCTGGCCGCTCCCTCTCTCGATTGAGGTCCAGTCGAATCCGAAGGCGGTGTAATAGTGTACATGCTTTGGCGTAGTCGGTATGTAGCACGGTAGCAAACCTTGGATTGCGTGAGACGTGTTCACGGAAGCAGAGCGCCATTACGAAAGGCTAAAATATTGTAAATCGAGGTTGCGGGTTATTCTAAGTTCCTGTTGTTCTTACATAGACAATCAGCCTCGTAATTGAACCGTAGCACACGTGACTATATACCAAGATTGAAACCCACACGAGATTATGGGAAATCACAAAGCGCGTGGCAGAGCCGTTGCAATTAGATTAACAATCAGCTCTATCCAACTTTCAAGGGCCTCTGCTATCGTCGCGGAGTGTACACGTGTCTGTTAACCCTAATCCGAACGCCGCCATTTTTCAGCCTCAATCTCAGCCGCACGAGACGACCCACACGCTAAGATGAGACAGTCGGCTGGCCTTCTCACTTGTTGTTTCCTTCCAAAGGAACGAGAACGGGACACGCAATATGAACAGAGATCCAGGACCTTTACGTTTCGTGCGCAAGTCAGGTGATCAAATCAAAGTAACCACACGCAGTCAACCACAATGGCAGCATCAGCCTTACCAACTATACCGGACGCCGGCGCAGTACTCCGCTGAGCCTCGTGTATTGAGACCTCAAGGGTACTATGGTTCGGAAGACGAGTGGTACGGCCACCCTAGGGATGAAGGGTATGGCGGAGGAGCAAGAGAGGGAAATCGCCGATATGTGCCGCAACCGGCCGCCCGAAGGAGAGTTGTGAGGACTGCAGGAGGTCGCAGGGCTGCAAACGAGACAAGTCCCGAGAGGGTCGGTAGGAAGCGACCGAACACTTTTTATGAAGCTCACGAAACTGCGGATCCGCGCCCCAACCCGGTTCGAATCATCCCTGAGAGCTATCCTGCAGAGGAACTCCCGACGGAGACGTTAGAATCTGGGCGTCGTCCCAAAGAAGAAGAAGCTGTCAAGACTAAGGTTAGCTTTCAGGACGAGATCCGTCCCGGTTCCCCAAGGAGGTACGGGCCCGACTGGTTCAGGGAACCCGATGTGGCTTTTGGGAAACAGGAAAACACTTGGGAGGCAACACCGAGTGCTGATGGTGATCCTACTGACGATTCGTCCGATGGATTGTTTGCGGTACCACTTAGTTCTCAAGAGGTTCCGCAAACAGTCGATCGGCCAAGTCTCGGTCTAAGTAACACCGCACGGCACAGACGAGATGATATCGCAAAAGATCCGCTGTGGTGGTCCAAGTACCTTGAACGACCTCGGCGAGAGACGTTCGCAGAAACCGTCACCCCCGCATCTCCTCGTAAACACGGACGTTATGAAGACGCTCACGGCCCGGCTAGCTATCGTCGGACAGCTTACGGAACAGCATCGTCTGTCGATGACATGGTCTTGGATCTAGACATCTCCGACGTCAGCTACGATTTCATCTTGTCATCTAGCAGTAGAAGCCCCTGGAACAATAATACCACGTCCAGTCCGAGTCCCGACATGTCTGATGAGCGCGTCGACGTAGCAGATCCCGGCGTATCTCCAACCCAGCATGAGCCGGGATCCGAGACTACATTCAATGTGATGCATTCTAACTATCTCGAGGACGGAGCTAGCGGAGAACAGCCTGTCGCTGAGATGACAGTAGAACAGGAGTCAAGGCCTATCAAGGGGTTCCCCGGTCTGTTCCGATGGATGTAAGCGGCTATATCGTTCGATAGAGCCATCAGCTGACTAGTGACAGCCATTACAAGAGCTCAGTCATGAACTTCACGGCCTTTACGGTAATCTGGACTCGAGCTCCCTGTTTACGGCGGTGACTGAGCGGCATTGCAGGAGAGTGTCGCCAATACTAGTGGACTGAGCAGTGCTGGAAGAAAGTTCATCTCCAGCAAGCTCAAAGGCATACAGAAACAATCCGAGAAGCCCTTGCGAACTCAAAACGGCGCCCAGGGAAAGTATCTGGAACCTGTTTTTATGCAAGAACTTTCGTTCTCCACTCACTCCAGCAATGCTAAGACGGAGCCCAGCCTGACATTGCTCTGTCTGCCGTACTTCTGCCTCGAGCGGTACTCTACGAACACTCTGCCGGAAGGCTCAGTAGCTCATCCAGCGAGAACGTTACTACAAACACTATTTCCTTCTGCGCGGAGAGACCAGGATCTTCAACAGGCTGTGTGCAGGTTGCCAAAAACACCTAAGGACAATCTTATCCATGTTTCTCAGTTATGGTGTGTGCTTGTGAATGAGGGCAGGTAACCGTACTTTCCGCAGTGTCAGAGGGAAGCTCACGTCAGCAGATATCCTTATAACGTGCTCCATCCGGCCGATGACCCACCTGAGGGAAAACTCTATCAAGATTACGCCTCAGCCGACACCTGAACCCCCTGATCATAGCATCAATCCTTCAGGCTATCTCCAGCTCACTGACGGAGGAACGAGACTTTGGCTATTTCCACTGCGTCAGTGCAAATCATGGCTTGTACGTGTAATGCAGACAACAACTTAGATGGTGGTAGAGACTAACTTCACCCCAGAGATTTCACGCGAACTTGCTTGAACTCGATGAAAATCAGAGGGGCGATGCCATTGAACGTTTCGGTGTCGCTCACGGCGACAGATTTATAGGACATAGCGATTGGCCTGCTATCTTGCAAGAAGCTGAGAGGACGACGATTCGGCTTTCATGGCGCTCAAGGTGAGCGCCGGATGCGACTGTGCCGAATGTGTCATCGTTGACGATGTATCAGGCCTTACGAGCACAATAAACAGTCCTCATACGATAAAGCGAGCGCAACCCGCGGACCGTCCGCATCAGAGACGAGCGGAACGTCAAACCTTGTGGACGAAGACGGAACAGCCGGCCAAACGTCCAATTCGCACCCGTCAGCTGATGTGGACCAGGGGCCGTTCAATAATTTACACATCTTTGATCGATTTGCAACTGTACCCAACGAGATCCCCTCAGCACCGGACGTTAAGACCCAGAAATCTCAGTCCAACAGGAAATGGCGAGTAGACCAAAAACGGCGCCAAGATATCCTTCAAGAGATTCACCACTACTTGTCAAATGAAACACGGGCTGCGGACCGTGAAGCTTACAGGAGGTTCTCCGGAAGTAAGAGCCTCATCTCAGTTGAACGTGTCAAGGAATTGTTGCATTCGTACAAGAACAGTAGCAGCGACGATGGAGTATTGCGGCGGCAGAAAATTACGTTCGTGGAACGTGCGATGCAAGCGTTCGAGCTGTTCCTCCCTTTGGATGTCGATGCGCCTACCACCTCTGTGTACTGGACATGTGTGTACCGTATTTTTACAGAGTTTCCTGAAAAGGTGCGTTGGTATAGAGTTTCATGCATCGAACTTTTTCTTACGGACCAAGCCTATCTCTCTTGTTGAGCAGTCCCAGAACTCTTGCTTTCTTGTCCACCAAAGTCTCTGGGGCCATATCTATCAACGTCAGATACTTCTGTTTTGCTATGATACCCCTGGACCACTTTGTTCTTCTTTGGTTGGCAGAGACTGATCTTAACTCACGCCAGCCTGTAACGACGCCATCATACCTTGTAGACATTCCGTTTACGCCTGTCGACATTCCTGACAATATCTCCTTCGCATCCGAAGGCGTGTTCGCCTACTTCAAGGACGTGAAGAGTGTATTTTCAGAAGACGAAACCCTCTATTCCAGGCCGCTCGTCCTGCCAGATGAATTCGCGAGAGCCTGGATGCATTGGCTTCTCAGTATGGTCCGTTGGGAACCCACCAGCACCGCATACGTGAGTCATTGTGTAGAGTGCGTAAATCTTATCAGCGGTGGCGTGTCAAAGTTACAACGAAGTTTGCCGATCACCAGATTGGCAGAGAAGGAGGCAGCGATGCCACTAGGGATCATGTCTTTATTGATGAAACGAGTTCTGGAAGACTTCACGCATCCACATCCAGATGTAATAACGTCGTATTGGGACTACTTTAACCAGCTGGTGAGTCTCTTGAAATGCGCAGTCATCTCAACGGGTACTAACCCGCTTCATCACAGTCCCGTAACATTGAGGAAGATCCATACAACAGGGCACACCAAAGGAGTATTAGCTTCCTGAGGCAGGAGGTAGATGCTATCACACGCGTTTTGAACGAGCAGATACAGATCCTGGAGAACTTTAAGAGCGGGCTCGAAGTTCGCGTTGATTACAGCCCTAATTCGCTTAACCTAGACGGCGACAGAGTTGAGGATCGTGTGGTGTACGGCTGCTTGGCATCTGTCGGAGGCAAACTGAATAGCTTTCAAGACATGAGGAACCAGCTCGACAGTTTGCAGATATGGGTACGTTTCTCTGATGCTGGCAGAACGCCCCAGGTGATCAAGGCCACTAACGTGTTTATGCAGAACATCCAAATGATTGATTCGAACAAGGACAGACAAGAAACTGCTCTTTATGTCTTCACTATCGTGACAGTCGTCTTCCTTCCACTCTCCTTCGTCTCCGGCTTCCTCGGGATGAACACCAGCGACATTCGCGACATGTCCAGCAAACAATGGCTCTTCTGGGTCATCGGAATTCCGCTCACATCTATCATCATCATTGTCGGCCTTATGTGGGTCGGTGAATTAGGCAATGCTTGGAGAGGATTCCTGCGGCTCTTCTCTACACACCCATATCGGGGTGTCACCGCACCTACAAGCCACGCGGCAGCCGCAGAGCAGCAGGATTCATACCTGGCGCCGGCAGCACAAGCGTATTCCGTGGACACGCCGCCTAAAGGTCCTCTGATCCAACGTCACGCGCATCCGCTGCCGCGTCACGGTCTATATAAGGACTCAGCTCAAATTTCGGGACAACCGTGGACGGCACATCGTCAACAAAGATACGGGAGGCCGTTTGACCCTGAAAAATACTCTTGAGCGCCGCGGAAGACATATGGCTAACGGCGTGTCGGAGATATGCCAACTTGCAGGTGATGGATTCGTTAGACATTAGCTTGACATTGAGCGCTTCTGAAGGGAGTTCAGCTAGAGTATATTAAAATCGTCACCTTTGCGTCGGTCCAATAGGTTATTCGCGTGAGGCTTAACTTACGTCAGCCGTTCAACAAACTTCGGTCAGCCACCTGCATGGTAGTACAGGCACCACAGGGCTGTTGAAGTCAGCCACCTGCATATTTGTACCGCAGTCAGCGTTGTCCCATTGGATACTGTGAACATATAGAACCCACTTGCAACATGGATAAGGAGCTGTCCTTGAAGTGACATTGCGTTGTGGAGATCGGATAACTCTCTGCCGAGGCGATCTACAAAGGGCCCCAAAAAGGGCTGGCTGCGCTCCCTGCTTCCATTTCCTAAGCGAGCCATTCAGATCAATGTATCGAGATGATATATGCTACTATTGGCTTTATGCTGCAGGGAGCGCAACCGGCCCTTTCAGGGGGCACTCTTGTAAGCTCCAGCGGATTTCCCGTCTTAACTCCGTTAAAAATATTGTCTGGCCCTGAAACGTCATCGATTCTGAAGATTAGAAAACTCTGGAATTGGGGATCAAGATTCGGCGATTGTAGCTAGTGTTGTTTGACATAAGTATATCAGAAGCTTCTGCCTCCAATTGTATTGAGGAGTTGTACTTGATAAATCCCTTGATACCTGCAGAGTAGAACCCGGATACCTTCACTCACCAACCGAAATCCAATTTACCGAACAATTCCAAATCCTCAAATCACAATGGGCAGCCCAAATTACACCTTCCAAGGCTGGCTGGGCAAGGGCCCGGACTCAGTCGAGGGCAAGATGGTGTGGGAGCAGTACGAGCCAAAGACCTGGTCCGAGTCGGACGTCGACATAAAGATCACCCACTGCGGCATCTGTAAGTCAATTCCCCTTCCCTCGCCCAAAACCCTATTATCCAGGACTAACACGAAGCGCAGGCGGCAGCGACATCCACACCCTCCGCTCCGGCTGGGGCCCAACCCTCTACCCATGCTGCGTCGGCCACGAAATCGTGGGCCACGCCGTCCGCGTTGGCAAGGACGTCAAGAAGGATATCAAGGTGGGCGATCGCGTTGGAATCGGCGCACAGAACTCCTCTTGTCTTCGCCCTGACTGCGAGGAGTGCGCTGCGGGTATGGAGAATCATTGCCGGCGCATGGTTGGAACATACAACGGGAAGTATCCCGACGGCAGCAAGAGCTACGGTGGATACGCCGACTATGCACGCGCGCCGAGCCACTTCGTCTTCAAGATCCCCGATGCGATTCCCAGCGCTGAGGCGGCGCCGATGCTGTGCGGCGGCATAACGGTGTACTCGCCGCTGAAGAAGAACGGGTGCGGGCCGGGCAAGAAAGTCGGCATCGTAGGCATCGGCGGCCTCGGTCACTTCGGACTGCTCTTCGCCAAAGCGCTAGGCGCCGACAAGGTGGTTGCTATTTCCCGAACGAGCGCCAAGAAAGAGGACGCGAAGAAGATGGGTGCAGACGACTTCATCGCCACGGACGAGGACAAGAAGTGGGCTAAGACGCACGCCCGCTCGCTCGATCTCATCGTCTCGACCGTCTCGAGCCCCAAGATGCCGCTCATGGACTATCTAAGCCTGTTGAGGACAAACGGCCAGTTCATCCAGGTCGGCGCGCCGGAGGACCCGATCCCGGCGTTCAGCGCTTTTGCGCTCATTGGGAAGGGCGTCAAGATTGGAGGGTCTATGATTGGCGCGCCACACGAGATCGATGAGATGCTGCAGCTGGCTGCGGAGAAGGGTGTCAAGCCGTGGATTCAGGAGAGGCCGTTGAAGGACGCGAATCAGGCTGTTGTGGATATGGATGCCGGCAAGGCGAGGTATCGGATTTGCTTGGTTAATGAGGCTCATGCCAAGTTATAGGCGAGGGATTTTATCTGTTACGAGAATCGCTGAGCGTCGATAGATGCACAGACTCTCTAGATGGCCTCACGAAACAGAGCTTGCTTGTCGTACCCAACTTTTCTACTATTCAAAACCCACACGGAGTCTATGACTATGAAAGCGATTAGAACAGGAGACAAAATCACTAGTAACCACGACATGTAAGAGGTGAGGATATAAGAATGTAAATCGGAGAGCGCACTCCTGCCCTGTTACATCCCACTTTCCAATCCCTCAGCATCAAAGCACGTCTCCCACTTCAGGACCTCCGCTGGAAAATCCCTCTCCACACTCGGGCTCTCCCTTACGAACCATGCTAACGCCGCGCCCGCTACACCAAAAAAGCCTAATGCACTCCAAAGCGCACAATTCGTCGCCGCGACGCTGAGGTCGTCGCTCAGATAAAAACTCGCTCCAGTGACGGCCACGGCCAGCGCCTTGAACAGCGAGGCGACCTGCATGAGACCGGCGATCGTGCCGGCGGAGAAGGCGTCAGGCGCGGCGTTCAGCATAAGTAGAGCAACGAGGATTTGGGCGCCGTTCGCTAGGATGTGTTTTGCAAGAATTGATGCAGTGGAGATGAGGGCTGTCAAGGTGCTGGAGCAGGCCACGAAATAGGCCAACGCGGGCGTGAGGACGTATATGGCTGGGAAAAGGAGCGAGGAGGTGCGGAATGGTTTCAGGAGCCCGAGCTTTTCCACGGCTTGCGGGACTATGCGGAGGACTATGAGGCCGGCAATGGCGCGGGTGACGAGGACGGTGAATCCGAGCCAGGAGCAGGGAATGCCCATGCCCCCGTGCTGGGTGCTGCTGTGGCCGATGTGTGGCAGTAATACGTCGAATGTTGAGGCGTGGAGGGAGAAAAGGGAGAAGGATGCCAGAAGGGTAAGGAGTGATGGCGCCTGAACAAACTGGCCGATCGAGATGGGCTCCGGCTTGACGTAGTCCACGATGCGAATTGCAACTGGATTCGAACAGTCATTGTTGGTGACCTGGCCAAGGAAGGCTGCTTTCTCGCAGTCGATGTCCACGGTCTCGCTGGAGTCTGCCTGGGCAGGCAAGGTCTATGAAGGACGTCAGTACCCTTTTTGCAGACGCACATGCGATGTGGGAGTTGCTCACCTCCTGTAGCATGATGCTCGCCGACACCGCGACTAGAAAAACCAGGCTTCCGCAAGCGATCTGACTGCTGAGAGCGGGAAACTTCTGCCAGATTGCACCGTCCGCTTTGAAGCTGCCTGCGACCATGCCTTGCACGAGCGGTCCAATCGACCCACAAACCGCAACTAATGGAAGCCTGGCGATGTTCACTGCGCGCTCCACTGGGGTGGGACTGATGTCTCCGATCATTGTGAGGGCTGTGACTGTCACCGCAGAACTGACAAGGCCAGCAACAAAGCGGAAGATGGCGCAGCTTCCCAGGCTTTTTGCGAGGCCCATGGCCATGCAGCAGATGGCCATGCTGAACAAGCCAGCCAACGCAACTGGTCGGCGTCCAACACGGTCTGCTAGACAGCCCCAAAGTATGCCGGCGGTGCATCCGAAGGCGTATGCGCAGTCGAGGATGCTTCTAAGGTAGGAGCTGGACAGATCGCCGCAGAAGTCTTCGGCGGAAAGCAGCATCTTTAGCTGTGGTTGCAGGCTGGCTGCCATGATCCTGCAAGGATGTATGTCAGTGCTTGCTTGTTCGAGAAGCCTGAGGGGCGCCTACGCTTCTGCAAGGAATACTATATAGATTAACATCAATTGCTTATGACCTGCCTTTGGCGGGTCCAGAGTCATCTCGCAATCTGTCTCTTCTCCCTCTTCCTCCCACACAACTGGCAGCTTGTCATACTTCGCCAGGTCCTTCACCGGTATTAACGACCGTTGGCGTCTGTGGAACCCAAGCATATTGATGGGTATATACGATAGTATGTCAGGGTTATATTCTCAATAAGCAACGGTGAATGTTACGACCCGCGACCGGCGCGAGGTCAGGATATGTTCAGGGATAGTGACGGTCAATCGACCAAGTATAGATATTTCAATGAGTGATAAGAAGGTCCAGTGGACGTTCAAGAGAGTGTGGCGAGCTCGAGAGACTCGAAGATGCTTCAAACAAAGAAAGGAGGGCGGGGGAGGACCACCGTGTGGGGGATGATGGAGAGGGCTTTGTCTGCGCACCGCCGTGATGGAGCTCGGTCAAGCCATTAAAGTGAGCAATTGGTCCCTGCATTGCGCCAGATCCCAGACAAGCTACTGCGAGCTTACGCAGGTACCGTCCAATCAATCTCATGACGGCGACGGCGGGCCAAAAACATGAGACCCGCTAATCATCTGCTCTCACGGTTCTTCGCGCCTCCATCGCGCTGGGATAACGCGGCTCGCAACGTGCCGGTGGTGTTTTTGCCTCTGTTGTTTACAATCCGTGCTGCACATCATCGTAATGATGCTCGCATGAGTTGGGGCAAAGCAATGGCAAGCCTCACGTTTCAAGGCCTTCGGAACGTCTTTCTCTTGAGGGCTCTCGCAGGATTCGGAAATATCAGGCCTCTCGTCACAGCCTCGCACTAGTCTCCTAAGGCCATCTGTGTATCCCTGAGATGTCAGTTGCTGCGAAGTCCATAGGAGTTTCCTATCCCAAATTATGGCCTTCTCCGCAAGTGGCTTGGGATGGCGGACACTTGTCTGCAATCCGGCGAGTCTTATTCTGCAGATTTCTTACTGTCCGCTTCCCCGAAACAGACGCCAGTTGTTGAAACGGGGAGTCCGGGGCTGATTGCGGCACATTCGAATCTCCAGGCACTCACAGTGTGCCGGCACAAGCCCAATAAAGCAAGGCTGTGAGGGCAGATTATAGGGGAGATGTAGTCTACAAATCGAGGAGGTCCCATGAGATTGATGTTGAGAGTACCACTGTGGTTTGTACAACTTCTGGCCTCGTTACTTCTCACTCCCCCGTCTCGTTTTCGCCCCATATAACGGTTGTGACGATCGCAACTTGATCATGAGTGAGCAACCTCCTCCGTCTGATGAAGAGCTGCATATCCAGCTCTTGTGCTCGCAGAGACGACTCGATACGGCCGAAGGCAATGACATAAATCTGCAAAATCTAGACGCGTTGTTGACTATGTATTTCTCTTACGAAGCACCTACTATTCGCGAGGCTGATCATGGTCCAGCACATCCGATGAACTCTACCACGAACCGACGCATTTCCTCATGGAAATGATCCAGAATGCAGACGACAACACGTACGGTATTGGGGTTTCCCCTCTACTGGATTTCACGCTTACCAACGATGGTTATCTCTGGATCGGTTGCAACGAGAATGGCTTTACCGTGGAAGATGTGGAGTCCATATGCAGTATTAACGACAGCACGAAGTCAAAAAGCGACAAAAAAAGAGGCTATATTGGAGAGAAAGGCATTGGCTTCAAGTCTGTGTTCAAGATAGCCGATGTAGTGTGGATCTCGTCCGGAAGATACAGCTTCAAGTTCGATAAGCGGGAGAAACTGGGCAGGGTCGCGCCAGTCTGGGCCGAACTACCGTGTAAACCACCAACCCCGTACAGCACGACTTTCTGCCTCCGGATTGTATCTGAAAGCGAGCGTAGCAGGCTTGCGACTCAGCTGCTAAGCATGAAGCCCTCTCTGTTGATGTTTCTTCGTCAGCTCAAGCAAATTGGAATTAACATCAGCAGCTCCTACGGCTCTCAACGGCGCCTCCTTCAGAGATATGACAGAACAATGAGTGGGAAGGAGACTGTCCTGCTGCATTCGGGGAGCGAGTCCACAGAGTATGTCATTGTCAAGCATGGCTTGACAGGCATGCCTACGGACGAGAAAAGAAAAGGCATATTAGATTCCGAGATTGTCCTTGCCTTTCCCATCGACGGTAGAAATTGTTTCACGAAAATCGAGCAAGAAGTTTTCACTTTCCTTCCTGTCCGCAAGTATGGACTTCCGGTAAGTCGAACGGCATCCCGAACTAGCTTTTTTAGTCCTTTATTAACACCTATACGCAGTTCATCGTCCAAGCTGACTTCCTACTGGTCGCCAACCGTGGAGAGATCCACGAGTCTCCGTCGTGGAATTACAAAACCCGGGATGGAATCTCAGACGCATTTCTTGAGGCTGTCCACTTGTTCAAGAACGACGAGATTCTCCGTTACGAATGGCCCAAGATGATCCCCGACCCAGGGCAAGCGTCGGGTACATACTTATTCCCAGTACGCGACCGCATTATTGAACTCCTCAGGTCATCTAAAGTCCTTCGATCAAGAGCCTGGACTTTCGAGATTCCTTCCCATTTGACTTACGTGCCTGGAGTTTTCCGAGATAGAGGGGGCATTCCTCTTTTCGGGTCGGAGTGTGATAGAGCCACTACTCTGTGCGACGGCTATCGTATATCCGAACTAGCGCCCTTGGGTGTAGCGATCATGAACGCATCCATGTTCCTTCGCAAGCTGGAGGCTTTCATTGAGCGCGAACCTGACAATTTCCGGAACAAGCCAGCTGCGTGGCACTCCAGACTTGCAGACGCAATACGTCAACATTGGAACGTCTGCAGGGAGTCTGCGAGACTCTTGCCATTGATTCCTCTTCGCGACCGTGTATGGGTACACAGTCTGCAGGGGAATATATTTTTCCCCGGCACTGACGGTGGACTTCAAGTTCCGGAAGGAATCAGTGTCCACATACTGGATTTAGAAGCATCTCGGGACCCTTCGAGATGCCAACTATTCGCCGACCTTGGAGTTCAGACTCTCGACAGGTCCCGGGTATGCGAGCTGATTTTGGCCCAGCATGCGGGCTTAAAAAGGAGTCAAACTCGGAACTGGACCAAGGATACAATGGTGTCGCACGCTTCTTATTTGTTCCATGCCTCACACTTTTGCAAGCTACCATCCTTAAGGAACCTGCAAATTTGCGTCCGTGACTCGAAGTATGTGGAAAGCGGTTTCAAACTGTATTTCGACGTTCCAGGTTGTTCCAATCCCGTTAGCAGCTACTTCCGGAAAGCTCCTACTACGATTAAGCTCATCGATGCTTCATACCTCCAAGAGAACCAGGGCGCGCAATACAACCATTGGATCTATTGGCTTCAATCCGCCTTGGAGATCTCCGGAATTCCCCGCCTGGTCAATGCTGAGTATCAAATGACTACGGAGTTCAAGTATCTGATACGCAATGAGCCTAGCACTGTCTTCCTCACATTGCTAAGAGATCATTGGAACAACTACTCACGAAACTTCGTGATGTCGATTCACTGGGGCCGGAGCCGGATCCCTATCAAGTCCTCATCCGACGTGCAAAGCGAGCTCTCCCGTGCGCCTGTGCGATGCCTTGGGGGTTACGAACGATCACTCAATCAGACGGTCCTGCCTTTGCCCGGTTACTGGACCAAGAGGGAGCGAGAGAGGCTGTTGACTTTCTTGACATCGGGGACGTGGACGCAACCGACAACCGGTGGTTGAACTTTTATTATCTCGGGGTTGTTGTAGAAGAGAGCCTTGTCTTCTACATTCGCATCTTGCAAGGGCTCTCTCGAAGAAAAGTTCCTAACGTTGCCCTTCATCAGGTCCTCGGGCTCTATACGCAGATCCAGAATAGGTATCACGAGAACCCAAGTCTAGTTAGGTATCTTGGGCAGAATTCCATCCTCGTCACTTTGTTACGTATGCTGACATGACACAGCTCAGCATTTCGAGAACAACCGCTTGTTTTCTTGCCTATCTCAGCACCCTTTCGGTGGGTCCACTTGAGGGACTGTGTTTGGAAAGCCCCTCAATGCCTCCGAGGGATTATTTCTCTCCATAGCCACTATGATGACGGATCCACGATGACTGATTTCTTCCGCTTTGTCCTCAAGCTCAGGGACGCGGGACTCACTGATGTGATAGACGAGCTCTGTCAACTGAAACCGATAGAAGAAAACATACCACTGGCCAAGGAGTTGCTGCGCGCATTGAACAATTGCCTGAGGGAGCACGCTTGGCCTGCAGATACATATTTATGTCAGATCAAGGAAAGAAGGGTGTTCCCGGTGTGTGTGTTCGATGGTAGTTCGGGGCGTGTGCAGTAGCTGGATTGCAGCCATTCCGCCTGGTTCATCGCGGACCAACGTCGTCCAAGGCTGGGTGCACTTAGCCATTGCCGTATCCGTTCCTACTAAAATGCGGCAGAGATACGGCAACGTCTAAGTGCACTGAGCCTTGGTCGGCGGAGATGCTTCATCACCAAGCTCCCGCTGCTAGACTTCGGCGTAGATGACTTAAAGATGCTCGAACCTCTTATTGGAACCCTCAAGCTGGAGTGCAGAAAGCTGTCCGTACGAGTGAAAGAAAAAACGACTCCCACAGGTACTGTTCTTTTCATAACGTCGCTGCATTTCTTAGCAGAGCACGAAAAACCTTTAGTGTCAAGGCGAGTCTGAATGAGGCTATAGAACACCACCACGACAGTGCGCTTAAGGCTATATAAGACCGTAAAGCAAATAAGAGCGTGGTCTCATCCTTTCTATCTATTAGATAATAGCGCGCACCTTTTTACGGAGCCGTGCGCTCCTAGTGTATCCTTTAAGCTAGAACTTGAGTTTGGATGTGAGACTCAACTAATTGCCGAAGAACATCCAGTTAAAAGGCCGTAAAGGCTTTGAAAGCGTACAAATCGTAGAATATCATGCCCTTAGAGCCCGCTACTGCTTATAAGATAGTTATAATACGTAGAAGAGGTGGTACGATATTTCTATCTACTTTGCAGCCCTAATAAACCTTAAGCGCGTGGCGCGTAGCTGTCTGAACCTTTATTTAACCCCGTCTTAACACAGCGAAGGTTTTTTAAGGTTCTGCCAAGAAATGCAGCGACGTTATGAAAAGAACAGTATATAGATTGTGGTTACGTAACCACCTCACAGCGAGTCTCACAGGCAAAAGTCACTATCAACGTGGGTAAGTTACGATTTCTCTCCCCATATATTCGCCGCATCAGCTATTCTCACACTACTCCAGGCTCCTCCCACCTTGTTCAAGAGCCGAACTGGTAGTGCATGCTGGTTTGGAGCTGAGACGTCAGCCGTTGCAGCACGTGGAGGTGGAAAGGAACGCCATCATCAGCCCGTTGGAGAATGCGGAGACTACAAGTATAATCCTACACTTGTCCCGCGATCGTCGAAGGCAAAACTGCCAAGTTAGATCCTACCCTAGAGACCATGGGATGCGAAGGACGTAAGATCTTGACTCTCGTTCAGCCCCGCTGGCTTTGAACTTGCTTGGCATGACTGAGATTACATGTTGCCCAATAGTCTACCACAACTGACAGCCGTAGATCAAGCCCGATGAGAGGAGCTGAAAAACTCCCAGGCATCTTTCTGGTGTTCTCTTACGTATATGCTGACCGCTGATCAGACCCTAGAATTCCAATCATCCGTCAAATCCTCATTTTATCTGAGCTGCTGCGCCCCGGTAAGATTCTTATATTCAGCTAGGGGAGCATGACTGGTCTGTGCCTAGCAATTGGGTCATCTAAAAGCCGTTCTTGTCTGTTTGCATAAGTCCGTCAAGAATGGGTCCGGTGAGCAGGTGTCGCTGCCAATGAGGGCGAGGGTAGGTTAGATGTCTTGAGGCCCTCCACCACATGGCAGCTGTATCGCGAGACAGAGTTTGCTCGCGGTCGAGAATCTCAGCCCGCAATCTTCTCCAGAGAAAAGCCAAAAGCATCGTTCAGCCTTTGAAGCGGGGGGTAGTCCGTAATATCGGGCGCAATGGGCCCGATCTCCCTGGCTCCCAGTTTGATTCTTTGCAATGCTTCCTCAGAGGTTGGTGGAATATAAATAGAGGCTTCCTTCCTGTCTGATAAGACATTCTGCTCCACTTCGCAACCATCGTCCAGGTCTCTCTAGACTGCACTTTGTCACCTCTATCTGTCACTTCTAGCCGTCCGGCCAAGACCATCTTCGATCTGACACTATGGCTGACAACGATGCTCCCCATCTATGCATTGAGAAGACAACTGGCAACAAGACGCTGCCACTTAGTAACCTCCGACCATCGCGTTCTGGATCTGGCCCTCCGAGTCTCGCGGTGCTACACAGCACATTCTGGAACCCCGGGACAAGTATTCGCGTCAAGTTCATGAGCGGCGGAACGCCTCGTGTCCGACAACGCGTTCAATACTACGCTCAACAGTGGGAGCAGTATGCCAACATCGACTTTCGGTTCGTTGCAGACGACGATCCTGACGCCGACATTCGCATCTCATTCGAAAAAGATGGCTCTTGGTCTTACTTAGGCACAGAATGCTGGACGATACCGAAAGATGAAGCTACGATGAACTATGGCTGGTTCGATGACAACACTTCCGAGCAGGAATTTTCTCGCACCACGATTCATGAGTTTGGACACGCTCTTGGATGTGTTCACGAGCACCAGAGTCCGAAGGCGTTGATCGACTGGGATAGAGAGGCGGTTTACGCCGCATTCGTTTCACCGGACGGCTGGAGCAGGGAAGATGTCGACCGCAATATCTTCAATCGGTATACGGCTGCAGAGGTTGAAGAATCACTCTTCGATATCAACTCCATTATGATGTACTTCTTCCCCGGAAGGCTGGTCAAGAGCAGAGTCGGGTCGCCGGTCAACTACGTCCTCTCTGTCACTGATAAAGCCATGATCACCACCATCTACCCCTTTCAGACTCACAACTCTGGAGCCTGGAGCACGCTCTCCGACCGTCTGTGGTACCCGCCTGTTGCTCTTAACGCGAGACAGATTGACTTTGATCCCCCATATCCGTCACCTCCCCGCGTTGTTGTCGGCCTAACTAGCGTCGACATGTACTACGGCACCAATCTCCGCGTTAAGGCCTACGCAGACAACATCGCCGAGTCAAAATTCAGGGTCCACATCGATTCCTGGGCAAACACAGAGCTTTATTCCGGTGACGCCACATGGGTCGAGGCTGAAGATGCAGATGCAGATTACCAGACTGGTACCTTCGACACACAGGGCCTCCATCCCTGGAACCAGCCCCAGCAGAAGAACTCAGCGCGCATTAAGTTCAAGAATGGCTACCAGGACACGCCGAACGTCGTCGTCTGGCTTTCAGGCTTCGACATGGCGAAGGGCCACAACTGGCGCATCGCGGTCTCTGCCGACGGCATCGATAAAGACGGCTTCACCATTCACCTCGACAGCTGGGCGGACACTGTTCTCTACGCCGCGCAGGCTTCCTGGATTGCCTATGCGAAGGGGAAGGACGGCGTTGCCAGCGGTGCTGATGATACGCGGAATTACCGGCCGTGGTATCCTGCGCAGGAGAAGAATGGCAGGAAGGTTGACTTTAAGGCGGGCATGTATAACAGGGTGCCGAAGGTCTTCGCCGCTTTGAACTACTTTGACTTCGACTCGGCGAGGAACATGAGGATCAAGGTTTCTACTCCGCAGGTCACTGCTGATGGTTTCACGTGGCATGGTGATACCTGGGGCGATAGCTTGTGCTATGGTGTCGGCGTAAGCTGGATTGCGTTTGGTTGACTACGAGCAGGCGCACCTCAAGCTGGTCAGCGGATGGGTTTAGGCTCGTGACGACTCATGAGGGTGCTGCTCCTGTAGCTATTGAAACGAAAAGCGAGACCGCAACGGTTCCATTTTCCTGCAGGCCTGATGTTGTGGTACCGGCCGTCGAGAATCTAACAGTGGATATTGCGAAGGCAATACTGCGTCCGCGATTCTGGTTCTCAACACTCACCTATAGTGTGAGCAGTATCCCATCGTAGAGACATGTGATGACCTAGGCGGCCTTGTTCACACAGCACCGTGACACGTCTGGTGGTTAGCCTACATCAATTCCTTAGCATTCAGGGAACTGGAGCAACTGCGAGCTACAATGGAGGTAGTGAACCTAGAGTACTGCACCGGCAGTGACACTAGCTGTCGCACCAGAGCCACAAACGCTGCAGGTACTCTTGCCTAAACTTCTGCCTCCACATCCCGCCATGTTGTGACTCAATTCTGCTGGTAAATAATGCTGGCGAGACTGGTCGTTTATGGCACACAAGACTGTCGAGATCAACGACACCGGTCGTCGGGTACTGTAAACGATCCAGTCGATCCGGCGAACCACGCCGATGCAGAACCTCATCCCGTACCTCGCAGATTAGTGGAGGTAGTGGTGGGACCACTTCGCTAGACGTTGCTAAGGAAGGAACACTAGTGGATAACTTAAACTATATTTGTAAAGTCTTAGGAGCGGAGGTTTTTACTGAGAGCCATTGGACTAGCGGGAATCGTGCGAGGGCCGGATTCGCCCCTTTCAGAAGCTGCGAGGGGAATCATTCCGACTTTACCTACAAGGACGTTGATGGCAGGCTTGGGGCGTATCTCTCGAAATGGAGCCTCAAGCTCGCCGCCATTGTCGTAAGCGATCCGCTGACGTATCATATCGAGGTCAAGTCGACCACCGGAGCATGCGAGGAGCCGTTCTTCATGAGCTACAACCAGCTGCAAATGGTATGATCCAGTCTCTCCGCTCCCATTATGTCAGCCATAAGCCTGGAAGTCTACGATTTGATGACGAGGCGTTAATATGTCAACTCACAGGCTCGCGAGTGGACACTGTCTCCAACCGACGGCTCGGTCAGCCCGACTGACGTCTACATCATCATACGAGTGTTTCAGCTTCGCAACAACGGCATTAACCCCTTGACAAGAGTCTACGTTGATCCTTGGAGTTTGTATATCGCCAAGCGATTGGAAGTCAAGCCGCAGGGTTCTTTCATGGTTAAACCAATCGATTGAACAAAACGTTGTCTTTCGACATATTCCCGCTACAAGCTAAGAGCTAAGACGAGACGCCACGTTAGCATGGCTACAACACACAGCATCGACGCCCGCCCGGACTGTACATGGAGCAAGGACGTCTGCTCATAAAGAAACTCGCAGCACGAGAACCGGCATAAACAGCCGACATGCTGCCAGCTGCTATAACCAAGGTGTGAAAAATACAGTACAAACACAAGAACCGGCGGGTTGCTGGTGACACGCTCGACATCGTTGGCCTGAATGCGTTTACAAGAGCACTTCATTTGCACCCGGACTGTCTAGCTGGAGCTGAAGCTGAACGAGAAGCGTGCATCCAGATGCGTTCGGACTAAGCGCGTGTCGCCTGGATATGCTCGATGGCCTCAATCAAATGCGGCACGAACTTCTCTGGGTTTTCGGTAGCGGGAAAGTGTCCGAGCTCCGGCATGGCCTTGTGCTTTGCGCCGGGTATCTTGTCGGCCGTTGCCTGAGACATAGCGGGCGTGTTGCTCCAGTCATACTCCCCTGTGAGCATGAACACTGGACAACTTTTGGTGTCGATGTCAGCCATGCGAGACCGTCCATCCCAGCCTCCAAAGTAAAAGTCCAGATCTCCGTGGAAGATCGTTGGGTAGGTCAGCACACGTCAGAAGAAGCCATCTAGGGACAGCTTACGCCGTAGGCTTGGCCGCTGTAGAGGTGCCAGATGAGCTGCTTGTTGACAAGAGGAGCGGTAGGCGACATCATCTTCAGCGTCTTAGCAGCTGAGATTTGTCAGTTAAAAGGACGAGCTTACGCCGTAGACCCATTCGGGGTTGAACAAAGACTGGTTAACATAGGGCGAACGGTCATACCATTGCCTTTCCATGTTCAGATAATCACTCCTGTGAGATGTGTCAGTAATGGTCAAGCGCCAGGCGTGGAAATACGGATGTAAAGTGATACCCCTGCAAAGGAATCGTCCCGCAGGCGCCAACCTCCTGATGGCGGATCGCAACAGCCAAGCAAACCTGTCCTGCCATGGACGCTCCACAGATGATAGGCTTGTTGAGACCGAGAGCTTTAACAAACGCGGCTATGCACCCAACATAGCTATCTTCGGTATTCGTGTGTGCGCCAGGGTAGTAGCTCTGGGATGGAAAGCTTCTACCGTGTCCAGGCAAATCAAAACAGTACATGGTGCATCTCTCACGCATACGAGCATCGTTCATGACACCATGATACTGCCTGCCGTCTGAGCCAGCGGTATGCAGGAAGACGATAGGTTGGTCTCCGTCGCCACTCGTTTCGTAGAACACCTTGCATCTTCCCCAGATTGGGGCTGTGAGGTAGACGTATCGTCCGACAAGATGGTCTTCATCCGGCTGGACCTGCTCGTCTTCCGGATAAGGGCCGCAGTGGGCGTGGTGAGCAAGTTCGAGAACACGCCGCCAGACGTGAGTCCAGTGGGCGAACTCAGTCTGATCGCCCTGTACCTCAATGCCCTGCTGCTTGATGTTCATGCCGAACATCCCCCAGTAACTCTGATATGGCGCCACGGGAGTTTGCTTGAAGAACTCCTCCCATTGTTCTGGTAACGCGGAGAGCGTGAAGAGGGCGGATTGGGGGTTCCCGACGGCGGTCTTGGCCGACCCGTTCGTCACTTCTACTAGAAGCGCGTTCTCAGAGCCGCTGGACTTGATGCCGAACGTGGCGGGCTTGTCGATGGCGTTCGAGGTTGTGAAGGCCTTGAGTTGACCGTCATTGGCAAGCAGTTCATCGAGCTTAGATATGCTGCCCTCAAGGGCTGTGGGGAGGTCTGCCCACGATGAAGACATGTTTGCTCGATTCAGCGGGTTCGATGAAGCTTGTATGGAGGAGTTTGAATCAAGGGTGTCTTGGAAATTGCATCACTCAGAAAGTGAAGAGAACAACGGAGATAAAATAAGCAGAGTAGGCATGCGAAGAGGCTGCTCCGCCTTTATGTCCCTCGCAGAACGCATGATCGGATAAGGCCTGACGTGCGGGGTGAACAGCCTTATAAAGATCTAGGCTATCCTAGGTCTTGGATGATCGGTCTTGTAAGTTGGAGGAGAGGCTGCGAGCGGGCTGGTCAATGTAACCTCGGGTCTAATTACTGTTATAACCCCTCCAGCGGAAGCTACAGCTGCATGGTTAGATGTATAAGCAAGCATGTTAACGGCGAGACGGGTAGCCGGGAAGTGGGCAGAGGGGTTTAAACACGTTGGTCGGAGCAGTTCAATGTTGTTCGGGGTTGAGGGGCACAAGGGGTCGAATGCCGCGGAGGCGGAGTCCATGTTGAGGTGGTCACCACACAACAACGCGGCAGCAATAAGTACTTCCAGTACTGTAACTTGAGCTACTACGACGTTTCTAGGCTACATATGTCGCCATGTAAAACTTGCGTTCGTCCTCGGAGGTGCTGCATACAAAGACAGGCCTGTGACAAACGATCAGATCATCATTCCACTTTCCCAGGCATAGAGATCGCCAGAGCATCTGCGCTTCTGCTTTAGAAGCTCCATGGAGATAAAGAGACCGCACAAAGTTCTTGGGTAAACCCTCGTCAATCTACTGGCTCCATCAGTTATCGGCATACATAAGCCTTAATCCCAAACGGTTGGAAATGCACGAAAAGCAAGCTTCAAGATGACACTGATCACAGTGAAGCACGAAGCGCATGCGCCGACTACCGCACACTTCGCAATCCGTGTCGTGGCCGTTCTGGCGGCTCAACTGGCTCCAGTCATCATGCTCGCAGTCAGGGTCGAGAATAGCTTCGTGACGCTCTTGTGTACCGATACGGGAACGGACTATCAAATGCGGAGCGTCCGGATATAGCCGGTTCCCGTATTGCTCGCAGTCGCAAGATCTCCATCTGAGGCCGCAGACATAGCAGAACTCCGATCCGCAAAGACAGCTGGCGTAAATGATATGTTAGCTAGGCTTCGTGCCAACATAAGCAACGCCAATAATTGGCATGCATTGTACGTACGTCATGTGGTGGCAACCATCTGCCAGCTCCACCATTATGTGGCAGTTGTAGCAACGCTGCCAACGTTTGTCGCGTGCGATCCTCAGGAGTTCTTGCACGTTGGATTCCTCTAGACATATGCCGTCGTGTGCACCCTTCCTGCAGTTTGTGCATGTTCTAGTCGCGCATGCGGAGCACACGGCTGCGCCATCTTCGACATAGTTCGGGGGTATGAAGTGGGAACAACCCGGTTGCGAGCAGTAAATTGGATTTGGAGTTGATAATTCAAGTGACTTCTCTTCGAAGGCCTTGATGGAATCGTGTGTGAGAAAGGGCTTTGCGGCATCGAGTGGGATTGTCTCTCGACAACAACGTGGAGGGAAGAGTGTCGTGTCGCATATGGAGGTCTTGAATAGGTTGATTAGGCACTCGCTGCAGTAGGCATGAGGCTCCGGTTGGCAGCCCAGTAGCAGGCATTCCACCTTGGGCCTAACCTCAGTGCAGGCAGCGCATGCGTAGCAGACTGTAGCTTCGGTCTCTGTGATCACCTCTTCAATCCTGAATTTGATCGTCGCTTCGCACCCCAGCTTGATCCCTTCCCTTCCCGCTTCCACGACCACTTCTAAGATCTCATCTCTGATCCTCTTCCTGATCATTTCTTCAAACCTATGCGTATTGTCTTCGGCCTTTACTTTAAATGTAATTCGAACCTCTACTTTGGCCTTTTCTTCCACTTTCTCTTCTTCGACCTCCTCCTCAACCTCTCCTGCAGCCATGTCTTCATCCACCCTCTCAGCCATCTCTTCAACTTCCTTTGCAGCTAGATCTTCTATCGCCTCCTCAATCTCCTCTTGATTCTCCTCTTGATTCTCTACTTGGCTATCTCCTGCAGAGTCATCGGAGTAAGCACATCTTGCAACAAAAGGCGCTGTCTCAGGACCTTCATCGTCCTTCAGTTGGCACGCGTTCATTGCCGAGAGGACTGACGCGGTCTCGCTAAGAAAGTGGGCCGATGCTGCGCGATGCTCTGGATCTACCTGGACACCCGCCAGACGACATGCGAAATCATGGTCTTGAACAGCTTGTTGCTCATCTTCATAGGCATTCTCGAGGACTTCGCGATCGATGCAGCCAACTCGTCCAAGTACTGTCGCTATACGGCGATCTTCTGTTTCCTTAAGGGCGTTACCGATGTCCTCGCGCATCATCTTGAAGGCGGTTGATTCATCTTCGGTGAGCTCTTCGTACGCTTCTTCCAGCGCGTCGTCCACATCCTGGAGCTGAAGTTTGAGGATCGTCTCCGCTGTCGCGACATCCAGGGCTAGAGCAGCCATACTGCTTCGTTACTGTGTGCAACACGTGAGGTCAGAAAATGGCTGCAGAGATTGTCCGTCACTTACAGCACGAAGCTGGCTTCGGACGAGGTCGAAAGTCGTAAGGTGAGAGGATGGTTGAAGAAACTGTACTGAAGCCCTGACAAAACATGGGGCTAGCGCCGTGGTCCCGAGTGAAGCGTGAAGCCGGAAACGAAATGTTCACTTGCGATGCGGATGACATAAGGGTTGAGTTTTACTTTAATCAGCTGTTCAGTCGTTAGCCTTTACAGCTCAAGAATAAACGCGCGACTTTGCACTCGGTCCAGGGGTCCGCATTGATGAATGATGTGATGAACCTTTTGCTTCGTTTTGTCTTGTAAAGTAGATGTAGTATTTTCAATGGCTGGCTTCGCTCAAGAGGGAAGTCAGTGGAAAGCAGCGGAACACACGTGACTGCTGAAAACAATGATGAAGGATATGCCTTATGAAGAACGTGCATTCGCACGCGTACAAGCGCTCTTCAAACCCCACTGTACGGTAATGCCTGTGTTCACATGATTGGATCTACTCCAGTATGCGCACCTCTTGTTCCATCAACCCTACAACCGGTTCACGCTTTGCTGGTAGCCCTTAGCTCATCGCTGCTGCTCCCTCAACTCTTGAAGGTCCCCGTGCGATCAACCCGTGCCAACGCAAAACCATAGCAACACCTAATGACAGCGAGCCTTGCAGCTTCCTATGACTTCGGAATGTAGTTCTGCTGCTCGAACAAGTACCCTCGGACCTTCGACTCCTTCAATAGCTCGAAGTACCGCTCTACGAAATGCAAGCGCCAGTCAGCCGTCCGCTCCCAAGCTTCAACGAGCACTGTGTCTCATGCTTCAAATATCCCAACACAACGTTGCTGGACCGAGAGCGGAACTACCAACCTCTCAAATGCCCACACTTCTCCAGATGATTCACGCCTTCCCGGTAATAGCACTTCCCCATCTCCTCCCTCACAAGCCTCGCCATCATGCTCTTAACCCATTGCTCTCGGATAATCGCATCTTGGGCCGCCTTCAACTGCCGGTTGTCATCGTAGTCTACGCCGTCGAAGGTGGGGGGTACGGTAGGTTTCTTCGCGAGGAACGCGGCGGACTCGGGTGTAGGCATCTTGGTCGCCCGTCGGTACGTATGTCGAAAGGCTGACCGGGGAGCAGGAAGGTCAATTGGCTGTTCGTCACGCTCCGTTGCTGAGCTCTCGCTGTCCGACGTCGACGTCGAGCTCCAACGCCTTGGCGCCGAAGTTATTCCGACGCTTCCTGCCCTCAATTCTCACCACGCAACCTTGACATCCCCCTCCACCCTCCCTTTACTCTCCTCCCTCCGCCTAACCCTCTCCCTCACATCCCCCTGCTCCCCCCACCGCTTCCACGCCTCCTTCTCAGCCGCCGGATTCTGATACGCGACCTTCCACCTCCAGGCATCGAACCTGATCGTCCTGTTGTGGTCGACCTCGGCCAGCAGCACGCTCCTGCGGCGGTCGCAGAGCGCGCAGAGACGGTGGATGCGGAGGGACTGGAAGGGGTGCGCGTGCGGGGTGCAGGTTGCGCTGGAGGTGGAGTCGGGGGGGATGGCGCTGTCTTTGCAGAGGAGGAGGGGGGTGGGGCTGTAGAGAGAGTGGCCGCAGGTGGAGAAGATGTAGAGGCGGTGGTAGCACATTGTTGCTGTGTTCGGGGACGGCTTCTTTGCGGCGTAAGGCAAGTTGGGGTAGTCAAGGGAGCAGGTGTATGGGTATAGAGGCTGGGAAGGGGGAGGTAGGCAGTTTTGGTGCGTTTCTTTGTCGACTTGTCAATCTTGTTGGCTTTCTGTGGCCCTTTGTCACGCAACGTGCGTCAATATGCGTTGGCATCGTGTCAATGATGGTGAATGCCTTTGTGTCAGCGTGCTACGTGGACGTTGCATCAGGTGTGTGGCCAAGGGCTGCGATAGTAGCCGCATCAACGCGCTCGATACACGAGTGGGTTGCCAAATGCATCAAGCATGACATGTAAGTGCCCATGGGGTCGCTTTGAGTATTCGACGAGGAACAACAGCTATGGTGGACGAAGAAACGGTACCTTTCCGCTTGTTAAGCCAAATTCAGGATTGAATATCGAATCAGTCAATAGTTTTTACTTATTTACAGCTTCGCTTTTCGCCGATAGGATGCGCCTCTGCCACGCATAAGCCTGCGCCTCTCGATTGATCGGGCCCTGGTGAGCCCGACACTTCTTCTAAGATGCACCTTACCGGTCGCGACCAAAGGTCGGAGGTGGGCTCGGCTTGTTCTGCAGGATCTCCTCAATCTGCTGCATGACCTCCGGCGTCAACTTCTCAATCAGCTTGACCGCCTTGCAGTTATCAATGATCTGCTCGGTCTTGGTCGCGCCCAAGATGACAGTGCTGACGTTCGGGTTCTTCGCCGCCCAAGCCAGCGCCAGCTGGGTGCAGTTTCCGCCAAGCTCCTGAGCGACCTTGGTGAGCTTCTTCACCTTCTCGATTTTCGCCTGGCCCTCTGGTGTCTTTAGCTCCTTGATCGTGCTCTCGAAGAAAGCCTTGTTGGTCGCGAAGCGGGAGTCCTCTGGGATGCCGTCGTTGTACTTGCCTGTCAGGAGGCCAGAGGCGAGGGGACTCCAGATTGTGGTGCCGTATTGGAACTGTTGGAACAGAGGAGCGTACTCAACCTCGAAGCGCTCGCGGTGGAAGGCATTGTATTGCGGCTGCTCGGCGATGGGAGCGATGAGATTGTACCTCTCGGCGATCTGCGTCGCCTCCATGATCTGGGTTGCGGACCACTCGGAGGTTCCCCAGTAGTAGGCGAGGTTAAGATTGCGGATGCACTGGGTGAATCCTTCGACGATCTCCTTCATTGGCGTTCTGGGGCATGTCAGCGGAATGTCATGTTTCACAAGTGTCGGAGCTGGAGCCTACGCATAGTCGGGCCTGTGAGCAAGCACAATATCGACGTATGGCTGCTGCAGTCTTGCCAAGGAGCTCTTCAATCCCTCAACGACGTGCTTCTTTGATAGACCCCGGGTGTTTGGTTCCTTACGGCCCGTACCGAAGAAGATCTAGGAATGATTAGTACAACTAGTGTATAGTCTCATGATGGGTTCCCGAGATGCTGTACCTTTGTGGACAGCACATACTCGTCCCTCGGCCAGGCCAGCTCCTTCAGGGCTCGGCCCATCTCGACCTCACTCTCGCCGTTGGCGTACGTTTCAGCGGTGTCGAAGAAGTTTATGCCATGGTCCCAAGCAGTCTGCAGGCACTCCTTGACAATGTCACCCTTCTGCGTGCCGCCGTATGTGAGCCAACCACCAAGGGAAAAGACAGAGACCTTCAAGCCTGTGGGCCCGAGGTGTCTGAATATCTAGGGTAAGCTGTCAGTCAAAAATGTCATCGCCGCTCTGAGCGATGAAAGGTTACCATGTCCTTGGGATCAAAGGCTGATTCGACTGCTGGCATTTTGGCGGTTTATGGTGGATAATGATGGGTTGAATTTGGATATGAAGCTGGATGTAGGCTTCGAAGTGGGATTCGTGCAATTGAAGGGCAGTCAAATAATTTACGCCGCGGCACTTTGTACGTGGGGCTCCGGCATCGGTACGTCATGATATCTGGCGGGGTGTCGCTGACTAAAGCTACATCAGTACCTTGCAGGGTCTGCATCGGACGGGAGATGGTGTTGCAAGCTGATGCATGTACCTCAATTTGCGCTGTTGACCTCCTCTCGACAACCCACAGCCTTCTGCTATCACCCTTACTCCGGTTTCGAAAGTCGTCCATGCAGTGCCACTGATCTTTGATCCTGCGCGTTTCAGTGCTTTCCGACTGCACAGGGCATGACGGGACGGGCTTCGGAGAATCGTGGTTTGACGTATCGGAAACTCCCCTTGGCACAAGCCATAGGGGCTCAGACGCGGATGGGCGCCACGGTTTTCAGCTTTCAGCATCAGCCCTGCGCTGTCAGCTCAGCCGCCTATGGATTCATAAGTAGAGACGGGATTGCAGCGTTTCTGCGCCTTTGTTAACATTTGGTTCTTCTCCAAGCTCTTCAACCTATAGTTCAATTCCAGAATTTCTATTTTCTGATTGTTTACGACGACGTCAACGGTGTATTGATCGCTCAACGCTGCCCGTTCTTTCTGTCCGCCTTTCTTCCTAAAACGCATCCTGCGATCGAATACTGCTCTCTTGCAAGCAGTAAATACCGTAGATCATGACCCGTCACCACCAAACCCTCTCCACATCAACCTTCGACTTGGTCGACCGCTACACCACATCCTGGCTCCTCCCGCCGACCGTCCTCTGCGCCACCCGCGCACTAATCTCCCTCTACGCCTTCGCGACCATCCTCTTCCTGCTGCTGTGGGACACCGCGCACGGCAACGCGAAAGCCGCCCGGCAGTCCTTCAGCTTCTTCACCAACCTCACCTTCTGGGGCATCGCCTTCTACTTCGCCTTCGCCGCTGCACACACAGGGAGCTATGCGTTCCGGGGCCGGAGTTGGCTGAGCAGATGGCCGAGGGCGTTGCAGGAGATGCACGGGGTTTTCTATAGCACTGTGGTTGTGTTCCCGTTTTTGGTGACGAGTAAGTGGACATGAACAAACGTCTTCAATACGTGGTATTGCGGGTCAGGCTGACAGTTAAATTTGTAGTCGTGTTTTGGGCTCTCCTCTACTCCTCCTTCCCAACGCCCTACGTTACGTGGCGCAACGTTTCGACCCACGCGCTCAACTCCGTCTTCGCTCTCTTGGAAATCATAATCCCCCGCACCCAGCCGATGCCCTGGTGGCACCTCATCCCGCTTGTTATATTGCTGGCCATGTATCTCGGAGTCGCCTTCGTAACGTACGCAACGCAAGGCTTCTTCGTGTACGGCTTCCTGGACTGGCGCAGCAGTTCCGGCGGCACCGTGGCGGGGTACGTGGTTGGAATCTTGGCGGCTATGTGCGTCTTGTTCGTCGTCGTAAGATATCTCATCTGGATCCGCGTCTGGGCGACGGAGAAGAAGGGGGGGATGATGGGGAAGAGGAGTGCAAGGGAGTCGAGACGACAGCTTCATTCATACGCCGGCGCAACGAAGGATGCCGAGATGGCGAGTTTTATGAACCACGTGAGATGAGCTATTTGATACCGTTCCGGACGCGGTGCTTTGGCATCGGAGTTGCGGCGTCTTGGGTCTCACTTGGCAAGGGCGTTCTCAGTCTAGTATTGATACCCAACTGGTTTGCATGGGGTGTTTCTTCGTAACTGCAAATAATGTCGTTGCACTTTCCACATTTTCGCAACTCTGCACCTGCGATGATACGGTAAGGAAGTCTTCGACACGAGCCTCGGGAGCGTTCTCAACACTCATAATTCTTTCCTATCTAAAGATCAATACATCACGACAAGATGAGTCGACCAGGCGCGATATACCCACTACCCATCCAACCCTTCGCGTGAATGGAACGGCGAAGCGGGTCCGTACGCCAAAACTCCGCCGCAGGCTGGGGGAACAACGTAAGTTTCCAGGCAAGCTTCCCGCCACCAACAAACATGTTGAGATGCATCATCCATCGGGGACGCATCTCCTGGGCCCAGGCTGCAAGGTTGAATATGGATAGGACCGCGTGTACAATCAATAGGTCGAGAGAGGGCGACGTCGGAACCAACAGTAAGATGAAAAACGGCAGGCCAGCGGTGCGAAGTACATCGCTCTGTCTAACTTCGTCGCTGCAGCGTCCCAAGCTCTTCAAGCCCGAGAGTGGAGGTCTAGACACCGCGAGCGAGTAAGTGATGCCAAAGAAAAGCGACAGTAGCGAGTGACATGGAACACCTGTGTGCCGGTTCCAACGTCTACAGGTTCTTGTAGCGCGGATGAACTCGAGAGACCCGGGACGCGCAGATATTGGAGGTACACCTAGTGGATAGTCTTTGATAGCCTCCAGATCAGTAACGGGGGTTCGGTCGTGGATACAGTTCGTACTTTGGGCACAAGTGCGTTCGGATAGTATGAGCTGGGCTAAAGAGTCCACAGTGAAGGGCTACCTGACTGATACACCCTGGAGGATTTTTCTCCTAGGAATGTAAGTGTTTGGGCCCCATCTCTTGGCAAGCCGCGGGACAGGCTTCTTCGCAACCGGGAAGACTTCCGTGTCTGAATTTCGGAGTAACCCATGTTCTAAAGCCTCGTAGGGGATGCGCGAGTAGATGCGGGATTTCGATTTCATGGCTTTCGACGCTCAAAGGGACGAGACTATCATCAGCATTTCGGTATCACAACATTCCTGAACCGCTGTACTGGAAGATTGACGTTGCAGGACAACGATAAGATATCGTGGAGCCTACCGATGCATGTGCATGTATGCAGAGGCAGCGGAGTCTGTTGAGAACATCAGCGCATCTACTGATTGACAGCGCGATCCGTCGAACCAACCCTGCAGGAAGACACGCCGCTGTACATGTAGATCTGCCGTTGTGCTGTTCTATCAAGCTCGCTGGGTCTGATTGTCAACACTGCATAGCCGCGTTCTGGCTGGAGGCTTTTACATTAATGTGGTATCACCTGATCGACCTCAGCAGGCGACTGCGGAGGTGGAGGCGGCGCAAGCCAATGCTATCGCACATTTGGGGTTCTTCTCAAATGAGCCATCTTGATGGCTCCCTTCGGGCGTTCTTAGTGGATGACCTTGCGGAGGGTTGTACGCAGTCAAGTTTGGTCGCTCAAGATGTGTTGTGTGGTGGGAACCCGTGATGAACGTCAAAGCCGCAGAGACATCTTCCTGAGACGAACACAAACACCTGGGCAGCGTCCGCTATGTTTCTTCCGATCATAAAGCAACACTCCTTCGTGGTCTGAACAATTGCTCGGTGTCGGATAGCGACTCCGAGTTCCAATTCTGATCTTGGCGGGTTTCACATGCTAATTGCTGATGCATTAGATGAATGACGGGGTTTCGAGGATGGAATTCACACCGTCTCCACTTACGTGCTGCATGCAGACCGAGAATCATTCGATTGTGACTTCAGCTGTGACCATGCAATCGCGAATCTGAAACGACAGGATTCGCAACACTGCATCTGCAACAGTGCAGTGCGGCAAGCTAGAACCCACCGACTAGGTACCGAGCGTCGACTGTTGCCGTGCTTCGTTGATGGCTCACTTGTTGTTAGCGACGTTGACCATGAAGAGGCCTCTCAGATTCGACTTGGGAAACAAAGTGGGAGTGATGGGATAGAGAATTGAGCAAGATCGCGTTATGGACAAGCATGGCTGGTTTGCTGGAGTAAATTTAAATGCAAGGGCCGGGTTGTCGCTGCCAAGACGCTGGGCCTATCCGGCAGTTACCGACTGATAAATGATATCGATGTCAGCAACATGGAACCCCGCGCACAGCGGCTAAAAGTTGTCCCCAAGAGTTGAGAGAGGATCACTCCAACATGCAACGTTTCCCAGAGTACCGGGAGATGCTTTCGCTGATCAGGAAGTGTATCCATGATGATGGCACTCTACGATAGGACTCTTATTACCAGAACAACCACACAGTTTCCGACGAATGGCTCAACGGCCCCTTTGCGGTTTTCCTACACACCTCGCTGATTGACCCGGACCCAGAGTGGCTACGAGCGGGCGACTGCTTGGAGCTCAGTAAACGGATCGACCGGAGAAAATTTGATCCAGAAACAATGGCAAAGCGGCTCTTTTCAGCAATGGCTGGCGCAACAAGCACGGGGGATCGCCATTCGACCGCGCCGGCAAGAGGTAGATCCAAAGCCACACCGTTGCTGCAGCGTGAGCATGGCTTGCAGCGTGGAGCATCCCAGCATAAATTTCGTGCTGGCCTGATAGGAGACGGTTGAAGGGGACCGCAGAAGCCCCTACTGTTGAGTGCTGCACTGTGCAACATTACTCAAGGCTGACGACAGCGATATGCTGATATCGGCTGTTAGCGTTGATAGGTTGCTCAAACCACCACGCTGTTGCACGCTTCAAGCCCAATCGTAACGGCTAAAGTGCGCATTCAGCGTCTAATGCACCTGGTTGCATGAAGCCCATCACGTAGCCTCGTTATGTCTTGCTACGTGATTGCGGTTCGGTCCGATTAGGTGTGTATGATCGACATTGGAGGACATCCTCTGTGCTGCTTCTGAGCGATTGTTATCGAGGTGAACCTGGTCCCGTTTAGTGGGCAAGGGATTCCGATAAGCCTTGTATGGCGCTTCCAATGCGGGGCCTGCCTAAGAATCCGTTGCCTAAGAACCTTTGCTGCTTGATCGAAAGAACGTTCCCAGGGCATAGAGTTTATGACTGGGGATCTTTGTCCCTTGTAAGCACGACACGGCGAGTTGCAGGACGGTTTAGACAAGCAATGTTGCCATATCCCAGTTACGTTGCGGCGCGAAGAGCTCCAGGGCACCGCGGAGCTCGCACTCGGCCTGATGGAAGTCCTGGAAGACATCATTCCGTGTCCGCGAGCGGTCCTGTGGGTATGCGGATTCCTCCGAGCTGAGTTGGATGCTGAATCCGACATTACCCGCGTAGCGCCGGACGTCTCCAACAATCTTAGGACGCTGTTCCTAGGCGGTTGCCCCAGTGGACCGTCCCGCGGTGATGCCGATTGAGAAACAAACTCAATTGTTAGCGTCGAGACAGCCTTAGCGTGGAATCGGGAGACCTTCCGCCTAGGAGTTGGTTAGCAGGCGATTGTGTATGTGTTGCCCTGCGTATCTGCATGAGATAAGGACGTCGAGCAGACGGCTCAGTATCCGGCGACGACTTTGACAGCGGACTGTCAGGGACAGCATCGGTAAGATGGGAGGAGTCAGTTGAACGGCCAGCGCCCCGTATGCGAACCGGCTCATGTTCTCCTCTTTCCCTGAGGCCTCGATAATCCTCAGCCACAGGGGGACCGACGCTTACCGAGGCATTGGCGGAGGAGAGGAATACGATACCTGCGAAGGATAAGATGCGAGCCTGAGGCAGCGCAAGGGTCCCGGATCTGTCCTCGAAGTGGTCTCTGCTCCATGAACCCTGCAAGGAAACCCCATAGAATGGGCTCGAAAAGGTTCCTGGCCCCTGTCTCCCGCCAAGTGGCAGGCAGCGCCCTACGAATGGGAAGCGCAGGCTCTTCCGACCCTGCTTGGACTGCGTTCTTTGCTGCGCGGCTTGGGGTGGCACATTTGGTACCTGCTCATTGGCTGTGCTTGAACGGCTTCGTCTGGTGGAGGGCGCCACACTTCAGCAAAACAGCCAAGAAAGGTTTAGACGCAACCACTAAGTCCCTCTGCCCTGCGTGTCGAGCAATGGCGGTCAGACCGGGAGTGATAGAAAGCCGCTTGAGAAGTGTGGAGATGAGCTACGGCAACTGTTGCAGCAAGCCGATGACATGAAGATGTCGAGCGCGGCTCCCTGTTGCCCATGACGGGTGGAAATTCCAGCAGAAGCGAGCATTTCCCGTGACGCGGATGGAGGGATTCAGGATCAGGACTCAGGGCATGGCAGAAAACGGCAGCCGCTGATTGCTGATGACACAAGCGGATGGGAACGCGGTGCAGGTATTCGAGGCGAAGATCCATGCTGAAAACGTTAAAACGCTGTCTTTTGCGTGCGCACTAGACTCGCGTTCCTTCACCTCGAAACTTGGCAGCATCCGCGGAGCAATCGCTTCCAGACCCGCACTCGATTGTACAAGCCCATCTGGGCACGCTCGGCTCATACAGTAGCCTTCTCAACGTCGGCCACCCCCAGTTTTCTCCAACGCCCCAGTCCATGCTGAGTAAATCCTACCCACCTCAAAAACATCTCTACATCGATCGATCGCCTTTGCTGTCCACGCCTCGCAAGCACGCAGCTGAGCAAAGCAAACTGCCGGACGCCCCTCACTTGTGTCCATTTGGAACACTACCCACAACAGAACGCGAATCTCCGCATTTCTCTCCCCGCCATTCCACGCTCCATACCAAGCGTTTCAGCCCTGGTTAAGGATCGTATCGCGACTCAATCAGCACAATCACCCAGGGTTCTTGCTCTCTGCACCTTGGAAATTGTAATATAGTACCCTCAAGCCCGTGGAACCACATTCGCGAAGCGCACAGAATTCGCTCGATAGTCGACAATCATATTGGACCTCGCTCTACAAAAGAATTGCCAGACGCTACAACTCGCTGCTCGCCGCTCGCCAAATAAGCGGTGCCGCTAGACGGAGGGCCGCATGTGAGAGTTGGGCTTTCAGGGTGGTATTGATAGCGGAGGATTTAGGTTTATCACTCCGCTTCCGTCTACATAGCAATCATATTTGCTAGCGAGAGTGTGTTCAGGGCATTGCACAGCCATGGCAGAAGTCCTGCCTGCTCAAGGCGACGGCCAATCGTACTTTGGTGGCAGTCCACTGCGCGGACCATCGCCTTCCCAGTCTCCGTTTCTTGTGGGCTCTTCAGCACAGTACACCTCAAGTCGGAAACCGAGGTATTCCCAACATATCTCACACTCGCTCTCTGCCTCACTACCGTCGTCGCCCCAGCACTCGCAGGTCGATCTTCCTCATCCGTCTTTTCACTCGAAACCAGAGAGCAGTATCTCGCTGAATACTGATTGCGATGGAAACGATGCCATCTCGTTTCCCACTTATGACGGAGACAACACCTTTCATCACGATGAGGATCTGGAGCCTCCGCCGAGTCCGGTAACGGATAACTCGTACACTGTACCTTCGACGGCAACTTCACCCACAAGCGAGAGCACGCCCGGCAGCACCTCGATAGTGGACCATTTACCGGTCGCAGAAGACGACACAGCAATCAAAACGGAACCGTCGAGACATGTCGACTATCTTTCACACGACTGGCGGGAGGAGGACATATGGTCATCATGGAGGCATATCGTTTCTCAGCGGAAAATGTACGGAGAACGATCAAGGCTCGAGAATGCCTCTTGGCGGACGTGGGCCAAGTCCAAGTACAAGCTAAAAACCGTGTCGCCGGAGACACTCAACTGGTGAGCAAGCATCTCCACTTGCTACCCTGGCGTAGAACTTCTGCTGACACGGCTATAGGCTGAAGGATTGCGATGTTACATGGTTGTATGGCCCTCTGCAGGAGGCGCCGAGAAAACCATGGGGCCAGCATATTTACGAACCACAGAGCCGCATATCGAAGAACAACTCATTCATCAACAAAAAGCCAATCCTGAAAAAGAGAAGCATGTCAGAAGTCATGTTACAGAAATCGATATCCGCCTCTTCGCTTTTGAAGCAAGCGGCCGCCGCAGTTCAGGCTCAACAAAATTCGTCGATACATGGCCGGGTACGGGGGCGACCGATCCTGGGCCGAGTCAACTCAGACGTTGCAACATCGTCCATTCCATCAAGGACTATTAGCAGGGACCCCACCGACTACTTCTCCTCCTCACGTTCCTCTACATCCGGCCTCGATACGCCCGAACTCGAAAAGAAGCACATTCGATTCGACAACAAAGTCGAGCAGTGCATAGCTGTGGATTGTCAGCGCTGCGATTACGACGACGAGGAAGATGAAAACAACTACGTTTTCCGCAGCGGCGAAGACGAAGATTCCGATGGAGGCGTAGTGATGATGAAGAAGTCAAAGAAGAGGCGGCAGCCCAAACGAACGAGCTCAAGGGGCAGCGCCACGTCGGAGAGCAAGACGATTGCCAAGCTCCCGTCCACCACACTCAAATACCGCACAGACTCCCCAGATATGTCTGAGCAGCACTCGATACCATCACCAAACTTCTTCCGCTCGAGCAAGCTTTCGCCTTCCCCATCGCAAGAAACGCTACGGCCAGCAAACCCTTCGAAGAACTTCCTCATCGGTGATGACGACGATGACGACCTGGACGTGCCATGGGAACCTTCGGGAGCTTTCTCGAATCGTCGGGACAGCGTCGCAGTTACTCAGAATCGCATGTTGAGCCCCGGAGATGAAGACGAGCGAAGAGAAGGGTCTGGCGGGCTGCGACGAACACCATCCGGCATGTTCATGCCGTACGAGGACGACGAAGACGACATAGTGGCGGCAGGCTTGTTCGGCAAGGTCGTCGATACGGTGAACACTGCCAAGGATATCGCTCATGTGATCTGGAATGTGGGCTGGAGGAGATGAGTGCACATGTTCTTGAATTGGTGCTGGATGCAGGTTTTGCAATTTAACCAGGCATGCGGCTTAGGACTACCCATCTGCGCCTTAGGTGTTCTGCGATGGTAAGCACTCGGCTGGACGCATTTAGTGGAGTTGAGCGTGTTTTGAGGGTTTCTTGCGTGAGACATTGCACATGGGATTGATGCAGCACGAATTCCCTTCCTCAAGTGCTGGCTTACCAGGTAGAGCACCTTGCTGGTGGGCCGGCACAGCTAGTCGTATAGATCGGCGAATCTGTTCAGGAGAGGATAAAGATGTTAAAAAATCATCTCTCATCTACCGATCGTCCGTGTGAACTGCTGCCTTGTGCCCGCTAGGACAGTCCGTTTCTGGTGCTTTGATTACCGGATGTCTGCGGGCTGCCTTGCCACGCAAACGATCAAATCCGATCACAAACGTGCAACCTGGCATCAACGAACCTTGGAACGCCAGAAAGGCGGAGAACTCCTCCGCACGGGGGAACGCGACATCATCCCCACATCCCCACAAACAAACACTCGAGCCTTGTTGTGCCAGTTTCCACGTTAACGTCACGATCAGCGCCGCGACCGTTCCAAGCCTCGCAACCCTCACCGCTTTTTGCCTCGGTCTGAAGTCGAAATAAGCTCTAAAACGCTCTAAGACGCTCTCATCCCGTGACCGTATCATCTAGCCCAATTTGATGTCTTGGCAGAACCTCTTCGGAGATGTCTGTGCACGGGCCTTGACGCTTCGTGGACCCTGAAAATACTCGATGGATGTCGCGCGCGGTGCATCACACAGCGCGCGTGTCTATGGCAGGAATATTCGCATGAGCGCTTGACAGGCGTCCAATGCCGCACATAATAGACTACAACGGCTAGCAGTGTCGTCACCATCATGGACAACACCAACATCTCCGAGCTCGTCGAGCGCCTGAGCAGCGATGAGGACTCAGTGCGGAAGATGGCCGCCTTCAAGCTGCAGTCTGCCATTGGCGACCCATCCTTCGCCGATGCATTCATACACCAAGGCGGCCTGCCTAAGCTGCGCTTTCTGGCACTACATGCCAATGGCAACACCCTGGCCTACAGCTTGACCTCCTTCTCCCGCCTGCTGGAGCTGGACATTGGCTGGGATCATGTCACCCAAGACTTGATAGAGCGGGTGCAGTATACATGTCCTCCTACACTGCCAGGGACCACTGCTTACCAGCGCCTCACCTCTAGGTCGTGGAGCTTGTCGTCACCCACCCGCTGGTAAACATCCTTCGAGGGGCTATGTCCATCCTCGTAGCCGTCGTCTCACACCCGCACAATCGCACCTCCCAGCCTGGGGCCTTCGGTTTTCGTGCCCTCAAACCCGCCGTGGCGGTACATCCCCAGTTCCTCGAGATGCTGGTCAGCCGCCTGTCCTCCGCCGACCACGCCCTCTGCGCCAACGCGCTTCAGCTCATCAACGCGCTGATGCGCGACGCCATCACCAGCGACGCAGACACCGAGTGGCCGAAGTTCATAAAGCGGCTGCAGGATCTGGGGGTGATAAAGGCGGTCTATGTGTTGATGCAGAGCACGGCGCTTCAAGACCTCGCACACCCGATCCTCGAGTTCCAGTCTCTGACGAAGACACTCCTGCGGAAATGGAGGGATGTGCGGATCGACCTGGACAAGCCCGAACACCGGCGTGCACTCAAGGGGCTGCACCTCGCGAGCAATCCGCCCTCCAAGCCTCCTGTTAGCCGGGACGGCGTGGCGGGAAGCGCAAAACACCACCCTGAGAAATGGCGCCGTCTAGGCTTCGAGACCGAGTCGCCAGCCTGGGAGTTCGAAGAGACAGGGTTCTTAGGGATGATGGACCTCACGGACTTTGTACGCAAGAACGAGGACGGGTTCCAGAAATTGCTGCTCGAGCAGTCCACAAAGCCGGCGGAGCAGCGGTGCCCGATCGCCAAAGCGAGTCTGGCAGTAACGGGGATATTGCATGAGCATTTCGAAATCGACAAACCGGAGAGCGATGAGGGGAGGTATGCGATGCTGGAGTCGAAGACGGGGCTGGACCGCGCGTTCAAGCCGTTGCTGTTACAGTGGAGTCGGCTGCACACGAGTGGGTTGAACGCGTTTCTAAGGCTGTGGAAAGCCACGGGCGCCGAGGTGGAGGATTTCGAGAAGGTGGAGGAACTGGTCCGGATCCTCGTCGAACAGGTCGTCGGCCAAGCGCCTCGCACGCGAGATGTCCAGGATGTCGAAGATGAGCTCGCAGACTTCGAGTACCGCAAGTTACGAGATCTACAGATGGAGCTGCTAGAACTGACGTACGAGGACGCGTGGGGCCATCACTTGCAGTGCGCATCCCCTCCCTCCCAACCTCCCCCGAACCCCCTTCAGACCGTTTGAACTAATATCCCCCATTGCAGACAACTCCGCGACGAACTCCACCACGAAGCCCAACAATTCATCCGCGAACAACGCATCCGCTGCCTCCTCTCCGGCGCCTGGTTCCCGCACGCGCTCTCCTACCCGTCCTCCGAAACCGGCCCCATCAGCAAAGCAGCCCTCGCCCGCACCGTCCCCTCCATCTGGCGCTTCGTCCGCCTCTCGCACAACAGGCGGTACCTGCACTTCGCGGACTTCGACGCCAGGACCGAGGAGGACGAGAGCCCCGCCTTGGAGAGCCTGCCAAACAAGATTGATCTGAGCACTGTGGTCAGCGTCGCGAGCAACATCTCGACCGACGCTGCGGCTAGCGCGCCGTCGAGCAGCGGCTCAGACAGCACGATCCGGACCGGCACGGCGGCGGCGGGGAACAACGGCCCCGGGGCGGCTCACACCAAAATCACCATCACGGGCTACGAGCCCTCCTCCTCCTCCTCGTCCTCTTCCAAAACCCCCGACTCCCAAAGAAGAGAAATGACGCTCCTGGAGCTGCACCCCCCGACCCAGACCCTGGCGGCCGAGTGGCTCGACGGCCTCCTCATGCTGCTGAACCAGCAGCCCCTCACCGCCGACACGGCGAAGCTGATCCGCATGATCGAGGGTTACGGCCTCAAGATCCGGCTGCTCAATGTCAGGTTTGAGGATCTGAGGGCGGGCGAGGAGCCGGAGTTGCCCGGGAGAGAGGGCACCGAGGGGCCGTTTTGGTATGCGTTGGGGGAGGAGGATGAGGGGATTGGAGAGCGGGGAGGGGGGGTGTAGGTTGTTTATGGGAAGGTCTGGATGGTGTGTTCGGCATGCGTGGGGGATGCGTGTGGATGGGGGGTCACGGTGGGGAGGGCCGGGAGGGCTGGCGCATTGCGAGGGCACGCACGTGGTGTGGGTCGTTGAGACCATTACGCGGACTGTCGCGGCCTGTCATCGGGGCTGTTTGGAAGCACGATAGTATCTTGGCTGGAGCGTTGGGCATATCCACACATCGTGTTCCGATCGGTGGGACTTCTGCTGGAAAGATCGTCCGCTTGGAGGGGATCTTGAGGAGTGTGTGTGCAGATGCAATCTGGGATACGTTGGGTTACCTATCTGCAGTGACGGAAGTCCATTCTAGGCGTGTAAGCTGTGATCTCAGTTGTGGCCTGATTGTACTAAATCTAGAGCGGTAGGGCAGTTTGTCGTATCTCCCTTGAGACGCCAATTTTAAGCGCGAGACGTGAATATAATTTGGCTTGATGAGACTATGCTGGAGCAAAAGTCATGATGAACGAGTCCTCTTCACCACCATTTCATTTGGATGGCGTGGATAGGGTCCGTTATGGCCGGGTATACAAGCTGCCGGCGTAAGAGCCAATCGGTGTAGGAAAGGGGAAAGAGCGGATAGTGAAGAAGGCTATCTGCATCCAACTACCTCTTTCTCAAGTCCGATGGGCAGTCTGCAGATGCTGTACAGCATCTTCACATGCCTGACGCATATCTCACTGTTGGATCAAGCACCTGCTTAGTGGAGTAACGGGTTTACAGCATGTGGCAGACGACTTAACCAGTGGTCTTTCTAGGTAGAGGTGTGCACATGGGTAGGGAGGCACGCCGATAACAAGAATACGCGGACTCCATAAACACCAAACCCAGAAGCTGCTGCAAAATGAAACCGATAACTAGGTTAAATCAATCCTGTGTAACGTGCACATGTTCTTAGATACAAAATACTAAGATGTGGAGTCCGCGCATTCTTGTCCCCCGCGTGGGAGGCCACATAGACTGCAAGCTTCTCACCAAACATGCTTATTGCTGCTAGGTCTGAACAACTAGAATAGACACGCCCTTAGCATGGTCCGCTCGACGTTTCAGGTGGGAACAGGCTGTAGCATGAAGAAGCCGCTCTGCCTGGGCAACGCTTCGAAGGTGCGAAATAGGTGCACTGATGAGATGAGGTCTCAACGATGGCAAAGCGGTGACGGGTTCCCGCGCCTCACGTGTTTTCATTTCTTTAATGACTATGAATGGAACTAAGAGGACTCTGGTGATGAATAGACTGCAGTAGACATGCGGACGAGTTCAGAAGCTGCTTCAAGTAGGTTGTGAGGCACAGCAGCAGATCCACTCCACGTCCATCTTCCCACCGCAACACTTCCTTTTCGGAAGCAGAAGAGTACCCACCCACGTGTCAACGAGCTCTCACATGAAGGGCAAATGCCGCTACGAAAACCCGGAGTGACAGCTCCCTGACAGCATGCACGCACGTTATGCGTCATTAGAAGGCTCAAGGCATCTGTCATAGGCTGCGACCCGTCGTCTGGCTGCAGCTGATGCTGGTGCGCAAAGGCAACATTGTTGTCAGCCGTGGTTGACGTGTTCCAGCACGCGGTAGTGGCTGCAAGACGTGCAGAAGCTGAAAGGCTCTCAATGCCGCGAAGCGCTTCAGCTCCGGTCCTTGAACGGGGATCCCATGCACAGGCTGAAGGATTACTTTGCCGTGACTGGCCTCAGCTCTGACTTACACGTGGATCCCCTGATCAGGAGCGGGAGAGGGCGGATCGTCGGTACGGAGCCGCGCGCTCCCAAACAGGACCGATGCACTTTCGTTTTGTTTGGCGCGTGAGAGAGTGCTACAACGAGGCTATCGCGCTCGTGCCGGACCTGTCATCGTAAACAACGGCTCTACCGTACAAGACGAAGACACCCCACTAGCCGTGTGCTCAACAGCCAGAAGGATGACAGTTCGGGGCGCGTTAGGGGCGATCTAGTGCAATGCCGACCTGGTCCTCGTAAACAAGATGCCCCGCTAGGTGCGCCTTGCGAGCGGCACAGAAGATCTCATCCCGCAACCGCCGAAGGATTATTTGGCGTCCAGGCCTTCGAAACCTCGACTCGCTAGGTAGTTACGGACGTAAGCCTGCCATCCCGAGAATCCATCGAAGCGAATTTCCTAGCGTCCGTTTGTGTAGAGAGACAGAGTAGATGCGTGCGGTTTGTTATCACGTCATCATCATCATCACGAAACCGCTCTGAGACACAGTATGGATACCTAGCCAGGCCTTCCCGCTGACAGCGGTGGAGAACCACGGCCTGAAGACGGCCCCAGAAAATGGATCCAAGGGACGAGAAGTGTCGCAGTGTGTGGCCCCCCAGAGAACGATTGCTTAAGGTCCTTGATTACTTGCAGGGCTCCCGCATCCGAGGACACACAAGGCAAGGATGGCTGCGACGCACGGCTGGCTACGTGCATCCAGTTGACGCTCGCAAAGTTCTTGTTTGCTACGGGAATTGCCTCGTGGAAGCCGCTGAAGAGCTCGCGGAGAGGCCTTCTCTCGATCATCGAAGGGAGAAGCAAACAAGTGGTCTGTTAGATGGGTGGATGCTTTATCGGGCTTGCCGCCAGGGACGACCGCCAGCCAGGAACAAGGAAGGCACAGGCCAAGCTCGAACGCGCTAGTGACCCCTTCGGGCATAGCTAGCGATAGCGTGGGCGCCACATCCATTCCGTCGTTTCCCCTCAGGGGCCGATCCGCAGCTCGACCAAGGAGCTGTTCCTGGCGTCCCGAGCTAAGAACTCAAGCGACAGCAAGCCCTCCAGCTCTGACAGTGCTATCGCTCGAGAGGCACGCCATCTCGCTCTGTAGACGCCCTACAAGCGTCTGGCCCGCGGTACTGTCATGCTGTAAGTGACCGGTGGGGAGGACACCCTGTCTGTGCATGCCGTCAGCCGGCATCATCGCTGCTTCAGCGTGCCACACAATAACTATGGCGGTGCCCGCGAGCACAGCATTGAGCACCTGCAAGGCGTACATACAGCAGCAGCAGCAGCATGCCGGCCATTCGCACACATCCGTTCTCTTCTGACCTGCTGCCCGGCATCAACCCTTCAACCTTCATAATGCCCTCTCCCGCACCACGATGCCCTGCTCCGTTGTCAATTGATGCCTCACCCCGACCGTCACGCCGGGGCTCGACACGGCCAGCTGCACGGCGTGCCTACAGTGCTAACATGGCCTCCGCCTTGCTCACGGAAGCTGAGTATGAGGCCCTGCCAACATCTGTCCAGTGAGTAATTGCTGCTGTTCCCTTTACGACACCGCTCCATGCACCAACGCTGGTATGAACTGAAGAGCAAGGAAAACCATTGGAGAAGTCATGCTGGTGTCGTTACATCTGTCATGTTTCAGACACTTGGTGTTCATCGAACAAGCGGTCAAGCTTGTCCACCACCCGTTGTGTTCCTGCATCTCTCCAGTCGTTCCTGCGGTGCGCGGCAGCTTCTCAAACGGCAACTGACAATGACTCGCAGGCGAAAGTACTTTTCGTCCCTGGAACGGCTACGCATTGCCGAGCACTCTGGCCTGCCATATATCAGAGCCGCTGACTCGCAAATACCGTCGATCACCGGCCATCGCCGTACTCGCACAGCAACCTCAGCTTTGGCTGCTCAGAAACCAGGAAGCAGGTCACCGAACCGACTTAGGAAGTCCCACGCCCTACGAGAGGACTGCAAGATATCCCAGGCCGAAGCCCAATGGTTTGTCTCCTTGCCAGACAAAGTACAGAGGCGATATTTCTCGAGGGAGGAGCAGGTGCTGCTAGCCGCTCGCTGTGAGACCGTACTACTTGATGCCGCAGATGAGGCACTGCAGCAGGTTAGTACCACACAATCTTTTTCTAATGGCACGTTCTTCATGTATTGTGGACGCTTCATCGCAATTGAATGACGATTGAGACTCCCTGAGTCTGAGGTCACTTTGTATACCGTCGGTGATCTGTTGGAAAGCCTCTCGCCACACTACTTCACTGCGTACAAGAGCAACGCCGTAGCCCAGCGAGCTTTGTGTCGTCACCTGTTTATACCGACGCTGACACTCAGACAGATTACATCGCGCGGACGAGATCAGGCAGAGGAGAGCATTGTACCGCTACCCATCGAAAAGCCGAAATCTTCCGAGAACTTCGTACTCGGCTGCGGCCGGGACAACACCCACCAAGGTGCAGAGGCTGACATAGAACACTCTGCGGATATGTTCCCCTTCGAGGCTTGCTCAAGCCTGCAACAACGACGAGGCTCGTTCCGACGACACACCCTGTCGTTGAAACAGAATCCTTTCGCTCGCTACTCGACATCCTCGGTCTCTCCATTGCCTTCTCCAACATGGTCCCTGTCGAATCACCAGCGGAGATCGCGAGCTACTTCCAGTGGCCAGAGTGAGACCTCCCGACCGATATTTGACCCCGAAGCCAAGCACTACATGGATCCAGAGGCCAGGGCCAAGCTCCGACTCTACCTGGCATCGCCCCAAAAGTTCGACGAGGTGCTAGAATTTGGCTTTCCGTCCACATCCGCAGAACTACCCTCAACACCTCCCGAGAGTCACCCACGGCACAAACTCGCGCCGCGCCAAGTGAATCACGACGTCCTCACCTTCCTCCAAGGTGATCCTGTCTCCTTCCTCGACGACGCCCCAGAGTACACCAAGTACGACTCCTCGGATTCTGACGAAGACACGAGCACGATTGGCGACGGCGATAGCCCAGTCACGCCCCGCGACGGCCAGGGCGTCAGCCGTTATATGCGGCGCCTGCCGTCCTCGAACGGCTCCTCGCTCGACAACACCAGCTTCCCGCTTCCGTGCGGCCGCCAGACGAGGTATGCTGAGGCGATGGCCGGCAACAGGGAGATGACGCTGCGGGTGACCCTGACGCGACCGGATCTGCGTGCTGCGGACGACGAGCTGTACGGCTGGCAGAAGTCTGGTGTTCAGGCCAAAGCTGTGGCAGATGAACTGCATGACGACAGAGATCCGTTAGCGTTGGAGGCGCTGCCGCCCATGACGGACGACATCACTGGCTCGCACTGTCCGTTCACGACGCCGCCGCCGAGCACGAGGCAGGTGGGGTTAGTGAGGAGGCTGTTGAAGAAGATGAGGAGCGTGAAGGGCTAGAGACCGAGCGGCTGACCGGAACAACGCCGAAACTGCACGGAAACTACTCGTCAGTACGGCTGAGATGCGCGAGTCCTCAGCTCCCACCCAAATTACCTGCATGTTTTTGCTCTCTTTGCTTTGTATTTCTAGCGCGGCGTTCCGTGCTACAGGGCTCTCCATACTATATCAGCTGTTGGGATACAGCACAAACCGGAAAAAAGGGTGGTGTTGGAACGGTTGCTATCCCTCTTCGTCATTGCTAGTCTTTTTAATTGCGATAGCGTTTTTGTAATCTTTAGCTTACGATGTCATGACAGCAAACATTGCTTTTAATACGGATAGCTGAGCCGAACAACAAGAATGCTTCGACGTTTTGCGACTTGCTCCGGAGCTGGCTGACAGCTATGCTTCCTCGTTCTGCACATCTGGCAAAATAAATCTCTTGTCTTCATGCATGACGCACCACTGACCTAAGGCTTATCTATCAGGACTCAGACCGATCTCCGTGAGATCTCCTAGAGTGGCTATAGCTTGTTGGTTCTAGCATAAGACCTAGAGTACAAAGAATGTAGAAGGTCTGCTTAAAGGCAAAAGCGAAAAACATACAGCAGTAGGTATTCGCTAGTGGTCACCCGCCTAACTACTAATCTACCGATTCAAAGCTTATGAAGTGGCAGAGCGGACGGGATACCCAGTTCTCTTTGATCTATGGCCGTATGTGATGGCTGAAGTCGAGATTTGTGGTATAAAATTCACAAGTGGTCTACAATGAGCACTCAGAACTACGAACCGGGGATCCCAGCATGCTGGCGGACCAATTTTACCAGCACACCATGTAAAGTCGGATGGCAAAGTTTGAACCTTGGAGCCTTGTGGTTGTCACGGTTCCATTTTGGCCAGCTAAGGGGGGGGCTATGAGAATAGATCGTTCCGGGGAAGAATGGTCCCCTTGTAGATTTGAGAATTATGCTTACACTACATACAGACGGTGCCATGAAGCACCCGAACGTCCACCTTTTTAACCGCCAATGCATCCCTCCATGCGGCTCTATCTTCTACAACCTCAGTCTCTTTTCTCATGCCCATGCCTTGCTGTCCCAATATCGCTTCCGCCTGTTTTTATGAGCCCACTCCGCACTACCAACCCCCACAATGACCAGAGATAGCATATCACGAATCCCCCACAGCCGAGTAGCACGTTCGCCACGACCCACAGATCCGGCTTATCTGCCGGCGGCGGAACGAACGCCTCCGCTATGTGCCAAGCCACCATTCCCGCATAGAACGCGAAGTGTAGCGCTTTCTCCGGCCAGCTCAGCTCGCCGGCGGTACTGCTACTATTTCCCGCGCTGGTGCCAGCACTACCGCTGCTGCTGGCTTCTACCTGCGGCCTATACGCCCCCACAGACGCAGGCAGCACCCCCAGCAACCACGCCCACAGCCCCGTGAGCACAAAATACGGCAGCCGAAGCCCATCCCTCACCAGGAGCGGGAAACACGTCCACGCCCCCAAGACATTCGCGAACCCGACCCAGGCCCTCGTGCTCGGCAGCAGGCCCCCCTCCCCGCCCAGCAGCAGCGTCACAGGCAGCAGCGGCAACAGCACGTTCTTCTCGTGGACCTGGTAGCTCGCGAGAAAGAAGCCCCAGCTCGTGGCCGCGAGGGCCCAGGGGAGGAGCGCCCTGCGGGGCCGCCAGAGTAGGATGGCGGTCGGGGGCAGGATGGCGGCGGAGGTGGCGAGGAGCGCGGCGCGCGAGACGAGGTGGGTCTGGTAGCGGTGCAGCTTGTGGAAGGTGTGGAGGGCGCACCAGAGGTTTGCGACTTTGTCTTCGAAGAGGCCGCGCGCGAGGGGGAAGATGCGGTGGGTGGCTTGGGCGAGCTGGAGCAAGGCGGGGTAGTGCCATGCCTTTTCGTTGAGGGGGATTGGGAGGGCTGAGAGGAGCGGGGGCGCGGGGAGGAAGCGGGTGGGGAGGTTGCGGTGGGTGTCGTAGGCTGTGCCTAAGAGCAGCGGGAGGAAGAGCACCGCGAAGGAGATGAGCGTTGTGAACGCGATGCCGAAAAGGCGGACGGGGTAAAGGCGGGGCTGTAGGCAGCTGCCGAGGAGGTAGGCGAAGACGGCTGGCGCGTAGAAGAGCGCCATTTGCTTGAAGCCGAGGGCAGCGACGAAGAAGACGCAGGCCCAGAGGAGACGGCCGGCGAGCATGCTGGACATGCTGGCGACTACGAAGCCGAGCATGACGGTGTTGTACTGGAAGTGGCCGTGGTCGATGAGGATGGTGGCTGGTTGCATAAGCACCGCGACGAGCGCGATGGAGTATTCCCACGTGTTGACGCCCTGGAGGCGGGAGTAGCGCCGGAGGAAGACGATGACGGCGGGAACGTAAACGAGGTATTCGGAGACGAAGACTGTCGCGCGCATGTAGACCTTTAGGAGCGGGTCGTCGAGGCCTCGAGAGGTATACAGGGCGAACCATGAGGGGCTGATAATGCTGCCGCTGTCCATAAGTTAGTACGAGGTATACCAGGGAGTTACAGAGCCTACTACTCACATTCTGCCGAGCAGCCAGCTATGGTACGCTGTCAACGGCGGATAGTCAAGCCCCCACCACTCCAGATCATGAAAATACCACTGCGTCATGGGCAGATGTGTGGTGATTTCCATCCAGTGTCGCTGCGCCTCGAAGTCCCCGTGCATTGGCGGTTTCTGGAAGCCCGAGTAGCCCCAGAGGCCGGTGGTCCAGCGGAACAGGCCTACGGCCATGACGATCAGAGGCAGCAGCACCCATTGCGACACTGTTCCCTTCGCTGGCCACAGAAAGGCGACTAAGGGGAACGCTGGCCGCTGCTGCTTTGTCGCAGCGTCGACGATGACAGTGCCGTGCGCGGGGTGAGCCAGGGCGCCATCGTCGGCTTTTCGCCTTCTTCGAGGCTTATGGGTGGAAGCCGGTGTCATCGGACGGTGATTGGAAGCATTATATTGTTTGCGATACTCTTGACATAGTTTGAAATGGTGTTCAGGGTTGAAGTCGGGATCTGGGATCTCATCTTATCTTATCTTATCTTATCTGTTGAAGCTCGGCTCGGCTGGCCATAGCTCGGAAAAGTCAGCTAGTCAGTTAAGAAAACTTTCGCCAGCCTCTCCCTCCACTCTTCCTCCAACCAACATTTCTGTGGGATTCACATTCTGTCGCAATCAAATTCGAGTCGCATCATCAGAGGGACTTACCAGAGGGAACTACTAGATATACGCTTCGTGTACCAGAGGTTTGAGAGACATACCATCGGTTCGTCGGTTCCTTCACCCGTGGGCTTACCTGCGCGCTTCAACAGCCGGCGCGAGACACCTGTGGGCTTTGTGAGCTACAGAGGGCTTCTTGACACCAGTCGCTATCATCTTCTCGGCCACTTGTGGGAACACGCTGCCTTGAAGGGCGACTTCCTGTGGGCTTGTGACTTGTGGGCTTGTTCGCCAAGTGGCGGACTCGAGAATCTGTGGGCTTGTGGGCTTGTTGGCTTCGCCGCACTTCGAGAGAAAGCTTGAGCGTCGACTGCACTGTCGTACCTCACACACACATACCTGGACTTGCTTCTAAGCTTGTCTGAAGGGACTGTTCAAAAGGTCTTGCGCTGGGACCTGAAGCTACGTTGACTTGGGGATTAGCTTCTTCCAAGTATCGCCCTCACGTCTTGTCAGTGTTGCTGACCGCTTAAAGTCAAACAGAATTTCACTTCACACAATGGCCAAAAGCAAGGTCAAGGGCGGCGATGCCAAAAAGGTAGTCGCCGAGAAGGCTACAAAGGCTCTCACATCAGTCAAGGAAGGTCGCGTCACCAAGCCGTCTCAGGCACCAAAGGCCAAGAGCAAGGAGGTAGCCAAGCAGGCCGTCTCGAAGTCCGACGCCAAGGACAAGAAGAGCAAGAAGGCTAAGAAGGCACCGACGCCCCCGCCAGTGAGCTCCTCTGAGTCCGAGAGTGAGGCCGAGACCAGCGCCAGCTCCGAAAGCAGCGATAGCGAATCTGAGGTCGAAGCTCCTGTGCCTGTCAAGGCTAACGGTGCTGCGAAGGTTGCCAAGAAGGACGACACTTCCGAGTCCAGTGAGAGCGAGGAGGACGATGAGGCCAGCTCGTCTGACTCTGACGAGGAAGAGGCTCCGGCCAAGGTCAATGGCGCTGTGAACGGGGATGCAAAGGCGGGCGCTGATGATACTTCGTCCGAGTCCGAGTCTGATGAGGAAGATGCCGAGTCTGACGAGGAGGACGCAAAGGCACCAGTCGCTGCCGCCAAGCCCAACGGTGCTGCGAAGAAGGCTGATGAGGTGAGCGTCTTTTCTTGCCAGTGTGCGATCATCGCTAACGTGCTCAGGCTACCTCCGAGGACACCTCCGACGAGTCTGACGCCGAGTCCGATGCCTCTTCGGAGAGCGAGAGCGAGCAAGAGGCGCCGTCCAAGCAAGAGGAACCGTCCAAGAAGCGCAAGGCCGAAGCCGAAGCCACACCTGTCGCCAAGAAGACCAAGACCACTGCGAGCACCGACGACTCGAACGGTATCAAGAATCTCTTCGTTGGCAGTCTCAGCTGGAACGTCGACGAGGACTGGCTTGCGCGCGAGTTTGAGGGGTTCGGAGAGATCGTTGGATGCCGAGTCATCACCGACAAGGCTACCGGCAGATCCAAGGGCTTTGGCTACGTCGAGTTTGCCAACGCTGCTGATGCCGCAAAGGCCAAGGCAGAGAAGAACGGCGCTGAGCTCGATGGCCGCGCCATGAACGTCGACTTCAGTACGCCGCGTGACAACAATACACCCGGCGGCTTCAAGGACAAGGCCAATGCCCGCGCCGACAAGTTTGGCGACAGGAAGAGCGCGCCTGCTGATACCCTCTTCATCGGCAACATTTCCTTCGACGCCACTCCCGACCTGGTCAGCGAAGCCTTCGCCGAGTACGGCACCGTCCAGAGCGTCAGGCTGCCCACCGACCAAGACACCGGCTCTCTCAAGGGCTTCGGATACGTTTCATTCGCCTCGATCGAAGAGGCTCAAGGAGCTTTGGACGCCATGCAGGGCGCTGATATTGCCGGCCGCAACATCCGTCTCGACTTTGCCGGACCGAAGCCTGACAACGGTGGTGGCCGCGGAGGGTTCGGTGGCCGTGGTCGTGGAGGCGATCGTGGCGGTCGTGGTGGCCGTGGCGGCGGGCGTGGAGGCTTTGGTGACCGCGGTGGCCGCGGCGGCCGGGGTGGTGGTCGCGGAGGCTTTGGCGACCGTGGTGGACGAGGCGGGACTACCAACCGTGGCGGCTTCGGCGACTTCAAGGGCAAGAAGATGACGTTCTAGATGCGTTTATTTTCATGCCGATTCTTTCAAGGTAAGAGATGCTGGATGTTGGTAAACGATCTCGTATGTCGGTAATGGGATGGTTGTACTTGAATTTGCATAAAAGTGTTTCTTGTGTTTACTTTCTCTTCTGTACTCGTGGATGCTGCACCGGACGATACCAATGCTCTATACCTACGTAGTATCTCCAGTTTGAATATACCTCTTGCAACACGACAGTGCCAGATCAATTCGCCCCCTCATACACTTGTCTTAGCCATGCGTGAATGAGCCCAGAGCTCCAACCTATCTCCCCCAAATCAAAGAGGCCTTACCCCAAAATCAAACGGAATACCTGACCTCCCTTTGCCCATGCTCATCCGCCCATTCCAATTTCCTTCCGCTCTCCCAATAAAAGACCTCTCGCAGGACCCTCACGATTCGCCCAGCCGCCGCAAGCCGCTATCCGCATGAGCACCGACAGCTTCAATCACGGCGGTGGCAAAACGAACACCATCAACGCTGGCCATCAGCTACACACTAGATCGATGCCTTGAGCGCGGCGAGCCGAATCATGTAATTACTATGACCTCGTAAACACCAGCACAGGGTGGGGATGTGAAGGTTCAAGGTGTTGTGGACGCGCTGAGGTGAGGATTTTCCCTGGAGGCCGACTTGATCTGGCTTTGGCGAAGGAATGTGGTGAGACTCCCGCTCATAGAAACCCGCTCATAGAAACCCGCTCATACAATCCCGCTCATACAATCCCGCTCATATAAATGGGGCTGGGGGTAGTTGCTACAGCAATTGAAGAGCATATATAACGGCACAGGGAACGAACGCCCGTGGGATAGGGCGGATGAGTTACGGGGTACTTTCCGTCTCCTCCGTCACAAATGCGTCGTGGGAGCATTTGCATTGGGCCCCGGAGGCCTAGCGGGTTTGATTTAGAGGCCTCGATGTTATTCACGGCGGGCGGCTCTCCGCGCCATAACGTGGCTGAAGAAGGTAGCTTCGCACAGTTCCTGCATGCAAGACGTATGATACATCTAACGGCTCCGTGATCGCCGTGACGACAACGCCGCCTGATAATCTGTACAGCGGAACCTCGCAGTCCGCGCGCGACACAGAAACAGGAACGAAAAGACGGGACAAGGGGCCCAAGCGGCCATCACTCGATCGTCCCCTATACCGAGCGGAGCACAAAAAAACAAACGGACAAAACCCCCCTCAAACCGACTTCGTACAAAGTGCCCTGCCCCAAAAACGGGGCGCGGGCCGCGGGCCGCAATCTAAGCCTACAATTCCCCTCAGCCCCTACAACACCTCCCCAATAATCTTCGCCGCCTCCTTGTACGTCTTGAGCAGCTTCTCGCACTTCTCACGCTCCGCCTTGATCGCGTCGTCCTCGTATAGCAGCTCCTGGAACAGATCCTCCCTGTACAGCTCGCTAACGAGCCGGTTCTGGACCACGTCCTTGGAGTGGTTGACCAGCAGGTGCATGACCGCCTTGGGGACCTGATCGGCGATGGTCTCGCGCACGATGTTGAAGTACGAGGAGATGAGGCGGCGGATGAGTTCTGTCTCGAGGGCCTCGCGCTCTGTGAGGGCGGGAGCTTCGTCGAAGGACTGTGTGGGGAGGTTAGCTTTGTTTGCTCCTAACCTTCAATGCGAGAAGAAGCAGGGGTAGAGGGTAGGGGGGTAGGGCAAACTTACGAAAGGGCTGTCGCTATAATCATACTCATCCCCCACCGCCACCTCCGGCACATGCTGCCGCTCCGGCATCCTCGTCTCCCCCCTCCGCAAACTAGCCGCGAAGCTCGGCTCCACGTTCTGGCTCACATGCCTGCTCCCCGGTCGATCCGGCAGAATCCCCGCCGTGACCGCTTGCTGCGTCATGGCACTCGGCATGCCGCCCTCCTTGCCAAAGAAGTAGTTCAAGAAACTATCCCTCGCCGTGCCGCCCGCCTGGCCTGCGAAACGTGGCGGCGACGCCCCACGCGCGCCGTTCACAGCGCCGGATATCGAACCCCTGCCGACTACCGCTGGAGACATGCTTCGCGTTACTTTTGAGGAGTGGCCGCGGACCGGGAGTTGTTGCGCCCCAGCGCCGCCGGGAACTTCGGTCTCCTCCTCGTCTTCGGGGGTTTCGGTGCCGTTGGCGCCGTTCAGTTCTTTCAGCCGCCTGCGCTCCCGTTTGCGGCGCTCCTCGGCCGCTGCGGCCTTCTTCTCCTTCTCCTGCTTGTCGTTGATGACGGAGGACATTGCGGCGGCAGCGCCGAGGAAATTGGGGTGGTTGGTGTTGATGTAGGCGCGTTGGATCGAGATGAGGGACTCGACGTAGTGGGATGTCGGTCCCAGTCGTTCGCGGAGGAGGTCCGATACCACTTCAATAAGCTTCCCCTGGAGGCGCGGGTACCGGCTGAGCTCGGTCGAGCCGCACGTGTGGCAGATCTTGATGAGTTCCTCATACACGAGCTCGACGCAGCGCTGGCTGGGTATCTCGAGCATTTTGATCTGGGGTTTGACGAGGAGGTCGAATGCGAGTTCCGGCACGAAGAGGCTGGGGCGAGGGCCGGTGGAGTTGCGGATGGCGGTCCGGATGTCGAGGACGGAGAGGTTGTGCGTGGGGTTGATGGTCTCGAGCGAGTTGCCGAAGACGGAGTTGAAGATGTAGTAGATTCGAGCGCCGCCACAGAGCTCTTTTGTCGAGATCTCGGATGACGTGCCGTCTATGGATGAGATGAAGGAGGAGGCGAAGCGCGTCATTAGCTGGAGTATGAGGGATCCGCGATGCTCCTTGCCGGTAAAAGCGACGTCACCGTAGCTTGCAAGCTCCTGCTGCGTCTGGCCCATTAGAGTGTTGAGGCGCGCCTTGATGTCCGGTAATCGTTCCCTGATGTGGTTCATGAGGGTCGAGTTGAGGGTCTTAGCCAAGAACTGCGTCCCGCATCGGTTTGCGATGTTCCTGTATGCCGGATTGTGTCTGAAAAATTCGCGTTCTGCTTGTAGCGCGTCGGCTAGCGACTTGTTGCCCTGGATGTCTTGCTGCGACCTGTTGACGACACCGATAAAACCAAGTTTCAAAGGATAAACTCGGCCAGAAAGGATGTCCAGTGCATTGGTGCCATGATCCATGAGATCCAGCTTCGTAAGCACACCGATGGTCCTTCTGCCCATAGGATCCACGTGTCGAGCAAGTTTGAGTGCCTCCGAGTTGACCAGATCCACGTTAGCAGGGGACACGGCGAGAATGATGCTGTTGGGCTTCGCAATGTATTCTGATATTAGGTTCCGGGTCTGCTTCTCAATGTCTGATGGTTGATCACCAATGGGCACCTGCAAGTATACGTCAGTTCCCTTCCCTAGCCGAGGCATTCGCGATGTGACCGACCTTTGTCAGACCTGGTAAGTCTACAAGTGTCAGGCTCAGCACATGTGGCGAGTATATCTTCAGGTTGATCGGTATCCGGTTAATTCCCTTGTTGTTCCCGGCCAACCGCGCCGTCTCCGCCTCGATCTCTCTTTTGACTTGGCCGAAGTCATAGTAACGTTGCCCCGGTATATGATGAAACTCTGCCCACTCCTGTTGCCCCGCAACACTTGCCGGCGTATGTGGTATGTGAACTTCATCGTTTTCTGGCCGGTCATCCCTTTCGCTGGGAACATTGATGAGTTGGAGAATGAGCGGTCTCCGGGTCACGATACCACTGCCTCGAGGTAGGAAGTCTCTGCCGACGATGTTCTCGAGAACGGAGGATTTGCCGGATGACTGCGACCCTACCACGACCTGCCATTCTTCTTAGCTTTAAAGTCCCGAGTTCGCGAGACTGGGTGGGGCATACGATCTGAGGTAAATCCAGCGAGTCGCTGCCAATGGTATTGAACACCAAGTCTTGCAGCTTGTTCACAGTCGCGAGGAGGTCCTCGCCGAAAGACGCCATGGCGACAGTGCTGTCGGGAAGCTGATGTACCGGTGAGTTGTTGGGGCTCTCTCAAATTCTTACGCGGCGCAAGCGGCGTAAACACCAGGCGCTGCGGGAAAATTCGCGGTTGCTGTTGAGCTTCGGAGGCGCAAGGTGACAGGCCCCAGCTTCTTGCAGACGAGGTATGTTGAAGTCGATGGAATGGGTGGAAAGATGGTGTCTGTGGTCTTTGGCTGATGTTTCGTCTCCGTTGCCTGTGACGATGGGCTTGCGGCCAGGTTTTCGGTGAGGCCTGGCTCAGGCTAGCGTGCTCACGTGCTCAACGCGCCGCCAGGTACCGGACCGGCAAAAAGTCCGACATCGCGTGCCCTGCAGCATCGTCCCAAACCTTTGTTGATCGCCGGTCGCGGTGTCTATGAGCATTCAGGCATTGATAAGGCTCGAGCAGACCGCTCTGCTGTCGTGCGGGGAGCAATAAGTGGAAGACATGCAGTCCCGGCGCCCTCTTGCAATTCAAGGGGATCCGGCGCACGCTCCGCCTCACATTCCCATTACAAAACGAATGTACCTCGGACCCTCCTATCTATTCCGGAGCTCGTTATCAGCTCCAACCTCTACCCAGCTGGGCAATCTTGATAGTGCTGAGGTGAGACTTGTATAAAGGAAGGCGCGTACATGAAAACACCATGTCTCCTTCGTCCCACGCTGTCTTGCTGCCTGAGTGATTGCCTGGTCGCGCTTCTAGTCGCTTCGATCACCCGTTGCAAAGCCGTTGTGACCCACTCAAAAAACATCCTTTGTTCACACACTCACACACACCATATTTCGCCTTCTGAAAACCACCCCGCCTCTGGTCCTTTGTCTCCGACGTCTCCTACAAAAGTAAGTTCCTCCAACTTGCCTTCCTGATATTCGCCACCATCAGCTGCACAGAGCGCCCTTGGACTTGCAACTGCTGCTCCGTATCACCAGCACTAAGTTTTATCGCAGGCCAATCCCACCGCAACAGCCCGGCCTGCGAATGGCCCCGTCAGCAATTGAAGTCTACCCAACAGAGAGTCCGGTCACCGTCAAGCAAGTCAGTCAGGCCCACTGGTCGGAGCCGGTCCCTTTCGGCGGCCAAGACCAGTGGTTCTACATCCCAGAAACGAAGCGATTCGACCTTTCGAGAGGTTCCGCCAGGAAGCTGGTAATTGATGCCGACGATGGCGTCGCCAATCACCGCGGAGCGCTGATCGACCCGGACAAGACCGTTCTGGTCATCATCGACATGCAAAATTACTTCGTTCATCCGCACTACCGCGACCATCAGGCGGGCTTGGCCGCAGTTGTCCCGACCTTGAAGGTCATCGAGCGGTGCAGGCGGGAGGGGATCCAAGTCGTGTTCTTGAACTGGGGCATCGACGAGCATGACCTCCGAGTGATGCCGGCTGCTGTTCAGCGAGGCTTCTGCCGCAACCTCGCCCAGCAGAAGGGCTATGGGTGGCATGTAGGCCTAGGCGCCGAGCTTCCCGACGGCCAAGGTCGCTGCCTCTTTAAGGGAACGTGGAATGCCGACATCTTCGAGCCGTTCAAAGCAATCATGACCGAGAACGATCTCTGCTTCGACAAGGCCCGCCAAAGCGGCTTGTCCCACCGCGACGAACCTCTCCACCGTTATCTCCGCGAAAGTGGCAAGAAGACCCTCCTCTTTGCCGGCGTCAACACCGATCAGTGCGTCTTCGGCACCGTCACCGACGCCTACAACTCTGGCTTCGATTGCTTCTTGCTCAGCGACTGCACCGGCACCATGACCATGGTTCCTGGAGCGCAAGAGGTCACCGAGTACAACATCGCCACGAACATGGGCTTCGTCACAAACAGCCAGGCCGTCCTTGCGGCCGAGTCCATTTGACGAGTTTGATTCTTCATCGATTAGCGACGGCGCTGGATTGCTCTTGTTTTTCCTGGGTTTCCTCCTCTCAAGCAGACGTCTGGCTTCGTAAAGCATGCGCTAGATACCCTTTCGCTCTGGTGGCTACATTGTTTCGGCGGCATTCTCTAATTTGCTCTTTCGTTGAGATGCGTCAAATTCAAGCGTGTAGCTCTTACTGAGGCGTTCGAATTTCCTTATCACCCTTCGTAGACAGACGATATTTTGATTTCCACATGTCAGCTATCAGCTTGCAGTTGCATTAGCGTGCAGCTTGCATACAGGTGACGTAGTGATCTGCAGGGGAACGCCCGCTGGAGAGCTTCCCCGGAATGCGGGGAAAGCACACGCCCACGCATTGCTGAGCCTCATCGTTGCCCTTATCTATCGTGACTTGACCTCGCCCATTTGAAATGATCTTCTCCGCTGCATCTCAAGCTCCGACCCGAATCCTGCCCAGAGTGGTACAGCCATCAGCCGCCGTCTGTAAGCGAGGGCTGAAGCTTCGCCCGACATCAATCATGTCTTCTGTATCTCTCGCCCTTCTTATCATCCAGTTACTCCAGCTATGCTTGGGGACTCACGCTCTGCCTACCGAGCAGCAAGTACTTCAAGGGACCAAGCCCAAGAGTATCTTGAATGTCCGACATGAGTAGGTTGCAAGCATTCATTTACATGACTACGTTGTAGCTCATCCACGGTAGGCTCAAGAGAGCAGAGATAATCCCGACGGGTAACCTGCACTTCTGCACTCACTTCGGCGTTTGGAACTGACCCCAACACCCTTCAATTGTGCAGTCATTGACGATTTCCTCCCCTCCCTAACCCTCAAAGTCTCCTGGCCCTCCCACAAAAAAGCGGAACTCGGGAACACAGTCAAGCCCGACGATGTGCAAGAAATCCCCTCCCTCGAGCTCCACGATGAGCCGACCTCCTCCGCCAGCTCCGCTGTCTCAAACATGACCTACACCGTCGCTCTAACCGACCCCGACGCGCCCTCCCGCGACAACCCCGAATGGTCCGAGATGTGCCACTGGATCGCCACGGGCGTGCCATTATCCAGCGAGAGCACAGCCAATGCCGCAGACATGGAGGCCGCGACCCAAACAGCGGCGAAGGGGCTGAAGGAGATCATGGAATACAAGCCGCCCGGCCCGCCGCCCAAGACGGGCAAGCATCGATACGTCTTCTTGGCGTTTGCGCCCGCGAACGGGACGAGTCGGGAGTTGCATCTGTCGAAGCCGAAGGATAGGCAGCATTGGGGTTATGATGGGGAGAGGATGGGGGTCAGGAAGTGGGCGGAGGAGAATGGGTTGGTGCCTGTTGGTGAGTGTGCCGGGCTTGGATGGGTTTGGGCCGTGGCTGATGGGGTTTGCAGCGGCCAACTTCATCTACTCGCAAAACGCGAAGCAGTAGGTTGTACGGTTTTTTTGCTAACACGGCTTGAGTGCGATATCCAAAAGTTGCATCCGGGCAGCCGAGAAGCTCCCTGGACAAGCCTGGTCTGAAACGTCCTGGTAGGACTAACGCGTAAAATGAGAAAAGTTGTATCTCGATTTCGTCCTTAACTCAAAGTGGAAATCACCGATGTGCAATGACTGGTCCGGTTCTTCCGGGTCTAGCATCGACCCTATAAGACTCAATGACATCACGTGTTTTGGACTCGACAAAGAAAGGGCGTACAGGACGCTCCGAAATGCTCTCGAGCAACATGTCCTTGCGCCTAAGTACAGCGTGTAAGAACACCACAAAGGCACAAAATCTAGCAACAGCTCAGTTAATCTCACAACGTCGGATCTCGAGCAGTAGCACTGGAGGTCTATACGTAGCTTTATCGCTAAGTTCTGGTGCTCGTCAAAATTTTTGCGGTGAAGTTTTCGTAGACTTTTCCATTCCCAGTCTCGCTTGTCTTTGTCTTGCGTTCGCCCGGATCCAGGTCCATCTTCGGACTTTGCCAGATTCGACTACTCAAAGCAGTTTTCCTTTGTCCATATCCTCCCTCCTCGCTGTTCAACCCTCAACATGGAGCCCCGCCGCACAGGCCTACACCATGGTTTGATTTGGGCTCTTTGTACGCATTCGTGCTTTAACAGCAGGCCAAACTGACTCATCTCGGTGTATGCCGCCCTGTACGCTACGTCCCCCGTGTCTCTCGTTTGTAGACAACCCTCGGAAGGTCACGTCTCACAATACATTTGTCTCTCAATATGAAAGTCTCGGCCGCCTTCTTCATTGCCGGCGGTGCCCTCACTGCCACCGCCCAGTCCACCGGAAAGGCCACTGCATCCGCCTCTGACCTAGCTTGCCCGACAGCAAACGGCCGAAACTACACCATCGCCAGCTCAAAGTTTAGACTCGACTGCAACAAGGACTACTATGGCGGCGACATGGCGAAGGGGCTGGTATGGGTTGCGAGTATCGAGGCGTGCATGGCGCAGTGCGGAGCTACCGACGGCTGCGTCGTTTTTGCATACGTACCGGGCTCTGGCATCAGGCCGTGCTATCTCAAGAACAAGCTGAGGACTGGTGTTGGCTCTACGACTGTTTGGAGCGGTGTCAAGATTAGTGGAAACTTGGGTAGCAGCACTAATGCGACTGCGCCAACCACGCCTGTTGTCAGTAGTACTAAGCCGGCTACGAGTACAGCTGCTTCCAACTCGACTACCAAGCCTGCTTCGACTACCGCCGCTACTAATAGCACTAAACCCGCTTCGACAACAGCCCCATTGAATTCAGCGGCACACTTCTCCAACACCACGTCTAGCGTGGCTACTAAGCCGACTGTTGTCTCCGAGCACGGTTCTTGCGGCATTCGCAACGGACAGACGTGTCTCGGGTCACTCTTCGGCGATTGCTGTAGCCAGTGGGGATACTGCGGTTCCAGAGAGCCATGGTGCGGAGAGGGCTGCGATCCGAAATACGGCAAGTGCGGTCTGAACGCTACATCCCCCTTTCTGGGTTCAACGAAGTTGACTACGACCCTTACGTCGACCATCTCCTCGAGTACCGTGACGGTTATGCACACGGTCGTTAATGACCACGATGAGGACGACGAGGACGATGGCATGCCGTCCTCCACACGACCAACGCCTACAACAGGGGCTTCTGGCAACGCGAATGCTTCGGACAAGCCTTCTACACCATCCGGCTCGGTCTCCCCAACTGTCACGGTCACCATCACAGCCGGCTGCTCGCTCAGTCTACCCTCCACAACCGCCGCACCTTCCACAACAGTGAGCCCCGCCACGCAATCCGACGTCACCCGCGTCCCCGCCATCCTCGCCGCCATGAACTTCACCCTGGCCTCCAACACCAGCATCCCCCTCTCCAACCTGTCCTCCACCCCAACACCTCCCACATCCAGCGTTGCAGCCGCCTCAGGCACCTCCCCCACCTCCACCGCCGCAGCCGCCTTCCCCACCGCCCTCGGCGTCCTCTTCCCCTACCCCTTCAAAATCCAGGCAAACTACAACGGCAAGAAAATCGGTTATTTGACGCTCTCGACTTTCTCACTAACCGTAACACCCGACCTCGCACCCGCCACCGAGTTCAAGTACACAAACAAGGGCTACCTGCTCGCCTACCCCGCTGCAGGCGGTGCGCCACTCTTCTGCACCGCGGCCGCGGCTTCTAATTCCGATCAAGCGGGCGGCGCGGTGATTGAGATGCAGCCCGCGAGCGCGGTGCTGAGTAAGGAGGGGAGGATGGGTGAGGAACTGGTCAATTGGAGCCTGAAGAGTGATAGGGGATTAGCGGCGAAGTCGTTCAGTCTGGGGGCAGAGGTGTTGATGGTTTGTGAGGAGGGGGGCAAGGGGGTTAGGATTGGGAAGAGTGTGGGGAGGGGGTGTGGGGCAGTTAAGTTGGAGGCGGTGTATCATTATTAGGGGGAAGGAGACCGGAGGAGGGCGAATGTGTACGCGGAGAGGAGGACTGTTGGCGTTGTGGAGGCATAGATGGAATGGAGGAGGTTCGTGCTCTTCCTTTCTTGGCAGATTATGTCGCCACACGACCCAACCAAGAACACGCTTGTGCCGAGTTTGCACTGCCGTCTGCGGCCGCATGATCCTCGCATGTGCAGACGCCTGTGACCTATGGCCCCTCGACCGTACCGCAGGCACCCTTCATCTTTAGCGTACAATATGACACGCATGAGCTACCGTATTAGGGGTCATCAGCCCAGCTTCCTTACAGACACCTAAGCCTTCTAGTGAAGCGTAACTGAACTCAATTAACTCGGCTTGAGCTGATCTAGTATTTGGTTTAATGTAGCTTAGTTGATATGCTAATCCAATACAGCTGAGTCGAGATGGATGCTACTCGATGATTTTAACACCACTTAGAACTTGACTCTAGGTGATTCGATCCAGGTCGCTCCGTTAACAATGATGCAATCCTTACCTGACTACCCTTCGAATCGCACCCACTGCCCCCGCAGACTTTACTGACTGTCAACAAGCATAAACAATCCTCCCGATCCCACTTGAGATCGGTTTCGAGGAACACCAGTAAGAGCCTAAAAACTCGACTTACCGAGTTGGAAAGGGTGTTGATCAGCATCACACAGGCGGTCCTGTGTTCATTGAGCGTGCAGTAACCTTGGACCTACAGGATTGAAAGAGGATTGCATCCCTGGATTGAAACGAGTTGCACCGTCGCTGTCCAGAGAGGGAAAGCGGAAGGTGGGGGCTTGGCAGACCCACGTTGCATCGACACCCCGCCATGGGGGCAGAACTAGGATTGTCCCGTGGACCTAGGTAGCTGTCAGTCTTGATTCTGGGAGCGTACCTAGGCAGCATTATTTCCGTCTCACACAGCTATGGGCCGGACCACTATTGCTAACTTAGCATCTTGAAGCCTAAAGCTGACGGTCCTATAATCCATCCTCTCTTATCCCGTTGCTGGCGCCCGAATCAAGTGCCAGTCGACCACAAGCCGGCAGAATCGAATCTTCCCAGACGTACCCAGCTGGATCCAAACATCGCCTTACCTCTGCCTCACCCTGTCGGAGTAGCTACTCAGTCAAGTTCCTCCTGACCTGTTGCCCGACCAGTCCAAGTAAGGCATCTTGCTGTCCTGATATGATCCCAGAACGTTTGAATATGTACTGACGTTGACAAGAAAGCAAAGAATCCTTCGAGGGCTACCAACGTCGCCGATACTGACGCTGGCTATCATGGAAAAGATGTCTGAACAGATGACTTCGAGTGGAAAGGATGTGACGAAAGACAGTGGAGAGCAGGTATGTCTTTCTTTCCACATAACAGCATGATACTAGACAGACATCTTGTGCGAGCATCTATGAAGGAGACTGACGGAACATAGTCGAACACTAGACTTACACAAGATCGCCTCGGCCAGACTGCGCCAGTAACGGAAGGTACGGCCATCACAGGAAAGGATACAAAGCACGGCATGTCATACCACATGACAAGGTATCTAAATGAGAGCTCTAGAGAAGAGTATTGGCATCACCTGGGGCTTCTACACAATACTAAGCATACCGGTAGTGCTCAGGAGAGGCAGCGTTGATGAGAGCGTGTTCTCAATACTTACAGTGTGTGCTTAGACGGGAAAAGATAGCTTGTATTATTAGAACTACAGTCTTTACCTCATGCGACTCGCACAAGATCTGTTTCGGTCATGTCAGAGCCTCTGCAACCGAAGTCTCCTATCTGATACGGACCTTTGGCGCAGTTGAATAAGGTAGAAAAGGATTTAAAAACCTACCTGGCATTACTAGCTGTAGTATGACAACATCGCACCTGCAACGTTCATCCGACATACCTAACACTGAGTTCTGAAATGTCTCGGTAATGGCACTGGACATCGCTCTGGCTCTCATCTTCTGCGTATCCTCTGCGAGGGGAAGGGGAAGTTCATGTTTTACCGAAGTTAAGCCGGATCCCAAGCTCCACCACACCCAGCGCATCGTCACTCCAGCCTTAAAGTGGAGGGCACCGAGACAACAATCCACGATGCAGCCCCTCCGACGGACCGCCGTGTCCTCCTTCCGCAAAGCGAGACCCTCTCTACGCCAGCAGCCAAAGCGATACGCGCACGATTCCCACGGCCATCCCGCTCACGATACCCACCACGGCCCCGTAGAAGAGCGCTTCGGCGTACGTCACGCCAGCTCCCCCTCCCCTACCAAGCTGCCACCTGGATGTATAGCTAACGGGAAGCTCTTGCGCATAACAGAAAGGCTTCTACATCACCATTGGCTCGATTCCGGCCGGATTCGCGCTGTACAAGTTCAGCCGCATGAACACGGACGAGCAGCCCCGGTTCACGCGGTATATCAACTCGTGGTCGTACTACAAGACTCGCTGGGCGGAGCGGAATGATCTGCATACGAGGATGATTGAGCAGGCGGCGGCGGATAGGAACTTGTTTCTCAACTCGAGGGGGAGCGCGCATGTGGATTTGAGGTTTCCTGAGTACGTCGTCCCCCTGAAGGACAGGGCGGCTGAAGCCTGCTGAGGCCCACTGGAAGTCCCACAGCCTCTTTCTCCCAGTTGCATTCGCGGTAGGTGATCAAAGCTAATACCAGCCTCCACACCTAGAATCTTCAACACCGGCTCACCGTGGAACATCCAAGCGGGCCAGACCGCAAACATGGACAAGCTGATTGCGCACTACGAGAAGCAGAGCTTCGAGGCGCAGGAGAAGCAGATGAAGGATTTGCAGGAGGGAAAGCTGCTTGCAGAGCAGACGCCAAAGAGGATCGGGAAGAACCCGCCGAGCCCGTGATGGGATCGATCGCTGTTTGACGGGTCGGGTTTGTATATATCAGTCTCAAGCAGTATCAACGTTACGTCTATCGGTCTTCCGCTTGAGGTATCCAATATGGGGAACGGCACGGCGTCGCCTGCCATAACAACAAGGCATCCTTGTATGCACACGTGATACCTCATCAAATCACGCAGGTGGATCAAACGATCTTCAGAATACAATCTAAATAGGTCTTTTCAGACATACGTTTCGAATACAGATCTCTTCCCTTGCGTCCCATACATATCTCCATAATATCCCATACGTATCTCCGTACAATCTTGTGTACGTCCATTACCACACCTCTCCTTCCACAGCTCCATCCAAGCCTATACACCTTACATGATCTCCAACAAATCACCTCAACAGCGTCACCAAACATTCCTCTCAATCCACCAATTAGGCGGCGGTTGATCAAAGCCCGGCACCTCATTCACGGCCCTCGCCCCCCGGCGCTCCCAGCGCTCCTCTCCTTCCTCTCCTTCCTCTCCTTCCTCTCCTTCCAACTCAGTCGTCCCTTCCTCGCGACCCTGCCGACGCCACGCCCCACCCCCTCCGACCGCGTCCGGCGTCGCTTCTCGCCGCTCGACGCGCTGGAGCTGGGTCAACGCGCCGCGCGTGCAGCCAACAGTCCGCGAAAGCTGGAACAGAGAACGGGGTAGGACGCGAGTTCCCGGATGCGGGAAGACGGCGGCATGCAGCGGCAGAGACTCTGGCGGCGGGGAAAGCTTAGGCGGAGCAAAGGAAGGGCTAGGAGGCGGGAGCGGCAGATCCGGACCCGAATACGTGCGATGCAGCTGCAGCATCTGCTCGAGGGTGGCGCTGCACTCGACCGTCTCGGCCGAGGCGCCGTCGTGGGTTCCGGCGACGGCGAGGCGGGTTGGGTCGCGCTCGTCGTAGGGCAGGCGGGATTTCTTGCGGCGCCAGGGACAACGGAATGAGTAGCGCAGCGCTTTGATCAGATCGAGACATCTTGGCTTCTTCGGTGTCTTTTTTGTTGTCGCTTCTTTCGGGTTCGACGCCGCTGCTGCTGTGCGTGAGGGCGGCATGAGCGGCTCCAGGTCGTCACTCGGGTGCTCGAGATGCATGGCGCCGGTGAGGGTGGTGCTGGGGGCGCCGTCGCCGGTCGCCCAGTTTTCATCGTTGAGGTAGGTGTTGTAGGGATTGTGAGAGATGCGGCGGTAGTTGTTGTGGGGGAGGTGTGGCATCTATCTTAGGCCCTGTGGTCTTTTTGTCTGGTTGTCCCAGCCTTGTTTCTAGAGTACAAAGAGCTATATGAAGGTGTATATATGAGGGAGCGTAGACGGAGTACTTATAGAGAATAGGGGAGTCAACTGCTTGAGTATGAGAATGTTGGAACATTCGAAGAATTGGCTTGTGCAAGCGGGCTACAGCTATTTTGCGCATTTGGCCAAACTCAAGCACGCGACTGTGGGGAACCACCATTATGGCACCGATGACGCTGTGGGGAATTTGAACTCCGGAGGAAGCACCGCTAGGGTTCGTGTGTGGCACCAGTAACGGGGATCGTGGAACGAGATGTGGATGGTGAGCCAACAATATCGATAGTTTTGGCAAACATGACTAAGCGCCACATGATATAGAAGGCTCGACCGTGGATGGTGCGAAGAAAAACCGAGTCGTTTCCACTGGCCGTGTGCTATGGGGTGAGCTTGAACTTGAAGATTGGTGAGATGATAAGAAGACACGTAGCGATTCAGAAACACCGGCACTGGGTGAGTGGTACAGAGTATATACGTCAAAACAGATAACGTGTATGCGACCATCTTTAGTCCCGTCTATACTACATGCAGTGTATCATTGAAGGGTGCTGAGTGAAGTCACGGCGTATTACGATGAAAGTGGAGTCCCAAATCGCCAAGACACAAGAGAAAACAGTCTGGTCTGCCAGCGCCGAACGCGTGAAACAAGAGGACATGTTTTTGGAGTTTTCTGAGATTGCGCTCCGTCCACCAAGAGATCGTACCAGCCAATCTGCCTTTTCCATCTCCCGCTCCAATGCGTCATCTGTCCTGTCAGATCGCTTCCAAACGTTCCGCCTTCTTCATGATCGCTAAAACCGTTATAAAACCAAAGTGCGAAACCTCAACACGACGGAACCGTGGAAGGAGTTGAAAGACAAAATCTCGGTCATAGAACAGCTGAAAATCTACTGCTCGCCAAAGTCAAACAAATCGTTATCGAAGTTGCCATAAGTCGTCTGCGGATTTGTAGTCATGTCGAACTGGCCGCCAACGCTGTTGAAGTTTGCGTAGTCCCCTATCATATCAGCGCCAGCCGGGACACCATAGTCGGCACCGTGGTCTGATGGGAAGAGCGTGAAATCAGTGGTGGCTGCAAAACCATCATGAAATCCTTCGTCCGCCATAAAGTTATCGTGGGGAGTGAAGAGCGTAATGTTCGCTTGACCGTTGGGTGATAGCTCGGGAACTTCCGCAGGCGTGTAATTGAACCCGGCGTCCATGGATGTAATCGCGGGCGTCGGTTGCTGAAGGTGTAGACCACTCAGGTTATAGCTGGGATTGAAGTCGAAAGGAGCGGGAACGGCTGGGTTGTAATCGAAGTCCATTTCCTCCGGAGTGATCATGGGCTGGTCCGGAGAGTGGCTCGATGAGTATGTGAATCCGGTGCCTGCTGTGGTGCCTGACCCTCGGCGGCCATACAGCTCAAAATCACCGAAACCAGCGGCAGAGTCTAAGCCGAACTGGTCTGCGTCGAAGTCATGGTGTAATTGGACGGATGGGGATGGGTCGTAAGCAGTGAGAGGCGTGGCGACAGCAAAGAGAGCGGATCCAGGGGTATTCATTACGGGTGTCAAGGGCGTCTGCGGGGTTTGACCAGTGGCTTCGGTGCCTCTCCTCCGGCCGTTACCCTTGGATCGAACATAGTCATAGCCGTGCTGCTTCTCCATGTGTTGTTTGCAATTGCTTTCTCGCTTCGACGCATATCCGCACTTCCAGAGACATTCGTGCTTTGGAGGGGCAGCGGAGTGCTTGTCGCTCCAGTGCCTGTCCCTCTCTTTCTCCGTAGGCCATCCTTCCAGGTGGAACTTGCACTTAGGGTCCCGACACTTCCACGGACGAGAGTGAGTCTTCTCGTGTTTTGTCAGATCACAAGGCCGTTTGAACTCCTTCTTGCAGTCATGGCAGACATGAACGACATCACCAGGCTTGTCCGACTTCCGGCGGCGCGCCATGGAGCGTCGGACACCGTCGTCCTCAACCTCATCGCCAGCGAAGCTTCTCTTCATTGTGGCGGGGGAGGCACTAGCGTCCTCGGGACTCTCAGCGGTGATCGGTATGGTCTTGCCGTTCTTCTGGCGCACCAACTCGACAGGCCGACCATTGTGGCTTAGGCCGCCGCGAAGTATGACAGTTTCGTCCCTAACAATAAGCCATTAGCATCTGAGCATGAGGAGAGAACGAACGGAGGGGAACAGTGCTGATATGGAAAAGGGGGGTTGGATGAGTAATGTGAGTCAGACAAGGAGTCATAGGTTGGGGCGGACGAAGGATCCTCAGAATTCAACGCTAGCGATTGGGGGCTGTTCAACTTACTTAGAATAATCCATCTCGTCCAAATTCTCGCCCGCAGCCTCTTTCTTCCTGGTTTCCGCCATGATTGCGGCGTATCTTCGAATCTGTTCAATGAGATCGAGGAAGTATCCGTTAGTGTATGGTCGGTCGGTTGGAAGTCGTCTATCCGGCTCGTTCAAGAAGTCGACAGTCGCTTGTATGCAGATTACCGAGCGTTCGCAGAACCGAAGATACGATTTGGCGGTTGCAGAGTACTCCTTTAAACGAGAAAGAATGCAATGAGCGCAAGCACCCACAACGATGCAAACATGTGAACTTACAGGGGCCAAGAAAATCAGAGTCTTTTCTAGATCACGCAGGTTCGAAATGACCTTCGCGCCAATTCGACGCGGCACATCTTTTACCAGCGGGTGAAAGTCCTTCAACGCCGGTTCAGCCAAAATCGGCCTGATGATGCGGTTTTCGATGTGCTCAGCAGCTTGCTTGCTCAGAGCACGGCGGAAATTGTTGTCGATGGCATCCACGGTGGAAAAAGATTGAGTGACCGCAGAACGGTTGCTGATGACCGATGAGTGGACGGAGAGCCGAGTGCTAGACCGGAGAGCACTCTTGACTTGCTGGCTGTTAGCGGACTGCAAATTGTCGACTGTGTTGAGGAAAAGCATACCATCGACACCCTCGCTGATGCTGGTGCCCATTCCGCTGTCGGAAGCGTGATGATGATCGACGGGGGCGATCTTCTTGTCAATATCCATTGGATCAAAGTCGGCCACCGAGCTCGCAAGCATGAAGCTTGGGACAGCCAGCACCTCGGGGTCCCTCAGAATACTGGCGTCACAGCGCGCATCTTTGTTTCCAGAGACCGCTTTGTCAAAGGAGTCTAGGATGTTCTGCAGCTGCAGATGACGTGAGGGGCCTTGAGCCAAGAGACCTTCGAGGTCTTGGGGGGATGTCGGAGAACGACGTGGCAGGTAACGGGCGTGGTCGATGGGATCACACAGCTCTGAAAGAAGTCCAGTTGGGGAGTGAAAGGTTGAACTTTTACGGAACTGGAGGTCCCGAGTCTCTACGTGAGGACCAGCGCCCATTTGAGGGCGGCGACGAGGGTGGATCTGGCTGGATGCCATGTTCGATCGAACGGTCTGAGATGCCCTTTGTGGCTTTGGTAGATAACCTTGATTGGAACCCTCCGCAGTGGAAGCTCCGACAGATGACTCACAAGGCCTGGATTGGATTGATGGCGAGGCTGTCCGAGAGATGGTCGAGAATGGTCCACTGGAAGGTAAGGCCGGCAGATCAAAGCTGACGACTGTGACTCGGGTTCGACACTTGCACCAGTTCCAGCACCAAGTGGCCCCGTCAGCGAACCTTTGAGGATTTCTCAGTTAGATTGCATAACGCAGCAGCCGATGATGCTGGCTTGAAGGGATGACAATGAAGGTTGATGGTTGCGAGGTTGTTGGCGTGAGGATGAGAGAGCAAGGCTGGCAGGCAGCAAAAGCAAGAAGGTGAACGAGGCTTGGAGGTGGACGAAGATATAAGACAAGCAGGCCTCCCGAGTTCCACGAAGAGTTCCAGCCGGGAGGGATACGCAGCTGGCTTGGCTCAGGCCAAGATGCCCGAATACGCGAGGCGGTGATGAATCTCTCGACGGATCACTACTCCAGGCACTCGACCAGGACGCACGGGATGGGATAGGACGATATGGAGTCAGGAGGGAAAGTGGGTTTGATGGAGGAATAAGGTGTCAAGCGCAGCGCTGAAGGTTGACGTTTCTACTCTGCTGCCTAGAGCTCGGGCCACATGGATTGCGGCGAAGTCGTCGAAGCGCGCTCGTGAGCGATATCAGAGTCACCGTTGGATGTGCGATGGTGCAAAGCAGTGCATTAGTCTGCTTTAAAGCCGAGCTTCATGAAACGGAAGCTGTTTGGAGCTCCGCAGTTGTGAGTAGAGCTTGACCTTCATTCTCCGCCAGTTCGCTGCTCGTTTATTAGGAGATTGCTGTGAGGCTGTGAGGCGGAGTCGGTGAGAGAACAACCCCGACCCTGACGCCAAGCTTCCCAAGCGAATCCCCGGTGAGCCACAACGCCCTAGGAAAAGAATCCGTGGCCTTTTTGCAGTAGATCATTGCTCAGTTTGAGTGGCATCGTATTGATATTGACGCCCCTGCACTTGGGGGCCGAAAGCTTCATCTACTCGAGAACAAGTTCATGCCATCTTGCGCATCTTGTGCATCCTCCCGCGCTGAACGCGCTCAATCCCGTCTTCTCGTCGCAAGTCTCTGTCCTGATCGCCATCTCCTTGCTCCCGCTCCCACGCCTGACACCATCAATCCGATTATTCATCACTAAAGGCTTGGTCATTCGTATCTGCACTCCGCCAGGATGGGCGTCCTTCAGAGCGCTATGAGGCCACCCTGAGGCTTCTGACTCGTCAACTTGTTGCTGTGGCTGTCCAATCTCATGGCGGTGATGCTCCTTCGCTCGGCCGTGCTCGTTCTCTAGCAAACCTCGTGTCTCCGTTCACCTTTCCTCCGCTTCGAACAAGCATGGCTCAGCAGCTGAAGGGGCTCTCGCAGTTCACTACGTCGTCACTGCGACCCATAGCTTGTTTAGACCCTGATCTGGACTCTTTGGTATTGGGAGATTGCCGCTCCCTGACGCGGCGGACGCCTTGAACCTTCTCAGGCTGCGACATGCCAAGACATTGCATAGGGCTGCGTCACCGCGCTGACGAAGCCGCTTGCAACCAGTTTACGCAAGACCTACGGGTTAATTGTACACAACCCGGAAAGGGAACACAGCTTCAGCTCATGAGGTTAGGTATCGCTGTACAAATCTATGCAGTTTGAAGCCATGTCGCCGTTCCCAACCACGTGACTCCGTCTACACAGTAGGTTCCACCTTTCTGAGGCCATCTTGCCAGCCGTCACACCGGCCGTCACGCCATATCTGCTCTCCCTCTCCTACTCCGCTATTAACTTCGTCATTGCCCGGCTTCCCGCTCTTCTCTACTTCGTGCCTTCCCTAGCTGTCTCCGAGAGACCGTCGTCTTAGAGTCCTGCAACCCCTTATGCACCTGCGCTTTCTCATCTGAGCATCTCCATGTCTTGAAGTCGATAGCCAGCATTGATCCATTTCCCGCCCCTCAACGCCGCTTTGATCTGACTGGGGTGGACCCAATTGAACCAGAGCATGACCACCAGCATCGGAATGGCGTCAAAAATGTAGAGGAACACTTCCTTCCGCAGCAGATAGCCATCATTGCCTTGCAGGTATTCGACAACCCGGAAGATCGACCTGAACAGAATCAGGAAGCTGGTCCCGTACAGAGCGAGCATGTGTTGGCGCCAGGGAACGTCCGTCTCCTTGGATCGCGTAGTCGGTACTTTGTTCAGCCGGTAATGGAAGATCACTGTCGTGACCACGAAGAAGCCGAAGAAGATGATCTGCAAGAAGAGGCCGCCAATGACGATCTTCTCGCCCCTTTCCATCGCATCCAGGGTACCGGCAGCCATTATTCCACCACCTGGAGGACGGCGATGTGTTAGCGCGGGCTGTTCACTGGGGGTCCGGGCGGAGAGAAGACCAGTGGGCAGGAACACGTACCAGCAGATTGCATGCAGAAGGATAGCACATCGCCGGTCACGAATACCTTGGTGAGCCATTTCTTCCTGATGATCGAGTGTGCTTCGCCATCCACAAGCAGGATGATCCGCCCAAGACTCATGTAGATGGATGCCGCGAACAGCGCCGGAGCTATGAGAAGCGCCATCGCCTGCATAATGTACGGGCTGAGTGTCCAATCTGGCGTCTGGGTGCTTGAGAGAGCCCGCCCAACGTAGCCAATACTTTCGACTGTGGAACACAGAGCATGTCAGCAGACTGATGGTGGTCGAAAGAACAATAAATGAAGGGCGATGGACTTACGGAAGCCGCCGATGAGGAACGGGATGAAGTACAACGTCCGCGTGCGTATCAATTGGTACATATGGAGGGACGTGCTCACGGAGAAGAGCAATATGAAGATGACTGCCGCAACCATGGAGGGTTCATAACGGTAGAAGGCCCAGACGTTGGTCTCGTAGTCTGCCGCCATTTTTCGAGGATTGGAATCAGTTACGGGAAGATCTGAAAAGGATTGGACGGCCACGCGATCGGTAGGCTGGCAAGTGAGCAGTGAAGAGGTTTGAGATGTGGATGAAGAGATCAGGAAGGAAATTGACCTGATATTTATCATAGCGACGTTTCCATGTCGTAGAACTTAGCGGCTCTCGCATTCGCATTCATGTTTTCGCTGATGCGGCAACGACTGCCAGAAGGCGCACGCCAACAGTCGGGCTGAGTCCGTGTCCCAAACTGCTGGACCTGGAACCTTTTCGGCAAAACCATACCGGCGACTCCCGCTGCAACCTTATGTCTGTAGAAACAGGAGCTGATTGGCTTATGCTAGTGCTCAGCCAATAGGAAGGTTGGACTGTTTTCGAGCACTGATGCGGACTAGTCACGGAAGGTGGCACGGTGCCGTAGATTACGCGTGGCCACCAGACCCCTTCGTGTCAACGACATCCGATTGCGAGGCAACGAAACCAATCTAAGGCCATGTCCGCGTGGAAGCACAGCCCGGCAGCGAGTGCTTGACGAGAGCCCGTGTGCTAGAAAGCCAGCCGTCCCTGCAGCAGCGTGGCTGGCATGAAGTAACAGGCGTATCTCATTTAACCTCGAATATCGCATCCATACAACATGCCGCGCCTTGGCCATCGCAAGTCGCGTAACGGCTGTACCCAGTGCAAAAGGCGCCGCGTCAAGGTGAGCGAATGAGAAAGCGTATTGCAAGGACGTCAAGCGGCTAAGGGACGTGTCTTCCAGTGTGACGAACAGCAGCCTTGTACCAACTGCGCGAAGCATGGCGTACAGTGCAGTCTTTCCCTTCTTTCGGACCAGTCATTGCCATCACCTTCGAATTCGCAGATATCTGGAGCCAACTCGCAGAGATCCAGAGCCAATTCGCAGACATCTAGAGCCAGCAGTACCGCAATAAGAACCCCGTCAGTGGGCTTCATGGTAAGCTTATACAAGTAACACAGATGAGCTGAGCAACGGCTAATCACGCATTAGGGAGACGCTGTGAACAGCCCGGTGCCAGATGCTGTCCAACAAGCCATCAACTCACCGGGTTCTGGTAGCACGGTGCCGACATTGGTTGTCTCAGCACCACAAGATCCAAACCCTCTTGATGTCTTGTCGTACTTCATGATAGAGACCGACAGTGCCCCTTACACCGATTGGATCGAGAGTCTCGAGTTGATGCATCACTACAGCACCTCCACCTACCTCAGCTTGTCGAACCAAAAGGAGCTCCAGCACATCTTGCAGATCGATATCCCGCGTGAAGCATTCGCTCAAAAGTTCCTCATGCACGGGATACTCGCGCTTTCGGCCCTACATCTAGCCCACAAGCAACCGGACCGTCCAGCCTTGACAACAATCTCGACGCATCACCAGAACCTCGCGATCAGCGGCTTTCGGACGGCGCTTACTCACATTGCGGGTCACAATGCTAACGCCGTCTTTGCGCTCTCGTCTCTCCTCACCCTGATCGCCTTCGCCAACCTCGCCAAGTTCTCTCCGATGCACAGACCGGACTGCATAGACAGCTTCGCCGAAATTTTCATGCTCTTACGTGGTGTCCGCGAGATCGTTATATCAGCGCGAGACTGGGTTATTCGCGGCCCACTCGCTCCACTGCTTATGGCGGCCCGCCTCGACGAGTCACAAAGTCATATGCATCCCAACTTGCAAGACCGATTCGACAAACTGTCCACACGGCTAGCGGATGAGCGGCTTGACCCTGAGACCAGGTCTTCGTGCGCGAGCGCTATGGCTGACCTTAAGCAACTGTTCCCGAGAGTTCTGGCCCAAACTGGGCGCAGTGAAACTAGTGTGTTGATGACGTGGCCTGTTCAGGTTCCTACAGGGTTCATCGCGTTGATACGGCAACGGCATCCCGCTGCACTCGTCGTCCTCGGGCACTATTGTGTTTTATTCCACTTATTCAGAGAAGACTGGTTTATCGATCGTTGCGGGGCGCGCATTGTGGGTGCCATAACCGACGCACTTGATGATGAATGGCGCGAGTGCATGAGGTGGCCGGCAGAGTGCGTGGCATTGGAGGTCGATTCTGGCATCCTCAATGCCTTCATAGGAACATGGTGAAGAGAAGTCGGCAGTCGCAATCTGCGCTCTGAGGCTATTGGTGCTTCGATGCAGCGCAGAAGAACAATACTGCACTGTCATGGACAGATATCAATACATCGGGCAGCGATAGTCCACAGATTCCATTGACTAGACTAGGGGAGTCGGGG